GTGCATGTGGTTCTGCCTTGGCCTGGGAGTGTGGACCCCCTAGCTGGTCCCCAGGCTCAGGGCCATGGGCCCTGAGAGAGGCCCACCCCAAAGCGCTTTTCTCCCGGCTTTGAGACCAGAGTGCGAGCCTTGCGGGAACACCCGGCCAGAGTGCTTGCAAACGGGGATTTGCACGCAGGCGGGGAGGTCTTCCAGAGGGAGAGGGCAGGTCCTGCTCAGAGGCCCCACAGGCCAGAGGAAGAACCCAGCAATGCCCCTGCTCTTGGCCAGCCTTGCCCAGGCCTTCCTGGCCTCCAGGGTAACTGCCCCATGAAGGAACAGGCTGTGGGGAGTGTGTCCAGACATGCCCTTGCGCCTCCCTCAACGCAGCCCTGCCTGGGCCTTTCCCTGGGCCTAGGCCTCTGCTGAGGCCTACTGGGAGTGGAGGTGCTGGCAGGGGCTGTCTCCACACTGCAACAGCCCCGGGGGCAGAGCCTTCTGGCAGAGGGAAGAGGGGAGAAAGGGGGTAGATAGCCAAGTCCTCTTTGGCCCAGCAGCCTCAGGGCAGCAGGGAGAGCAAGGGGCCCACAGTGCACCTAGGTCGGCTCTCCCGCTTCCCACACAGGCAGTGCTGCCGGGGCTGCCAGGGAACTGCCTGAGAGACTGCGGCTCAGCCGAGCTCTCTGAAGGGGCAGGGGGCAGGAAGAGACGTGTGCATGTGGTTCTGCCTTGGCCTGGGAGTGTGGACCCCCTAGCTGGTCCCCAGGCTCAGGGCCATGGGCCCTGAGAGAGGCCCACCCCAAAGCGCTTTTCTCCCGGCTTTGAGACCAGAGTGCGAGCCTTGCGGGAACACCCGGCCAGAGTGCTTGCAAACGGGGATTTGCACGCAGGCGGGGAGGTCTTCCAGAGGGAGAGGGCAGGTCCTGCTCAGAGGCCCCACAGGCCAGAGGCAGAACCCAGCAATGCCCCTGCTCTTGGCCAGCCTTGCCCAGGCCTTCCTGGCCTCCAGGGTAACTGCCCCATGAAGGAACAGGCTGTGGGGAGTGTGTCCAGACATGCCCTTGCGCCTCCCTCAACGCAGCCCTGCCTGGGCCTTTCCCTGGGCCTAGGCCTCTGCTGAGGCCTACTGGGAGTGGAGGTGCTGGCAGGGGCTGTCTCCACACTGCAACAGCCCCGGGGGCAGAGCCTTCTGGCAGAGGGAAGAGGGGAGAAAGGGGGTAGATAGCCAAGCCCTCTTTGGCCCAGCAGCCTCAGGGCAGCAGGGAGAGCAAGGGGCCCACAGTGCACCTAGGTCGGCTCTCCCGCTTCCCACACAGGCAGTGCTGCCGGGGCTGCCAGGGAACTGCCTGAGAGACTGCGGCTCAGCCGAGCTCTCTGAAGGGGCAGGGGGCAGGAACAGACGTGTGCATGTGGTTCTGCCTTGGCCTGGGAGTGTGGACCCCCTAGCTGGTCCCCAGGCTCAGGGCCATGGGCCCTGAGAGAGGCCCACCCCAAAGCGCTTTTCTCCCGGCTTTGAGACCAGAGTGCGAGCCTTGCGGGAACACCCGGCCAGAGTGCTTGCAAACGGGGATTTGCACGCAGGCGGGGAGGTCTTCCAGAGGGAGAGGGCAGGTCCTGCTCAGAGGCCCCACAGGCCAGAGGCAGAACCCAGCAATGCCCCTGCTCTTGGCCAGCCTTGCCCAGGCCTTCCTGGCCTCCAGGGTAACTGCCCCATGAAGGAACAGGCTGTGGGGAGTCTGTCCAGACATGCGCTTGCGCCTCCCTCAACGCAGCCCTGCCTGGGCCTTTCCCTGGGCCTAGGCCTCTGCTGAGGCCTACTGGGAGTGGAGGTGCTGGCAGGGGCTGTCTCCACACTGCAACAGCCCCGGGGGCAGAGCCTTCTGGCAGAGGGAAGAGGGGAGAAAGGGGGTAGATAGCCAAGCCCTCTTTGGCCCAGGAGCCTCAGGGCAGCAGGGAGAGCAAGGGGCCCACAGTGCACCTAGGTGGGCTCACCCGCTTCCCACACAGGCAGTGCTGCCGGGGCTGCCAGGGAACTGCCTGAGAGTCTGCGGCTCAGCCGAGCTCTCTGAAGGGGCAGGGGGCAGGAACAGACGTGTGCATGTGGTTCTGCCTTGGCCTGGGAGTGTGGACCCCCTAGCTGGTCCCCAGGCTCAGGGCCATGGGCCCTGAGAGAGGCCCACCCCAAAGCGCTTTTCTCCCGGCTTTGAGACCAGAGTGCGAGCCTTGCGGGAACACCCGGCCAGAGTGCTTGCAAACGGGGATTTGCACGCAGGCGGGGAGGTCTTCCAGAGGGAGAGGGCAGGTCCTGCTCAGAGGCCCCACAGGCCAGAGGCAGAACCCAGCAATGCCCCTGCTCGTGGCCAGCCTTGCCCAGGCCTTCCTGGCCTCCAGGGTAACTGCCCCATGAAGGAACAGGCTGTGGGGAGTGTGTCCAGACATGCCCTTGCGCCTCCCTCAACGCAGCCCTGCCTGGGCCTTTCCCTGGGCCTAGGCCTCTGCTGAGGCCTACTGGGAGTGGAGGTGCTGGCAGGGGCTGTCTCCACACTGCAACAGCCCCGGGGGCAGAGCCTTCTGGCAGAGGGTAGAGGGGAGAAAGGGGGTAGATAGCCAAGCCCTCTTTGGCCCAGCAGCCTCAGGGCAGCAGGGAGAGCAAGGGGCCCACAGTGCACCTAGGTCGGCTCTCCCGCTTCCCACACAGGCAGTGCTACCGGGGCTGCCAGGGAACTGCCTGAGAGACTGCGGCTCAGCCGAGCTCTCTGAAGGGGCAGGGGGCAGGAACAGACGTGTGCATGTGGTTCTGCCTTGGCCTGGGTGTGTGGACCCCCTAGCTGGTCCCCAGGCTCAGGGCCATGGGCCCTGAGAGAGGCCCACCCCAAAGCGCTTTTCTCCCGGCTTTGAGACCAGAGTGCGAGCCTTGCGGGAACACCCGGCCAGAGTGCTTGCAAACGGGGATTTGCACGCAGGCGGGGAGGTCTTCCAGAGGGAGAGGGCAGGTCCTGCTCAGAGGCCCCACAGGCCAGAGGCAGAACCCAGCAATGCCCCTGCTCTTGGCCAGCCTTACCCAGGCCTTCCTGGCCTCCAGGGTAACTGCCCCATGAAGGAACAGGCTGTGGGGAGTGTGTCCAGACATGCCCTTGCGCCTCCCTCAACGCAGCCCTGCCTGGGCCTTTCCCTGGTCCTAGGCCTCTGCTGAGGCCTACTGGGAGTGGAGGTGCTGGCAGGGGCTGTCTCCACACTGCAACAGCCCCGGGGGCAGAGCCTTCTGGCAGAGGGAAGAGGGGAGAAAGGGGGCAGATAGCCAAGCCCTCTTTGGCCCAGCAGCCTCAGGGCAGCAGGGAGAGCAAGGGGCCCACAGTGCACCTAGGTCGGCTCTCCCGCTTCCCACACAGGCAGTGCTGCCGGGGCTGCCAGGGAACTGCCTGAGAGACTGCGGCTCAGCCGAGCTCTCTGAAGGTGCAGGGGGCAGGAACAGACGTGTGCATGTGGTTCTGCCTTGGCCTGGGAGTGTGGACCCCCTAGCTGGTCCCCAGGCTCAGGGCCATGGGCCCTGAGAGAGGCCCACCCCAAAGCGCTTTTCTCCCGGGTTTGAGACCAGAGTGCGAGGCTTGAGGGAGCACCCGGCCAGAGGGCTTGCAAACGGGGATTTGCACGCAGGCGGGGAGGTCTTCCAGAGGGAGAGGGCAGGTCCTGCTCAGAGGCCCCACAGGCCAGAGGCAGAACCCAGCAATGCCCCTGCTCTTGGCCAGCCCTGCCCAGGCCTTCCTGGCCTCCAGTGTAACTGCCCCATGAAGGAACAGGCTGTGGGGAGTGTGTCCAGACATGCCCTTGCGCCTCCCTCAACGCAGCCCTGCCTGGGCCGTTCCCTGGGCCTAGGCCTCTGCTGAGGCCTACTGGGAGTGGAGGTGCTGGCAGGGGCTGTCTCCACACTGCAACAGCCCTGGGGGAGAGCCTTCTGGCAGAGGGAAGGGGGGAGAAAGGGGGTAGGTAGCCAAGCCCTCTTTGGCCCAGCAGCCTCAGGGCAGCAGGGAGAGCAAGAGGCCCACAGTGCCCCAAGGTCGGCTCTCCCCCTTCCCACACAGGCAGTGCTGCCGGGGCTGCCAGGGAACTGCCTGAGAGACTGTGGCTCAGGCGAGCTCTCTGAAGGGGCAGGGGGCAGGAACAGACGTGTGCATGTGGTTCTGCCCTGGCCTGGGAGTGTGGACCCCCTAGCTGGTCCCCTGGCTCAGGTCCATGGGCCCTGAGAGAGGCCCACCCCAAAGCGCTTTTCTCCCGGCTTTGAGACCAGATTGCGAGCCTTGCGGGAACACCCGGCGAGAGTGCTTGCATGCGGAGTTCATTGCTTCAAAAGGTGAGGATGCCTGACTCCTCTTGAATACTGATAGGAATCCCAAAATCCCTGTGACTACTGGAAAGGGACCTTGGGTGCCCTGCCTCACCGCGAGAAGCGTCCCTTTTGCCCTGCCAAGCCTCGAAGTGATTCCTGAGTTGTCCCTCGTTACTAGACAGGAGTCCTGACGTCACTGAAGAAACTCGTGTTTTGAAGGGCCCTCCCCTCTGTAAGTCGAGAACATACCTCAGGTCCCTGCCGCAACTCGAGAAACACCATGAGACTTCCCCCTAGAGGCGAGATGAGGCCCCATTCCCCTGCAGTGCATGCAGAGCTATTCCGTGATACCATTCAAACAAGTCAGGAGCTTCGACTTGCTTAATGGATCTCGAGACAGTCCCCAAGAACACTGTCACCAGTCTAGACGGACCCTGAGGTCATCCCAGCAACGCAAAGCAGCTCCATGTGCCCCACAACAACTGGAGATGAGGCCCGATTGGCCTGCATTGACTCCAGAGCAATTCCCCTTTCCCCATTCAACACGACCGGTGGCTCGACTTCCTTCAGGCAACTCCAGAGATGCCCCGATAACACTGTCCCAAGTCTAGAGGAACACCAACTTCAGCACAGCAACTCGAGGAATGCTCCGTGTACCCCAGATCGTCTCGAGATGAGAGCTGATTCCCTGGCTTAGGCTCAAGACGTATGCCAACTTTCCAGAAGCACCTCAGGAGGAGGCTTCTCTCAGCAATAGGTATGTGGGAGGGACCCCGAGTTTGCTGCCTCAAGGGGAATACACAGGGAGAAGCCCTAACTTGAAAGGAAGCCGGATTTCTTTGCAGTGGCTTGAATACTAGGCTCGGCTTTCATCTCACAACTTGAAGGGATGTCTGAATCCCCTGTGGAGACCTTAGAGAAAGCCCAAGGTCCCTGCGTCATTTTGACGGAATGCCTCACATCCCGCTGACACATCGAGAGGCACGCGGAGTTCATTGCTTCAAAAGGTGACGATGCCTGACTCCTCTTGAATACTGATAGGAATCCCAAAATCCCTGTGGCTACTGGAAAGGGTCCTTGGGTGCCCTGCCTCACCTCGAGAAGCGTCCCTTTTGCCCTGCCAAGCCTCGAAGAGATTCCTGAGGTGTCCCTCGTTACTAGACAGGAGTCCTGACGTCAGTGAAGAAACTCGTGTTTTGAAGGGCCATCCCCGCCGTAAGTCGAGAACATACCCCAGGTCCCCGCCGCAACTCGAGAAAAACCATGAGACTTCCCCCTAGAGGCGAGATGAGGCCCCATTCCCCTGCAGTGCATGCAGAGCTATTCCGTGATCCCATTCAAACAAGTCAGGAGCTTCGACTTGCTTAATGGATCTCGAGACAGTCCCCAAGGACACTGTCACCAGTCTAGACGGACCCTGAGGTCACCCCAGCAACGCAAAGCTGCTCCATGTGCCCCAAATCAACTCGAGATGAGGCCCGATTCCCCTGCATTGACTCCAGAGCCATTCCCCGTTCCCCATTCAACACGACCGGTGGCTCGACTTCCTTCAGGCAACTCCAGAGATGCCCAGAGAACACTGTCCCAAGTCTAGAGGAACAAAAACTTCAGCACAGCAACTCGAGGAATGGTCCGTGTACCCCAAATCATCTCGAGATGTGAGCTGATTCCCTGGCTTAGGCTCAAGACGTATGCCACCTTTCCAGAAGCAACTCAGGAGGAGGCTTCTCTCAGCAATAGGTATGTGGGAGGGACCCCGAGTTTGCTGCCTCAAGGGGAATACACAGCGAGAAGCCCTAACTTGAAAGGAGGCCAGATTTCCTTGCAGTGGCTTGAATACAGGCTCGTCTTTGATCTGACAACATGAAGGGATGTCTGAATCCCCTGTGGAGAACTTAGAGAAAGCCCTAGGTCCCTGCCTCATTTTGACGGAATGCCTCACATCCCGCTGACACCTCGAGAGGCTCGCGGATTTCATTGCTTCAAAAGGTGACGATGCCTGACTCCTCTTGAATACTGATAGGAATCCCAAAATCCCTGTGGCTACTGGAAAGGGTCCTTGGGTGCCCTGGCTCACCTCGAGAAGCGTCCCTTTTGCCCTGCCAAGCCTCGAAGAGATTGCTGAGGTGTCCCTCATTACTATACAGGAGTCCTGACGGCACTGAAGAAACTCGTGTTTTGAAGGGCCATCCCCGCCGTAAGTCGAGAACATACCCCAGGTCCCCGCCGCAACTCGAGAAAAACCATGAGACTTCCCCCTAGAGGCGAGATGAGGCCCCATTCCTCTGCAGTGCATGCAGAGCTATTCCGTGATCCCTTTCAAACAAGTCAGGAGCTTCGACTTGCTTAATGGATCTCGAGACAGTCCCCAAGAACACTGTCACCAGGCTAGACGGACCCTGAGGTCACCCAGCAATGCAAAGCAGCTCCATGTGCCCCAAATCAATTCGAGATGAGGCCCGATTCCCTTGCATTGACACCAGAGCCATTCCACGTTCCCCATTCAACACGACCGGTGGCTCGACTTCCTTCAGGCAACTCCAGAGATGCCCCGAGAACACTGTCCCAAGTCCAGAGGAACACCAACATCAGCCCAGCAACTCGAGGAATGCTCCCTGTACCCCAAATCATCTCGAGATGAGAGCTGATTCCCTGGCTTATGCTCAAGACGTATGCCAGCTTTCCAGAAGCACCTCAGGAGGAGACTTCTCTCAGCAATAGGTATGTGGAAGGGACCCCGAGTTTTCTGACTCAAGGGGAATACACAGGGAGAAGCCGGAATGTGAACGGAGGCCAGATTTCCTTGCAGTGGCTTGAATACAGGCTCTTCTTTGATCTCACAACATGAAGGGATGTCTGAATACCCTGTGGAGACCTTAGAGGAAGCCCTAGGTCCCTGCCTCATTTTGACGGAATACCTCACATCCCCCTGACACCTCGAGAGGCACGCAGAGTTCATTGCTTCAAAAGGTGACGATGCCTGACTCCTCTTGAATACTTATAGGAATCCCAAAATCCCTGTGGCTACTGGAAAGGGTCCTTGGGTGCCCTGGCTCACCTCGAGAAGCGTCCCTTTTGCCCTGCCAAGCCTCGAAGAGATTGCTGAGGTGTCCCTCGTTACTAGACAGGAGTCCTGACGTCACTGAAGAAACTCGTGTTTTGAAGGGCCATCCCCGCCGTAAGTCGAGAACATACCCCAGGTCCCCGCCGCAACTCGAGAAAAACCATGAGACTTCCCCCTAGAGGCGAGATGAGGCCCCATTCCCCTGCAGTGCATGCAGAGCTATTCCGTGATCCCATTCAAACAAGTCAGGAGCTTCGACTTGCTTAATGGATCTCGAGACAGTCCCCAAGAACACTGTCACCAGTCTAGACGGACCCTGAGGTCACCCCAGCAACGCAAAGCAGCTCCATGCGCCCCAAATCAACTCGAGATGAGGCCCGATTCCCCTGCATTGACTCCAGAGCCATTCCCCGTTCCCCGTTCAACACGAACGGATGCTCGCCTTCCTTCAGGCAACTCCAGAGATGCCCCGAGAACACTGTCCCAAGTCTATAGGAACACCAACTTCAGCACAGCAACTCGAGGAATGCTCTGTGTACCCCAAATCGCCTCGAGATGAGAGCTGATTCCATGGCTTAGGCTCAAGACGTATGCCAACTTTCCAGAAGCACCTCAGGAGGAGGCTTCTCAGCAATAGGTATGTGGGAGGGACTCTGAGTTTGCTGCCTCAAGGGGAATATACAGCGAGAAGCCCTAACTTGAAAGGAGGCCGGATTTCCTTGCAGTAGCTTGAATACAGACTTGTCTTCATCTCACAACATGAAGGGATGTCTGAATCCCCTGTGGAGACCTTAGAGAAAGCCCTAGGTTCCTGCCTCATTTTGACGGAATCCTCACATCCCGCTGACACCTCTAGAGGCACGCGGAGTTCATTGCTTCAAAAGGTGACGATGCCTGACTCCTCTTGAATACTGATAGGAATCCCAAAATCGCTGTGGCTACTGGAAAGGGTCCTTGGTTGCTCTGCCTCACCTCGAGAAGCGTCCCTTTTGCCCTGCCAAGCCTCGAAGAAATTCCTGAGGTGTCCCTCGTTACTAGACAGGAGTCTTGACGTCACTGAAGAAACTCGTGTTTTGAAGGGCCATCCCCGCCGTAAGTGGAGAACATACCCCAGGTCCCCGCCGCAACTCGAGAAAAACCATGAGACTTCCCCCTAGAGGCGAGATGAGGCCACATTCCCTTGCAGTGCATGCAGAGCTATTCCGTGATCCCATTCAAACAAGTCAGGAGCTTCGACTTGCTTAATGGATCTCGAGACAGTCCCCAAGAACACTGTCACCAGTCTAGACGGATCCTGAGGTCACCCCAGCAACGCAAAGAAGCTCCCTGTGCCCCACATCAACTCGAGATGAGGCCCAATTCCCCTGCATTGACTCCAGAGCCATTCCCCATTCCCCATTCAACACGACCGGTGGCTCGACTTACTTCAGGCAACTCCAGAGATTCCCCGAGAACACTGTCCCAAGTCTAGAGGAACACCAACTTCAGCACAGCAAATCGAGGAATGCTCCGTGTACCCCAAATCATCTCGAGATGAGAGCTGATTCCCTGGCTTAGGCTCAAGACGTATGCCAACTTTCCAGAAGCACCTCAGGAGGAGGCTTCTCTCAGCAATAGGTATGTGGGAGGGACCCCGAGTTTGCTGCCTAAAGGGGAATACACAGGGAGAAGCCCTAATGTGAACGGAGGCCAGATTTCCTTGCAGTGGCTTGAATATAGGCACGTCTTTCATCTCATAACATGAAGGGATGTCTGAATTCCCTGTGGAGACCTTAGAGGAAGCCCTAGGTCCCTGCCTCATTTTGACGGAATACCTCACATCCCCCTGACACCTCGAGAGGCACGCAGAGTTCATTGCTTCAAAAGGTGACGATGCCTGACTCCTCTAGAATACTTATAGGAATCCCAAAATCCCTGTTGCTACTGGAAAGGGTCCTTGGGTGCCCTGGCTCACCTCGAGAAGCATCCCTTTTGCCCTGCCAAGCCTCGAAGAGATTGCTGATGTGTCCCTCGTTACTAGACAGGAGTCCTGACGTCACTGAAGAAACTCGTGTTTTGAAGTGCCATCCCCGCCGTAAGTCGAGAACATACCCCAGGTCCCCACCGCAACTCGAGGAAAACCATGAGACTTCCCCCTATAGGCGAGATGAGGCCCCATTCCCGTGCAGTGCATGCAGAGCTATTCCGTGATCCCATTCAAACAAGTCAGGAGCTTCGATTTGCTTAATGGATCTCGAGACAGTCCTCAAGAACACTGTCACCAGTCTAGACGGACCCTGAGGTCACCCCAGCAACGCAAAGCAGCTCCATGTGCCCCAAATCAACTCGAGATGAGGCCCGGTTCCCCTGCATTGACTCCAGAGCCATTCCCCGTTCCCCGTTTAACACGAACGGAGGCTCGCCTTCCTTCAGGCAACTCCAGAGATGCCCCGAGAACACTGTCCCAAGTCTAGAGGAACACCAACTTCAGCACAGCAACTGGAGGAATGCTCTGTGTACCCCAAATCGTCTCGAGATGAGAGCTGATTCCCTGGCTTAGGCTCAAGACGTATGCCAACTTTCCAGAAGCACCTCAGGAGGAGGCTTCTCAGCAATAGGTATGTGGGAGGGACTCTGAGTTTGCTGCCTCAAGGGGAATATACATCGAGAAGCCCTAACTTGAAAGGAGGCTGGATTTCCTTGCAGTAGCTTGAATACAGGCTTGTCTTTCATCTCACAACATGAAGGGATGTCTGAATCCCCTGTGGAGACCTTAGAGAAAGTCCTAGGTTCCTGCCTCATTTTGATGGAATGCCTCACATCCCGCTGACACCTCGAGAGGCACGCGGAGTTCATTGCTTCAAAAGGTGACGATGCCTGACTCCTCTTGTATACTGATAGGAATCCCAAAATCCCTGTGGCTACTGGAAAGGGTCCTTGGGTGCCCTGCCTCACCTCGAGAAGCGTCCCTTTTGCCCTGCCAAGCCTCGAAGAGATTCCTGAGGTGTCCCTCGTTACTAGGCAGGAGTCCTGATGTCACTGAAGAAACTCGTGTTTTGGAGGGCCATCCCCGCCGTAAGTCGAGAACATACCCCAGGTCCCCGCCGCAACTCGAGAAAAACCATGAGACTTCCCCCTAGAGGCGAGATGAGGCCCCATTCCCCTGCAGTGCATGCAGAGCTATTCCGTGATCCCATTCAAACAAGTCAGGAGCTTCGACTTGCTTAATGGATCTCGAGACAGTCCCCAAGAACACTGTCACCAGTCTAGACGGACCCTGAGGTCACCCCAGCAACGCAAAGCTGCTCCATGTGCCCCAAATCAACTCGAGATGAGGCCCGATTCCCCTGCATTGACTCCAGAGCCATTCCCCGTTCCCCATTCAACACGACCGGTGGCTCGACTTCCTTCAGGCAACTCCAGAGATGCCCCGAGAACACTGTCCCAAGTCTAGAGGAACACCAACTTCAGCCCAGCAACTCGAGGAATGCTCCGTGTACCCCAAATCATTTCGAGATGAGAGCTGATTCCCTGGCTTAGGCTCAAGACGTATGCCAACTTTCCAGAAGCACCTCAGGAGGAGGCTTCTCAGCAATAGGTATGTGGGAGGGACTCTGAGTTTGCTGCCTCAAGGGGAATATACATCGAGAAGCCCTAACTTGAAAGGAGGCCGGATTTCCTTGCAGTAGCTTGAATACAGGCTTGTCTTTCATCTCACAACATGAAGGGATGTCTGAATCCCCTGTGGAGACCTTAGAGAAAGCCCTAGGTTCCTGCCTAATTTTGACGGAATGCCTCACATCCCGCTGACACCTCGAGAGGCACGCGGAGTTCATTGCTTCAAAAGGTGACGATGCCTGACTCCTCTTGAATACTGATAGGAATCCCAAAATCCCTGTGACTACTGGAAAGGGTCCTTGGGTGCCCTGCCTCACCTCGAGAAGCGTCCCTTTTGCCCTGCCAAGCCTCGAAGAGATTCCTGAGGTGTCCCTCGTTACTAGGCAGGAGTCCTGACGTCACTGGAGAAACTCGTGTTTTGAAGTGCCATCCCCGCCGTAAGTCGAGAACATACCCCAGGGCCCCGCCGCAACTCGAGAAAAACTGTGAGACTTCCCCCTAGAGGCGAGATGAGGCCCCATTCCCCTGCAGTGCATGCAGAGCTATTCCGTGATCCCATTCAAACAAGTCAGGAGCTTCGACTTGCTTAATGGATCTCGAGACAGTCCCCAAGGACACTGTCACCAGTCTAGACGGACCCTGAGGTCACACCAGCAACGCAAAGCTGCTCCATGTGCCCCAAATCAACTCTAGATCAGGCCCGATTCCCCTGCATTGACTCCAGAGCCATTCCCCATTCCCCATTCAACACGACCGGTGGCTCGAATCCTTCAGGCAACTCCAGAGATTCCCCGAGAACACTGTCCCAAGGCTAGAGGAACACCAACTTCAGCACAGCAACTCGAGGAATGCTCCGTGTATCCCAAATCATCTCGAGATGAGAGCTGATTCCCTGGCTTAGGCTCAAGACGTATGCCAACTTTCCAGAAGCATCTCAGGAGGAGGCTTCTCTCAGCAATAGGTATGTGGGAGGGACCCCGAGTTTGCTGCCTCAAGGGGAATACACAGGGAGAAGCCCTAATGTGAACGGAGGCCAGATTTCCTTGCAGTGGGTTGAATACAGGCTCGTCTTTGAACAGACAACATGAAGGGATGTCTGAATCCCCTGTGGAGACCTTAGAGGAAGCCCTAGGTCCCTGCCTCATTTTGACGGAATACCTCACATCCCCCTGACACCTGGAGAGGCACGCAGAGTTCATTGCTTCAAAAGGTGACGATGCCTGACTCCTCTTGAATACTTATAGGAATCCCAAAATCCCTGTGGCTACTGGAAAGGGTCCTTGGGTGCCCTGGCTCACCTCGAGAAGCGTCCCTTTTGCCCTGTCAAGCCTCGAAGAAATTGCTGAGGTGTCCCTCGTTACTAGACAGGAGTCCTGACGTCACTGAAGAAACTCGTGTTTTGAAGGGCCATCCCCGCCGTAAGTCGAGAACATACCCCAGGTCCCCGCCGCAACTCGAGAAAAACCATGAGACTTCCCCCTAGAGGCGAGATGAGGCCCCATTCCCCTGCAGTGCATGCAGAGCTATTCCGTGATCCCATTCAAACAAGTCAGGAGCTTCGACTTGCTTAATGGATCTCGAGACAGTCCCCAAGAACACTGTCACCAGTCTAGACGGAGCCTGAGGTCACCCGAGCAACGCAAAGCTGTTCCATGTGCCCCAAATCAACTCGAGATGAGGCCCGATTCCCCTGCATTGACTCCAGAGCCATTCCCCGTTCCCCGTTCAACACGAACGGAGGCTCGCCTTCCTTCAGGCAACTCCAGAGATGCCCCGAGAACACTGTCTCAAGTCTAGAGGAACACCAACTTCAGCACAGCAACTCGAGGAATGCTCTGTGTACCCCAAATCGTCTCGAGATGAGAGCTGATTCCCTGGCTTAGGCTCAAGACGTATGCCAACTTTCCAGAAGCACCTCAGGAGGAGGCTTCTCAGCAATAGGTATGTGGGAGGGACTCCGAGTTTGCTGCCTAAAGGGGAATATACAGCGAGAAGCCCTAACTTGAAAGGAGGCCGGATTTCCTTGCAGTAGCTTGAATACAGGCTTGTCTTTCATCTCACAACATGAAGGGATGTCTGAATCCCCTGTGGAGACCTTAGAGAAAGCCCTAGGTCCCTGCCTCATTTTGACGGAATGCCTCACATCCCGCTGACACCTCGAGAGGCACGCGGAGTTCATTGCTTCAAAAGGTGACGATGCCTGACTCCTCTTGAATACTGATAGGAATCCCAAAATCCCTGTGGCTACTGGAAAGGGTCCTTGGGTGCCCTGCCTCACCTCGATAAGCGTCCCTTTTGCCCTGCCAAGCCTCGAAGAGATTCCTGAGGTGTCCCTCGTTACTAGACAGGAGTCCTGACGTCACTGAAGAAACTCGTGTTTTGAAGGGCCATCCCCGCCGTAAGTCGAGAATATACCCCAGGTCGCCGCCGCAACTCGAGAAAAACCATGAGACTTCCCCCTAGAGGCGAGATGAGGCCCAATTCCCCTGCAGTGCATGCAGAGCTATTCCATGATCCCATTCAAACAAGTCAGGAGCTTCGACTTGCTTAATGGATCTCGAGACAGTCCCCAAGAACACTGTCACCAGTCTAGATGGACCCTGAGGTCACCCCAGCAACGCAAAGCTGCTCCATGTGCCCCAAATCAACTCGAGATGAGGCCTGATTCCCCTGCATTGACTCCAGAGCCATTCCCCGTTCCCCATTCAGCACGACCGGTGGCTCGACTTCCTTCAGGCAACTCCAGAGATGCCCCGAGAACACTGTCCCAAGTCTAGAGGAACACCAATTTCAGCCCAGCAACTCGAGGAATGCTCCGTGTACCCCAAATCATCTCGAGATGAGAGCTGATTCCCTGGCTTATGCTCAAGACGTATGCCAACTTTCCAGAAGCACCTCAGGAGGAGGCTTCTCTCAGCAATAGGTATGTGGGAGGGACTCCGAGTTTGCTGCCTCAAGGGGAATACACAGGGAGAAGCCCTAATGTGAACGGAGGCCAGATTTCCTTGCAGTGGCTTGAATACAGGCTCCTCTTTGATCTCACAACATGAAGGGATGTCTGAATCCCCTGTGGAGACCTTAGAGCAAGCCCTAGGTCCCTGCCTCATTTTTGACGGAATACCTCACATCCCCCTGACACCTCGAGAGGCACGCAGAGTTCATTGCTTCAAAAGGTGACGATGCCTGACTCCTCTTGAATACTTATAGGAATCCCAAAATCCCTGTGGCTACTGGAAAGGGTCCTTGGGTGCCCTGGCTCACCTCGAGAAGCGTCCCTTTTGCCCTGCCAAGCCTCGAAGAGATTGCTGAGGTGTCCCTCGTTACTAGACAGGAGTCCTGACGTCACTGAAGAAACTCGTGTTGTGAAGGGCCATCTCCGCCGTAAGTCGAGAACATACCCCAGGTCCCCGCCGCAACTCGAGAAAAACCATGAGACTTCCCCCTATAGGCGAGATGAGGCCCCATTCCCCTGCAGTGCATGCAGAGCTATTCCGTGATCCCATTCAAACAAGTCAGGAGCTTCGACTTGCTTAATGGATCTCGAGACAGTCCCCAAGAACACTGTCACCAGTCTAGACGGACCCTGAGGTCACCCCAGCAACGCAAAGCAGCTGCATGTGCCCCAAATCAACTCGAGATGAAGCCCGATTCCCCTGCATTGACTCCAGAGCCATTCCCCGTTCCCGGTTCAACACGACCGGTGGCTCGCCTTCCTTCAGGCAACTCCAGAGATGCCCCGAGAACACTGTCCCAAGTCGAGAGGAACACCAACTTCAGCCCAGCAACTCGAGGAATGCTCCGTGTACCCCAAATCATCTCGAGATGAGAGCTGATTCCCTGGCTTAGGCTCAAGACGTATGCCAACTTTCCAGAAGCACCTCAGGAGGAGGCTTCTCAGCAATAGGTATGTGGGAGGGACTCTGAGTTTGCTGCCTCAAGGGGAATATACATCGAGAAGCCCTAACTTGAAAGGAGGCCGGATTTCCTTGCAGTAGCTTGAATACAGGCTTGTCTTTCATCTCAGAACATGAAGGGATGTCTGAATCCCCTGTGGAGACCTTAGAGAAAGCCCTAGGTTCCTGCCTAATTTTGACGGAATGCCTCACATCCCGCTGACACCTCGAGAGGCACGCGGAGTTCATTGCTTCAAAAGGTGACGATGCCTGACTCCTCTTGAATACTGATAGGAATCCCAAAATCCCTGTGACTACTGGAAAGGGTCCTTGGGTGCCCTGCCTCACCTCGAGAAGCGTCCCTTTTGCCCTGCCAAGCCTCGAAGAGATTCCTGAGGTGTCCCTCGTTACTAGGCAGGAGTCCTGACGTCACTGGAGAAACTCGTGTTTTGCAGGGCCATCCCCGCCGTAAGTCGAGAACATACCCCAGGGCCCCGCCGCAACTCGAGAAAAACTGTGAGACTTCCCCCTAGAGGCGAGATGAGGCCCCATTCCCCTGCAGTGCATGCAGAGCTATTCCGTGATCCCATTCAAACAAGTCAGGAGCTTCGACTTGCTTAATGGATCTCGAGACAGTCCCCAAGAACACTGTCACCAGTCTAGACAGACCCTGAGGTCACCCCAGCAACGCAAAGCTACTCCATGTGCCCCAAATCAACTCGAGATCAGGCCCGATTCCCCTGCATTGACTCCAGAGCCATTCTCCGTTCCCCATTCAACACGACCGGTGGCTCGAATCCTTCAGGCAACTCCAGAGATTCCCCGAGAACACTGTCCCAAGGCTAGAGGAACACCAACTTCAGCACAGCAACTCGAGGAATGCTCCGTGTACCCCAAATCATCTCGAGATGAGAGCTGATTCCCTGGCTTAGGCTCAAGACGTATGCCAACTTTCCAGAAGCATCTCAGGAGGAGGCTTCTCTCAGCAATAGGTATGTGGGAGGGACCCCGAGTTTGCTGCCTCAAGAGGAATACACAGGGAGAAGCCCTAATGTGAACGGAGGCCAGATTTCCTTGCAGTGGGTTGAATACAGGCTCGTCTTTGATCAGACAACATGAAGGGATGTCTGAATCCCCTGTGGAGACCTTAGAGGAAGCCCTAGGTCCCTGCCTCATTTTGACGGAATACCTCACATCCCCCTGACACCTGGAGAGGCACGCAGAGTTCATTGCTTCAAAAGGTGACGATGCCTGACTCCTCTTGAATACTTATAGGAATCCCAAAATCCCTGTAGCTACTGGAAAGGGTCCTTGGGTGCCCTGCCTCACCTCGAGAAGCGTCCCTTTTGCCCTGTCAAGCCTCGAAGAAATTGCTGAGGTGTCCCTCGTTACTAGACAGGAGTCCTGACGTCACTGAAGAAACTCGTGTTTTGAAGGGCCATCCCCGCCGTAAGTCGAGAATATACCCCAGGTCCCCGCCGCAACTCGAGAAAAACCATGAGACTTCCCCCTAGAGGCGAGATGAGGCCCCATTCCCCTGCAGTGCATGCAGAGCTATTCCGTGATCCCATTCAAACAAGTCAGGAGCTTCGACTTGCTTAATGGATCTCGAGACAGTCCCCAAGAACACTGTCACCAGTCTAGACGGAGCCTGAGGTCACCCGAGCAACGCAAAGCTGCTCCATGTGCCCCAAATCAACTCGAGATGAGGCCCGATTCCCCTGCATTGACTCCAGAGCCATTCCCCGTTCCCCGTTCAACACGACCGGTGGCTCGCCTTCCTTCACACAACTCCAGAGATGCCCCGAGAACACTGTCCCAAGTCTAGAGGAACACCAACTTCAGCACAGCAACTCGAGGAATGCTCTGTGTACCCCAAATCGTCTCGAGATGAGAGCTGATTCCCTGGCTTAGGCTCAAGACAAATGCCAACTTTCCAGAAGCACCTCAGGAGGAGGCTTCTCAGCAATAGGTATGTGGGAGGGACTCCGAGTTTGCTGCCTAAAGGGGAATATACAGCGAGAAGCCCTAACTTGAAAGGAGCCCGGATTTCCTTGCAGTAGCTTGAATACAGGCTTGTCTTTCATCTCACAACATGAAGGGATGTCTGAATCCCCTGTGGAGACCTTAGAGAAAGCCCTAGGTCCCTGCCTCATTTTAACGGAATGCCTCACATCCCGCTGACACCTCGAGAGGCACGCGGAGTTCATTGCTTCAAAAGGTGACGATGCCTGACTCCTCTTGAATACTGATAGGAATCCCAAAATCCCTGTGGCTACTGGAAAGGGTCCTTGGGTGCCCTGCCTCACCTCGATAAGCGTCCCTTTTGCCCTGCCAAGCCTCGAAGAGATTCCTGAGGTGTCCCTCGTTACTAGACAGGAGTCCTGACGTCACTGAAGAAACTCGTGTTTTGAAGGGCCATCCCCGCCGTAAGTCGAGAATATACCCCAGGTCGCCGCCGCAACTCGAGAAAAACCATGAGACTTCCCCCTAGAGGCGAGATCAGGCCCAATTCCCCTGCAGTGCATGCAGAGCTATTCCATGATCCCATTCAAACAAGTCAGGAGCTTCGACTTGCTTAATGGATCTCGAGACAGTCCCCAAGAACACTGTCACCAGTCTAGATGGACCCTGAGGTCACCCCAGCAACGCAAAGCTGCTCCATGTGCCCCAAATCAACTCGAGATGAGGCCCGATTCCCCTGCATTGACTCCAGAGCCATTCCCCGTTCCCCATTCAACACGACCGGTGGCTCGACTTCCTTCAGGCAACTCCAGAGATGCCCCGAGAACACTGTCCCAAGTCTAGAGGAACACCAATTTCAGCCCAGCAACTCGAGTAATGCTCCGTGTACCCCAAATCATCTCGAGATGAGAGCTGATTCCCTGGCTTATGCTCAAGACGTATGCCAACTTTCCAGAAGCACCTCAGGAGGAGGCTTCTCTCAGCAATAGGTATGTGGGAGGGACCCCGAGTTTGCTGCCTCAAGGGGAATACACAGGGAGAAGCCCTAATGTGAACGGAGGCCAGATTTCCTTGCAGTGGCTTGAATACAGGCTCGTCTTTGATCTCACAACATGAAGGGATGTCTGAATCCCCTGTGGAGACCTTAGAGCAAGCCCTAGGTCCCTGCCTCATTTTTGACGGAATACCTCACATCCCCCTGACACCTCGAGAGGCACGCAGAGTTCATTGCTTCAAAAGGTGACGATGCCTGACTCCTCTTGAATACTTATAGGAATCCCAAAATCCCTGTGGCTACTGGAAAGGGTCCTTGGGTGCCCTGGCTCACCTCGAGAAGCGTCCCTTTTGCCCTGCCAAGCCTCGAAGAGATTGCTGAGGTGTCCCTCGTTACTAGACAGGAGTCCTGACGTCACTGAAGAAACTCGTGTTGTGAAGGGCCATCTCCGCCGTAAGTCGAGAACATATCCCAGGTCCCCGCCGCAACTCGAGAAAAACCATGAGACTTCCCCCTAGAGGCGAGATGAGGCCCCATTCCCCTGCAGTGCATGCAGAGCTATTCCGTGATCCCATTCAAACAAGTCAGGAGCTTCGACTTGCTTAATGGATCTCGAGACAGTCCCCAAGAACACTGTCACCAGTCTAGACGGACCCTGAGGTCACCCCAGCAACGCAAAGCAGCTGCATGTGCCCCAAATCAACTCGAGATGAGGCCCGATTCCCCTGCATTGACTCCAGAGCCATTCCCCGTTCCCCGTTCAACACGACCGGTGGCTCGCCTTCCTTCAGGCAACTCCAGAGATGCCCCGAGAACACTGTCCCAAGTCTAGAGGACCACCAACTTCAGCACAGCAACTCGAGGAATGCTCTGTGTACCCCAAATAGTCTCAAGATGAGAGCTGATTCCCTGGCTTAGGCTCAAGACGTATGCCAACTTTCCAGAAGCACCTCAGGAGGAGGCTTCTCTCAGCAATAGGTATGTGGGAGGGACCCCGAGTTTGCTGCCTCAAGGGGAATATACAGCGAGAAGCCCTAACTTGAAAGGAGGCCGGATTTCCTTGCAGTGGCTTGAATACATGCTCGTCTTTCATCTCACAACCTGAAGGGATGTCTGAATCCCCTGTGGAGACCTTAGAGGAAGCCCTAGGTCCCTGCCTCATTTTGACGGAATCCTCACATCCCGCTGACACCTCGAGAGGCACGCAGAGTTCACTGCTTCAAAAGGTGACGAAGCCTGACTCCTCTTGAATAGTTATAGGAATCCCAAAATCCCTGTGGTTACTGGAAAGGGTCCTTGGGTGCCCTGGCTCACCTCGAGAAGCGTCCCTTTTGCCCTGCCAAGCCTCGAAGAGATTGCTGAGGTGTCCCTCGTTACTAGACAGGAGTCCTGACGTCACTGAAGAAACTCGTGTTTTGAAGGGCCATCCCCGCCGTAAGTCGAGAACATACCCCAGGTCCCCACCGCAACTCGAGAAAAACCGTGAGACTTCCCCCTAGAGGCGAGATGAGGCCCCATTCCCCTGCAGTGCATGCAGAGCTATTTCGTGATCCCATTCAAACAAGTCAGGAGCTTCGACTTGCTTAATGGATCTCGAGACAGTCCCCAAGAACACTGTCACCAGTCTAGATGGACCCTGAGGTCACCCAGCAATGCAAAGCAGCTCCATGTGCCCAAATCAACTCGAGATGAGGCCGGATTCCCCTGCATTGACTCCAGAGCCATTCCCTGTTCCCCATTCAACACGACCGGTGGATCGACTTCCTTCAGGCAACTCCAGAGATGCCCCGAGAACACTGTCCCAAGCCTAGAGGACCACCATCTTCAGCACAGCAACTCGAGGAATGCTCTGTGTATGTCAAATCGTCTCGAGATGAGAGCTGATTCCCTGGCTTAGGCTCAAGACGTATGCCAACTTACCAGAAGCACCTCAGGAGGAGGCTTCTCTCAGCAATAGGTATGTGGGAGGGACCCCGAGTTTGCTGCCTCAAGGGGAATATACAGCGAGAAGCCCTAACTTGAAAGGAGGCCGGATTTCCTTGCAGTGGCTTGAATACAGGCTCGTCTTTCATCTCACAACATGAAGGGATGTCTGAATCCGCGGTGGAGACCTTAGAGAAATCCCTAGGTCCCTGCCTCATTTTGACGGAATCCTCACATCCCGCTGACACCTCGAGAGGCACGCGGAGTTCATTGCTTCAAAAGGTGACGATGCCTGACTCTTCTTGAATACTGATAGGAATCCCAAAATCCCTGTGGCTTCTGGAAAGGGTCCTTGGGTGCCCTGCCTCACCTCGAGAAGCGTCCCTTTTGCCCTGCCAAGCCTCGAAGAGATTGCTGAGGTGTCCCTCGTTACTAGGCAGGAGTCCTGACGTCACTGGAGAAACTCGTGTTTTGAGGGGCCATCCCCGCAGTCAGTCGAGAACATACCCCAGGTCCCCGCCGCAACTCGAGAAAAACCGTGAGACTTCCCCCTAGAGGCGAGATGAGGCCCCATTCCCCTGCAGTGCATGCAGAGCTATTCCGTGATCCCATTCAAACAAGTCAGGACCTTCGACTTGCTTAATGGATCTCGAGACAGTCCCCAAGAACACTGTCACCAGTCTAGACGGACCCTGAGGTCACACAGCAATGCAAAGCAGCTCCATGTGCCCCAAATCAACTCGAGATGAGGCCGGATTCCCCTGCATTGACTCCAGAGCCATTCCCCCTTCCCCATTCAACACGACCGGTGGCTCGACTTCCTTCAGGAAACTCCAGAGATGCCCCGAGAACACTGTTCCAAGTCTAGAGGAACACCAACTTCAGCACAGCAACTCGAGGAATGCTCCGTGTACCCCAAATCATCTCGAGATGAGAGCTGATTCCCTGGCTTAGGCTCAAGACGTATGCCAACTTTCCAGAAGCACCTCAGGAGGAGGCTTCTCTCAGCAATAGGTATGTGGGAGGGACCCCGAGTTTGCTCCCTCAAGGGGAATACACAGGGAGAGGGCCTAATGTGAACGGAGGCCAGATTTCCTTGCAGTGACTTGAATACAGGCTCGTCTTTGGTCTGACAACATGAAGGGTTGTCTGAATCTCCTGTGGAGACCTTAGAGGAAGCCCTAGGTCCCTGCCTCATTTTGACGGAACACCTCACATCCCCCTGACACTTCGAGAGACACGCAGAGTTCATTGCTTCAAAAGTTGACGATGCCTGACTCCTCTTGAATACTTATAGGAATCCCAAAATCCCTGTGGCTACTGGAAAGGGTCCTTGGGTGCCCTGGCTCACCTCGAGAAGCGTCCCTTTTGCCCTGCCAAGCCTCGAAGAGATTGCTGAGGTGTCCCTCATTACTAGACAGGAGACCTGACGTCACTGAAGAAACTCGTGTTTTGAAGGGCCATCCCCGCCGTAAGTCGAGAACATACCCCAGGTCCCCGCCGCAATTCGAGAAAAACCATGAGACTTCCCCCTAAAGGCGAGATGAGGCCCCATTCCCCTGCAGTGCATGCAGAGATAGTCCGTGATCCCATTCAAACAAGTCAGGAGCTTCGACTTGCTTAATGGATCTCGAGACAGTCCCCAAGAACACTGTCACCAGTCTAGACGGACCCTGAGGTCACCTAGCAATGCAAAGCAGCTCCATGTGCCCCAAATCAACTCGAGATGAGGCCGTATTCCCCTGCATTGACTCCAGAGCCATTCCCTGTTCCCCATTCAACACGACCGGTGGCTCGACTTCCTTCAGGCAACTCCAGAGATGCCCCAAGAACACTGTCCCAAGTCTAGAGGACCACCAACTTCAGCACAGCAACTCGAGGAATGCTTTGTGTACCCCAAATCGTCTCCAGATGAGAGCTGATTCCCTGGCTTAGGCTCAAGACGTATGCCAACTTTCCAGAAGCACCTCAGGAGGACGCTTCTTTCAGCAATAGGTATGTGGGAGGGACCCCGACTTTGCTGCCTCAAGGGGAATATACAGCGAGAAGCCCTAACTTGAAAGGAGGCCGGATTTCCTTGCAGTGGCTTGAATACAGGCTCGTCTTTCATCTCACAACCTGAAGGGATGTCTGAATCCCCTGTGGAGACCTTAGAGGAAGCCCTAGGTCCCTGCCTCATTTTGACGGAATCCTCACATCCCGCTGACACCTCGAGAGGCACGCGGAGTTCATTGCTTCAAAAGGTGACGATGCCTGACTCCTCTTGAATACTGATAGGAATCCCAAAATCCCTGTGACTACTGGAAAGGGTCCTTGGGTGCCCTGCCTCACCTCGAGAAGCGTCCCTTTTGCCCTGCCAAGCCTCGAAGAGATTCCTGAGGTGTCCCTCGTTACTAGACAGGAGTCCTGACGTCACTGGAGAAACTCGTGTTTTGAAGGGCCATCCCCGCCGTAAGTCGAGAACATACCCCAGGGCCCCGCCGCAACTCGAGAAAAACTGTGAGACTTCCCCCTAGAGGCGAGATGAGGCCCCATTCCCCTGCAGTGCATGCAGAGCTATTCCGTGATCCCATTCAAACAAGTCAGGAGCTTCGACTTGCTTAATGGATCTCGAGACAGTCCCCAAGAACACTGTCACCAGTCTAGACGGACCCTGAGGTCACCCCAGCAACGCAAAGCTGCTCCATGTGCCCCAAATCAACTCGAGATCAGGCCCGATTCCCCTGCATTGACTCCAGAGCCATTCTCCGTTCCCCATTCAACACGACCGGTGGCTCGAATCCTTCAGGCAACCCCAGAGATTCCCCGAGAACACTGTCCCAAGGCTAGAGGAACACCAACTTCAGCACAGCAACTCGAGGAATGCTCCGTGTACCCCAAATCATCTCGAGATGAGAGGTGATTCCCTGGCTTAGGCTCAAGACGTATGCCAACTTTCCAGAAGCATCTCAGGAGGAGGCTTCTCTCAGCAATAGGTATGTGGGAGGGACCCCGAGTTTGCTGCCTCAAGGGGAATACACAGGGAGAAGCCCTAATGTGAACGGAGGCCAGATTTCCTTGCAGTGGGTTGAATACAGGCTCGTCTTTGATCAGACAACATGAAGGGATGTCTGAATCCCCTGTGGAGACCTTAGAGGAAGCCCTAGGTCCCTGCCTCATTTTGACGGAATACCTCACATCCCCCTGACACCTGGAGAGGCACGCAGAGGTCATTGCTTCAAAAGGTGACGATGCCTGACTCCTCTTGAATACTTATAGGAATCCCAAAATCCCTGTTGCTACTGGAAAGGGTCCTTGGGTGCCCTGGCTCACCTCGAGAAGCGTCCCTTTTGCCCTGTCAAGCCTCGAAGAAATTGCTGAGGTGTCCCTCGTTACTAGACAGGAGTCCTGACGTCACTGAAGAAACTCGTGTTTTGAAGGGCCATCCCCGCCGTAAGTCGAGAACATACCCCAGGTCCCCGCCGCAACTCGAGAAAAACCATGAGACTTCCCCCTAGAGGCGAGATGAGGCCCCATTCCCCTGCAGTGCATGCAGAGCTATTCCGTGATCCCATTCAAACAAGTCAGGAGCTTCGACTTGCTTAATGGATCTCGAGACAGTCCCCAAGAACACTGTCACCAGTCTAGACGGACCCTGAGGTCACCCCAGCAACGCAAAGCAGCTGCATGTGCCCCAAATCAACTCGAGATGAGGCCCGATTCCCCTGCATTGACTCCAGAGCCATTCCCCGTTCCCGGTTCAACACGACCGGTGGCTCGCCTTCCTTCAGGCAACTCCAGAGATGCCCCAAGAACACTGTCCCAAGTCTAGAGGAACACCAACTTCAGCCCAGCAACTCGAGGAATGCTCCGTGTACCCCAAATCATCTCGAGATGAGAGCTGATTCCCTGGCTTAGGCTCAAGACGTATGCCAACTTTCCAGAAGCACCTCAGGAGGAGGCTTCTCAGCAATAGGTATGTGGGAGGGACTCTGAGTTTGCTGCCTCAAGGGGAATATACATCGAGAAGCCCTAACTTGAAAGGAGGCCGGATTTCCTTGCAGTAGCTTGAATACAGGCTTGTCTTTCATCTCAGAACATGAAGGGATGTCTGAATCCCCTGTGGAGACCTTAGAGAAAGCCCTAGGTTCCTGCCTAATTTTGACGGAATGCCTCACATCCCGCTGACACTTCGAGAGGCACGCGGAGTTCATTGCTTCAAAAGGTGACGATGCCTGACTCCTCTTGAATACTGCTAGGAATCCCAAAATCCCTGTGACTACTGGAAAGGGTCCTTGGGTGCCCTGCCTCACCTCGAGAAGCGTCCCTTTTGCCCTGCCAAGCCTCGAAGAGATTCCTGAGGTGTCCCTCGTTACTAGGCAGGAGTCCTGACGTCACTGGAGAAACTCGTGTTTTGAAGGGCCATCCCCGCCGTAAGTCGAGAACATACCCCAGGTCCCCGCCGCAACTCGAGAAAAACTGTGAGACTTCCCCCTAGAGGCGAGATGAGGCCCCATTCCCGTGCAGTGCATGCAGAGCTATTCCGTGATCCCATTCAAACAAGTCAGGAGCTTCGACTTGCTTAATGGATCTCGAGACAGTCCCCAAGAACACTGTCACCAGTCTAGACGGACCCTGAGGTCACCCCAGCAACGCAAAGCTACTCCATGTGCCCCAAATCAACTCGAGATCAGGCCCGATTCCCCTGCATTGACTCCAGAGCCATTCTCCGTTCCCCATTCAACACGACCGGTGGCTCGAATCCTTCAGGCAACTCCAGAGATTCCCCGAGAACACTGTCCCAAGGCTAGAGGAACACCAACTTCAGCACAGCAACTCGAGGAATGCTCCATGTACCCCAAATCATCTCGAGATGAGAGCTGATTCCCTGGCTTAGGCTCAAGACGTATGCCAACTTTCCAGAAGCATCTCAGGAGGAGGCTTCTCTCAGCAATAGGTATGTGGGAGGGACCCCGAGTTTGCTGCCTCAAGGGGAATACACAGGGAGAAGCCCTAATGTGAACGGAGGCCAGATTTCCTTGCAGTGGGTTGAATACAGGCTCGTCTTTGAACAGACAACATGAAGGGATGTCTGAATCCCCTGTGGAGACCTTAGAGGAAGCCCTAGGTCCCTGCCTCATTTTGACGGAATACCTCACATCACCCTGACACCTGGAGAGGCACGCAGAGTTGATTGCTTCAAAAGGTGACGATGCCTGACTCCTCTTGAATACTTATAGGAATCCCAAAATCCCTGTTGCTACTGGAAAGGGTCCTTGGGTGCCCTGGCTCACCTCGAGAAGCGTCCCTTTTGCCCTGTCAAGCCTCGAAGAAATTGCTGAGGTGTCCCTCGTTACTAGACAGGAGTCCTGACGTCACTGAAGAAACTCGTGTTTTGAAGGGCCATCCCCGCCGTAAGTCGAGAACATACCCCAGGTCCCCGCCGCAACTCGAGAAAAACCATGAGACTTCCCCCTAGAGGCGAGATGAGGCCCCATTCCCCTGCAGTGCATGCAGAGCTATTCCGTGATCCCATTCAAACAAGTCAGGAGCTTCGACTTGCTTAATGGATCTCGAGACAGTCCCCAAGAACACTGTCACCAGTCTAGACGGAGCCTGAGGTCACCCGAGCAACGCAAAGCTGCTCCATGTGCCCCAAATCAACTCGAGATGAGGCCCGATTCCCCTGCATTGACTCCAGAGCCATTCCCCGTTCCCCGTTCAACACGACCGGTGGCTCGCCTTCCTTCAGGCAACTCCAGAGATGCCCCGAGAACACTGTCCCAAGTCTAGAGGAACACCAACTTCAGCACAGCAACTCGAGGAATGCTCTGTGTACCCCAAATCGTCTCGAGATGAGAGCTGATTCCCTGGCTTAGGCTCAAGACAAATGCCAACTTTCCAGAAGCACCTCAGGAGGAGGCTTCTCAGCAATAGGTATGTGGGAGGGACTCCGAGTTTGCTGCCTAAAGGGGAATATACAGCGAGAAGCCCTAACTTGAAAGGAGGCAGGATTTCCTTGCAGTAGCTTGAATACAGGCTTGTCTTTCATCTCACAACATGAAGGGATGTCTGACTCCCCTGTGGAGACCTTAGAGAAAGCCCTAGGTCCCTGCCTCATTTTGACGGAATGCCTCACATCCCGCTGACACCTCGAGAGGCACGCGGAGTTCATTGCTTCAAAAGGTGACGATGCCTGACTCCTCTTGAATACTGATAGGAATCCCAAAATCCCTGTGGCTACTGGAAAGGGTCCTTGGGTGCCCTGCCTCACCTCGATAAGCGTCCCTTTTGCCCTGCCAAGCCTCGAAGAGATTCCTGAGGTGTCCCTCGTTACTAGACAGGAGTCCTGACGTCACTGAAGAAACTCGTGTTTTGAAGGGCCATCCCCGCCGTAAGTCGAGAATATACCCCAGGTCGCCGCCGCAACTCGAGAAAAACCATGAGACTTCCCCCTAGAGGCGAGATGAGGCCCAATTCCCCTGCAGTGCATGCAGAGCTATTCCATGATCCCATTCAAACAAGTCAGGAGCTTCGACTTGCTTAATGGATCTCGAGACAGTCCCCAAGAACACTGTCACCAGTCTAGATGGATCCTGAGGTCACCCCAGCAACGCAAAGCTGCTCCATGTGCCCCAAATCAACTCGAGATGAGGCCCGATTCCCCTGCATTGACTCCAGAGCCATTCCCCGTTCCCCATTCAACACGACCGGTGGCTCGACTTCCTTCAGGCAACTCCAGAGATGCCCCGAGAACACTGTCCCAAGTCTAGAGGAACACCAATTTCAGCCCAGCAACTCGAGGAATGCTCCGTGTACCCCAAATCATCTCGAGATGAGAGCTGATTCCCTGGCTTATGCTCAAGACGTATGCCAACTTTCCAGAAGCACCTCAGGAGGAGGCTTCTCTCAGCAATAGGTATGTGGGAGGGACCCCGAGTTTGCTGCCTCAAGGGGAATACACAGGGAGAAGCCCTAATGTGAACGGAGGCCAGATTTCCTTGCAGTGGCTTGAATACAGGCTCGTCTTTGATCTCACAACATGAAGGGATGTCTGAATCCCCTGTGGAGACCTTAGAGCAAGCCCTAGGTCCCTGCCTCATTTTTGACGGAATACCTCACATCCCCCTGACACCTCGAGAGGCACGCAGAGTTCATTGCTTCAAAAGGTGACGATGCCTGACTCCTCTTGAATACTTATAGGAATCCCAAAATCCCTGTGGCTACTGGAAAGGGTCCTTGGGTGCCCTGGCTCACCTCGAGAAGCGTCCCTTTTGCCCTGCCAAGCCTCGAAGAGATTGCTGAGGTGTCCCTCGTTACTAGACAGGAGTCCTGACGTCACTGAAGAAACTCGTGTTGTGAAGGGCCATCTCTGCCGTAAGTCGAGAACATATCCCAGGTCCCCGCCGCAACTCGAGAAAAACCATGAGACTTCCCCCTAGAGGCGAGATGAGGCCCCATTCCCCTGCAGTGCATGCAGAGCTATTCCGTGATCCCATTCAAACAAGTCAGGAGCTTCGACTTGCTTAATGGATCTCGAGACAGTCCCCAAGAACACTGTCACCAGTCTAGACGGACCCTGAGGTCACCCCAGCAACGCAAAGCAGCTGCATGTGCCCCAAATCAACTCGAGATGAGGCCCGATTCCCCTGCATTGACTCCAGAGCCATTCCCCGTTCCCCGTTCAACACGACCGGTGGCTCGCCTTCCTTCAGGCAACTCCAGAGATGCCCCGAGAACACTGTCCCAAGTCTAGAGGAACACCAACTTCAGCACAGCAACTCGAGGAATGCTCTGTGTACCCCAAATCGCCTCGAGATGAGAGCTGATTCCCTGGCTTAGGCTCAAGACGTATGCCAACATTCCAGAAGCACCTCAGGAGGAGGCTTCTCAGCAATAGGTATGTGGGTGGGACTCTGAGTTTGCTGCCTCAAGGGGAATATACAGCGAGAAGGCCTAACTTGAAAGGAGGCCGGATTTCCTTGCAGTAGCTTGAATACAGGCTTGTCTTTCATCTCACAACATGAAGGGATGTCTGAATCCCCTGTGGAGACCTTAGAGAAAGCCCTAGGTTCCTGCCTCATTTTGACGGAATCCTCACATCCCGCTGACACCTCTAGAGGCACGCGGAGTTCATTGCTTCAAAAGGTGACGATGCCTGACTCCTCTTGAATACTGATAGGAATCCCAAAATCCCTGTGGCTACTGGAAAGGGTCGTTGGGTGCCCTGCCTCACCTCGAGAAGCGTCCCTTTTGCCCTGCCAAGCCTCGAAGAGATTCCTGAGGTGTCCCTCGTTACTAGACAGGAGTCTTGACGTCACTGAAGAAACTCGTGTTTTGAAGGGCCATCCCCGCCGTAAGTCGAGAACATACCCCAGGTCCCCGCCGCAACTCGAGAAAAACCATGAGACTTCCCCCTAGAGGAGAGATGAGGCCCCATTCCCCTGCAGTGCATGCAGAGCTATTCCGTGATCCCATTCAAACAAGTCAGGAGCTTCGACTTGCTTAATGGATCTCGAGACAGTCCCCAAGAACACTGTCACCAGTCTAGACGGACCCTGAGGTCACCCCAGCAACGCAAAGCTGCTCCATGTGCCCCAAATCAACTCGAGATGAGGCCCGATTCCCCTGCATTGACTCCAGAGCCATTCCCCGTTCCCCATTCAACACGACCGGTGGCTCGACTTACTTCAGGCAACTCCAGAGATTCCCCGAGAACACTGTCCCAAGTCTAGAGGAACACCAACTTCAGCCCAGCAACTCGAGGAATGCTCCGTGTACCCCAAATCATCTCGAGATGAGAGCTGATTCCCTGGCTTAGGCTCAAGACGTATGCCAACTTTCCAGAAGCACCTCAGGAGGAGGCTTCTCTCAGCAATAGGTATGTGGGAGGGACCCCGAGTTTGCTGCCTCAAGGGGAATACACAGGGAGAAGCCCTAATGTGAACGGAGGCCAGATTTCCTTGCAGTGGCTTGAATACAGGCTCGTCTTTGATCTCACAACATGAAGGGATGTCTGAATCCCCTGTGGAGACCTTAGAGGAAGCCCTAGGTCCCTGCCTCATTTTGACGGAATACCTCACATCCCCCTGACACCTCGAGAGGCACGCAGAGTTCATTGCTTCAAAAGGTGACGATGCCTGACTCCTCTTGAATACTTATAGGAATCCCAAAATCCCTGTTGCTACTGGAAAGGGTCCTTGGGTGCCCTGGCTCACCTCGAGAAGCATCCCTTTTGCCCTGCCAAGCCTCGAAGAGATTGCTGAGGTGTCCCTCGTTACTAGACAGGAGTCCTGACGTCACTGAAGAAACTCGTGTTTTGAAGTGCCATCCCCGCCGTAAGTCGAGAACATACCCCAGGTCCCCGCCGCAACTCGAGAAAAACCGTGAGACTTCCCCCTAGAGGCGAGATGAGGCCCCATTCCCCTGCAGTGCATGCAGAGCTATTCCGTGATCCCATTCAAACAAGTCAGGAGCTTCGACTTGCTTAATGGATCTCGAGACAGTCCCCAAGAACACTGTCACCAGTCTAGACGAACCCTGAGGTCACCCCAGCAACGCAAAGCAGCTCCATGTGCCCCAAATCAACTCGAGATGAGGCCCGATTCCCCTGCATTGACTCCAGAGCCATTCCCGTTCCCCCTTCAACACGAACGGAGGCTCGCCTTCCTTCAGGCAACTCCAGAGATGCCCCGAGAACACTGTCCCAAGTCGAGAGCAACACCAACTTCAGCACAGCAACTCGAGGAATGCTCTGTGTACCCCAAATCGTCTCGAGATGAGAGCTGATTCCCTGGCTTAGGCTCAAGACGTATGCCGACTTTCCAGAAGCACCTCAGGAGGAGGCTTCTCAGCAATAGGTATGTGGGAGGGACCCCGAGTTTGCTGCCTCAAGGGGAATATACAGCGAGAAGCCCTAACTTGAAAGGAGGCCGGATTTCCTTGCAGTGGCTTGAATACAGGCTCGTCTTTGATCTGACAACATGAAGGTATGTCTGAATCCCCTGTGGAGACCTTAGAGAAAGCCCTAGGTCCCTGCCTCATTTTGACGGAATGCCTCACATCCCGCTGACACCTCGAGAGGCACGCGGAGTTCATTGCTTCAAAAGGTGACGATGCCTGACTCCTCTTGAATACTGATAGGAATCCCAAAATCCCTGTGGCTACTGGAAAGGGTCCTTGGGTGTCCTGCCTCACCTCGAGAAGCGTCCCTTTGCCCTGCCAAGCCTCGAAGAGATTCCTGAGGTGTCCGTCGTTACTAGGCAGGAGTCCTGACGTCACTGGAGAAACTCGTGTTTTGAAGGGCCATCCCCTCCGTAAGTCGAGAACATACCCCAGGTCCCCGCTGCAACTCGAGAAAAACCGTGAGACTTCCCCCTAGAGGCGAGATGAGGCCCCATTCCCCTGCAGTGCATGCAGAGCTATTCCGTGATCCCATTCAAACAAGTCAGGAGCTTCGACTTGCTTAATGGATCTCGAGACAGTCCCCAAGAACACTGTCACCAGTCTAGACGGACCCTGAGGTCACCCCAGCAACGCAAAGCTGCTCCATGTGCCCCAAATCAACTCGAGATGAGGCCCGATTCCCCTGCATTGACTCCAGAGCCATTCCCCGTTCCCCATTCAACACGACCGGTGGCTCGACTTCCTTCAGGCAACTCCAGAGATTCCCCGAGAACACTGTCCCAAGGCTAGAGGAACACCAACTTCAGCACAGCAACTCGAGGAATGCTCCGTGTACCCCAAATCATCTCGAGATGAGAGCTGATTCCCTGGCTTAGGCTCAAGACGTATGCCAACTTTCCAGAAGCATCTCAGGAGGAGGCTTCTCTCAGCAATAGGTATGTGGGAGGGACCCCGTGTTTGCTGCCTCAAGGGGAATACACAGGGAGAAGCCCTAATGTGAACAGAGGCCAGATTTCCTTGCAGAGGGTTGAATACAGGCTCGTCTTTGATCTGACAACATTAAGGGATGTCTGAATACCCTGTGGAGACCGTAGAGGAAGCCCTAGGTCCCTGCCTCATTTTGACGGAATACCTCACATCCCCCTGACACCTCGAGAGGCACGCAGAGTTTATTGCTTCAAAAGGTGACGATGCCTGACTCCTCTTGAATACTTATAGGAATCCCAAAATCCCTGTGGCTACTGGAAAGGGTCCTTGGGTGCCCTGGCTCACCTCGAGAAGCGTCCCCTTTGCCCTGCCAAGCCTCGAAGAGATTGCTGAGGTGTCCCTCGTTACTAGACAGGAGTCCTGACGTCACTGAAGAAACTCGTGTTTTGAAGGGCCATCCCCGCCGTAAGTCGAGAACATACCCCAGGTCCCCGCCGCAACTCGAGAAAAACCATGAGACTTCCCCCTAGAGGCGAGATGAGGCCCCATTCCCCTGCAGTGCATGCAGAGCTATTCCGTGATCCCATTCAAACAAGTCAGGAGCTTCGACTTGCTTAATGGATCTCGAGACAGTCCCCAAGAACACTGTCACCAGTCTAGACGGACCCTGAGGTCACCCCAGCAACGCAAAGCTGCTCCATGTGCCCCAAATCAACTCGAGATGAGCCCCGATTCCCCTGCATTGATTCCAGAGCCATTCCCCGTTCCCCATTCAACACGACCGGTGGCTCGACTTCCTTCAGACAACTGCAGAGATGCCCCGAGAACACTTTCCCAAGTCTAGAGGAACACCAACTTCAGCCCAGCAACTCGAGGAATGCTCCGTGTACCCCAAATCATCTCGAGATGAGAGCTGATTCCCTGGCTTAGGCTCAAGACGTATGCCAACTTTCCAGAAGCACCTCAGGAGGAGGCTTCTCTCAGCAATAGGTATGTGGGAGGGACCCCGAGTTTGCTGCCTCAAGGGGAATATACAGCGAGAAGCCCTAACTTGAAAGGAGGCCGGATTTCCTTGCAGTGGCTTGAATACAGGCTCGTCTTTGATCTGACAACATGAAGGGATGTCTGAATCCCCTGTGGAGACCTTAGAGGAATCCCTATTTCCTTGCCTCATTTTGACGGAATACCTCACATCCCCCTGACACCTCGAGAGGAACGCAGAGTTCATTGCTTCAAAAGGTGACGATGCCTGACTCCTCTTGAATACTGATAGGAATCCCAAAATCCCTGTTGCTACTGGAAAGCGTCCTTGGGTGCCCTGGCTCACCTCGAGAAGCGTCCCTTTTGCCCTGCCAAGCCTCGAAGAGATTGCTGAGGTGTCCCTCGTTACTAGACAGGAGTCCTGATGTCACTGAAGAAACTCGTGTTTTGAAGGGCCATCCCCGCCGTAAGTCGAGAACATACCCCAGGTCCCCGCCGCAACTCGAGAAAAACCATGAGACTTCCCCCTAGAGGCGAGATGAGGCCCCATTCCCCTGCAGTGCATGCAGAGCTATTCCGTGATCCCATTCAAACAAGTCAGGAGCTTCGACTTGCTTAATGGATCTCGAGACAGTCCCCAAGAACACTGTCACCAGTCTAGACGGACCCTGAGGTCACCCCAGCAACGCAAAGCAGCTCCATGTGCCCCAAATCAACTCGAGATGAGGCCCGATTCCCCTGCATTGACTCCAGAGCCATTCCCCGTTCCCCGTTCAACACGAACGGAGGCTCGCCTTCCTTCAGGCAACTCCACAGATGCCCCGAGAACACTGTCCCAAGTCTAGAGGAACACCAACTTCAGCACAGCAACTCGAGGAGTGCTCCGAGTACCTCAAATCATCTCGAGATGAGAGCTGATTCCCTGGCTTAGGCTCAAGACATATGCCAACTTTCCAAAGCACCTCAGGAGGAGGCTTCTCTCAGCAATAGTTATGTGGGAGGGACCCCGGGTTTGCTGCCTCAAGGGGAATATACAGCGAGAAGCACTAACTTGAAAGGAGGCCGGATTTCCTTGCAGTGGCTTGAATACAGGCTCGTCTTTGATCTGACAACATGAAGGTATGTCTGAATCCCCTGTGGAGACCTTAGAGAAAGCCCTAGGTCCCTGCCTCATTTTGACGGAATGCCTCACATCCCGCTGACACCTCGAGAGGCACGCGGAGTTCATTGCTTCAAAAGGTGACGATGCCTGACTCCTCTTGAATACTGATAGGAATCCCAAAATCCCTGTGGCTACTGGAAAGGGTCCTTGGGTGTCCTGCCTCACCTCGAGAAGCGTCCCTTTTGCCCTGCCAAGCCTCGAAGAGATTCCTGAGGTGTCCCTCGTTACTAGGCAGGAGTCCTGACGTCACTGGAGAAACTCGTGTTTTGAAGGGCCATCCCCTCCGTAAGTCGAGAACATACCCCAGGTCCCCGCTGCAACTCGAGAAAAACCGTGAGACTTCCCCCTAGAGGCGAGATGAGGCCCCATTCCCCTGCAGTGCATGCAGAGCTATTCCGTGATCCCATTCAAACAAGTCAGGAGCTTCGACTTGCTTAATGGATCTCGAGACAGTCCCCAAGAACACTGTCACCAGTCTAGACGGAGCCTGAGGTCACCCCAGCAACGCAAAGCTGCTCCATGTGCCCCAAATCAACTCGAGATGAGGCCCGATTCCCCTGCATTGACTCCAGAGCCATTCCCCGTTCCCCGTTCAACACGAACGGAGGCTCGCCTTCCTTCAGGCAACTCCACAGATGCCCCGAGAACACTGTCCCAAGTCTAGAGGAACACGAACTTCAGCACAGCAACTCCAGGAGTGCTCCGAGTACCCCAAATCATCTCGAGATGAGAGCTGATTCCCTGGCTTAGGCTCAAGACATATGCCAACTTTCCAAAGCACCTCAGGAGGAGGCTTCTCTCAGCAATAGTTATGTGGGAGGGACCCCGGGTTTGCTGCCTCAAGGGGAATATACAGCGAGAAGCCCTAACTTGAAAGGAGGCCCGATTTCCTTGCAGTGGCTTGAATACAGGCTCGTCTTTGATCTGACAACATGAAGGTATGTCTGAATCCCCTGTGGAGACCTTAGAGGAAGCCCTATTTCCCTGCCTCATTTTGACGGAATACCTCACATCCCCCTGAAACCTCGAGAGGCACGCAGAGTTCATTGCTTCAAAATGTGACGATGCCTGACTCCTCTTGAATACTTATAGGAATCCCAAAATCCCTGTTGCTACTGGAAAGGGTCCTTGGGTGCCCTGGCTCACCTCGAGAAGCGTCCCCTTTGCCCTGCCAAGCCTCGAAGAGATTCCTGAGTGTCCCTCGTTACTAGACAGGAGTACTGACGTCAATGAAGAAACTCGTGTTTTGAAGGGCCATCCCCGCCGTAAGTCGAGAACATACCCCAGGGCCCCGCCGCAACTCGAGAAAAACCATGAGACTTCCCCCTATAGGCGAGATGAGGCCCCATTCCCCTGCAGTGCATGCAGAGCTATTCCGTGATCCCATTCAAACAAGTCAGGAGCTTCGACTTGCTTAATGGATCTCGAGACAGTCCCCAAGAACACTGTCACCAGTCTAGACGGACCCTGAGGTCACCCCAGCAACGCAAAGCAGCTCCATGTGCCCCAAATCAACTCGAGATGAGGCCCGATTCCCCTGCATTGACTCCAGAGCCATTCCCCGTTCCCCGTTCAACACGAACGGAGGCTCGCCTTCCTTCAGGCAACTCCAGAGATGCCCCGAGAACACTGTCCCAAGTCTAGAGGAACACCAACTTCAGCACAGCAACTCGAGAAATGCTCTGTGTACCCCAAATCGTCTCGAGATGAGAGCTGATTCCCTGGCTTAGGCTCAAGACGTATGCCAAGTTTCCAGAAGCACCTCAGGAGGAGGCTTCTCAGCAATAGGTATGTGGGAGGGACTCCGAGTTTGCTGCCTCAAGGGGAATATACATCGAGAAGCCCTAACTTGAAAGGAGGCCGGATTTCCTTGCAGTAGCTTGAATACAGGCTTGTCTTTCATCTCACAACATGAAGGGATGTCTGAATCCCCTGTGGAGACCTTAGAGAAAGCCCTAGGTCCCTGCCTCATTTTGACGGAATGCCTCACATCCCGCTGACACCTCAAGAGGCACGCAGAGTTCATTGCTTCAAAAGGTGACGATGCCTGACACCTCTTGAATACTGATAGGAATCCCAAAATCACCTGTGGCTACAGGAAAGGGTCCTTGGGTGCCCTGCCTCACCTCGAGAAGCGTCCCTTTTGCCCTGCCAAGCCTCGAAGAGATTCCTGAGGTGTCCCTCGTTACTAGGCAGGAGTCCTGACGTCACTGGAGAAACTCGTGTTTTGAAGGGCCATCCCCGCCGTAAGTCGAGAACATACCCCAGGTCCCCGCCGCAACTCGAGAAAAATCGTGAGACTTCCCCCTGGAGGCAAGATGAAGCCCCATTCCCCTGCAGTGCATGCAGAGCTATTCCGTGATCCCATTCAAACAAGTCAGGAGCTTCGACTTGCTTAATGGATCTCGAGACAGTCCCCAAGAACACTGTCACCAGTCTAGACGGACCCTGAGGTCACCCCAGCAACGCAAAGCTGCTCCATGTGCCCCAAATCAACTCGAGATGAGGCCCGATTCCCCTGCATTGACTCCAGAGCCATTCCCCGTTCCCCATTCAACACGACCGGTGGCTCGACTTCCTTCAGGCAACTCCAGAGATTCCCCGAGAACACTGTCCCAAGGCTAGAGGAACACCAACTTCAGCACAGCAACTCGAGGAATGCTCCGTGTACCACAAATCATCTCGAGATGAGAGCTGATTCCCTGGCTTAGGCTCAAGACGTATGCCAACTTTCCAGAAGCATCTCAGGAGGAGGCTTCTCTCAGCAATAGGTATGTGGGAGGGACCCCGTGTTTGCTGCCTCAAGGGGAATACACAGGGAGAAGCCCTAATGTGAACAGAGGCCAGATTTCCTTGCAGAGGGTTGAATACAGGCTCGTCTTTGATCTGACAACATTAAGGGATGTCTGAATACCCTGTGGAGACCGTAGAGGAAGCCCTAGGTCCCTGCCTCATTTTGACGGAATACCTCACATCCCCCTGACACCTCGAGAGGCACGCAGAGTTTATTGCTTCAAAAGGTGACGATGCCTGACTCCTCTTGAATACTTATAGGAATCCCAAAATCCCTGTGGCTACTGGAAAGGGTCCTTGGGTGCCCTGGCTCACCTCGAGAAGCCTCCCCTTTGCCCTGCCAAGCCTCGAAGAGATTGCTGAGGTGTCCCTCGTTACTAGACAGGAGTCCTGACGTCACTGAAGAAACTCGTGTTTTGAAGGGCCATCCCCGCCGAAAGTCGAGAACATACCCCAGGTCCCCGCCGCAACTCGAGAAAAACCATGAGACTTCCCCCTAGAGGCGAGATGAGGCCCCATTCCCCTGCAGTGCATGCAGAGCTATTCCGTGATCCCATTCAAACAAGTCAGGAGCTTCGACTTGCTTAATGGATCTCGAGACAGTCCCCAAGAACACTGTCACCAGTCTAGACGGACCCTGAGGTCACCCCAGCAACGCAAAGCTGCTCCATGTGCCCCAAATCAACTCGAGATGAGCCCCGATTCCCCTGCATTGATTCCAGAGCCATTCCCCGTTCCCCATTCAACACGACCGGTGGCTCGACTTCCTTCAGGCAACTGCAGAGATGCCCCGAGAACACTTTCCCAAGTCTAGAGGAACACCAACTTCAGCCCAGCAACTCGAGGAATGCTCCGTGTACCCCAAATCATCTCGAGATGAGAGCTGATTCCCTGGCTTAGGCTCAAGACGTATGCCAACTTTCCAGAAGCACCTCAGGAGGAGGCTTCTCTCAGCAATAGGTATGTGGGAGGGACCCCGAGTTTGCTGCCTCAAGGGGAATATACAGCGAGAAGCCCTAACTTGAAAGGAGGCCGGATTTCCTTGCAGTGGCTTGAATACAGGCTCGTCTTTGATCTGACAACATGAAAGGATGTCTGAATCCCCTGTGGAGACCTTAGAGGAAGCCCTATTTCCTTGCCTCATTTTGACGGAATACCTCACATCCCCCTGACACCTCGAGAGGAACGCAGAGTTCATTGCTTCAAAAGGTGACGATGCCTGACTCCTCTTGAATACTGATAGGAATCCCAAAATCCCTGTTGCTACTGGAAAGCGTCCTTGGGTGCCCTGGCTCACCTCGAGAAGCGTCCCTTTTGCCCTGCCAAGCCTCGAAGAGATTGCTGAGGTGTCCCTCGTTACTAGACAGGAGTCCTGACGTCACTGAAGAAACTCGTGTTTTGAAGGGCCATCCGCGCCGTAAGTCGAGAACATACCCCAGGTCCCCGCCGCAACTCGAGAAAAACCATGAGACTTCCCCCTAGAGGCGAGATGAGGCCCCATTCCCCTGCAGTGCATGCAGAGCTATTCCGTGATCCCATTCAAACAAGTCAGGAGCTTCGACTTGCTTAATGGATCTCGAGACAGTCCCCAAGAACACTGTCACCAGTCTAGACGGACCCTGAGGTCACCCCAGCAACGCAAAGCAGCTCCATGTGCCCCAAATCAACTCGAGATGAGGCCCGATTCCCCTGCATTGACTCCAGAGCCATTCCCCGTTCCCCGTTCAACACGAACGGAGGCTCGCCTTCCTTCAGGCAACTCCACAGATGCCCCGAGAACACTGTCCCAAGTCTAGAGGAACACCAACTTCAGCACAGCAACTCGAGGAGTGCTCCGAGTACCCCAAATCATCTCGAGATGAGAGCTGATTCCCTGGCTTAGGCTCAAGACATATGCCAACTTTCCAAAGCACCTCAGGAGGAGGCTTCTCTCAGCAATAGTTATGTGGGAGGGACCCCGGGTTTGCTGCCTCAAGGGGAATATACAGCGAGAAGCCCTAACTTGAAAGGAGGCCGGATTTCCTTGCAGTGGCTTGAATACAGGCTCGTCTTTGATCTGACAACATGAAGGTATGTCTGAATCCCCTGTGGAGACCTTAGAGAAAGCCCTAGGTCCCTGCCTCATTTTGACGGAATGCCTCACATCCCGCTGACACCTCGAGAGGCACGCGGAGTTCATTGCTTCAAAAGGTGACGATGCCTGACTCCTCTTGAATACTGATAGGAATCCCAAAATCCCTGTGGCTACTGGAAAGGGTCCTTGGGTGTCCTGCCTCACCTCGAGAAGCGTCCCTTTTGCCCTGCCAAGCCTCGAAGAGATTCCTGAGGTGTCCCTCGTTACTAGGCAGGAGTCCTGACGTCACTGGAGAAACTCGTGTTTTGAAGGGCCATCCCCTCCGTAAGTCGAGAACATACCCCAGGTCCCCGCTGCAACTCGAGAAAAACCGTGAGACTTCCCCCTAGAGGCGAGATGAGGCCCCATTCCCCTGCAGTGCATGCAGAGCTATTCCGTGATCCCATTCAAACAAGTCAGGAGCTTCGACTTGCTTAATGGATCTTGAGACAGTCCCCAAGAACACTGTCACCAGTCTAGACGGAGCCTGAGGTCACCCCAGCAACGCAAAGCTGCTCCATGTGCCCCAAATCAACTCGAGATGAGGCCCGATTCCCCTGCATTGACTCCAGAGCCATTCCCCGTTCCCCGTTCAACACGAACGGAGGCTCGCCTTCCTTGAGGCAACTCCACAGATGCCCCGAGAACACTGTCCCAAGTCTAGAGGAACACGAACTTCAGCACAGCAACTCGAGGAGTGCTCCGAGTACCCCAAATCATCTCGAGATGAGAGCTGATTCCCTGGCTTAGGCTCAAGACATATGCCAACTTTCCAAAGCACCTCAGGAGGAGGCTTTTCTCAGCAATAGTTATGTGGGAGGGACCCCGGGTTTGCTGCCTCAAGGGGAATATACAGCGAGAAGCCCTAACTTGAAAGGAGGCCGGATTTCCTTGCAGTGGCTTGAATACAGGCTCGTCTTTGATCTGACAACATGAAGGTATGTCTGAATCCCCTGTGGAGACCTTAGAGGAAGCCCTATTTCCCTGCCTCATTTTGACGGAATACCTCACATCCCCCTGAAACCTCGAGAGGCACGCAGAGTTCATTGCTTCAAAAGGTGACGATGCCTGACTCCTCTTGAATACTTATAGGAATCCCCAAATCCCTGTTGCTACTGGAAAGGGTCCTTGGGTGCCCTGGCTCACCTCGAGAAGCGTCCCCTTTGCCCTGCCAAGCCTCGAAGAGATTCCTGAGTGTCCCTCGTTACTAGACAGGAGTACTGACGTCACTGAAGAAACTCGTGTTTTGAAGGGCCATCCCCGCCGTAAGTCGAGAACATACCCCAGGGCCCCGCCGCAACTCGAGAAAAACCATGAGACTTCCCCCTATAGGCGAGATGAGGCCCCATTCCCCTGCAGTGCATGCAGAGCTATTCCGTGATCCCATTCAAACAAGTCAGGAGCTTCGACTTGCTTAATGGATCTCGAGACAGTCCCCAAGAACACTGTCACCAGTCTAGACGGACCCTGAGGTCACCCCAGCAACGCAAAGCAGCTCCATGTGCCCCAAATCAACTCGAGATGAGGCCCGATTCCCCTGCATTGACTCCAGAGCCATTCCCCGTTCCCCGTTCAACACGAACGGAGGCTCGCCTTCCTTCAGGCAACTCCAGAGATGCCCCGAGAACACTGTCCCAAGTCTAGAGGAACACCAACTTCAGCACAGCAACTCGAGAAATGCTCTGTGTACCCCAAATCGTCTCGAGATGAGAGCTGATTCCCTGGCTTAGGCTCAAGACGTATGCCAAGTTTCCAGAAGCACCTCAGGAGGAGGCTTCTCAGCAATAGGTATGTGGGAGGGACTCCGAGTTTGCTGCCTCAAGGGGAATATACATCGAGAAGCCCTAACTTGAAAGGAGGCCGGATTTCCTTGCAGTAGCTTGAATACAGGCTTGTCTTTCATCTCACAACATGAAGGGATGTCTGAATCCCCTGTGGAGACCTTAGAGAAAGCCCTAGGTCCCTGCCTCATTTTGACGGAATGCCTCACATCCCGCTGACACCTCGAGAGGCACGCAGAGTTCATTGCTTCAAAAGGTGACGATGCCTGACTCCTCTTGAATACTGATAGGAATCCCAAAATCACCTGTGGCTACAGGAAAGGGTCCTTGGGTGCCCTGCCTCACCTCGAGAAGCGTCCCTTTTGCCCTGCCAAGCCTCGAAGAGATTCCTGAGGTGTCCCTCGTTACTAGGCAGGAGTCCTGACGTGACTGGAGAAACTCGTGTTTTGAAGGGCCATCCCCGCCGTAAGTCGAGAACATACCCCAGGTCCCCGCCGCAACTCGAGAAAAATCGTGAGACTTCCCCCTGGAGGCGAGATGAAGCCCCATTCCCCTGCAGTGCATGCAGAGCTATTCCGTGATCCCATTCAAACAAGTCAGGAGCTTCGACTTGCTTAATGGATCTCGAGACAGTCCCCAAGAACACTGTCACCAGTCTAGACGGACCCTGAGGTCACCCCAGCAACGCAAAGCTGCTCCATGTGCCCCAAATCAACTCGAGATGAGGCCCGATTCCCCTGCATTGACTCCAGAGCCATTCCCCGTTCCCCATTCAAGATGACCGGTGGCTCGACTTCCTTCAGGCAACTCCAGAGATTCCCCGAGAACACTGTCCGAAGGCTAGAGGAACACCAACTTCAGCACAGCAACTCGAGGAATGATCCGTGTACCCCAAATCATCTCGAGATGAGAGCTGATTCCCTGGCTTAGGCTCAAGACGTATGCCAACTTTCCAGAAACATCTCAGGAGGAGGCTTCTCTCAGCAATAGGTATGTGGGAGGGACCCTGTGTTTGCTGCCTCAAGGGGAATACACAGGGAGAAGCCCTAATGTGAACGGAGGACAGATTTCCTTGCAGAGGGTTGAATACAGGCTCGTCTTTGATCTGACAACATGAAGGGTTGTCTGAATCCCCTGTGGAGACCTTAGAGGAAGCCCTAGGTCCCTGCCTCATTTTGACGGAATACCTCACATCCCCCTGACACCTCGAGAGGCACGCAGAGTTCATTGCTTCAAAAGGTGACGATGCCTGACTCCTCTTGAATACTTATAGGAATCCCAAAATCCCTGTGGCTACTGGAAAGGGTCCTTGGGTGCCCTGGCTCACCTCGAGAAGCGTCCCTTTTGCCCTGCCAAGCCTCGAAGAGATTGCTGAGGTGTCCCTCGTTACTAGACAGGAGTCCTGACGTCACTGAAGAAACTCGTGTTTTGAAGGGCCATCCCCGCCGTAAGTCGAGAACATACCCCAGGTCCCCGCCGCAACTCGAGAAAAACCATGAGACATCCCCCTATAGGCGAGATGAGGCCCCATTCCCCTGCAGTGCATGCAGAGCTCTTCCGTGATCCCATTCAAACAAGTCAGGAGCTTTGACTTGCTTAATGGATCTCGAGACAGTCCCCAAGAACACTGTCACCAGTCTAGACGGACCCTGAGGTCACCCCAGCAACGCAAAGCTGCTCCATGTGCCCCAAATCAACTCGAGATGAGCCCCGATTCCCCTGCATTGATTCCAGAGCCATTCCCCGTTCCCCATTCAACACGACCGGTGGCTCGACTTCCTTCAGGCAACTGCAGAGATGCCCCGAGAACACTTTCCCAAGTCTAGAGGAACACCAACTTCAGCCCAGCAACTCGAGGAATGCTCCGTGTACCCCAAATCATCTCGAGATGAGAGCTGATTCCCTGGCTTAGGCTCAAGACGTATGCCAACTTTCCAGAAGCACCTCAGGAGGAGGCTTCTCTCAGCAATAGGTATGTGGGAGGGACCCCGAGTTTGCTGCCTCAAGGGGAATATACAGCGAGAAGCCCTAACTTGAAAGGAGGCCGGATTTCCTTGCAGTGGCTTGAATACAGGCTCGTCTTTGATCTGACAACATGAAGGGATGTCTGAATCCCCTGTGGAGACCTTAGAGGAAGCCCTATTTCCTTGCCTCATTTTGACGGAATACCTCACATCCCCCTGACACCTCGAGAGGAACGCAGAGTTCATTGCTTCAAAAGGTGACGATGCCTGACTCCTCTTGAATACTGATAGGAATCCCAAAATCCCTGTTGCTACTGGAAAGCGTCCTTGGGTGCCCTGGCTCACCTCGAGAAGCGTCCCTTTTGCCCTGCCAAGCCTCGAAGAGATTGCTGAGGTGTCCCTCGTTACTAGACAGGAGTCCTGATGTCACTGAAGAAACTCGTGTTTTGAAGGGCCATCCCCGCCGTAAGTCGAGAACATACCCCAGGTCCCCGCCGCAACTCGAGAAAAACCATGAGACTTCCCCCTAGAGGCGAGATGAGGCCCCATTCCCCTGCAGTGCATGCAGAGCTATTCCGTGATCCCATTCAAACAAGTCAGGAGCTTCGACTTGCTTAATGGATCTCGAGACAGTCCCCAAGAACACTGTCACCAGTCTAGACGGACCCTGAGGTCACCCCAGCAACGCAAAGCAGCTCCATGTGCCCCAAATCAACTCGAGATGAGGCCCGATTCCCCTGCATTGACTCCAGAGCCATTCCCCGTTCCCCGTTCAACACGAACGGAGGCTCGCCTTCCTTCAGGCAACTCCACAGATGTCCCGAGAACACTGTCCCAAGTCTAGAGGAACACCAACTTCAGCACAGCAACTCGAGGAGTGCTCCGAGTACCCCAAATCATCTCGAGATGAGAGCTGATTCCCTGGCTTAGGCTCAAGACATATGCCAACTTTCCAAAGCACCTCAGGAGGAGGCTTCTCTCAGCAATAGTTATGTGGGAGGGACCCCGGGTTTGCTGCCTCAAGGGGAATATACAGCGAGAAGCCCTAACTTGAAAGGAGGCCGGATTTCCTTGCAGTGGCTTGAATACAGGCTCGTCTTTGATCTGACAACATGAAGGTATGTCTGAATCCCCTGTGGAGACCTTAGAGAAAGCCCTAGGTCCCTGCCTCATTTTGACGGAATGCCTCACATCCCGCTGACACCTCGAGAGGCACGCGGAGTTCATTGCTTCAAAAGGTGACGATGCCTGACTCCTCTTGAATACTGATAGGAATCCCAAAATCCCTGTGGCTACTGGAAAGGGTCCTTGGGTGTCCTGCCTCACCTCGAGAAGCGTCCCTTTTGCCCTGCCAAGCCTCGAAGAGATTCCTGAGGTGTCCCTCGTTACTAGGCAGGAGTCCTGACGTCACTGGAGAAACTCGTGTTTTGAAGGGCCATCCCCTCCGTAAGTCGAGAACATACCCCAGGTCCCCGCTGCAACTCGAGAAAAACCGTGAGACTTCCCCCTAGAGGCGAGATGAGGCCCCATTCCCCTGCAGTGCATGCAGAGCTATTCCGTGATCCCATTCAAACAAGTCAGGAGCTTCGACTTGCTTAATGGATCTCGAGACAGTCCCCAAGAACACTGTCACCAGTCTAGACGGAGCCTGAGGTCACCCCAGCAACGCAAAGCTGCTCCATGTGCCCCAAATCAACTCGAGATGAGGCCCGATTCCCCTGCATTGACTCCAGAGCCATTCCCCGTTCCCCGTTCAACACGAACGGAGGCTCGCCTTCCTTCAGGCAACTCCAGAGATGCCCCGAGAACACTGTCCCAAGTCTAGAGGAACACGAACTTCAGCACAGCAACTCCAGGAGTGCTCCGAGTACCCCAAATCATCTCGAGATGAGAGCTGATTCCCTGGCTTAGGCTCAAGACATATGCCAACTTTCCAAAGCACCTCAGGAGGAGGCTTCTCTCAGCAATAGTTATGTGGGAGGGACCCCGGGTTTGCTGCCTCAAGGGGAATATACAGCGAGAAGCACTAACTTGAAAGGAGGCCGGATTTCCTTGCAGTGGCTTGAATACAGGCTCGTCTTTGATCTGACAACATGAAGGTATGTCTGAATCCCCTGTGGAGACCTTAGAGGAAGCCCTATTTCCCTGCCTCATTTTGACGGAATACCTCACATCCCCCTGAAACCTCGAGAGGCACGCAGAGTTCATTGCTTCAAAATGTGACGATGCCTGACTCCTCTTGAATACTTATAGGAATCCCAAAATCCCTGTTGCTACTGGAAAGGGTCCTTGGGTGCCCTGGCTCACCTCGAGAAGCGTCCCCTTTGCCCTGCCAAGCCTCGAAGAGATTCCTGAGTGTCCCTCGTTACTAGACAGGAGTACTGACGTCAATGAAGAAACTCGTGTTTTGAAGGGCCATCCCCGCCGTAAGTCGAGAACATACCCCAGGGCCCCGCCGCAACTCGAGAAAAACCATGAGACTTCCCCCTATAGGCGAGATGAGGCCCCATTCCCCTGCAGTGCATGCAGAGCTATTCCGTGATCCCATTCAAACAAGTCAGGAGCTTCGACTTGCTTAATGGATCTCGAGACAGTCCCCAAGAACACTGTCACCAGTCTAGACGGACCCTGAGGTCACCCCAGCAACGCAAAGCAGCTCCATGTGCCCCAAATCAACTCGAGATGAGGCCCGATTCCCCTGCATTGACTCCAGAGCCATTCCCCGTTCCCCGTTCAACACGAACGGAGGCTCGCCTTCCTTCAGGCAACTCCAGAGATGCCCCGAGAACACTGTCCCAAGTCTAGAGGAACACCAACTTCAGCACAGCAACTCGAGAAATGCTCTGTGTACCCCAAATCGTCTCGAGATGAGAGCTGATTCCCTGGCTTAGGCTCAAGACGTATGCCAAGTTTCCAGAAGCACCTCAGGAGGAGGCTTCTCAGCAATAGGTATGTGGGAGGGACTCCGAGTTTGCTGCCTCAAGGGGAATATACATCGAGAAGCCCTAACTTGAAAGGAGGCCGGATTTCCTTGCAGTAGCTTGAATACAGGCTTGTCTTTCATCTCACAACATGAAGGGATGTCTGAATCCCCTGTGGAGACCTTAGAGAAAGCCCTAGGTCCCTGCCTCATTTTGACGGAATGCCTCACATCCCGCTGACACCTCGAGAGGCACGCAGAGTTCATTGCTTCAAAAGGTGACGATGCCTGACACCTCTTGAATACTGATAGGAATCCCAAAATCACCTGTGGCTACAGGAAAGGGTCCTTGGGTGCCCTGCCTCACCTCGAGAAGCGTCCCTTTTGCCCTGCCAAGCCTCGAAGAGATTCCTGAGGTGTCCCTCGTTACTAGGCAGGAGTCCTGACGTCACTGGAGAAACTCGTGTTTTGAAGGGCCATCCCCGCCGTAAGTCGAGAACATACCCCAGGTCCCCACCGCAACTCGAGAAAAATCGTGAGACTTCCCCCTGGAGGCAAGATGAAGCCCCATTCCCCTGCAGTGCATGCAGAGCTATTCCGTGATCCCATTCAAACAAGTCAGGAGCTTCGACTTGCTTAATGGATCTCGAGACAGTCCCCAAGAACACTGTCACCAGTCTAGACGGACCCTGAGGTCACCCCAGCAACGCAAAGCTGCTCCATGTGCCCCAAATCAACTCGAGATGAGGCCCGATTCCCCTGCATTGACTCCAGAGCCATTCCCCGTTCCCCATTCAACACGACCGGTGGCTCGACTTCCTTCAGGCAACTCCAGAGATTCCCCGAGAACACTGTCCCAAGGCTAGAGGAACACCAACTTCAGCACAGCAACTCGAGGAATGCTCCGTGTACCCCAAATCATCTCGAGATGAGAGCTGATTCCCTGGCTTAGGCTCAAGACGTATGCCAACTTTCCAGAAGCATCTCAGGAGGAGGCTTCTCTCAGCAATAGGTATGTGGGAGGGACCCCGTGTTTGCTGCCTCAAGGGGAATACACAGGGAGAAGCCCTAATGTGAACAGAGGCCAGATTTCCTTGCAGAGGGTTGAATACAGGCTCGTCTTTGATCTGACAACATTAAGGGATGTCTGAATACCCTGTGGAGACCGTAGAGGAAGCCCTAGGTCCCTGCCTCATTTTGACGGAATACCTCACATCCCCCTGACACCTCGAGAGGCACGCAGAGTTTATTGCTTCAAAAGGTGACGATGCCTGACTCCTCTTGAATACTTATAGGAATCCCAAAATCCCTGTGGCTACTGGAAAGGGTCCTTGGGTGCCCTGGCTCACCTCGAGAAGCATCCCCTTTGCCCTGCCAAGCCTCGAAGATATTGCTGAGGTGTCCCTCGTTACTAGACAGGAGTCCTGACGTCACTGAAGAAACTCGTGTTTTGAAGGGCCATCCCCGCCGTAAGTCGAGAACATACCCCAGGTCCCCGCCGCAACTCGAGAAAAACCATGAGACTTCCCCCTAGAGGCGAGATGAGGCCCCATTCCCCTGCAGTGCATGCAGAGCTATTCCGTGATCCCATTCAAACAAGTCAGGAGCTTCGACTTGCTTAATGGATCTCGAGACAGTCCCCAAGAACACTGTCACCAGTCTAGACGGACCCTGAGGTCACCCCAGCAACGCAAAGCAGCTCCATGTGCCCCAAATCAACTCGAGATGAGGCCCGATTCCCCTGCATTGACTCCAGAGCCATTCCCCGTTCCCCGTTCAACACGAACGGAGGCTCGCCTTCCTTCAGGCAACTCCAGAGATGCCCCGAGAACACTGTCCCAAGTCTAGAGGAACACCAACTTCAGCACAGCAACTCGAGAAATGCTCTGTGTACCCCAAATCGTCTCGAGATGAGAGCTGATTCCCTGGCTTAGGCTCAAGACGTATGCCAAGTTTCCAGAAGCACCTCAGGAGGAGGCTTCTCAGCAATAGGTATGTGGGAGGGACTCCGAGTTTGCTGCCTCAAGGGGAATATACATCGAGAAGCCCTAACTTGAAAGGAGGCCGGATTTCCTTGCAGTAGCTTGAATACAGGCTTGTCTTTCATCTCACAACATGAAGGGATGTCTGAATCCCCTGTGGAGACCTTAGAGAAAGCCCTAGGTCCCTGCCTCATTTTGACGGAATGCCTCACATCCCGCTGACACCTCGAGAGGCACGCAGAGTTCATTGCTTCAAAAGGTGACGATGCCTGACTCCTCTTGAATACTGATAGGAATCCCAAAATCACCTGTGGCTACAGGAAAGGGTCCTTGGGTGCCCTGCCTCACCTCGAGAAGCGTCCCTTTTGCCCTGCCAAGCCTCGAAGAGATTCCTGAGGTGTCCCTCGTTACTAGGCAGGAGTCCTGACGTGACTGGAGAAACTCGTGTTTTGAAGGGCCATCCCCGCCGTAAGTCGAGAACATACCCCAGGTCCCCGCCGCAACTCGAGAAAAATCGTGAGACTTCCCCCTGGAGGCGAGATGAAGCCCCATTCCCCTGCAGTGCATGCAGAGCTATTCCGTGATCCCATTCAAACAAGTCAGGAGCTTCGACTTGCTTAATGGATCTCGAGACAGTCCCCAAGAACACTGTCACCAGTCTAGACGGACCCTGAGGTCACCCCAGCAACGCAAAGCTGCTCCATGTGCCCCAAATCAACTCGAGATGAGGCCCGATTCCCCTGCATTGACTCCAGAGCCATTCCCCGTTCCCCATTCAAGATGACCGGTGGCTCGACTTCCTTCAGGCAACTCCAGAGATTCCCCGAGAACACTGTCCGAAGGCTAGAGGAACACCAACTTCAGCACAGCAACTCGAGGAATGATCCGTGTACCCCAAATCATCTCGAGATGAGAGCTGATTCCCTGGCTTAGGCTCAAGACGTATGCCAACTTTCCAGAAACATCTCAGGAGGAGGCTTCTCTCAGCAATAGGTATGTGGGAGGGACCCTGTGTTTGCTGCCTCAAGGGGAATACACAGGGAGAAGCCCTAATGTGACGGAGGACAGATTTCCTTGCAGAGGGTTGAATACAGGCTCGTCTTTGATCTGACAACATGAAGGGTTGTCTGAATCCCCTGTGGAGACCTTAGAGGAAGCCCTAGGTCCCTGCCTCATTTTGACGGAATACCTCACATCCCCCTGACACCTCGAGAGGCACGCAGAGTTCATTGCTTCAAAAGGTGACGATGCCTGACTCCTCTTGAATACTTATAGGAATCCCAAAATCCCTGTGGCTACTGGAAAGGGTCCTTGGGTGCCCTGGCTCACCTCGAGAAGCGTCCCTTTTGCCCTGCCAAGCCTCGAAGAGATTGCTGAGGTGTCCCTCGTTACTAGACAGGAGTCCTGACGTCACTGAAGAAACTCGTGTTTTGAAGGGCCATCCCCGCCGTAAGTCGAGAACATACCCCAGGTCCCCGCCGCAACTCGAGAAAAACCATGAGACATCCCCCTATAGGCGAGATGAGGCCCCATTCCCCTGCAGTGCATGCAGAGCTCTTCCGTGATCCCATTCAAACAAGTCAGGAGCTTTGACTTGCTTAATGGATCTCGAGACAGTCCCCAAGAACACTGTCACCAGTCTAGACGGACCCTGAGGTCACCCCAGCAACGCAAAGCAGCTCCATGTGCCCCAAATCAACTCGAGATGAGCCCCGATTCCCCTGCATTGATTCCAGAGCCATTCCCCGTTCCCCATTCAACACGACCGGTGGCTCGACTTCCTTCAGGCAACTGCAGAGATGCCCCGAGAACACTTTCCCAAGTCTAGAGGAACACCAACTTCAGCCCAGCAACTCGAGGAATGCTCCGTGTACCCCAAATCATCTCGAGATGAGAGCTGATTCCCTGGCTTAGGCTCAAGACGTATGCCAACTTTCCAGAAGCACCTCAGGAGGAGGCTTCTCTCAGCAATAGGTATGTGGGAGGGACCCCGAGTTTGCTGCCTCAAGGGGAATATACAGCGAGAAGCCCTAACTTGAAAGGAGGCCGGATTTCCTTGCAGTGGCTTGAATACAGGCTCGTCTTTGATCTGACAACATGAAGGGATGTCTGAATCCCCTGTGGAGACCTTAGAGGAAGCCCTATTTCCTTGCCTCATTTTGACGGAATACCTCACATCCCCCTGACACCTCGAGAGGAACGCAGAGTTCATTGCTTCAAAAGGTGACGATGCCTGACTCCTCTTGAATACTGATAGGAATCCCAAAATCCCTGTTGCTACTGGAAAGCGTCCTTGGGTGCCCTGGCTCACCTCGAGAAGCGTCCCTTTTGCCCTGCCAAGCCTCGAAGAGATTGCTGAGGTGTCCCTCGTTACTAGACAGGAGTCCTGATGTCACTGAAGAAACTCGTGTTTTGAAGGGCCATCCCCGCCGTAAGTCGAGAACATACCCCAGGTCCCCGCCGCAACTCGAGAAAAACCATGAGACTTCCCCCTAGAGGCGAGATGAGGCCCCATTCCCCTGCAGTGCATGCAGAGCTATTCCGTGATCCCATTCAAACAAGTCAGGAGCTTCGACTTGCTTAATGGATCTCGAGACAGTCCCCAAGAACACTGTCACCAGTCTAGACGGACCCTGAGGTCACCCCAGCAACGCAAAGCAGCTCCATGTGCCCCAAATCAACTCGAGATGAGGCCCGATTCCCCTGCATTGACTCCAGAGCCATTCCCCGTTCCCCGTTCAACACGAACGGAGGCTCGCCTTCCTTCAGGCAACTCCACAGATGTCCCGAGAACACTGTCCCAAGTCTAGAGGAACACCAACTTCAGCACAGCAACTCGAGGAGTGCTCCGAGTACCCCAAATCATCTCGAGATGAGAGCTGATTCCCTGGCTTAGGCTCAAGACATATGCCAACTTTCCAAAGCACCTCAGGAGGAGGCTTCTCTCAGCAATAGTTATGTGGGAGGGACCCCGGGTTTGCTGCCTCAAGGGGAATATACAGCGAGAAGCCCTAACTTGAAAGGAGGCCGGATTTCCTTGCAGTGGCTTGAATACAGGCTCGTCTTTGATCTGACAACATGAAGGTATGTCTGAATCCCCTGTGGAGACCTTAGAGAAAGCCCTAGGTCCCTGCCTCATTTTGACGGAATGCCTCACATCCCGCTGACACCTCGAGAGGCACGCGGAGTTCATTGCTTCAAAAGGTGACGATGCCTGACTCCTCTTGAATACTGATAGGAATCCCAAAATCCCTGTGGCTACTGGAAAGGGTCCTTGGGTGTCCTGCCTCACCTCGAGAAGCGTCCCTTTTGCCCTGCCAAGCCTCGAAGAGATTCCTGAGGTGTCCCTCGTTACTAGGCAGGAGTCCTGACGTCACTGGAGAAACTCGTGTTTTGAAGGGCCATCCCCTCCGTAAGTCGAGAACATACCCCAGGTCCCCGCTGCAACTCGAGAAAAACCGTGAGACTTCCCCCTAGAGGCGAGATGAGGCCCCATTCCCCTGCAGTGCATGCAGAGCTATTCCGTGATCCCATTCAAACAAGTCAGGAGCTTCGACTTGCTTAATGGATCTCGAGACAGTCCCCAAGAACACTGTCACCAGTCTAGACGGAGCCTGAGGTCACCCCAGCAACGCAAAGCTGCTCCATGTGCCCCAAATCAACTCGAGATGAGGCCCGATTCCCCTGCATTGACTCCAGAGCCATTCCCCGTTCCCCGTTCAACACGAACGGAGCCTCGCCTTCCTTCAGGCAACTCCAGAGATGCCCCGAGAACACTGTCCCAAGTCTAGAGGAACACGAACTTCAGCACAGCAACTCCAGGAGTGCTCCGAGTACCCCAAATCATCTCGAGATGAGAGCTGATTCCCTGGCTTAGGCTCAAGACATATGCCAACTTTCCAAAGCACCTCAGGAGGAGGCTTCTCTCAGCAATAGTTATGTGGGAGGGACCCCGGGTTTGCTGCCTCAAGGGGAATATACAGCGAGAAGCACTAACTTGAAAGGAGGCCGGATTTCCTTGCAGTGGCTTGAATACAGGCTCGTCTTTGATCTGACAACATGAAGGTATGTCTGAATCCCCTGTGGAGACCTTAGAGGAAGCCCTATTTCCCTGCCTCATTTTGACGGAATACCTCACATCCCCCTGAAACCTCGAGAGGCACGCAGAGTTCATTGCTTCAAAATGTGACGATGCCTGACTCCTCTTGAATACTTATAGGAATCCCAAAATCCCTGTTGCTACTGGAAAGGGTCCTTGGGTGCCCTGGCTCACCTCGAGAAGCGTCCCCTTTGCCCTGCCAAGCCTCGAAGAGATTCCTGAGTGTCCCTCGTTACTAGACAGGAGTACTGACGTCAATGAAGAAACTCGTGTTTTGAAGGGCCATCCCCGCCGTAAGTCGAGAACATACCCCAGGGCCCCGCCGCAACTCGAGAAAAACCATGAGACTTCCCCCTATAGGCGAGATGAGGCCCCATTCCCCTGCAGTGCATGCAGAGCTATTCCGTGATCCCATTCAAACAAGTCAGGAGCTTCGACTTGCTTAATGGATCTCGAGACAGTCCCCAAGAACACTGTCACCAGTCTAGACGGACCCTGAGGTCACCCCAGCAACGCAAAGCAGCTCCATGTGCCCCAAATCAACTCGAGATGAGGCCCGATTCCCCTGCATTGACTCCAGAGCCATTCCCCGTTCCCCGTTCAACACGAACGGAGGCTCGCCTTCCTTCAGGCAACTCCAGAGATGCCCCGAGAACACTGTCCCAAGTCTAGAGGAACACCAACTTCAGCACAGCAACTCGAGAAATGCTCTGTGTACCCCAAATCGTCTCGAGATGAGAGCTGATTCCCTGGCTTAGGCTCAAGACGTATGCCAAGTTTCCAGAAGCACCTCAGGAGGAGGCTTCTCAGCAATAGGTATGTGGGAGGGACTCCGAGTTTGCTGCCTCAAGGGGAATATACATCGAGAAGCCCTAACTTGAAAGGAGGCCGGATTTCCTTGCAGTAGCTTGAATACAGGCTTGTCTTTCATCTCACAACATGAAGGGATGTCTGAATCCCCTGTGGAGACCTTAGAGAAAGCCCTAGGTCCCTGCCTCATTTTGACGGAATGCCTCACATCCCGCTGACACCTCGAGAGGCACGCAGAGTTCATTGCTTCAAAAGGTGACGATGCCTGACACCTCTTGAATACTGATAGGAATCCCAAAATCACCTGTGGCTACAGGAAAGGGTCCTTGGGTGACCTGCCTCACCTCGAGAAGCGTCCCTTTTGCCCTGCCAAGCCTCGAAGAGATTCCTGAGGTGTCCCTCGTTACTAGGCAGGAGTCCTGACGTCACTGGAGAAACTCGTGTTTTGAAGGGCCATCCCCGCCGTAAGTCGAGAACATACCCCAGGTCCCCACCGCAACTCGAGAAAAATCGTGAGACTTCCCCCTGGAGGCAAGATGAAGCCCCATTCCCCTGCAGTGCATGCAGAGCTATTCCGTGATCCCATTCAAACAAGTCAGGAGCTTCGACTTGCTTAATGGATCTCGAGACAGTCCCCAGGAACACTGTCACCAGTCTAGACGGACCCTGAGGTCACCCCAGCAACGCAAAGCTGCTCCATGTGCCCCAAATCAACTCGAGATGAGGCCCGATTCCCCTGCATTGACTCCAGAGCCATTCCCCGTTCCCCATTCAACACGACCGGTGGCTCGACTTCCTTCAGGCAACTCCAGAGATTCCCCGAGAACACTGTCCCAAGGCTAGAGGAACACCAACTTCAGCACAGCAACTCGAGGAATGCTCCGTGTACCCCAAATCATCTCGAGATGAGAGCTGATTCCCTGGCTTAGGCTCAAGACGTATGCCAACTTTCCAGAAGCATCTCAGGAGGAGGCTTCTCTCAGCAATAGGTATGTGGGAGGGACCCCGTGTTTGCTGCCTCAAGGGGAATACACAGGGAGAAGCCCTAATGTGAACAGAGGCCAGATTTCCTTGCAGAGGGTTGAATACAGGCTCGTCTTTGATCTGACAACATTAAGGGATGTCTGAATACCCTGTGGAGACCGTAGAGGAAGCCCTAGGTCCCTGCCTCATTTTGACGGAATACCTCACATCCCCCTGACACCTCGAGAGGCACGCAGAGTTTATTGCTTCAAAAGGTGACGATGCCTGACTCCTCTTGAATACTTATAGGAATCCCAAAATCCCTGTGGCTACTGGAAAGGGTCCTTGGGTGCCCTGGCTCACCTCGAGAAGCATCCCCTTTGCCCTGCCAAGCCTCGAAGATATTGCTGAGGTGTCCCTCGTTACTAGACAGGAGTCCTGACGTCACTGAAGAAACTCGTGTTTTGAAGGGCCATCCCCGCCGTAAGTCGAGAACATACCCCAGGTCCCCGCCGCAACTCGAGAAAAACCATGAGACTTCCCCCTAGAGGCGAGATGAGGCCCCATTCCCCTGCAGTGCATGCAGAGCTATTCCGTGATCCCATTCAAACAAGTCAGGAGCTTCGACTTGCTTAATGGATCTCGAGACAGTCCCCAAGAACACTGTCACCAGTCTAGACGGACCCTGAGGTCACCCCAGCAACGCAAAGCTGCTCCATGTGCCCCAAATCAACTCGAGATGAGCCCCGATTCCCCTGCATTGATTCCAGAGCCATTCCCCGTTCCCCATTCAACACGACCGGTGGCTCGACTTCCTTCAGGCAACTGCAGAGATGCCCCGAGAACACTTTCCCAAGTCTAGAGGAACACCAACTTCAGCCCAGCAACTCGAGGAATGCTCCGTGTACCCCAAATCATCTCGAGATGAGAGCTGATTCCCTGGCTTAGGCTCAAGACGTATGCCAACTTTCCAGAAGCACCTCAGGAGGAGGCTTCTCTCAGCAATAGGTATGTGGGAGGGACCCCGAGTTTGCTGCCTCAAGGGGAATATACAGCGAGAAGCCCTAACTTGAAAGGAGGCCGGATTTCCTTGCAGTGGCTTGAATACAGGCTCGTCTTTGATCTGACAACATGAAAGGATGTCTGAATCCCCTGTGGAGACCTTAGAGGAAGCCCTATTTCCTTGCCTCATTTTCACGGAATACCTCACATCCCCCTGACACCTCGAGAGGAACGCAGAGTTCATTGCTTCAAAAGGTGACGATGCCTGACTCCTCTTGAATACTGATAGGAATCCCAAAATCCCTGTTGCTACTGGAAAGCGTCCTTGGGTGCCCTGGCTCACCTCGAGAAGCGTCCCTTTTGCCCTGCCAAGCCTCGAAGAGATTGCTGAGGTGTCCCTCGTTACTAGACAGGAGTCCTGACGTCACTGAAGAAACTCGTGTTTTGAAGGGCCATCCCCGCCGTAAGTCGAGAACATACCCCAGGTCCCCGCCGCAACTCGAGAAAAACCATGAGACTTCCCCCTAGAGGCGAGATGAGGCCCCATTCCCCTGCAGTGCATGCAGAGCTATTCCGTGATCCCATTCAAACAAGTCAGGAGCTTCGACTTGCTTAATGGATCTCGAGACAGTCCCCAAGAACACTGTCACCAGTCTAGACGGACCCTGAGGTCACCCCAGCAACGCAAAGCAGCTCCATGTGCCCCAAATCAACTCGAGATGAGGCCCGATTCCCCTGCATTGACTCCAGAGCCATTCCCCGTTCCCCGTTCAACACGAACGGAGGCTCGCCTTCCTTCAGGCAACTCCACAGATGCCCCGAGAACACTGTCCCAAGTCTAGAGGAACACCAACTTCAGCACAGCAACTCGAGGAGTGCTCCGAGTACCCCAAATCATCTCGAGATGAGAGCTGATTCCCTGGCTTAGGCTCAAGACATATGCCAACTTTCCAAAGCACCTCAGGAGGAGGCTTCTCTCAGCAATAGTTATGTGGGAGGGACCCCGGGTTTGCTGCCTCAAGGGGAATATACAGCGAGAAGCCCTAACTTGAAAGGAGGCCGGATTTCCTTGCAGTGGCTTGAATACAGGCTCGTCTTTGATCTGACAACATGAAGGTATGTCTGAATCCCCTGTGGAGACCTTAGAGAAAGCCCTAGGTCCCTGCCTCATTTTGACGGAATGCCTCACATCCCGCTGACACCTCGAGAGGCACGCGGAGTTCATTGCTTCAAAAGGTGACGATGCCTGACTCCTCTTGAATACTGATAGGAATCCCAAAATCCCTGTGGCTACTGGAAAGGGTCCTTGGGTGTCCTGCCTCACCTCGAGAAGCGTCCCTTTTGCCCTGCCAAGCCTCGAAGAGATTCCTGAGGTGTCCCTCGTTACTAGGCAGGAGTCCTGACGTCACTGGAGAAACTCGAGTTTTGAAGGGCCATCCCCTCCGTAAGTCGAGAACATACCCCAGGTCCCCGCTGCAACTCGAGAAAAACCGTGAGACTTCCCCCTAGAGGCGAGATGAGGCCCCATTCCCCTGCAGTGCATGCAGAGCTATTCCGTGATCCCATTCAAACAAGTCAGGAGCTTCGACTTGCTTAATGGATCTTGAGACAGTCCCCAAGAACACTGTCACCAGTCTAGACGGAGCCTGAGGTCACCCCAGCAACGCAAAGCTGCTCCATGTGCCCCAAATCAACTCGAGATGAGGCCCGATTCCCCTGCATTGACTCCAGAGCCATTCCCCGTTCCCCGTTCAACACGAACGGAGGCTCGCCTTCCTTCAGGCAACTCCACAGATGCCCCGAGAACACTGTCCCAAGTCTAGAGGAACACGAACTTCAGCACAGCAACTCGAGGAGTGCTCCGAGTACCCCAAATCATCTCGAGATGAGAGCTGATTCCCTGGCTTAGGCTCAAGACATATGCCAACTTTCCAAAGCACCTCAGGAGGAGGCTTTTCTCAGCAATAGTTATGTGGGAGGGACCCCGGGTTTGCTGCCTCAAGGGGAATATACAGCGAGAAGCCCTAACTTGAAAGGAGGCCGGATTTCCTTGCAGTGGCTTGAATACAGGCTCGTCTTTGATCTGACAACATGAAGGTATGTCTGAATCCCCTGTGGAGACCTTAGAGGAAGCCCTATTTCCCTGCCTCATTTTGACGGAATACCTCACATCCCCCTGAAACCTCGAGAGGCACGCAGAGTTCATTGCTTCAAAAGGTGACGATGCCTGACTCCTCTTGAATACTTATAGGAATCCCCAAATCCCTGTTGCTACTGGAAAGGGTCCTTGGGTGCCCTGGCTCACCTCGAGAAGCGTCCCCTTTGCCCTGCCAAGCCTCGAAGAGATTCCTGAGTGTCCCTCGTTACTAGACAGGAGTACTGACGTCACTGAAGAAACTCGTGTTTTGAAGGGCCATCCCCGCCGTAAGTCGAGAACATACCCCAGGGCCCCGCCGCAACTCGAGAAAAACCATGAGACTTCCCCCTATAGGCGAGATGAGGCCCCATTCCCCTGCAGTGCATGCAGAGCTATTCCGTGATCCCATTCAAACAAGTCAGGAGCTTCGACTTGCTTAATGGATCTCGAGACAGTCCCCAAGAACACTGTCACCAGTCTAGACGGACCCTGAGGTCACCCCAGCAACGCAAAGCAGCTCCATGTGCCCCAAATCAACTCGAGATGAGGCCCGATTCCCCTGCATTGACTCCAGAGCCATTCCCCGTTCCCCGTTCAACACGAACGGAGGCTCGCCTTCCTTCAGGCAACTCCAGAGATGCCCCGAGAACACTGTCCCAAGTCTAGAGGAACACCAACTTCAGCACAGCAACTCGAGAAATGCTCTGTGTACCCCAAATCGTCTCGAGATGAGAGCTGATTCCCTGGCTTAGGCTCAAGACGTATGCCAAGTTTCCAGAAGCACCTCAGGAGGAGGCTTCTCAGCAATAGGTATGTGGGAGGGACTCCGAGTTTGCTGCCTCAAGGGGAATATACATCGAGAAGCCCTAACTTGAAAGGAGGCCGGATTTCCTTGCAGTAGCTTGAATACAGGCTTGTCTTTCATCTCACAACATGAAGGGATGTCTGAATCCCCTGTGGAGACCTTAGAGAAAGCCCTAGGTCCCTGCCTCATTTTGACGGAATGCCTCACATCCCGCTGACACCTCGAGAGGCACGCAGAGTTCATTGCTTCAAAAGGTGACGATGCCTGACTCCTCTTGAATACTGATAGGAATCCCAAAATCACCTGTGGCTACAGGAAAGGGTCCTTGGGTGCCCTGCCTCACCTCGAGAAGCGTCCCTTTTGCCCTGCCAAGCCTCGAAGAGATTCCTGAGGTGTCCCTCGTTACTAGGCAGGAGTCCTGACGTGACTGGAGAAACTCGAGTTTTGAAGGGCCATCCCCGCCGTAAGTCTAGAACATACCCCAGGTCCCCGCCGCAACTCGAGAAAAATCGTGAGACTTCCCCCTGGAGGCGAGATGAAGCCCCATTCCCCTGCAGTGCATGCAGAGCTATTCCGTGATCCCATTCAAACAAGTCAGGAGCTTCGACTTGCTTAATGGATCTCGAGACAGTCCCCAAGAACACTGTCACCAGTCTAGACGGACCCTGAGGTCACCCCAGCAACGCAAAGCTGCTCCATGTGCCCCAAATCAACTCGAGATGAGGCCCGATTCCCCTGCATTGACTCCAGAGCCATTCCCCGTTCCCCATTCAAGATGACCGGTGGCTCGACTTCCTTCAGGCAACTCCAGAGATTCCCCGAGAACACTGTCCGAAGGCTAGAGGAACACCAACTTCAGCACAGCAACTCGAGGAATGATCCGTGTACCCCAAATCATCTCGAGATGAGAGCTGATTCCCTGGCTTAGGCTCAAGATGTATGCCAACTTTCCAGAAACATCTCAGGAGGAGGCTTCTCTCAGCAATAGGTATGTGGGAGGGACCCTGTGTTTGCTGCCTCAAGGGGAATACACAGGGAGAAGCCCTAATGTGAACGGAGGACAGATTTCCTTGCAGAGGGTTGAATACAGGCTCGTCTTTGATCTGACAACATGAAGGGTTGTCTGAATCCCCTGTGGAGACCTTAGAGGAAGCCCTAGGTCCCTGCCTCATTTTGACGGAATACCTCACATCCCCCTGACACCTCGAGAGGCACGCAGAGTTCATTGCTTCAAAAGGTGACGATGCCTGACTCCTCTTGAATACTTATAGGAATCCCAAAATCCCTGTGGCTACTGGAAAGGGTCCTTGGGTGCCCTGGCTCACCTCGAGAAGCGTCCCTTTTGCCCTGCCAAGCCTCGAAGAGATTGCTGAGGTGTCCCTCGTTACTAGACAGGAGTCCTGACGTCACTGAAGAAACTCGTGTTTTGAAGGGCCATCCCCGCCGTAAGTCGAGAACATACCCCAGGTCCCCGCCGCAACTCGAGAAAAACCATGAGACATCCCCCTATAGGCGAGATGAGGCCCCATTCCCCTGCAGTGCATGCAGAGCTCTTCCGTGATCCCATTCAAACAAGTCAGGAGCTTTGACTTGCTTAATGGATCTCGAGACAGTCCCCAAGAACACTGTCACCAGTCTCGACGGACCCTGAGGTCACCTCAGCAACGCAAAGCAGCTCCATGTGCCCCAAATCAACTCGAGATGAGGCCCGATTCCCCTGCATTGACTCCAGAGCCATTCCCCGTTCCCCGTTCAACACGAACGGAGGCTCGCCTTCCTTCACGCAACTCCAGAGATGCCCCGAGAACACTGTCCCAAGTCTAGAGGAACACCAACTTCAGCACAGCAACTCGAGGTATGATCCGTGTACCCCAAATCGTCTCGAGATGAGAGCTGATTCCCTGGCTTAGGCTCAAGACGTATGCCAAATTTCCAGAAGCACCTCAGGAGGAGGCTTCTCAGCAATAGGTATGTGGGAGGGACTCCAAGTTTGCTGCCTCAAGGGGAATATACATCGAGAAGCCCTAACTTGAAAGGAGGCCGGATTTCCTTGCAGTAGCTTGAATACAGGCTTGTCTTTCATCTCACAACATGAAGGGATTTCTGAATCCCCTGTGGAGACCTTAGAGAAAGCCCTAGGTCCCTGCCTCATTTTGACGGAATGCCTCACATCCCGCTGACACCTCGAGAGGCACGCGGACTTCATTACTTCAAAAGGTGACGATGCCTGACTCCTCTTGAATACTGATAGGAATCCCAAAATCCCTGTGGCTACTGGAAAGGGTCCTTGGGTGCCCTGCCTCACCTCGAGAAGCGTCCCTTTTGCCCTGCCAAGCCTCGAAGAGATTCCTGAAGTGTCCCTCGTTACTAGGCAGGAGTCCTGACGTCACTGAAGAAACTCGTGTTTTGAAGGGCCATCCCCGCCGTAAGTCGAGAACATACCCCAGGTCCCCGCCGCAACTCGAGAAAAACCATGAGACTTCCCCCTAGAGGCGAGATGAGGCCCCATTCCCCTGCAGTGCATGCAGAGCTATTCCGTGATCCCATTCAAACAAGTCAGGAGCTTCGACTTGCTTAACGGATCTCGAGACAGTCCCCAAGAACACTGTCACCAGTCTAGACGGACCCTGAGGTCACCCCAGCAACGCAAAGCAGCTCCATGTGCCCCAAATCAACTCGAGATGAGGCCCGATTCCCCTGCATTGACTCCAGAGCCATTCCCCGTTCCCCGTTCAACACGAACGGATGCTCGCCTTCCTTCAGGCAACTCCAGAGATGCCCCGAGAACACTGTCCCAAGTCTAGAGGAACACCAACTTCAGCACAGCAACTCGAGGAATGCTCTGTGTACCCCAAATCGTCTCGAGATGAGAGCTGATTCCCTGACTTAGGCTCAAGACGTATGCCAAATTTCCAGAAGCACCTCAGGAGGAGGCTTCTCAGCAATAGGTATGTGGGAGAGACTCCGAGTTTGCTGCCTCAAGGGGAATATACATCGAGAAGCCCTAACTTGAAAGGAGGCCGGATTTCCTTGCAGTAGCTTGAATACAGGCTTGTCTTTCATCTCACAACATGAAGGGATGTCTGAATCCCCTGTGGAGACCTTAGAGAAAGCCCTAGGTCACTGCCTCATTTTGACGGAATGCCTCACATCCCGCTGACACCTCGAGAGGCACGCGGAGTTCATTGCTTCAAAAGGTGACGATGCCTGACTCCTCTTGAATACTGATAGGAATCCCAAAATCCCTGTGGCTACTGGAAAGGGTCCTTGGGTGCCCTGCCTCACCTCGAGAAGCGTCCCTTTTGCCCTGCCAAGCCTCGAAGAGATTCCTGAGGTGTCCGTCGTTACTAGGCAGGAGTCCTGACGTCACTGAAGAAACTCGTGTTTTGAAGGGCCATCCCCGCCGTAAGTCGAGAACATACCCCAGGTCCCCGCCGCAACTCGAGAAAAACCGTGAGACTTCCCCCTGGAGGCGAGATGAAGCCCCATTCCCCTGCAGTGCATGCAGAGCTATTCCGTGATCCCATTCAAACAAGTCAGGAGCTTCGACTTGCTTAATGGATCTCGAGACAGTCCCCAAGAACACTGTCAGCAGTCTAGACGGACCCTGAGGTCACCCCAGCAACGCAAAGCTGCTCCATGTGCCCCAAATCAACTCGAGATGAGGCCCGATTCCCCTGCATTGACTCCAGAGCCATTCCCCGTTCCCCATTCAAGATGACCGGTGGCTCGACTTCCTTCAGGCAACTCCAGAGATTCCCCGAGAACACTGTCCGAAGGCTAGAGGAACACCAACTTCAGCACAGCAACTCGAGGAATGATCCGTGTACCCCAAATCATCTCGAGATGAGAGCTGATTCCCTGGCTTAGGCTCAAGACGTATGCCAACTTTCCAGAAACATCTCAGGAGGAGGCTTCTCTCAGCAATAGGTATGTGGGAGGGACCCTGTGTTTGCTGCCTCAAGGGGAATACACAGGGAGAAGCCCTAATGTGAACGGAGGACAGATTTCCTTGCAGAGGGTTGAATACAGGCTCGTCTTTGATCTGACAACATGAAGGGTTGTCTGAATCCCCTGTGGAGACCTTAGAGGAAGCCCTAGGTCCCTGCCTCATTTTGACAGAATGCCTCACATCCCCCTGACACCTCGAGAGGCACGCAGAGTTCATTGCTTCAAAAGGTGACGATGCCTGACTCCTCTTGAATACTTATAGGAATCCCAAAATCCCTGTTGCTACTGGAAAGGGTCCTTGGGTGCCCTGGCTCACCTCGAGAAGCGTCCCTTTTGCCCTGCCAAGTGTCGAAGAGATTGCTGAGGTGTCCCTCGTTACTAGACAGGAGTCCTGACGTCACTGAAGAAACTCGTGTTTTGAAGGGCCATCCCCGCCGTAAGTCGAGAACATACCCCAGGGCCCCGCCGCAACTCGAGAAAAACCATGAGAAATCCCCCTATAGGCGAGATGAGGCCCCATTCCCCTGCAGTGCATGCAGAGCTCTTCCGTGATCCCATTCAAACAAGTCAGGAGCTTTGACTTGCTTAATGGATCTCGAGACAGTCCCCAAGAACACTGTCACCAGTCTAGACGGACCCTGAGGTCACCTCAGCAACGCAAAGCAGCTCCATGTGCCCCAAATCAACTCGAGATGAGGCCCGATTCCCCTGCATTGACTCCAGAGCCATTCCCCGTTCCCCGTTCAACACGAACGGAGGCTCGCCTTCCTTCACGCAACTCCAGAGATGCCCCGAGAACACTGTCCCAAGTATAGAGGAACACCAACTTCAGCACAGCAACTCGAGGTATGATCCGTGTACCCCAAATCGTCTCGAGATGAGAGCTGATTCCCTGGCTTAGGCTCAAGACGTATGCCAAATTTCCAGAAGCACCTCAGGAGGAGGCTTCTCAGCAATAGGTATGTGGGAGGGACTCCAAGTTTGCTGCCTCAAGGGGAATATACATCGAGAAGCCCTAACTTGAAAGGAGGCCGGATTTCCTTGCAGTAGCTTGAATACAGGCTTGTCTTTCATCTCACAACATGAAGGGATTTCTGAATCCCCTGTGGAGACCTTAGAGAAAGCCCTAGGTCCCTGCCTCATTTTGACGGAATGCCTCACATCCGGCTGACACCTCGAGAGGCACGCGGACTTCATTACTTCAAAAGGTGACGATGCCTGACTCCTCTTGAATACTGATAGGAATCCCAAAATCCCTGTGGCTACTGGAAAGGGTCCTTGGGTGCCCTGCCTCACCTCGAGAAGCGTCCCTTTTGCCCTGCCAAGCCTCGAAGAGATTCCTGAGGTGTCCCTCGTTACTAGGCAGGAGTCCTGACGTCACTGAAGAAACTCGTGTTTTGAAGGGCCATCCCCGCCGTAAGTCGAGAACATACCCCAGGTCCCCGCCGCAACTCGAGAAAAACCATGAGACTTCCCCCTAGAGGCGAGATGAGGCCCCATTCCCCTGCAGTGCATGCAGAGCTATTCCGTGATCCCATTCAAACAAGTCAGGAGCTTCGACTTGCTTAATGGATCTCGAGACAGTCCCCAAGAACACTGTCACCAGTCTAGACGGACCCTGAGGTCACCCCAGCAACGCAAAGCTGCTCCATGTGCCCCAAATCAACTCGAGATGAGCCCCGATTCCCCTGCATTGATTCCAGAGCCATTCCCCGTTCCCCATTCAACACGACCGGTGGCTCGACTTCCTTCAGGCAACTGCAGAGATGCCCCGAGAACACTTTCCCAAGTCTAGAGGAACACCAACTTCAGCCCAGCAACTCGAGGAATGCTCCGTGTACCCCAAATCATCTCGAGATGAGAGCTGATTCCCTGGCTTAGGCTCAAGACGTATGCCAACTTTCCAGAAGCACCTCAGGAGGAGGCTTCTCTCAGCAATAGGTATGTGGGAGGGACCCCGAGTTTGCTGCCTCAAGGGGAATATACAGCGAGAAGCCCTAACTTGAAAGGAGGCCGGATTTCCTTGCAGTGGCTTGAATACAGGCTCGTCTTTGATCTGACAACATGAAAGGATGTCTGAATCCCCTGTGGAGACCTTAGAGGAAGCCCTATTTCCTTGCCTCATTTTCACGGAATACCTCACATCCCCCTGACACCTCGAGAGGAACGCAGAGTTCATTGCTTCAAAAGGTGACGATGCCTGACTCCTCTTGAATACTGATAGGAATCCCAAAATCCCTGTTGCTACTGGAAAGCGTCCTTGGGTGCCCTGGCTCACCTCGAGAAGCGTCCCTTTTGCCCTGCCAAGCCTCGAAGAGATTGCTGAGGTGTCCCTCGTTACTAGACAGGAGTCCTGACGTCACTGAAGAAACTCGTGTTTTGAAGGGCCATCCCCGCCGTAAGTCGAGAACATACCCCAGGTCCCCGCCGCAACTCGAGAAAAACCATGAGACTTCCCCCTAGAGGCGAGATGAGGCCCCATTCCCCTGCAGTGCATGCAGAGCTATTCCGTGATCCCATTCAAACAAGTCAGGAGCTTCGACTTGCTTAATGGATCTCGAGACAGTCCCCAAGAACACTGTCACCAGTCTAGACGGACCCTGAGGTCACCCCAGCAACGCAAAGCAGCTCCATGTGCCCCAAATCAACTCGAGATGAGGCCCGATTCCCCTGCATTGACTCCAGAGCCATTCCCCGTTCCCCGTTCAACACGAACGGAGGCTCGCCTTCCTTCAGGCAACTCCACAGATGCCCCGAGAACACTGTCCCAAGTCTAGAGGAACACCAACTTCAGCACAGCAACTCGAGGAGTGCTCCGAGTACCCCAAATCATCTCGAGATGAGAGCTGATTCCCTGGCTTAGGCTCAAGACATATGCCAACTTTCCAAAGCACCTCAGGAGGAGGCTTCTCTCAGCAATAGTTATGTGGGAGGGACCCCGGGTTTGCTGCCTCAAGGGGAATATACAGCGAGAAGCCCTAACTTGAAAGGAGGCCGGATTTCCTTGCAGTGGCTTGAATACAGGCTCGTCTTTGATCTGACAACATGAAGGTATGTCTGAATCCCCTGTGGAGACCTTAGAGAAAGCCCTAGGTCCCTGCCTCATTTTGACGGAATGCCTCACATCCCGCTGACACCTCGAGAGGCACGCGGAGTTCATTGCTTCAAAAGGTGACGATGCCTGACTCCTCTTGAATACTGATAGGAATCCCAAAATCCCTGTGGCTACTGGAAAGGGTCCTTGGGTGTCCTGCCTCACCTCGAGAAGCGTCCCTTTTGCCCTGCCAAGCCTCGAAGAGATTCCTGAGGTGTCCCTCGTTACTAGGCAGGAGTCCTGACGTCACTGGAGAAACTCGAGTTTTGAAGGGCCATCCCCTCCGTAAGTCGAGAACATACCCCAGGTCCCCGCTGCAACTCGAGAAAAACCGTGAGACTTCCCCCTAGAGGCGAGATGAGGCCCCATTCCCCTGCAGTGCATGCAGAGCTATTCCGTGATCCCATTCAAACAAGTCAGGAGCTTCGACTTGCTTAATGGATCTTGAGACAGTCCCCAAGAACACTGTCACCAGTCTAGACGGAGCCTGAGGTCACCCCAGCAACGCAAAGCTGCTCCATGTGCCCCAAATCAACTCGAGATGAGGCCCGATTCCCCTGCATTGACTCCAGAGCCATTCCCCGTTCCCCGTTCAACACGAACGGAGGCTCGCCTTCCTTCAGGCAACTCCACAGATGCCCCGAGAACACTGTCCCAAGTCTAGAGGAACACGAACTTCAGCACAGCAACTCGAGGAGTGCTCCGAGTACCCCAAATCATCTCGAGATGAGAGCTGATTCCCTGGCTTAGGCTCAAGACATATGCCAACTTTCCAAAGCACCTCAGGAGGAGGCTTTTCTCAGCAATAGTTATGTGGGAGGGACCCCGGGTTTGCTGCCTCAAGGGGAATATACAGCGAGAAGCCCTAACTTGAAAGGAGGCCGGATTTCCTTGCAGTGGCTTGAATACAGGCTCGTCTTTGATCTGACAACATGAAGGTATGTCTGAATCCCCTGTGGAGACCTTAGAGGAAGCCCTATTTCCCTGCCTCATTTTGACGGAATACCTCACATCCCCCTGAAACCTCGAGAGGCACGCAGACTTCATTGCTTCAAAAGGTGACGATGCCTGACTCCTCTTGAATACTTATAGGAATCCCCAAATCCCTGTGGCTACTGGAAAGGGTCCTTGGGTGCCCTGGCTCACCTCGAGAAGCGTCCCCTTTGCCCTGCCAAGCCTCGAAGAGATTCCTGAGTGTCCCTCGTTACTAGACAGGAGTACTGACGTCACTGAAGAAACTCGTGTTTTGAAGGGCCATCCCCGCCGTAAGTCGAGAACATACCCCAGGGCCCCGCCGCAACTCGAGAAAAACCATGAGACTTCCCCCTATAGGCGAGATGAGGCCCCATTCCCCTGCAGTGCATGCAGAGCTATTCCGTGATCCCATTCAAACAAGTCAGGAGCTTCGACTTGCTTAATGGATCTCGAGACAGTCCCCAAGAACACTGTCACCAGTCTAGACGGACCCTGAGGTCACCCCAGCAACGCAAAGCAGCTCCATGTGCCCCAAATCAACTCGAGATGAGGCCCGATTCCCCTGCATTGACTCCAGAGCCATTCCCCGTTCCCCGTTCAACACGAACGGAGGCTCGCCTTCCTTCAGGCAACTCCAGAGATGCCCCGAGAACACTGTCCCAAGTCTAGAGGAACACCAACTTCAGCACAGCAACTCGAGAAATGCTCTGTGTACCCCAAATCGTCTCGAGATGAGAGCTGATTCCCTGGCTTAGGCTCAAGACGTATGCCAAGTTTCCAGAAGCACCTCAGGAGGAGGCTTCTCAGCAATAGGTATGTGGGAGGGACTCCGAGTTTGCTGCCTCAAGGGGAATATACATCGAGAAGCCCTAACTTGAAAGGAGGCCGGATTTCCTTGCAGTAGCTTGAATACAGGCTTGTCTTTCATCTCACAACATGAAGGGATGTCTGAATCCCCTGTGGAGACCTTAGAGAAAGCCCTAGGTCCCTGCCTCATTTTGACGGAATGCCTCACATCCCGCTGACACCTCGAGAGGCACGCAGAGTTCATTGCTTCAAAAGGTGACGATGCCTGACTCCTCTTGAATACTGATAGGAATCCCAAAATCACCTGTGGCTACAGGAAAGGGTCCTTGGGTGCCCTGCCTCACCTCGAGAAGCGTCCCTTTTGCCCTGCCAAGCCTCGAAGAGATTCCTGAGGTGTCCCTCGTTACTAGGCAGGAGTCCTGACGTGACTGGAGAAACTCGAGTTTTGAAGGGCCATCCCCGCCGTAAGTCTAGAACATACCCCAGGTCCCCGCCGCAACTCGAGAAAAATCGTGAGACTTCCCCCTGGAGGCGAGATGAAGCCCCATTCCCCTGCAGTGCATGCAGAGCTATTCCGTGATCCCATTCAAACAAGTCAGGAGCTTCGACTTGCTTAATGGATCTCGAGACAGTCCCCAAGAACACTGTCACCAGTCTAGACGGACCCTGAGGTCACCCCAGCAACGCAAAGCTGCTCCATGTGCCCCAAATCAACTCGAGATGAGGCCCGATTCCCCTGCATTGACTCCAGAGCCATTCCCCGTTCCCCATTCAAGATGACCGGTGGCTCGACTTCCTTCAGGCAACTCCAGAGATTCCCCGAGAACACTGTCCGAAGGCTAGAGGAACACCAACTTCAGCACAGCAACTCGAGGAATGATCCGTGTACCCCAAATCATCTCGAGATGAGAGCTGATTCCCTGGCTTAGGCTCAAGATGTATGCCAACTTTCCAGAAACATCTCAGGAGGAGGCTTCTCTCAGCAATAGGTATGTGGGAGGGACCCTGTGTTTGCTGCCTCAAGGGGAATACACAGGGAGAAGCCCTAATGTGAACGGAGGACAGATTTCCTTGCAGAGGGTTGAATACAGGCTCGTCTTTGATCTGACAACATGAAGGGTTGTCTGAATCCCCTGTGGAGACCTTAGAGGAAGCCCTAGGTCCCTGCCTCATTTTGACGGAATACCTCACATCCCCCTGACACCTCGAGAGGCACGCAGAGTTCATTGCTTCAAAAGGTGACGATGCCTGACTCCTCTTGAATACTTATAGGAATCCCAAAATCCCTGTGGCTACTGGAAAGGGTCCTTGGGTGCCCTGGCTCACCTCGAGAAGCGTCCCTTTTGCCCTGCCAAGCCTCGAAGAGATTGCTGAGGTGTCCCTCGTTACTAGACAGGAGTCCTGACGTCACTGAAGAAACTCGTGTTTTGAAGGGCCATCCCCGCCGTAAGTCGAGAACATACCCCAGGTCCCCGCCGCAACTCGAGAAAAACCATGAGACATCCCCCTATAGGCGAGATGAGGCCCCATTCCCCTGCAGTGCATGCAGAGCTCTTCCGTGATCCCATTCAAACAAGTCAGGAGCTTTGACTTGCTTAATGGATCTCGAGACAGTCCCCAAGAACACTGTCACCAGTCTCGACGGACCCTGAGGTCACCTCAGCAACGCAAAGCAGCTCCATGTGCCCCAAATCAACTCGAGATGAGGCCCGATTCCCCTGCATTGACTCCAGAGCCATTCCCCGTTCCCCGTTCAACACGAACGGAGGCTCGCCTTCCTTCACGCAACTCCAGAGATGCCCCGAGAACACTGTCCCAAGTCTAGAGGAACACCAACTTCAGCACAGCAACTCGAGGTATGATCCGTGTACCCCAAATCGTCTCGAGATGAGAGCTGATTCCCTGGCTTAGGCTCAAGACGTATGCCAAATTTCCAGAAGCACCTCAGGAGGAGGCTTCTCAGCAATAGGTATGTGGGAGGGACTCCAAGTTTGCTGCCTCAAGGGGAATATACATCGAGAAGCCCTAACTTGAAAGGAGGCCGGATTTCCTTGCAGTAGCTTGAATACAGGCTTGTCTTTCATCTCACAACATGAAGGGATTTCTGAATCCCCTGTGGAGACCTTAGAGAAAGCCCTAGGTCCCTGCCTCATTTTGACGGAATGCCTCACATCCCGCTGACACCTCGAGAGGCACGCGGACTTCATTACTTCAAAAGGTGACGATGCCTGACTCCTCTTGAATACTGATAGGAATCCCAAAATCCCTGTGGCTACTGGAAAGGGTCCTTGGGTGCCCTGCCTCACCTCGAGAAGCGTCCCTTTTGCCCTGCCAAGCCTCGAAGAGATTCCTGAAGTGTCCCTCGTTACTAGGCAGGAGTCCTGACGTCACTGAAGAAACTCGTGTTTTGAAGGGCCATCCCCGCCGTAAGTCGAGAACATACCCCAGGTCCCCGCCGCAACTCGAGAAAAACCATGAGACTTCCCCCTAGAGGCGAGATGAGGCCCCATTCCCCTGCAGTGCATGCAGAGCTATTCCGTGATCCCATTCAAACAAGTCAGGAGCTTCGACTTGCTTAACGGATCTCGAGACAGTCCCCAAGAACACTGTCACCAGTCTAGACGGACCCTGAGGTCACCCCAGCAACGCAAAGCAGCTCCATGTGCCCCAAATCAACTCGAGATGAGGCCCGATTCCCCTGCATTGACTCCAGAGCCATTCCCCGTTCCCCGTTCAACACGAACGGATGCTCGCCTTCCTTCAGGCAACTCCAGAGATGCCCCGAGAACACTGTCCCAAGTCTAGAGGAACACCAACTTCAGCACAGCAACTCGAGGAATGCTCTGTGTACCCCAAATCGTCTCGAGATGAGAGCTGATTCCCTGACTTAGGCTCAAGACGTATGCCAAATTTCCAGAAGCACCTCAGGAGGAGGCTTCTCAGCAATAGGTATGTGGGAGAGACTCCGAGTTTGCTGCCTCAAGGGGAATATACATCGAGAAGCCCTAACTTGAAAGGAGGCCGGATTTCCTTGCAGTAGCTTGAATACAGGCTTGTCTTTCATCTCACAACATGAAGGGATGTCTGAATCCCCTGTGGAGACCTTAGAGAAAGCCCTAGGTCACTGCCTCATTTTGACGGAATGCCTCACATCCCGCTGACACCTCGAGAGGCACGCGGAGTTCATTGCTTCAAAAGGTGACGATGCCTGACTCCTCTTGAATACTGATAGGAATCCCAAAATCCCTGTGGCTACTGGAAAGGGTCCTTGGGTGCCCTGCCTCACCTCGAGAAGCGTCCCTTTTGCCCTGCCAAGCCTCGAAGAGATTCCTGAGGTGTCCGTCGTTACTAGGCAGGAGTCCTGACGTCACTGAAGAAACTCGTGTTTTGAAGGGCCATCCCCGCCGTAAGTCGAGAACATACCCCAGGTCCCCGCCGCAACTCGAGAAAAACCGTGAGACTTCCCCCTGGAGGCGAGATGAAGCCCCATTCCCCTGCAGTGCATGCAGAGCTATTCCGTGATCCCATTCAAACAAGTCAGGAGCTTCGACTTGCTTAATGGATCTCGAGACAGTCCCCAAGAACACTGTCAGCAGTCTAGACGGACCCTGAGGTCACCCCAGCAACGCAAAGCTGCTCCATGTGCCCCAAATCAACTCGAGATGAGGCCCGATTCCCCTGCATTGACTCCAGAGCCATTCCCCGTTCCCCATTCAAGATGACCGGTGGCTCGACTTCCTTCAGGCAACTCCAGAGATTCCCCGAGAACACTGTCCGAAGGCTAGAGGAACACCAACTTCAGCACAGCAACTCGAGGAATGATCCGTGTACCCCAAATCATCTCGAGATGAGAGCTGATTCCCTGGCTTAGGCTCAAGACGTATGCCAACTTTCCAGAAACATCTCAGGAGGAGGCTTCTCTCAGCAATAGGTATGTGGGAGGGACCCTGTGTTTGCTGCCTCAAGGGGAATACACAGGGAGAAGCCCTAATGTGAACGGAGGACAGATTTCCTTGCAGAGGGTTGAATACAGGCTCGTCTTTGATCTGACAACATGAAGGGTTGTCTGAATCCCCTGTGGAGACCTTAGAGGAAGCCCTAGGTCCCTGCCTCATTTTGACAGAATGCCTCACATCCCCCTGACACCTCGAGAGGCACGCAGAGTTCATTGCTTCAAAAGGTGACGATGCCTGACTCCTCTTGAATACTTATAGGAATCCCAAAATCCCTGTTGCTACTGGAAAGGGTCCTTGGGTGCCCTGGCTCACCTCGAGAAGCGTCCCTTTTGCCCTGCCAAGTGTCGAAGAGATTGCTGAGGTGTCCCTCGTTACTAGACAGGAGTCCTGACGTCACTGAAGAAACTCGTGTTTTGAAGGGCCATCCCCGCCGTAAGTCGAGAACATACCCCAGGGCCCCGCCGCAACTCGAGAAAAACCATGAGAAATCCCCCTATAGGCGAGATGAGGCCCCATTCCCCTGCAGTGCATGCAGAGCTCTTCCGTGATCCCATTCAAACAAGTCAGGAGCTTTGACTTGCTTAATGGATCTCGAGACAGTCCCCAAGAACACTGTCACCAGTCTAGACGGACCCTGAGGTCACCTCAGCAACGCAAAGCAGCTCCATGTGCCCCAAATCAACTCGAGATGAGGCCCGATTCCCCTGCATTGACTCCAGAGCCATTCCCCGTTCCCCGTTCAACACGAACGGAGGCTCGCCTTCCTTCACGCAACTCCAGAGATGCCCCGAGAACACTGTCCCAAGTATAGAGGAACACCAACTTCAGCACAGCAACTCGAGGTATGATCCGTGTACCCCAAATCGTCTCGAGATGAGAGCTGATTCCCTGGCTTAGGCTCAAGACGTATGCCAAATTTCCAGAAGCACCTCAGGAGGAGGCTTCTCAGCAATAGGTATGTGGGAGGGACTCCAAGTTTGCTGCCTCAAGGGGAATATACATCGAGAAGCCCTAACTTGAAAGGAGGCCGGATTTCCTTGCAGTAGCTTGAATACAGGCTTGTCTTTCATCTCACAACATGAAGGGATTTCTGAATCCCCTGTGGAGACCTTAGAGAAAGCCCTAGGTCCCTGCCTCATTTTGACGGAATGCCTCACATCCGGCTGACACCTCGAGAGGCACGCGGACTTCATTACTTCAAAAGGTGACGATGCCTGACTCCTCTTGAATACTGATAGGAATCCCAAAATCCCTGTGGCTACTGGAAAGGGTCCTTGGGTGCCCTGCCTCACCTCGAGAAGCGTCCCTTTTGCCCTGCCAAGCCTCGAAGAGATTCCTGAGGTGTCCCTCGTTACTAGGCAGGAGTCCTGACGTCACTGAAGAAACTCGTGTTTTGAAGGGCCATCCCCGCCGTAAGTCGAGAACATACCCCAGGTCCCCGCCGCAACTCGAGAAAAACCATGAGACTTCCCCCTAGAGGCGAGATGAGGCCCCATTCCCCTGCAGTGCATGCAGAGCTATTCCGTGATCCCATTCAAACAAGTCAGGAGCTTCGACTTGCTTAATGGATCTCGAGACAGTCCCCAAGAACACTGTCACCAGTCTAGACGGACCCTGAGGTCACCCCAGCAACGCAAAGCAGCTCCATGTGCCCCAAATCAACTCGAGATGAGGCCCGATTCCCCTGCATTGACTCCAGAGCCATTCCCCGTTCCCCGTTCAACACGAACGGAGGCTCGCCTTCCTTCAGGCAACTCCAGAGATGCCCCGAGAACACTGTCCCAAGTCTAGAGGAACACCAACTTCAGCACAGCAACTCGAGGAATGCTCTGTGTACCCCAAATCGTCTCGAGATGAGAGCTGATTCCCTGGCTTAGGCTCAAGACGTATGCCAAATTTCCAGAAGCACCTCAGGAGGAGGCTTCTCAGCAATAGGTATGTGGGAGAGACTCCGAGTTTGCTGCCTCAAGGGGAATATACATCGAGAAGCCCTAACTTGAAAGGAGGCCGGATTTCCTTGCAGTAGCTTGAATACAGGCTTGTCTTTCATCTCACAACATGAAGGGATGTCTGAATCCCCTGTGGAGACCTTAGAGAAAGCCCTAGGTCCCTGCCTCATTTTGACGGAATGCCTCACATCCCGCTGACACCTCGAGAGGCACGCGGAGTTCATTGCTTCAAAAGGTGACGATGCCTGACTCCTCTTGAATACTGATAGGAATCCCAAAATCCCTGTGGCTACTGGAAAGGGTCCTTGGGTGCCCTGCCTCACCTCGAGAAGCGTCCCTTTTGCCCTGCCAAGCCTCGAAGAGATTCCTGAGGTGTCCGTCGTTACTAGGCAGGAGTCCTGACGTCACTGAAGAAACTCGTGTTTTGAAGGGCCATCCCCGCCGTAAGTCGAGAACATACCCCAGGTCCCCGCCGCAACTCGAGAAAAACCGTGAGCCTTCCCCCTAGAGGCGAGATGAGGCCCCATTCCCCTGCAGTGCATGCAGAGCTATTCCGTGATCCCATTCAAACAAGTCAGGAGCTTCGACTTGCTTAATGGATCTCGAGACAGTCCCCAAGAACACTGTCACCAGTCTAGACGGACCCTGAGGTCACCCCAGCAACGCAAAGCTGCTCCATGTGCCCCAAATCAACTCGAGATGAGGCCCGATTCCCCTGCATTGACTCCAGAGCCATTCCCCGTTCCCCATTCAACACGACCGGTGGCTCGACTTCCTTCAGGCAACTCCAGAGATTCCCCGAGAACACTGTCCCAAGGCTAGAGGAACACCAACTTCAGCACAGCAACTCGAGGAATGTTCCGTGTACCCCAAATCATCTCGAGATGAGAGCTGATTCCCTGGCTTAGGCTCAAGACGTATGCCAACTTTCCAGAAGCATCTCAGGAGGAGGCTTCTCTCAGCAATAGGTATGTGGGAGGGACCCCGAGTTTGCTGCCTCAAGGGGAATACACAGGGAGAAGCCCTAATGTGAACGGAGGCCAGATTTCCTTGCAGTGGCTGGAATACAGGCTCGTCTTTGATCTGACAACATGAAGGGATGTCTGAATCCCCTGTGGAGACCTTATAGGAAGCCCTAGGTCCCTGCCTCATTTTGACGGAATACCTCACATCCCCCTGACACCTCGAGAGGCACGCAGAGTTCATTGCTTCAAAAGGTGACGATGCCTGACTCCTCTTGAATACTTATAGGAATCCCAAAATCCCTGTGGCTACTGGAAAGGGTCCTTGGGTGTCCTGCCTCACCTCGAGAAGCGTCCCTTTTGCCCTGCCAAGCCTCGAAGAGATTCCTGAGGTGTCCCTCGTTACTAGGCAGGAGTCCTGACGTCACTGGAGAAACTCGTGTTTTGAAGGGCCATCCCCGCCGTAAGTCGAGAACATACCCCAGGTCCCCGCCGCAAATCGAGAAAAACCGCGAGACTTTGCCCCAGAGGCGAGATGAGGCCCCATTCCCCTGCAGTGCATGCAGAGCTATTCCGTGATCCCATTCAAACAAGTCAGGAGCTTCGACTTGCTTAATGGATCTCGAGACAGTCCCCAAGAACACTGTCACCAGTCTAGACGGACCCTGAGGTCACCCCAGCATCGCAAAGCTGCTCCATGTGCCCCAAATCAACTCGAGATGAGGCCCGATTCCCCTGCATTGACTCCAGAGCCATTCCCCGTTCCCCATTCAAGACGACCGGTGGCTCGACTTCCTTCAGGCAACTCCAGAGATTCCCCGAGAACACTGTCCCAAGGCTAGAGGAACACCAACTTCAGCACAGCAACTCGAGGAATGCTCCGTGTACCCCAAATCATCTCGAGATGAGAGCTAATTCCCTGGCTTAGGCTCAAGACGTATGCCAACTTTCCAGAAGCACCTCAGGAGGAGGCTTCTCAGCAATAGGTATGTGGGAGGGACTCCAAGTTTGCTGCCTCAAGGGGAATATACATCGAGAAGCCCTAACTTGAAAGGAGGCCGGATTTCCTTGCAGTAGCTTGAATACAGGCTTGTCTTTCATCTCACAACATGAAGGGATTTCTGAATCCCCTGTGGAGACCTTAGAGAAAGCCCTAGGTCCCTGCCTCATTTTGACGGAATGCCTCACATCCGGCTGACACCTCGAGAGGCACGCGGACTTCATTACTTCAAAAGGTGACGATGCCTGACTCCTCTTGAATACTGATAGGAATCCCAAAATCCCTGTGGCTACTGGAAAGGGTCCTTGGGTGCCCTGCCTCACCTCGAGAAGCGTCCCTTTTGCCCTGCCAAGCCTCGAAGAGATTCCTGAGGTGTCCCTCGTTACTAGGCAGGAGTCCTGACGTCACTGAAGAAACTCGTGTTTTGAAGGGCCATCCCCGCCGTAAGTCGAGAACATACCCCAGGTCCCCGCCGCAACTCGAGAAAAACCATGAGACTTCCCCCTAGAGGCGAGATGAGGCCCCATTCCCCTGCAGTGCATGCAGAGCTATTCCGTGATCCCATTCAAACAAGTCAGGAGCTTCGACTTGCTTAACGGATCTCGAGACAGTCCCCAAGAACACTGTCACCAGTCTAGACGGACCCTGAGGTCACCCCAGCAACGCAAAGCAGCTCCATGTGCCCCAAATCAACTCGAGATGAGGCCCGATTCCCCTGCATTGACTCCAGAGCCATTCCCCGTTCCCCGTTCAACACGAACGGAGGCTCGCCTTCCTTCAGGCAACTCCAGAGATGCCCCGAGAACACTGTCCCAAGTCTAGAGGAACACCAACTTCAGCACAGCAACTCGAGGAATGCTCTGTGTACCCCAAATCGTCTCGAGATGAGAGCTGATTCCCTGGCTTAGGCTCAAGACGTATGCCAAATTTCCAGAAGCACCTCAGGAGGAGGCTTCTCAGCAATAGGTATGTGGGAGAGACTCCGAGTTTGCTGCCTCAAGGGGAATATACATCGAGAAGCCCTAACTTGAAAGGAGGCCGGATTTCCTTGCAGTAGCTTGAATACAGGCTTGTCTTTCATCTCACAACATGAAGGGATGTCTGAATCCCCTGTGGAGACCTTAGAGAAAGCCCTAGGTCCCTGCCTCATTTTGACGGAATGCCTCACATCCCGCTGACACCTCGAGAGGCACGCGGAGTTCATTGCTTCAAAAGGTGACGATGCCTGACTCCTCTTGAATACTGATAGGAATCCCAAAATCCCTGTGGCTACTGGAAAGGGTCCTTGGGTGCCCTGCCTCACCTCGAGAAGCGTCCCTTTTGCCCTGCCAAGCCTCGAAGAGATTCCTGAGGTGTCCGTCGTTACTAGGCAGGAGTCCTGACGTCACTGAAGAAACTCGTGTTTTGAAGGGCCATCCCCGCCGTAAGTCGAGAACATACCCCAGGTCCCCGCCGCAACTCGAGAAAAACCGTGAGACTTCCCCCTGGAGGCGAGATGAAGCCCCATTCCCCTGCAGTGCATGCAGAGCTATTCCGTGATCCCATTCAAACAAGTCAGGAGCTTCGACTTGCTTAATGGATCTCGAGACAGTCCCCAAGAACACTGTCACCAGTCTAGACGGACCCTGAGGTCACCCCAGCAACGCAAAGCTGCTCCATGTGCCCCAAATCAACTCGAGATGAGGCCCGATTCCCCTGCATTGACTCCAGAGCCATTCCCCGTTCCCCATTCAAGATGACCGGTGGCTCTACTTCCTTCAGGCAACTCCAGAGATTCCCCGAGAACACTGTCCGAAGGCTAGAGGAACACCAACTTCAGCACAGCAACTCGAGGAATGATCCGTGTACCCCAAATCATCTCGAGATGAGAGCTGATTCCCTGGCTTAGGCTCAAGACGTATGCCAACTTTCCAGAAACATCTCAGGAGGAGGCTTCTCTCAGCAATAGGTATGTGGGAGGGACCCTGTGTTTGCTGCCTCAAGGGGAATACACAGGGAGAAGCCCTAATGTGAACGGAGGACAGATTTCCTTGCAGAGGGTTGAATACAGGCTCGTCTTTGATCTGACAACATGAAGGGTTGTCTGAATCCCCTGTGGAGACCTTAGAGGAAGCCCTAGGTCCCTGCCTCATTTTGACAGAATGCCTCACATCCCCCTGACACCTCGAGAGGCACGCAGAGTTCATTGCTTCAAAAGGTGACGATGCCTGACTCCTCTTGAATACTGATAGGAATCCCAAAATCCCTGTTGCTACTGGAAAGGGTCCTTGGGTGCCCTGGCTCACCTCGAGAAGCGTCCCTTTTGCCCTGCCAAGCCTCGAAGAGATTGCTGAGGTGTCCCTCGTTACTAGGCAGGAGTCCTGACGTCACTGAAGAAACTCGTGTTTTGAAGGGCCATCCCCGCCGTAAGTCGAGAACATACCCCAGGTCCCCGCCGCAACTCGAGAAAAACCATGAGACATCCCCCTATAGGCGAGATGAGGCCCCATTCCCCTGCAGTGCATGCAGAGCTCTTCCGTGATCCCATTCAAACAAGTCAGGAGCTTTGACTTGCTTAATGGATCTCGAGACAGTCCCCAAGAACACTGTCACCAGTCTAGACGGACCCTGAGGTCACCTCAGCAACGCAAAGCAGCTCCATGTGCCCCAAATCAACTCGAGATGAGGCCCGATTCCCCTGCATTGACTCCAGAGCCATTCCCCGTTCCCCGTTCAACACGAACGGAGGCTCGCCTTCCTTCACGCAACTCCAGAGATTCCCCGAGAACACTGTCCCAAGTCTAGAGGAACACCAACTTCAGCACAGCAACTCGAGGTATGATCTGTGTACCCCAAATCGTCTCGAGATGAGAGCTGATTCCCTGGCTTAGGCTCAAGACGTATGCCAAATTTCCAGAAGCACCTCAGGAGGAGGCTTCTCAGCAATAGGTATGTGGGAGGGACTCCAAGTTTGCTGCCTCAAGGGGAATATACATCGAGAAGCCCTAACTTGAAAGGAGGCCGGATTTCCTTGCAGTAGCTTGAATACAGGCTTGTCTTTCATCTCACAACATGAAGGGATTTCTGAATCCCCTGTGGAGACCTTAGAGAAAGCCCTAGGTCCCTGCCTCATTTTGACGGAATGCCTCACATCCGGCTGACACCTCGAGAGGCACGCGGACTTCATTACTTCAAAAGGTGACGATGCCTGACTCCTCTTGAATACTGATAGGAATCCCAAAATCCCTGTGGCTACTGGAAAGGGTCCTTGGGTGCCCTGCCTCACCTCGAGAAGCGTCCCTTTTGCCCTGCCAAGCCTCGAAGAGATTCCTGAGGTGTTCCTCGTTACTAGGCAGGAGTCCTGACGTCACTGAAGAAACTCGTGTTTTGAAGGGCCATCCCCGCCGTAAGTCGAGAACATACCCCAGGTCCCCGCCGCAACTCGAGAAAAACCATGAGACTTCCCCCTAGAGGCGAGATGAGGCCCCATTCCCCTGCAGTGCATGCAGAGCTATTCCGTGATCCCATTCAAACAAGTCAGGAGCTTCGACTTGCTTAATGGATCTCGAGACAGTCCCCAAGAACACTGTCACCAGTCTAGACGGACCCTGAGGTCACCCCAGCAACGCAAAGCAGCTCCATGTGCCCCAAATCAACTCGAGATGAGGCCCGATTCCCCTGCATTGACTCCAGAGCCATTCCCCGTTCCCCGTTCAACACGAACGGAGGCTCGCCTTCCTTCAGGCAACTCCAGAGATGCCCCGAGAACACTGTCCCAAGTCTAGAGGAACACCAACTTCAGCACAGCAACTCGAGGAATGCTCTGTGTACCCCAAATCGTCTCGAGATGAGAGCTGATTCCCTGGCTTAGGCTCAAGACGTATGCCAAATTTCCAGAAGCACCTCAGGAGGAGGCTTCTCAGCAATAGGTATGTGGGAGAGACTCCGAGTTTGCTGCCTCAAGGGGAATATACATCGAGAAGCCCTAACTTGAAAGGAGGCCGGATTTCCTTGCAGTAGCTTGAATACAGGCTTGTCTTTCATCTCACAACATGAAGGGATGTCTGAATCCCCTGTGGAGACCTTAGAGAAAGCCCTAGGTCCCTGCCTCATTTTGACGGAATGCCTCACATCCCGCTGACACCTCGAGAGGCACGCGGAGTTCATTGCTTCAAAAGGTGACGATGCCTGACTCCTCTTGAATACTGATAGGAATCCCAAAATCCCTGTGGCTACTGGAAAGGGTCCTTGGGTGCCCTGCCTCACCTCGAGAAGCGTCCCTTTTGCCCTGCCAAGCCTCGAAGAGATTCCTGAGGTGTCCGTCGTTACTAGGCAGGAGTCCTGACGTCACTGAAGAAACTCGTGTTTTGAAGGGCCATCCCCGCCGTAAGTCGAGAACATACCCCAGGTCCCCGCCGCAACTCGAGAAAAACCGCGAGACTTCGCCCTAGAGGCGAGATGAGGCCCCATTCCCCTGCAGTGCATGCAGAGCTATTCCGTGATCCCATTCAAACAAGTCAGGAGCTTCGACTTGCTTAATGGATCTCGAGACAGTCCCCAAGAACACTGTCACCAGTCTAGACGGACCCTGAGGTCACCCCAGCAACGCAAAGCTGCTCCATGTGCCCCAAATCAACTCGAGATGAGGCCCGATTCCCCTGCATTGACTCCAGAGCCATTCCCCGTTCCCCATTCAACACGACCGGTGGCTCGACTTCCTTCAGGCAACTCCAGAGATTCCCCGAGAACACTGTCCCAAGGCTAGAGGAACACCAACTTCAGCACAGCAACTCGAGGAATGTTCCGTGTACCCCAAATCATCTCGAGATGAGAGCTGATTCCCTGGCTTAGGCTCAAGACGTATGCCAACTTTCCAGAAGCATCTCAGGAGGAGGCTTCTCTCAGCAATAGGTATGTGGGAGGGACCCCGAGTTTGCTGCCTCAAGGGGAATACACAGGGAGAAGCCCTAATGTGAACGGAGGCCAGATTTCCTTGCAGTGGCTGGAATACAGGCTCGTCTTTGATCTGACAACATGAAGGGATGTCTGAATCCCCTGTGGAGACCTTAGAGGAAGCCCTAGGTCCCTGCCTCATTTTGACGGAATACCTCACATCCCCCTGACACCTCGAGAGGCACGCAGAGTTCATTGCTTCAAAAGGTGACGATGCCTGACTCCTCTTGAATACTTATAGGAATCCCAAAATCCCTGTGGCTACTGGAAAGGGTCCTTGGGTGTCCTGCCTCACCTCGAGAAGCGTCCCTTTTGCCCTGCCAAGCCTCGAAGAGATTCCTGAGGTGTCCCTCGTTACTAGGCAGGAGTCCTGACGTCACTGGAGAAACTCGTGTTTTGAAGGGCCATCCCCGCCGTAAGTCGAGAACATACCCCAGGTCCCCGCCGCAAATCGAGAAAAACCGCGAGACTTTGCCCCAGAGGCGAGATGAGGCCCCATTCCCCTGCAGTGCATGCAGAGCTATTCCGTGATCCCATTCAAACAAGTCAGGAGCTTCGACTTGCTTAATGGATCTCGAGACAGTCCCCAAGAACACTGTCACCAGTCTAGACGGACCCTGAGGTCACCCCAGCATCGCAAAGCTGCTCCATGTGCCCCAAATCAACTCGAGATGAGGCCCGATTCCCCTGCATTGACTCCAGAGCCATTCCCCGTTCCCCATTCAAGACGACCGGTGGCTCGACTTCCTTCAGGCAACTCCAGAGATTCCCCGAGAACACTGTCCCAAGGCTAGAGGAACACCAACTTCAGCACAGCAACTCGAGGAATGCTCCGTGTACCCCAAATCATCTCGAGATGAGAGCTAATTCCCTGGCTTAGGCTCAAGACGTATGCCAACTTTCCAGAAGCACCTCAGGAGGAGGCTTCTCAGCAATAGGTATGTGGGAGGGACTCCAAGTTTGCTGCCTCAAGGGGAATATACATCGAGAAGCCCTAACTTGAAAGGAGGCCGGATTTCCTTGCAGTAGCTTGAATACAGGCTTGTCTTTCATCTCACAACATGAAGGGATTTCTGAATCCCCTGTGGAGACCTTAGAGAAAGCCCTAGGTCCCTGCCTCATTTTGACGGAATGCCTCACATCCGGCTGACACCTCGAGAGGCACGCGGACTTCATTACTTCAAAAGGTGACGATGCCTGACTCCTCTTGAATACTGATAGGAATCCCAAAATCCCTGTGGCTACTGGAAAGGGTCCTTGGGTGCCCTGCCTCACCTCGAGAAGCGTCCCTTTTGCCCTGCCAAGCCTCGAAGAGATTCCTGAGGTGTCCCTCGTTACTAGGCAGGAGTCCTGACGTCACTGAAGAAACTCGTGTTTTGAAGGGCCATCCCCGCCGTAAGTCGAGAACATACCCCAGGTCCCCGCCGCAACTCGAGAAAAACCATGAGACTTCCCCCTAGAGGCGAGATGAGGCCCCATTCCCCTGCAGTGCATGCAGAGCTATTCCGTGATCCCATTCAAACAAGTCAGGAGCTTCGACTTGCTTAACGGATCTCGAGACAGTCCCCAAGAACACTGTCACCAGTCTAGACGGACCCTGAGGTCACCCCAGCAACGCAAAGCAGCTCCATGTGCCCCAAATCAACTCGAGATGAGGCCCGATTCCCCTGCATTGACTCCAGAGCCATTCCCCGTTCCCCGTTCAACACGAACGGAGGCTCGCCTTCCTTCAGGCAACTCCAGAGATGCCCCGAGAACACTGTCCCAAGTCTAGAGGAACACCAACTTCAGCACAGCAACTCGAGGAATGCTCTGTGTACCCCAAATCGTCTCGAGATGAGAGCTGATTCCCTGGCTTAGGCTCAAGACGTATGCCAAATTTCCAGAAGCACCTCAGGAGGAGGCTTCTCAGCAATAGGTATGTGGGAGAGACTCCGAGTTTGCTGCCTCAAGGGGAATATACATCGAGAAGCCCTAACTTGAAAGGAGGCCGGATTTCCTTGCAGTAGCTTGAATACAGGCTTGTCTTTCATCTCACAACATGAAGGGATGTCTGAATCCCCTGTGGAGACCTTAGAGAAAGCCCTAGGTCCCTGCCTCATTTTGACGGAATGCCTCACATCCCGCTGACACCTCGAGAGGCACGCGGAGTTCATTGCTTCAAAAGGTGACGATGCCTGACTCCTCTTGAATACTGATAGGAATCCCAAAATCCCTGTGGCTACTGGAAAGGGTCCTTGGGTGCCCTGCCTCACCTCGAGAAGCGTCCCTTTTGCCCTGCCAAGCCTCGAAGAGATTCCTGAGGTGTCCGTCGTTACTAGGCAGGAGTCCTGACGTCACTGAAGAAACTCGTGTTTTGAAGGGCCATCCCCGCCGTAAGTCGAGAACATACCCCAGGTCCCCGCCGCAACTCGAGAAAAACCGTGAGACTTCCCCCTGGAGGCGAGATGAAGCCCCATTCCCCTGCAGTGCATGCAGAGCTATTCCGTGATCCCATTCAAACAAGTCAGGAGCTTCGACTTGCTTAATGGATCTCGAGACAGTCCCCAAGAACACTGTCACCAGTCTAGACGGACCCTGAGGTCACCCCAGCAACGCAAAGCTGCTCCATGTGCCCCAAATCAACTCGAGATGAGGCCCGATTCCCCTGCATTGACTCCAGAGCCATTCCCCGTTCCCCATTCAAGATGACCGGTGGCTCTACTTCCTTCAGGCAACTCCAGAGATTCCCCGAGAACACTGTCCGAAGGCTAGAGGAACACCAACTCCAGCACAGCAACTCGAGGAATGATCCGTGTACCCCAAATCATCTCGAGATGAGAGCTGATTCCCTGGCTTAGGCTCAAGACGTATGCCAACTTTCCAGAAACATCTCAGGAGGAGGCTTCTCTCAGCAATAGGTATGTGGGAGGGACCCTGTGTTTGCTGCCTCAAGGGGAATACACAGGGAGAAGCCCTAATGTGAACGGAGGACAGATTTCCTTGCAGAGGGTTGAATACAGGCTCGTCTTTGATCTGACAACATGAAGGGTTGTCTGAATCCCCTGTGGAGACCTTAGAGGAAGCCCTAGGTCCCTGCCTCATTTTGACAGAATGCCTCACATCCCCCTGACACCTCGAGAGGCACGCAGAGTTCATTGCTTCAAAAGGTGACGATGCCTGACTCCTCTTGAATACTGATAGGAATCCCAAAATCCCTGTTGCTACTGGAAAGGGTCCTTGGGTGCCCTGGCTCACCTCGAGAAGCGTCCCTTTTGCCCTGCCAAGCCTCGAAGAGATTGCTGAGGTGTCCCTCGTTACTAGACAGGAGTCCTGACGTCACTGAAGAAACTCGTGTTTTGAAGGGCCATCCCCGCCGTAAGTCGAGAACATACCCCAGGTCCCCGCCGCAACTCGAGAAAAACCATGAGACATCCCCCTATAGGCGAGATGAGGCCCCATTCCCCTGCAGTGCATGCAGAGCTCTTCCGTGATCCCATTCAAACAAGTCAGGAGCTTTGACTTGCTTAATGGATCTCGAGACAGTCCCCAAGAACACTGTCACCAGTCTAGACGGACCCTGAGGTCACCTCAGCAACGCAAAGCAGCTCCATGTGCCCCAAATCAACTCGAGATGAGGCCCGATTCCCCTGCATTGACTCCAGAGCCATTCCCCGTTCCCCGTTCAACACGAACGGAGGCTCGCCTTCCTTCACGCAACTCCAGAGATTCCCCGAGAACACTGTCCCAAGTCTAGAGGAACACCAACTTCAGCACAGCAACTCGAGGTATGATCTGTGTACCCCAAATCGTCTCGAGATGAGAGCTGATTCCCTGGCTTAGGCTCAAGACATATGCCAAATTTCCAGAAGCACCTCAGGAGGAGGCTTCTCAGCAATAGGTATGTGGGAGGGACTCCAAGTTTGCTGCCTCAAGGGGAATATACATCGAGAAGCCCTAACTTGAAAGGAGGCCGGATTTCCTTGCAGTAGCTTGAATACAGGCTTGTCTTTCATCTCACAACATGAAGGGATTTCTGAATCCCCTGTGGAGACCTTAGAGAAAGCCCTAGGTCCCTGCCTCATTTTGACGGAATGCCTCACATCCGGCTGACACCTCGAGAGGCACGCGGACTTCATTACTTCAAAAGGTGACGATGCCTGACTCCTCTTGAATACTGATAGGAATCCCAAAATCCCTGTGGCTACTGGAAAGGGTCCTTGGGTGCCCTGCCTCACCTCGAGAAGCGTCCCTTTTGCCCTGCCAAGCCTCGAAGAGATTCCTGAGGTGTCCCTCGTTACTAGGCAGGAGTCCTGACGTCACTGAAGAAACTCGTGTTTTGAAGGGCCATCCCCGCCGTAAGTCGAGAACATACCCCAGGTCCCCGCCGCAACTCGAGAAAAACCATGAGACTTCCCCCTAGAGGCGAGATGAGGCCCCATTCCCCTGCAGTGCATGCAGAGCTATTCCGTGATCCCATTCAAACAAGTCAGGAGCTTCGACTTGCTTAACGGATCTCGAGACAGTCCCCAAGAACACTGTCACCAGTCTAGACGGACCCTGAGGTCACCCCAGCAACGCAAAGCAGCTCCATGTGCCCCAAATCAACTCGAGATGAGGCCCGATTCCCCTGCATTGACTCCAGAGCCATTCCCCGTTCCCCGTTCAACACGAACGGAGGCTCGCCTTCCTTCAGGCAACTCCAGAGATGCCCCGAGAACACTGTCCCAAGTCTAGAGGAACACCAACTTCAGCACAGCAACTCGAGGAATGCTCTGTGTACCCCAAATCGTCTCGAGATGAGAGCTGATTCCCTGGCTTAGGCTCAAGACGTATGCCAAATTTCCAGAAGCACCTCAGGAGGAGGCTTCTCAGCAATAGGTATGTGGGAGAGACTCCGAGTTTGCTGCCTCAAGGGGAATATACATCGAGAAGCCCTAACTTGAAAGGAGGCCGGATTTCCTTGCAGTAGCTTGAATACAGGCTTGTCTTTCATCTCACAACATGAAGGGATGTCTGAATCCCCTGTGGAGACCTTAGAGAAAGCCCTAGGTCCCTGCCTCATTTTGACGGAATGCCTCACATCCCGCTGACACCTCGAGAGGCACGCGGAGTTCATTGCTTCAAAAGGTGACGATGCCTGACTCCTCTTGAATACTGATAGGAATCCCAAAATCCCTGTGGCTACTGGAAAGGGTCCTTGGGTGCCCTGCCTCACCTCGAGAAGCGTCCCTTTTGCCCTGCCAAGCCTCGAAGAGATTCCTGAGGTGTCCGTCGTTACTAGGCAGGAGTCCTGACGTCACTGAAGAAACTCGTGTTTTGAAGGGCCATCCCCGCCGTAAGTCGAGAACATACCCCAGGTCCCCGCCGCAACTCGAGAAAAACCGTGAGACTTCCCCCTGGAGGCGAGATGAAGCCCCATTCCCCTGCAGTGCATGCAGAGCTATTCCGTGATCCCATTCAAACAAGTCAGGAGCTTCGACTTGCTTAATGGATCTCGAGACAGTCCCCAAGAACACTGTCACCAGTCTAGACGGACCCTGAGGTCACCCCAGCAACGCAAAGCTGCTCCATGTGCCCCAAATCAACTCGAGATGAGGCCCGATTCCCCTGCATTGACTCCAGAGCCATTCCCCGTTCCCCATTCAAGATGACCGGTGGCTCTACTTCCTTCAGGCAACTCCAGAGATTCCCCGAGAACACTGTCCGAAGGCTAGAGGAACACCAACTCCAGCACAGCAACTCGAGGAATGATCCGTGTACCCCAAATCATCTCGAGATGAGAGCTGATTCCCTGGCTTAGGCTCAAGACGTATGCCAACTTTCCAGAAACATCTCAGGAGGAGGCTTCTCTCAGCAATAGGTATGTGGGAGGGACCCTGTGTTTGCTGCCTCAAGGGGAATACACAGGGAGAAGCCCTAATGTGAACGGAGGACAGATTTCCTTGCAGAGGGTTGAATACAGGCTCGTCTTTGATCTGACAACATGAAGGGTTGTCTGAATCCCCTGTGGAGACCTTAGAGGAAGCCCTAGGTCCCTGCCTCATTTTGACAGAATGCCTCACATCCCCCTGACACCTCGAGAGGCACGCAGAGTTCATTGCTTCAAAAGGTGACGATGCCTGACTCCTCTTGAATACTGATAGGAATCCCAAAATCCCTGTTGCTACTGGAAAGGGTCCTTGGGTGCCCTGGCTCACCTCGAGAAGCGTCCCTTTTGCCCTGCCAAGCCTCGAAGAGATTGCTGAGGTGTCCCTCGTTACTAGACAGGAGTCCTGACGTCACTGAAGAAACTCGTGTTTTGAAGGGCCATCCCCGCCGTAAGTCGAGAACATACCCCAGGTCCCCGCCGCAACTCGAGAAAAACCATGAGACATCCCCCTATAGGCGAGATGAGGCCCCATTCCCCTGCAGTGCATGCAGAGCTCTTCCGTGATCCCATTCAAACAAGTCAGGAGCTTTGACTTGCTTAATGGATCTCGAGACAGTCCCCAAGAACACTGTCACCAGTCTAGACGGACCCTGAGGTCACCTCAGCAACGCAAAGCAGCTCCATGTGCCCCAAATCAACTCGAGATGAGGCCCGATTCCCCTGCATTGACTCCAGAGCCATTCCCCGTTCCCCGTTCAACACGAACGGAGGCTCGCCTTCCTTCACGCAACTCCAGAGATTCCCCGAGAACACTGTCCCAAGTCTAGAGGAACACCAACTTCAGCACAGCAACTCGAGGTATGATCTGTGTACCCCAAATCGTCTCGAGATGAGAGCTGATTCCCTGGCTTAGGCTCAAGACGTATGCCAAATTTCCAGAAGCACTTCAGGAGGAGGCTTCTCAGCAATAGGTATGTGGGAGGGACTCCAAGTTTGCTGCCTCAAGGGGAATATACATCGAGAAGCCCTAACTTGAAAGGAGGCCGGATTTCCTTGCAGTAGCTTGAATACAGGCTTGTCTTTCATCTCACAACATGAAGGGATTTCTGAATCCCCTGTGGAGACCTTAGAGAAAGCCCTAGGTCCCTGCCTCATTTTGACGGAATGCCTCACATCCGGCTGACACCTCGAGAGGCACGCGGACTTCATTACTTCAAAAGGTGACGATGCCTGACTCCTCTTGAATACTGATAGGAATCCCAAAATCCCTGTGGCTACTGGAAAGGGTCCTTGGGTGCCCTGCCTCACCTCGAGAAGCGTCCCTTTTGCCCTGCCAAGCCTCGAAGAGATTCCTGAGGTGTTCCTCGTTACTAGGCAGGAGTCCTGACGTCACTGAAGAAACTCGTGTTTTGAAGGGCCATCCCCGCCGTAAGTCGAGAACATACCCCAGGTCCCCGCCGCAACTCGAGAAAAACCATGAGACTTCCCCCTAGAGGCGAGATGAGGCCCCATTCCCCTGCAGTGCATGCAGAGCTATTCCGTGATCCCATTCAAACAAGTCAGGAGCTTCGACTTGCTTAATGGATCTCGAGACAGTCCCCAAGAACACTGTCACCAGTCTAGACGGACCCTGAGGTCACCCCAGCAACGCAAAGCAGCTCCATGTGCCCCAAATCAACTCGAGATGAGGCCCGATTCCCCTGCATTGACTCCAGAGCCATTCCCCGTTCCCCGTTCAACACGAACGGAGGCTCGCCTTCCTTCAGGCAACTCCAGAGATGCCCCGAGAACACTGTCCCAAGTCTAGAGGAACACCAACTTCAGCACAGCAACTCGAGGAATGCTCTGTGTACCCCAAATCGTCTCGAGATGAGAGCTGATTCCCTGGCTTAGGCTCAAGACGTATGCCAAATTTCCAGAAGCACCTCAGGAGGAGGCTTCTCAGCAATAGGTATGTGGGAGAGACTCCGAGTTTGCTGCCTCAAGGGGAATATACATCGAGAAGCCCTAACTTGAAAGGAGGCCGGATTTCCTTGCAGTAGCTTGAATACAGGCTTGTCTTTCATCTCACAACATGAAGGGATGTCTGAATCCCCTGTGGAGACCTTAGAGAAAGCCCTAGGTCCCTGCCTCATTTTGACGGAATGCCTCACATCCCGCTGACACCTCGAGAGGCACGCGGAGTTCATTGCTTCAAAAGGTGACGATGCCTGACTCCTCTTGAATACTGATAGGAATCCCAAAATCCCTGTGGCTACTGGAAAGGGTCCTTGGGTGCCCTGCCTCACCTCGAGAAGCGTCCCTTTTGCCCTGCCAAGCCTCGAAGAGATTCCTGAGGTGTCCGTCGTTACTAGGCAGGAGTCCTGACGTCACTGAAGAAACTCGTGTTTTGAAGGGCCATCCCCGCCGTAAGTCGAGAACATACCCCAGGTCCCCGCCGCAACTCGAGAAAAACCGCGAGACTTCGCCCTAGAGGCGAGATGAGGCCCCATTCCCCTGCAGTGCATGCAGAGCTATTCCGTGATCCCATTCAAACAAGTCAGGAGCTTCGACTTGCTTAATGGATCTCGAGACAGTCCCCAAGAACACTGTCACCAGTCTAGACGGACCCTGAGGTCACCCCAGCAACGCAAAGCTGCTCCATGTGCCCCAAATCAACTCGAGATGAGGCCCGATTCCCCTGCATTGACTCCAGAGCCATTCCCCGTTCCCCATTCAACACGACCGGTGGCTCGACTTCCTTCAGGCAACTCCAGAGATTCCCCGAGAACACTGTCCCAAGGCTAGAGGAACACCAACTTCAGCACAGCAACTCGAGGAATGTTCCGTGTACCCCAAATCATCTCGAGATGAGAGCTGATTCCCTGGCTTAGGCTCAAGACGTATGCCAACTTTCCAGAAGCATCTCAGGAGGAGGCTTCTCTCAGCAATAGGTATGTGGGAGGGACCCCGAGTTTGCTGCCTAAAGGGGAATACACAGGGAGAAGCCCTAATGTGAACGGAGGCCAGATTTCCTTGCAGTGGCTGGAATACAGGCTCGTCTTTGATCTGACAACATGAAGGGATGTCTGAATCCCCTGTGGAGACCTTAGAGGAAGCCCTAGGTCCCTGCCTCATTTTGACGGAATACCTCACATCCCCCTGACACCTCGAGAGGCACGCAGAGTTCATTGCTTCAAAAGGTGACGATGCCTGACTCCTCTTGAATACTTTTAGGAATCCCAAAATCCCTGTGGCTACTGGAAAGGGTCCTTGGGTGCCCTGGCTCACCTCGAGAAGCGTCCCTTTTGCCCTGCCAAGCCTCGAAGAGTTTGCTGAGGTGTCCCTCATTACTAGACAGGAGTCCTGACGTCACTGAAGAAACTCGTGTTTTGAAGGGCCATCCCCGCCGTAAGTCGAGAACATACCCCAGGTCCCCGCCGCAACTCGAGAAAAACCGTGAGACTTCCCCCTAGAGGCGAGATGAGGCCCCATTCCCCTGCAGTGCATGCAGAGCTATTCCGTGATCCCATTCAAACAAGTCAGGAGCTTCGACTTGCTTAATGGATCTCGAGACAGTCCCCAAGAACACTGTCACCAGTCTAGACGGAGCCTGAGGTCACCCCAGCAACGCAAAGCTGCTCCATGTGCCCCAAATCAACTCGAGATGAGGCCCGATTCCCCTGCATTGACTCCAGAGCCATTCCCCGTTCCCCGTTCAACACGACCGGTGGCTCGCCTTCCTTCAGGCAACTCCAGAGATGCCCCGAGAACACTGTCCCAAGTCTAGAGGAACACCAACTTCAGCACAGCAACTCGAGGAATGCTCTGTGTACCCCAAATCGTCTCGAGATGAGAGCTGATTCCCTGGCTTAGGCTCAAGACAAATGCCAACTTTCCAGAAGCACCTCAGGAGGAGGCTTCTCAGCAATAGGTATGTGGGAGGGACTCCGAGTTTGCTGCCTCAAGGGGAATATACATCGAGAAGCCCTAACTTGAAAGGAGGCCGGATTTCCTTGCAGTAGCTTGAATACAGGCTTGTCTTTCATCTCACAACATGAAGGGATGTCTGAATCCCCTGTGGAGACCTTAGAGAAAGCCCTAGGACCATGCCTCATTTTGACGGAATGCCTCACATCCCGCTGACACCTCGAGAGGCACGCGGAGTTCATTGCTTCAAAAGGTGACGATGCCTGACTCCTCTTGAATACTGATAGGAATCCCAAAATCCCTGTGGCTACTGGAAAGGGTCCTTGGGTGTCCTGCCTCACCTCGAGAAGCGTCCCTTTTGCCCTGCCAAGCCTCGAAGAGATTCCTGAGGTGTCCCTCGTTACTAGGCAGGAGTCCTGACGTCACTGGAGAAACTCGTGTTTTGAAGGGCCATCCCCGCCGTAAGTCGAGAACATACCCCAGGTCCCCGCCGCAAGTCGAGAAAAACCGCGAGACTTTGCCCTAGAGGCGAGATGAGGCCCCATTCCCCTGCAGTGCATGCAGAGCTATTCCGTGATCCCATTCAAACAAGTCAGGAGCTTCGACTTGCTTAATGGATCTCGAGACAGTCCCCAAGAACACTGTCACCAGTCTAGACGGACCCTGAGGTCACCCCAGCATCGCAAAGCTGCTCCATGTGCCCCAAATCAACTCGAGATGAGGCCCGATTCCCCTGCATTGACTCCAGAGCCATTCCCCGTTCCCATTCAAGACGACCGGTGGCTCGACTTCCTTCAGGCAACTCCAGAGATTCCCCGAGAACACTGTCCCAAGGCTAGAGGAACACCAACTTCAGCACAGCAACTCGAGGAATGCTCCGTGTACCCCAAATCATCTCGAGATGAGAGCTGATTCCCTGGCTTAGGCTCAAGACGTATGCCAACTTTCCAGAAGCACCTCAGGAGGAGGCTTCTCAGCAATAGGTATGTGGGAGGGACTCCAAGTTTGCTGCCTCAAGGGGAATATACATCGAGAAGCCCTAACTTGAAAGGAGGCCGGATTTCCTTGCAGTAGCTTGAATACAGGCTTGTCTTTCATCTCACAACATGAAGGGATTTCTGAATCCCCTGTGGAGACCTTAGAGAAAGCCCTAGGTCCCTGCCTCATTTTGACGGAATGCCTCACATCCGGCTGACACCTCGAGAGGCACGCGGACTTCATTACTTCAAAAGGTGACGATGCCTGACTCCTCTTGAATACTGATAGGAATCCCAAAATCCCTGTGGCTACTGGAAAGGGTCCTTGGGTGCCCTGCCTCACCTCGAGAAGCGTCCCTTTTGCCCTGCCAAGCCTCGAAGAGATTCCTGAGGTGTTCCTCGTTACTAGGCAGGAGTCCTGACGTCACTGAAGAAACTCGTGTTTTGAAGGGCCATCCCCGCCGTAAGTCGAGAACATACCCCAGGTCCCCGCCGCAACTCGAGAAAAACCATGAGACTTCCCCCTAGAGGCGAGATGAGGCCCCATTCCCCTGCAGTGCATGCAGAGCTATTCCGTGATCCCATTCAAACAAGTCAGGAGCTTCGACTTGCTTAATGGATCTCGAGACAGTCCCCAAGAACACTGTCACCAGTCTAGACGGACCCTGAGGTCACCCCAGCAACGCAAAGCAGCTCCATGTGCCCCAAATCAACTCGAGATGAGGCCCGATTCCCCTGCATTGACTCCAGAGCCATTCCCCGTTCCCCGTTCAACACGAACGGAGGCTCGCCTTCCTTCAGGCAACTCCAGAGATGCCCCGAGAACACTGTCCCAAGTCTAGAGGAACACCAACTTCAGCACAGCAACTCGAGGAATGCTCTGTGTACCCCAAATCGTCTCGAGATGAGAGCTGATTCCCTGGCTTATGCTCAAGACGTATGCCAAATTTCCAGAAGCACCTCAGGAGGAGGCTTCTCAGCAATAGGTATGTGGGAGAGACTCCGAGTTTGCTGCCTCAAGGGGAATATACATCGAGAAGCCCTAACTTGAAAGGAGGCCGGATTTCCTTGCAGTAGCTTGAATACAGGCTTGTCTTTCATCTCACAACATGAAGGGATGTCTGAATCCCCTGTGGAGACCTTAGAGAAAGCCCTAGGTCCCTGCCTCATTTTGACGGAATGCCTCACATCCCGCTGACACCTCGAGAGGCACGCGGAGTTCATTGCTTCAAAAGGTGACGATGCCTGACTCCTCTTGAATACTGATAGGAATCCCAAAATCCCTGTGGCTACTGGAAAGGGTCCTTGGGTGCCCTGCCTCACCTCGAGAAGCGTCCCTTTTCCCCTGCCAAGCCTCGAAGAGATTCCTGAGGTGTCCGTCGTTACTAGGCAGGAGTCCTGACGTCACTGAAGAAACTCGTGTTTTGAAGGGCCATCCCCGCCGTAAGTCGAGAACATACCCCAGGTCCCCGCCGCAACTCGAGAAAAACCGTGAGACTTCCCCCTGGAGGCGAGATGAAGCCCCATTCCCCTGCAGTGCATGCAGAGCTATTCCGTGATCCCATTCAAACAAGTCAGGAGCTTCGACTTGCTTAATGGATCTCGAGACAGTCCCCAAGAACACTGTCACCAGTCTAGACGGACCCTGAGGTCACCCCAGCAACGCAAAGCTGCTCCATGTGCCCCAAATCAACTCGAGATGAGGCCCGATTCCCCTGCATTGACTCCAGAGCCATTCCCCGTTCCCCATTCAAGATGACCGGTGGCTCGACTTCCTTCAGGCAACTCCAGAGATTCCCCGAGAACACTGTCCGAAGGCTAGAGGAACACCAACTTCAGCACAGCAACTCGAGGAATGATCCGTGTACCCCAAATCATCTCGAGATGAGAGCTGATTCCCTGGCTTAGGCTCAAGACGTATGCCAACTTTCCAGAAACATCTCAGGAGGAGGCTTCTCTCAGCAATAGGTATGTGGGAGGGACCCTGTGTTTGCTGCCTCAAGGGGAATACACAGGGAGAAGCCCTAATGTGAACGGAGGACAGATTTCCTTGCAGAGGGTTGAATACAGGCTCGTCTTTGATCTGACAACATGAAGGGTTGTCTGAATCCCCTGTGGAGACCTTAGAGGAAGCCCTAGGTCCCTGCCTCATTTTGACGGAATGCCTCACATCCCCCTGACACTTCGAGAGGCACGCAGAGTTCATTGCTTCAAAAGGTGACGATGCCTGACTCCTCTTGAATACTTATAGGAATCCCAATATCCCTGTTGCTACTGGAAAGGGTCCTTGGGTGCCCTGGCTCACCTCGAGAAGCGTCCCTTTTGCCCTGCCAAGCCTCGAGGAGATTGCTGAGGTGTCCCTCGTTACTAGACAGGAGTCCTGACGTCACTGAAGAAACTCGTGTTTTGAAGGGCCATCCCCGCCGTAAGTCGAGAACATACCCCAGGTCCCCGCCGCAACTCGAGAAAAACCATGAGACATCCCCCTATAGGCGAGATGAGGCCCCATTCCCCTGCAGTGCATGCAGAGCTCTTCCGTGATCCCATTCAAACAAGTCAGGAGCTTTGACTTGCTTAATGGATCTCGAGACAGTCCCCAAGAACACTGTCACCAGTCTAGACGGACCCTGAGGTCACCTCAGCAACGCAAAGCAGCTCCATGTGCCCCAAATCAACTCGAGATGAGGCCCGATTCCCCTGCATTGACTCCAGAGCCATTCCCCGTTCCCCGTTCAACACGAACGGAGGCTCGAGTTCCTTCACGCAACTCCAGAGATGCCCCGAGAACACTGTCCCAAGTCTAGAGGAACACCAACTTCAGCACAGCAACTCGAGGTATGATCCGTGTACCCCAAATCGTCTCGAGATGAGAGCTGATTCCCTGGCTTAGGCTCAAGACGTATGCCAAATTTCCAGAAGCACCTCAGGAGGAGGCTTCTCAGCAATAGGTATGTGGGAGAGACTCCGAGTTTGCTGCCTCAAGGGGAATATACATCGAGAAGCCCTAACTTGAAAGGAGGACGGATTTCCTTGCAGTAGCTTGAATACAGGCTTGTCTTTCATCTCACAACATGAAGGGATGTCTGAATCCCCTGTGGAGACCTTAGAGAAAGCCCTAGGTCCCTGCCTCATTTTGACGGAATACCTCACATCCCCCTGACACCTCGAGAGGCACGCAGAGTTCATTGCTTCAAAAGGTGACGATGCCTGACTCCTCTTGAATACTGATAGGAATCCCAAAATCCCTGTGGCTACAGGAAAGGGTCCTTGGGTGCCCTGCCTCACCTCGAGAAGCGTCCCTTTTGCCCTGCCAAGCCTCGAAGAGATTCCTGAGGTGTCCCTCGTTACTAGACAGGAGTCCTGACGTCACTGAAGAAACTCGTGTTTGGAAGGGCCATCCCCGCCGTAAGTCGAGAACATACCCCAGGTCCCCGCCGCAACTCGAGAAAAACCGTGAGACTTCCCCCTGGAGGCGAGATGAAGCCCCATTCCCCTGCAGTGCATGCAGAGCTATTCCGTGATCCCATTCAAACAAGTCAGGAGCTTCGACTTGCTTAATGGATCTCGAGACAGTCCCCAAGAACACTGTCACCAGTCTAGACGGACCCTGAGGTCACCCCAGCAACGCAAAGCTGCTCCATGTGCCCCAAATCAACTCGAGATGAGGCCCGATTCCCCTGCATTGACTCCAGAGCCATTCCCCGTTCCCCATTCAAGATGACCAGTGGCTCGACTTCCTTCAGGCAACTCCAGAGATTCCCCGAGAACACTGTCCGAAGGCTAGAGGAACACCAACTTCAGCCCAGCAACTCGAGGAATGATCCGTGTACCCCAAATCATCTCGAGATGAGAGCTGATTCCCTGGCTTAGGCTCAAGACGTATGCCAACTTTCCAGAAACATCTCAGGAGGAGGCTTCTCTCAGCAATAGGTATGTGGGAGGGACCCTGTGTTTGCTGCCTCAAGGGGAATACACAGGGAGAAGCCCTAATGTGAACGGAGGACAGATTTCCTTGCAGAGGGTTGAATACAGGCTCGTCTTTGATCTGACAACATGAAGGGTTGTCTGAATCCCCTGTGGAGACCTTAGAGGAAGCCCTAGGTCCCTGCCTCATTTTGACAGAATGCCTCACATCCCCCTGACACCTCGAGAGGCACGCAGAGTTCATTGCTTCAAATGGTGACGATGCCTGACTCCTCTTGAATACTTATAGGAATCCCAAAATCCCTGTTGCTACTGGAAAGGGTCCTTGGGTGCCCTGGCTCACCTCGAGAAGCGTCCCTTTTGCCCTGCCAAGCCTCGAAGAGATTGCTGAGGTGTCCCTCGTTACTAGACAGGAGTCCTGACGTCACTGAAGAAACTCGTGTTTTGAAGGGCCATCCCCGCCGTAAGTCGAGAACATACCCCAGGTCCCCGCCGCAACTCGAGAAAAACCATGAGACATCCCCCTATAGGCGAGATGAGGCCCCATTCCCCTGCAGTGCATGCAGAGATCTTCCGTGATCCCATTCAAACAAGTCAGGAGCTTTGACTTGCTTAATGGATCTCGAGACAGTCCCCAAGAACACTGTCACCAGTCTAGACGGACCCTGAGGTCACCTCAGCAACGCAAAGCAGCTCCATGTGCCCCAAATCAACTCGAGATGAGGCCCGATAACCCTGCATTGACTCCAGAGCCATTCCCCGTTCCCCGTTCAACACGAACGGAGGCTCGCCTTCCTTCACGCAACTCCAGAGATGCCCCGAGAACACTGTCCCAAGTCTAGAGGAACACCAACTTCAGCACAGCAACTCGAGGTATGATCTGTGTACCCCAAATCGTCTCGAGATGAGAGCTGATTCCCTGGCTTAGGCTCAAGACGTATGCCAAATTTCCAGAAGCACCTCAGGAGGAGGCTTCTCAGCAATAGGTATGTGGGAGGGACTCCAAGTTTGCTGCCTCAAGGGGAATATACATCGAGAAGCCCTAACTTGAAAGGAGGCCGGATTTCCTTGCAGTAGCTTGAATACAGGCTTGTCTTTCATCTCACAACATGAAGGGATTTCTGAATCCCCTGTGGAGACCTTAGAGAAAGCCCTAGGTCCCTGCCTCATTTTGACGGAATGCCTCACATCCGGCTGACACCTCGAGAGGTACGCGGACTTCATTACTTCAGAAGGTGACGATGCCTGACTCCTCTTGAATACTGATAGGAATCCCAAAATCCCTGTGGCTACTGGAAAGGGTCCTTGGGTGCCCTGCCTCACCTCGAGAAGCGTCCCTTTTGCCCTGCCAAGCCTCGAAGAGATTCCTGAGGTGTCCCTCGTTACTAGGCAGGAGTCCTGACGTCACTGAAGAAACTCGTGTTTTGAAGGGCCATCCCCGCCGTAAGTCGAGAACATACCCCAGGGCCCCGCCGCAACTCGAGAAAAACCATGAGACTTCCCCCTAGAGGCGAGATGAGGCCCCATTCCCCTGCAGTGCATGCAGAGCTATTCCGTGATCCCATTCAAACAAGTCAGGAGCTTCGACTTGCTTAATGGATCTCGAGACAGTCCCCAAGAACACTGTCACCAGTCTAGACGGACCCTGAGGTCACCCCAGCAACGCAAAGCAGCTCCATGTGCCCCAAATCAACTCGAGATGAGGCCCGATTCCCCTGCATTGACTCCAGAGCCATTCCCCGTTCCCCGTTCAACACGAACGGAGGCTCGCCTTCCTTCAGGCAACTCCAGAGATGCCCCGAGAACACTGTCCCAAGTCTAGAGGAACACCAACTTCAGCACAGCAACTCGAGGAATGCTCTGTGTACCCCAAATCGTCTCGAGATGAGAGCTGATTCCCTGGCTTAGGCTCAAGACGTATGCCAAATTTCCAGAAGCATCTCAGGAGGAGGCTTCTCTCAGCAATAGGTATGTGGGAGGGACCCCGAGTTTGCTGCCTCAAGGGGAATACACAGGGAGAAGCCCTATTGTGAACGGAGGCCAGATTTCCTTGCAGTGACTGGAATACAGGCTAGTCTTTGATCTGACAACATGAAGGGATGTCTGAATCCCCTGTGGAGACCTTAGAGGAAGCCCTAGGTCCCTGCCTCATTTTGACGGAATACCTCACATCCCCCTGACACCTCGAGAGGCACGCAGAGTTCATTGCTTCAAAAGGTGACGATGCCTGACTCCTCTTGAATACTGATAGGAATCCCAAAATCACCTGTGGCTACAGGAAAGGGTCCTTGGGTGCCCTGCCTCACCTCGAGAAGCGTCCCTTTTGCCCTGCCAAGCCTCGAAGAGATTCCTGAGGTGTCCCTCGTTACTAGGCAGGAGTCCTGACGTCACTGGAGAAACTCGTGTTTTGAAGGGCCATCCCCGCCGTAAGTCGAGAACATACCCCAGGTCCCCGCCGCAACTCGAGAAAAACCGTGAGACTTCACCCTAGAGGCGGGATGAAGCCCCATTCCCCTGCAGTGCATGCAGAGCTATTCCGTGATCCCATTCAAACAAGTCAGGAGCTTCGACTTGCTTAATGGATCTCGAGACAGTCCCCAAGAACACTGTCACCAGTCTAGACGGACCCTGAGGTCACCCCAGCAACGCAAAGCTGCTCCATGTGCCCCAAATCAACTCGAGATGAGGCCCGATTCCCCTGCATTGACTCCAGAGCCATTCCCCGTTCCCCATTCAAGATGACCGGTGGCTCGACTTCCTTCAGGCAACTCCAGAGATTCCCCGAGAACACTGTCCGAAGGCTAGAGGAACACCAACTTCAGCACAGCAACTCGAGGAATGATCCGTGTACCCCAAATCATTTCGAGATGAGAGCTGATTCCCTGGCTTAGGCTCAAGACGTATGCCAACTTTCCAGAAGCATCTCAGGAGGAGGCTTCTCTCAGCAATAGGTATGTGGGAGGGACCCCGTGTTTGCTGCCTCAAGGGGAATACACAGGGAGAAGCCCTAATGTGAACAGAGGCCAGATTTCCTTGCAGAGGGTTGAATACAGGCTCGTCTTTGATCTGACAACATTAAGGGATGTCTGAATACCCTGTGGAGACCGTAGAGGAAGCCCTAGGTCCCTGCCTCATTTTGACGGAATACCTCACATCCCCCTGACACCTCGAGAGGCACGCAGAGTTTATTGCTTCAAAAGGTGACGATGCCTGACTCCTCTTGAATACTTATAGGAATCCCAAAATCCCTGTGGCTACTGGAAAGGGTCCTTGGGTGCCCTGGCTCACCTCGAGAAGCGTCCCCTTTGCCCTGCCAAGCCTCGAAGAGATTGCTGAGGTGTCCCTCGTTACTAGACAGGAGTCCTGACGTCACTGAAGAAACTCGTGTTTTGAAGGGCCATCCCCGCCGTAAGTCGAGAACATACCCCAGGTCCCCGCCGCAACTCGAGAAAAACCATGAGACTTCCCCCTAGAGGCGAGATGAGGCCCCATTCCCCTGCAGTGCATGCAGAGCTATTCCGTGATCCCATTCAAACAAGTCAGGAGCTTCGACTTGCTTAATGGATCTCGAGACAGTCCCCAAGAACACTGTCACCAGTCTAGACGGACCCTGAGGTCACCCCAGCAACGCAAAGCTGCTCCATGTGCCCCAAATCAACTCGAGATGAGCCCCGATTCCCCTGCATTGATTCCAGAGCCATTCCCCGTTCCCCATTCAACACGACCGGTGGCTCGACTTCCTTCAGGCAACTGCAGAGATGCCCCGAGAACACTTTCCCAAGTCTAGAGGAACACCAACTTCAGCCCAGCAACTCAAGGAATGCTCCGTGTACCCCAAATCATCTCGAGATGAGAGCTGATTCCCTGGCTTAGGCTCAAGACGTATGCCAACTTTCCAGAAGCACCTCAGGAGGAGGCTTCTCTCAGCAATAGGTATGTGGGAGGGACCCCGAGTTTGCTGCCTCAAGGGGAATATACAGCGAGAAGCCCTAACTTGAAAGGAGGCCGGATTTCCTTGCAGTGGCTTGAATACAGGCTCGTCTTTGATCTGACAACATGAAAGGATGTCTGAATCCCCTGTGGAGACCTTAGAGGAAGCCCTATTTCCTTGCCTCATTTTGACGGAATACCTCACATCCCCCTGACACCTCGAGAGGAACGCAGAGTTCATTGCTTCAAAAGGTGACGATGCCTGACTCCTCTTGAATACTGATAGGAATCCCAAAATCCCTGTTGCTACTGGAAAGCGTCCTTGGGTGCCCTGGCTCACCTCGAGAAGCGTCCCTTTTGCCCTGCCAAGCCTCGAAGAGATTGCTGAGGTGTCCCTCGTTACTAGACAGGAGTCCTGACGTCACTGAAGAAACTCGTGTTTTGAAGGGCCATCCGCGCCGTAAGTCGAGAACATACCCCAGGTCCCCGCCGCAACTCGAGAAAAACCATGAGACTTCCCCCTAGAGGCGAGATGAGGCCCCATTCCCCTGCAGTGCATGCAGAGCTATTCCGTGATCCCATTCAAACAAGTCAGGAGCTTCGACTTGCTTAATGGATCTCGAGACAGTCCCCAAGAACACTGTCACCAGTCTAGACGGACCCTGAGGTCACCCCAGCAACGCAAAGCAGCTCCATGTGCCCCAAATCAACTCGAGATGAGGCCCGATTCCCCTGCACTGACTCCAGAGCCATTCCCCGTTCCCCGTTCAACACGAACGGAGGCTCGCCTTCCTTCAGGCAACTCCACAGATGCCCCGAGAACACTGTCCCAAGTCTAGAGGAACACCAACTTCAGCACAGCAACTCAAGGAGTGCTCCGAGTACCCCAAATCATCTCGAGATGAGAGCTGATTCCCTGGCTTAGGCTCAAGACATATGCCAACTTTCCAAAGCACCTCAGGAGGAGGCTTCTCTCAGCAATAGTTATGTGGGAGGGACCCCGGGTTTGCTGCCTCAAGGGGAATATACAGCGAGAAGCCCTAACTTGAAAGGAGGCCGGATTTCCTTGCAGTGGCTTGAATACAGGCTCGTCTTTGATCTGACAACATGAAGGTATGTCTGAATCCCCTGTGGAGACCTTAGAGAAAGCCCTAGGTCCCTGCCTCATTTTGACGGAATGCCTCACATCCCGCTGACACCTCGAGAGGCACGCGGAGTTCATTGCTTCAAAAGGTGACGATGCCTGACTCCTCTTGAATACTGATAGGAATCCCAAAATCCCTGTGGCTACTGGAAAGGGTCCTTGGGTGTCCTGCCTCACCTCGAGAAGCGTCCCTTTTGCCCTGCCAAGCCTCGAAGAGATTCCTGAGGTGTCCCTCGTTACTAGGCAGGAGTCCTGACGTCACTGGAGAAACTCGTGTTTTGAAGGGCCATCCCCTCCGTAAGTCGAGAACATACCCCAGGTCCCCGCTGCAACTCGAGAAAAACCGTGAGACTTCCCCCTAGAGGCGAGATGAGGCCCCATTCCCCTGCAGTGCATGCAGAGCTATTCCGTGATCCCATTCAAACAAGTCAGGAGCTTCGACTTGCTTAATGGATCTTGAGACAGTCCCCAAGAACACTGTCACCAGTCTAGACGGAGCCTGAGGTCACCCCAGCAACGCAAAGCTGCTCCATGTGCCCCAAATCAACTCGAGATGAGGCCCGATTCCCCTGCATTGACTCCAGAGCCATTCCCCGTTCCCCGTTCAACACGAACGGAGGCTCGCCTTCCTTCAGGCAACTCCACAGATGCCCCGAGAACACTGTCCCAAGTCTAGAGGAACACGAACTTCAGCACAGCAACTCGAGGAGTGCTCCGAGTACCACAAATCCTCTCGAGATGAGAGCTGATTCCCTGGCTTAGGCTCAAGACATATGCCAACTTTCCAAAGCACCTCAGGAGGAGGCTTTTCTCAGCAATAGTTATGTGGGAGGGACCCCGGGTTTGCTGCCTCAAGGGGAATATACAGCGAGAAGCCCTAACTTGAAAGGAGGCCGGATTTCCTTGCAGTGGCTTGAATACAGGCTCGTCTTTGATCTGACAACATGAAGGTATGTCTGAATCCCCTGTGGAGACCTTAGAGGAAGCCCTATTTCCCTGCCTCATTTTGACGGAATACCTCACATCCCCCTGAAACCTCGAGAGGCACGCAGAGTTCATTGCTTCAAAAGGTGACGATGCCTGACTCCTCTTGAATACTTATAGGAATCCCCAAATCCCTGTTGCTACTGGAAAGGGTCCTTGGGTGCCCTGGCTCACCTCGAGAAGCGTCCCCTTTGCCCTGCCAAGCCTCGAAGAGATTCCTGAGTGTCCCTCGTTACTAGACAGGAGTACTGACGTCACTGAAGAAACTCGTGTTTTGAAGGGCCATCCCCGCCGTAAGTCGAGAACATACCCCAGGGCCCCGCCGCAACTCGAGAAAAACCATGAGACTTCCCCCTATAGGCGAGATGAGGCCCCATTCCCCTGCAGTGCATGCAGAGCTATTCCGTGATCCCATTCAAACAAGTCAGGAGCTTCGACTTGCTTAATGGATCTCGAGACAGTCCCCAAGAACACTGTCACCAGTCTAGACGGACCCTGAGGTCACCCCAGCAACGCAAAGCAGCTCCATGTGCCCCAAATCAACTCGAGATGAGGCCCGATTCCCCTGCATTGACTCCAGAGCCATTCCCCGTTCCCCGTTCAACACGAACGGAGGCTCGCCTTCCTTCAGGCAACTCCAGAGATGCCCCGAGAACACTGTCCCAAGTCTAGAGGAACACCAACTTCAGCACAGCAACTCGAGAAATGCTCTGTGTACCCCAAATCGTCTCGAGATGAGAGCTGATTCCCTGGCTTAGGCTCAAGACGTATGCCAAGTTTCCAGAAGCACCTCAGGAGGAGGCTTCTCAGCAATAGGTATGTGGGAGGGACTCCGAGTTTGCTGCCTCAAGGGGAATATACATCGAGAAGCCCTAACTTGAAAGGAGGCCGGATTTCCTTGCAGTAGCTTGAATACAGGCTTGTCTTTCATCTCACAACATGAAGGGATGTCTGAATCCCCTGTGGAGACCTTAGAGAAAGCCCTAGGTCCCTGCCTCATTTTGACGGAATGCCTCACATCCCGCTGACACCTCGAGAGGCACGCAGAGTTCATTGCTTCAAAAGGTGACGATGCCTGACTCCTCTTGAATACTGATAGGAATCCCAAAATCACCTGTGGCTACAGGAAAGGGTCCTTGGGTGCCCTGCCTCACCTCGAGAAGCGTCCCTTTTGCCCTGCCAAGCCTCGAAGAGATTCCTGAGGTGTCCCTCGTTACTAGGCAGGAGTCCTGACGTGACTGGAGAAACTCGAGTTTTGAAGGGCCATCCCCGCCGTAAGTCGAGAACATACCCCAGGTCCCCGCCGCAACTCGAGAAAAATCGTGAGACTTCCCCCTGGAGGCGAGATGAAGCCCCATTCCCCTGCAGTGCATGCAGAGCTATTCCGTGATCCCATTCAAACAAGTCAGGAGCTTCGACTTGCTTAATGGATCTCGAGACAGTCCCCAAGAACACTGTCACCAGTCTAGACGGACCCTGAGGTCACCCCAGCAACGCAAAGCTGCTCCATGTGCCCCAAATCAACTCGAGATGAGGCCCGATTCCCCTGCATTGACTCCAGAGCCATTCCCCGTTCCCCATTCAACACGACCGGTGGCTCGACTTCCTTCAGGCAACTCCAGAGATTCCCCGAGAACACTGTCCCAAGGCTAGAGGAACACCAACTTCAGCACAGCAACTCGAGGAATGCTCCGTGTACCCCAAATCATCTCGAGATGAGAGCTGATTCCCTGGCTTAGGCTCAAGACGTATGCCAACTTTCCAGAAGCATCTCAGGAGGAGGCTTCTCTCAGCAATAGGTATGTGGGAGGGACCCCGTGTTTGCTGCCTCAAGGGGAATACACAGGGAGAAGCCCTAATGTGAACAGAGGCCAGATTTCCTTGCAGAGGGTTGAATACAGGCTCGTCTTTGATCTGACAACATTAAGGGATGTCTGAATACCCTGTGGAGACCGTAGAGGAAGCCCTAGGTCCCTGCCTCATTTTGACGGAATACCTCACATCCCCCTGACACCTCGAGAGGCACGCAGAGTTTATTGCTTCAAAAGGTGACGATGCCTGACTCCTCTTGAATACTTATAGGAATCCCAAAATCCCTGTGGCTACTGGAAAGGGTCCTTGGGTGCCCTGGCTCACCTCGAGAAGCATCCCCTTTGCCCTGCCAAGCCTCGAAGATATTGCTGAGGTGTCCCTCGTTACTAGACAGGAGTCCTGACGTCACTGAAGAAACTCGTGTTTTGAAGGGCCATCCCCGCCGTAAGTCGAGAACATACCCCAGGTCCCCGCCGCAACTCGAGAAAAACCATGAGACTTCCCCCTAGAGGCGAGATGAGGCCCCATTCCCCTGCAGTGCATGCAGAGCTATTCCGTGATCCCATTCAAACAAGTCAGGAGCTTCGACTTGCTTAATGGATCTCGAGACAGTCCCCAAGAACACTGTCACCAGTCTAGACGGACCCTGAGGTCACCCCAGCAACGCAAAGCTGCTCCATGTGCCCCAAATCAACTCGAGATGAGCCCCGATTCCCCTGCATTGATTCCAGAGCCATTCCCCGTTCCCCATTCAACACGACCGGTGGCTCGACTTCCTTCAGGCAACTGCAGAGATGCCCCGAGAACACTTTCCCAAGTCTAGAGGAACACCAACTTCAGCCCAGCAACTCGAGGAATGCTCCGTGTACCCCAAATCATCTCGAGATGAGAGCTGATTCCCTGGCTTAGGCTCAAGACGTATGCCAACTTTCCAGAAGCACCTCAGGAGGAGGCTTCTCTCAGCAATAGGTATGTGGGAGGGACCCCGAGTTTGCTGCCTCAAGGGGAATATACAGCGAGAAGCCCTAACTTGAAAGGAGGCCGGATTTCCTTGCAGTGGCTTGAATACAGGCTCGTCTTTGATCTGACAACATGAAAGGATGTCTGAATCCCCTGTGGAGACCTTAGAGGAAGCCCTATTTCCTTGCCTCATTTTCACGGAATACCTCACATCCCCCTGACACCTCGAGAGGAACGCAGAGTTCATTGCTTCAAAAGGTGACGATGCCTGACTCCTCTTGAATACTGATAGGAATCCCAAAATCCCTGTTGCTACTGGAAAGCGTCCTTGGGTGCCCTGGCTCACCTCGAGAAGCGTCCCTTTTGCCCTGCCAAGCCTCGAAGAGATTGCTGAGGTGTCCCTCGTTACTAGACAGGAGTCCTGACGTCACTGAAGAAACTCGTGTTTTGAAGGGCCATCCGCGCCGTAAGTCGAGAACATACCCCAGGTCCCCGCCGCAACTCGAGAAAAACCATGAGACTTCCCCCTAGAGGCGAGATGAGGCCCCATTCCCCTGCAGTGCATGCAGAGCTATTCCGTGATCCCATTCAAACAAGTCAGGAGCTTCGACTTGCTTAATGGATCTCGAGACAGTCCCCAAGAACACTGTCACCAGTCTAGACGGACCCTGAGGTCACCCCAGCAACGCAAAGCAGCTCCATGTGCCCCAAATCAACTCGAGATGAGGCCCGATTCCCCTGCATTGACTCCAGAGCCATTCCCCGTTCCCCGTTCAACACGAACGGAGGCTCGCCTTCCTTCAGGCAACTCCACAGATGCCCCGAGAACACTGTCCCAAGTCTAGAGGAACACCAACTTCAGCACAGCAACTCGAGGAGTGCTCCGAGTACCCCAAATCATCTCGAGATGAGAGCTGATTCCCTGGCTTAGGCTCAAGACATATGCCAACTTTCCAAAGCACCTCAGGAGGAGGCTTCTCTCAGCAATAGTTATGTGGGAGGGACCCCGGGTTTGCTGCCTCAAGGGGAATATACAGCGAGAAGCCCTAACTTGAAAGGAGGCCGGATTTCCTTGCAGTGGCTTGAATACAGGCTCGTCTTTGATCTGACAACATGAAGGTATGTCTGAATCCCCTGTGGAGACCTTAGAGAAAGCCCTAGGTCCCTGCCTCATTTTGACGGAATGCCTCACATCCCGCTGACACCTCGAGAGGCACGCGGAGTTCATTGCTTCAAAAGGTGACGATGCCTGACTCCTCTTGAATACTGATAGGAATCCCAAAATCCCTGTGGCTACTGGAAAGGGTCCTTGGGTGTCCTGCCTCACCTCGAGAAGCGTCCCTTTTGCCCTGCCAAGCCTCGAAGAGATTCCTGAGGTGTCCCTCGTTACTAGGCAGGAGTCCTGACGTCACTGGAGAAACTCGAGTTTTGAAGGGCCATCCCCTCCGTAAGTCGAGAACATACCCCAGGTCCCCGCTGCAACTCGAGAAAAACCGTGAGACTTCCCCCTAGAGGCGAGATGAGGCCCCATTCCCCTGCAGTGCATGCAGAGCTATTCCGTGATCCCATTCAAACAAGTCAGGAGCTTCGACTTGCTTAATGGATCTTGAGACAGTCCCCAAGAACACTGTCACCAGTCTAGACGGAGCCTGAGGTCACCCCAGCAACGCAAAGCTGCTCCATGTGCCCCAAATCAACTCGAGATGAGGCCCGATTCCCCTGCATTGACTCCAGAGCCATTCCCCGTTCCCCGTTCAACACGAACGGAGGCTCGCCTTCCTTCAGGCAACTCCACAGATGCCCCGAGAACACTGTCCCAAGTCTAGAGGAACACGAACTTCAGCACAGCAACTCGAGGAGTGCTCCGAGTACCCCAAATCATCTCGAGATGAGAGCTGATTCCCTGGCTTAGGCTCAAGACATATGCCAACTTTCCAAAGCACCTCAGGAGGAGGCTTTTCTCAGCAATAGTTATGTGGGAGGGACCCCGGGTTTGCTGCCTCAAGGGGAATATACAGCGAGAAGCCCTAACTTGAAAGGAGGCCGGATTTCCTTGCAGTGGCTTGAATACAGGCTCGTCTTTGATCTGACAACATGAAGGTATGTCTGAATCCCCTGTGGAGACCTTAGAGGAAGCCCTATTTCCCTGCCTCATTTTGACGGAATACATCACATCCCCCTGAAACCTCGAGAGGCACGCAGAGTTCATTGCTTCAAAAGGTGACGATGCCTGACTCCTCTTGAATACTTATAGGAATCCCCAAATCCCTGTTGCTACTGGAAAGGGTCCTTGGGTGCCCTGGCTCACCTCGAGAAGCGTCCCCTTTGCCCTGCCAAGCCTCGAAGAGATTCCTGAGTGTCCCTCGTTACTAGACAGGAGTACTGACGTCACTGAAGAAACTCGTGTTTTGAAGGGCCATCCCCGCCGTAAGTCGAGAACATACCCCAGGGCCCCGCCGCAACTCGAGAAAAACCATGAGACTTCCCCCTATAGGCGAGATGAGGCCCCATTCCCCTGCAGTGCATGCAGAGCTATTCCGTGATCCCATTCAAACAAGTCAGGAGCTTCGACTTGCTTAATGGATCTCGAGACAGTCCCCAAGAACACTGTCACCAGTCTAGACGGACCCTGAGGTCACCCCAGCAACGCAAAGCAGCTCCATGTGCCCCAAATCAACTCGAGATGAGGCCCGATTCCCCTGCATTGACTCCAGAGCCATTCCCCGTTCCCCGTTCAACACGAACGGAGGCTCGCCTTCCTTCAGGCAACTCCAGAGATGCCCCGAGAACACTGTCCCAAGTCTAGAGGAACACCAACTTCAGCACAGCAACTCGAGAAATGCTCTGTGTACCCCAAATCGTCTCGAGATGAGAGCTGATTCCCTGGCTTAGGCTCAAGACGTATGCCAAGTTTCCAGAAGCACCTCAGGAGGAGGCTTCTCAGCAATAGGTATGTGGGAGGGACTCCGAGTTTGCTGCCTCAAGGGGAATATACATCGAGAAGCCCTAATGTGAACGGAGGACAGATTTCCTTGCAGAGGGTTGAATACAGGCTCGTCTTTGATCTGACAACATGAAGGGTTGTCTGAATCCCCTGTGGAGACCTTAGAGGAAGCCCTAGGTCCCTGCCTCATTTTGACGGAATACCTCACATCCCCCTGACACCTCGAGAGGCACGCAGAGTTCATTGCTTCAAAAGGTGACGATGCCTGACTCCTCTTGAATACTTATAGGAATCCCAAAATCCCTGTGGCTACTGGAAAGGGTCCTTGGGTGCCCTGGCTCACCTCGAGAAGCGTCCCTTTTGCCCTGCCAAGCCTCGAAGAGATTGCTGAGGTGTCCCTCGTTACTAGACAGGAGTCCTGACGTCACTGAAGAAACTCGTGTTTTGAAGGGCCATCCCCGCCGTAAGTCGAGAACATACCCCAGGTCCCCGCCGCAACTCGAGAAAAACCATGAGACATCCCCCTATAGGCGAGATGAGGCCCCATTCCCCTGCAGTGCATGCAGAGCTCTTCCGTGATCCCATTCAAACAAGTCAGGAGCTTTGACTTGCTTAATGGATCTCGAGACAGTCCCCAAGAACACTGTCACCAGTCTCGACGGACCCTGAGGTCACCTCAGCAACGCAAAGCAGCTCCATGTGCCCCAAATCAACTCGAGATGAGGCCCGATTCCCCTGCATTGACTCCAGAGCCATTCCCCGTTCCCCGTTCAACACGAACGGAGGCTCGCCTTCCTTCACGCAACTCCAGAGATGCCCCGAGAACACTGTCCCAAGTCTAGAGGAACACCAACTTCAGCACAGCAACTCGAGGTATGATCCGTGTACCCCAAATCGTCTCGAGATGAGAGCTGATTCCCTGGCTTAGGCTCAAGACGTATGCCAAATTTCCAGAAGCACCTCAGGAGGAGGCTTCTCAGCAATAGGTATGTGGGAGGGACTCCAAGTTTGCTGCCTCAAGGGGAATATACATCGAGAAGCCCTAACTTGAAAGGAGGCCGGATTTCCTTGCAGTAGCTTGAATACAGGCTTGTCTTTCATCTCACAACATGAAGGGATTTCTGAATCCCCTGTGGAGACCTTAGAGAAAGCCCTAGGTCCCTGCCTCATTTTGACGGAATGCCTCACATCCCGCTGACACCTCGAGAGGCACGCGGACTTCATTACTTCAAAAGGTGACGATGCCTGACTCCTCTTGAATACTGATAGGAATCCCAAAATCCCTGTGGCTACTGGAAAGGGTCCTTGGGTGCCCTGCCTCACCTCGAGAAGCGTCCCTTTTGCCCTGCCAAGCCTCGAAGAGATTCCTGAAGTGTCCCTCGTTACTAGGCAGGAGTCCTGACGTCACTGAAGAAACTCGTGTTTTGAAGGGCCATCCCCGCCGTAAGTCGAGAACATACCCCAGGTCCCCGCCGCAACTCGAGAAAAACCATGAGACTTCCCCCTAGAGGCGAGATGAGGCCCCATTCCCCTGCAGTGCATGCAGAGCTATTCCGTGATCCCATTCAAACAAGTCAGGAGCTTCGACTTGCTTAACGGATCTCGAGACAGTCCCCAAGAACACTGTCACCAGTCTAGACGGACCCTGAGGTCACCCCAGCAACGCAAAGCAGCTCCATGTGCCCCAAATCAACTCGAGATGAGGCCCGATTCCCCTGCATTGACTCCAGAGCCATTCCCCGTTCCCCGTTCAACACGAACGGATGCTCGCCTTCCTTCAGGCAACTCCAGAGATGCCCCGAGAACACTGTCCCAAGTCTAGAGGAACACCAACTTCAGCACAGCAACTCGAGGAATGCTCTGTGTACCCCAAATCGTCTCGAGATGAGAGCTGATTCCCTGACTTAGGCTCAAGACGTATGCCAAATTTCCAGAAGCACCTCAGGAGGAGGCTTCTCAGCAATAGGTATGTGGGAGAGACTCCGAGTTTGCTGCCTCAAGGGGAATATACATCGAGAAGCCCTAACTTGAAAGGAGGCCGGATTTCCTTGCAGTAGCTTGAATACAGGCTTGTCTTTCATCTCACAACATGAAGGGATGTCTGAATCCCCTGTGGAGACCTTAGAGAAAGCCCTAGGTCACTGCCTCATTTTGACGGAATGCCTCACATCCCGCTGACACCTCGAGAGGCACGCGGAGTTCATTGCTTCAAAAGGTGACGATGCCTGACTCCTCTTGAATACTGATAGGAATCCCAAAATCCCTGTGGCTACTGGAAAGGGTCCTTGGGTGCCCTGCCTCACCTCGAGAAGCGTCCCTTTTGCCCTGCCAAGCCTCGAAGAGATTCCTGAGGTGTCCGTCGTTACTAGGCAGGAGTCCTGACGTCACTGAAGAAACTCGTGTTTTGAAGGGCCATCCCCGCCGTAAGTCGAGAACATACCCCAGGTCCCCGCCGCAACTCGAGAAAAACCGTGAGACTTCCCCCTGGAGGCGAGATGAAGCCCCATTCCCCTGCAGTGCATGCAGAGCTATTCCGTGATCCCATTCAAACAAGTCAGGAGCTTCGACTTGCTTAATGGATCTCGAGACAGTCCCCAAGAACACTGTCACCAGTCTAGACGGACCCTGAGGTCACCCCAGCAACGCAAAGCTGCTCCATGTGCCCCAAATCAACTCGAGATGAGGCCCGATTCCCCTGCATTGACTCCAGAGCCATTCCCCGTTCCCCATTCAAGATGACCGGTGGCTCGACTTCCTTCAGGCAACTCCAGAGATTCCCCGAGAACACTGTCCGAAGGCTAGAGGAACACCAACTTCAGCACAGCAACTCGAGGAATGATCCGTGTACCCCAAATCATCTCGAGATGAGAGCTGATTCCCTGGCTTAGGCTCAAGACGTATGCCAACTTTCCAGAAACATCTCAGGAGGAGGCTTCTCTCAGCAATAGGTATGTGGGAGGGACCCTGTGTTTGCTGCCTCAAGGGGAATACACAGGGAGAAGCCCTAATGTGAACGGAGGACAGATTTCCTTGCAGAGGGTTGAATACAGGCTCGTCTTTGATCTGACAACATGAAGGGTTGTCTGAATCCCCTGTGGAGACCTTAGAGGAAGCCCTAGGTCCCTGCCTCATTTTGACAGAATGCCTCACATCCCCCTGACACCTCGAGAGGCACGCAGAGTTCATTGCTTCAAAAGGTGACGATGCCTGACTCCTCTTGAATACTTATAGGAATCCCAAAATCCCTGTTGCTACTGGAAAGGGTCCTTGGGTGCCCTGGCTCACCTCGAGAAGCGTCCCTTTTGCCCTGCCAAGTGTCGAAGAGATTGCTGAGGTGTCCCTCGTTACTAGACAGGAGTCCTGACGTCACTGAAGAAACTCGTGTTTTGAAGGGCCATCCCCGCCGTAAGTCGAGAACATACCCCAGGGCCCCGCCGCAACTCGAGAAAAACCATGAGAAATCCCCCTATAGGCGAGATGAGGCCCCATTCCCCTGCAGTGCATGCAGAGCTCTTCCGTGATCCCATTCAAACAAGTCAGGAGCTTTGACTTGCTTAATGGATCTCGAGACAGTCCCCAAGAACACTGTCACCAGTCTAGACGGACCCTGAGGTCACCTCAGCAACGCAAAGCAGCTCCATGTGCCCCAAATCAACTCGAGATGAGGCCCGATTCCCCTGCATTGACTCCAGAGCCATTCCCCGTTCCCCGTTCAACACGAACGGAGGCTCGCCTTCCTTCACGCAACTCCAGAGATGCCCCGAGAACACTGTCCCAAGTCTAGAGGAACACCAACTTCAGCACAGCAACTCGAGGTATGATCCGTGTACCCCAAATCGTCTCGAGATGAGAGCTGATTCCCTGGCTTAGGCTCAAGACGTATGCCAAATTTCCAGAAGCACCTCAGGAGGAGGCTTCTCAGCAATAGGTATGTGGGAGGGACTCCAAGTTTGCTGCCTCAAGGGGAATATACATCGAGAAGCCCTAACTTGAAAGGAGGCCGGATTTCCTTGCAGTAGCTTGAATACAGGCTTGTCTTTCATCTCACAACATGAAGGGATTTCTGAATCCCCTGTGGAGACCTTAGAGAAAGCCCTAGGTCCCTGCCTCATTTTGACGGAATGCCTCACATCCGGCTGACACCTCGAGAGGCACGCGGACTTCATTACTTCAAAAGGTGACGATGCCTGACTCCTCTTGAATACTGATAGGAATCCCAAAATCCCTGTGGCTACTGGAAAGGGTCCTTGGGTGCCCTGCCTCACCTCGAGAAGCGTCCCTTTTGCCCTGCCAAGCCTCGAAGAGATTCCTGAGGTGTCCCTCGTTACTAGGCAGGAGTCCTGACGTCACTGAAGAAACTCGTGTTTTGAAGGGCCATCCCCGCCGTAAGTCGAGAACATACCCCAGGTCCCCGCCGCAACTCGAGAAAAACCATGAGACTTCCCCCTAGAGGCGAGATGAGGCCCCATTCCCCTGCAGTGCATGCAGAGCTATTCCGTGATCCCATTCAAACAAGTCAGGAGCTTCGACTTGCTTAATGGATCTCGAGACAGTCCCCAAGAACACTGTCACCAGTCTAGACGGACCCTGAGGTCACCCCAGCAACGCAAAGCAGCTCCATGTGCCCCAAATCAACTCGAGATGAGGCCCGATTCCCCTGCATTGACTCCAGAGCCATTCCCCGTTCCCCGTTCAACACGAACGGAGGCTCGCCTTCCTTCAGGCAACTCCAGAGATGCCCCGAGAACACTGTCCCAAGTCTAGAGGAACACCAACTTCAGCACAGCAACTCGAGGAATGCTCTGTGTACCCCAAATCGTCTCGAGATGAGAGCTGATTCCCTGGCTTAGGCTCAAGACGTATGCCAAATTTCCAGAAGCACCTCAGGAGGAGGCTTCTCAGCAATAGGTATGTGGGAGAGACTCCGAGTTTGCTGCCTCAAGGGGAATATACATCGAGAAGCCCTAACTTGAAAGGAGGCCGGATTTCCTTGCAGTAGCTTGAATACAGGCTTGTCTTTCATCTCACAACATGAAGGGATGTCTGAATCCCCTGTGGAGACCTTAGAGAAAGCCCTAGGTCCCTGCCTCATTTTGACGGAATGCCTCACATCCCGCTGACACCTCGAGAGGCACGCGGAGTTCATTGCTTCAAAAGGTGACGATGCCTGACTCCTCTTGAATACTGATAGGAATCCCAAAATCCCTGTGGCTACTGGAAAGGGTCCTTGGGTGCCCTGCCTCACCTCGAGAAGCGTCCCTTTTGCCCTGCCAAGCCTCGAAGAGATTCCTGAGGTGTCCGTCGTTACTAGGCAGGAGTCCTGACGTCACTGAAGAAACTCGTGTTTTGAAGGGCCATCCCCGCCGTAAGTCGAGAACATACCCCAGGTCCCCGCCGCAACTCGAGAAAAACCGTGAGCCTTCCCCCTAGAGGCGAGATGAGGCCCCATTCCCCTGCAGTGCATGCAGAGCTATTCCGTGATCCCATTCAAACAAGTCAGGAGCTTCGACTTGCTTAATGGATCTCGAGACAGTCCCCAAGAACACTGTCACCAGTCTAGACGGACCCTGAGGTCACCCCAGCAACGCAAAGCTGCTCCATGTGCCCCAAATCAACTCGAGATGAGGCCCGATTCCCCTGCATTGACTCCAGAGCCATTCCCCGTTCCCCATTCAACACGACCGGTGGCTCGACTTCCTTCAGGCAACTCCAGAGATTCCCCGAGAACACTGTCCCAAGGCTAGAGGAACACCAACTTCAGCACAGCAACTCGAGGAATGTTCCGTGTACCCCAAATCATCTCGAGATGAGAGCTGATTCCCTGGCTTAGGCTCAAGACGTATGCCAACTTTCCAGAAGCATCTCAGGAGGAGGCTTCTCTCAGCAATAGGTATGTGGGAGGGACCCCGAGTTTGCTGCCTCAAGGGGAATACACAGGGAGAAGCCCTAATGTGAACGGAGGCCAGATTTCCTTGCAGTGGCTGGAATACAGGCTCGTCTTTGATCTGACAACATGAAGGGATGTCTGAATCCCCTGTGGAGACCTTATAGGAAGCCCTAGGTCCCTGCCTCATTTTGACGGAATACCTCACATCCCCCTGACACCTCGAGAGGCACGCAGAGTTCATTGCTTCAAAAGGTGACGATGCCTGACTCCTCTTGAATACTTATAGGAATCCCAAAATCCCTGTGGCTACTGGAAAGGGTCCTTGGGTGTCCTGCCTCACCTCGAGAAGCGTCCCTTTTGCCCTGCCAAGCCTCGAAGAGATTCCTGAGGTGTCCCTCGTTACTAGGCAGGAGTCCTGACGTCACTGGAGAAACTCGTGTTTTGAAGGGCCATCCCCGCCGTAAGTCGAGAACATACCCCAGGTCCCCGCCGCAAATCGAGAAAAACCGCGAGACTTTGCCCCAGAGGCGAGATGAGGCCCCATTCCCCTGCAGTGCATGCAGAGCTATTCCGTGATCCCATTCAAACAAGTCAGGAGCTTCGACTTGCTTAATGGATCTCGAGACAGTCCCCAAGAACACTGTCACCAGTCTAGACGGACCCTGAGGTCACCCCAGCATCGCAAAGCTGCTCCATGTGCCCCAAATCAACTCGAGATGAGGCCCGATTCCCCTGCATTGACTCCAGAGCCATTCCCCGTTCCCCATTCAAGACGACCGGTGGCTCGACTTCCTTCAGGCAACTCCAGAGATTCCCCGAGAACACTGTCCCAAGGCTAGAGGAACACCAACTTCAGCACAGCAACTCGAGGAATGCTCCGTGTACCCCAAATCATCTCGAGATGAGAGCTAATTCCCTGGCTTAGGCTCAAGACGTATGCCAACTTTCCAGAAGCACCTCAGGAGGAGGCTTCTCAGCAATAGGTATGTGGGAGGGACTCCAAGTTTGCTGCCTCAAGGGGAATATACATCGAGAAGCCCTAACTTGAAAGGAGGCCGGATTTCCTTGCAGTAGCTTGAATACAGGCTTGTCTTTCATCTCACAACATGAAGGGATTTCTGAATCCCCTGTGGAGACCTTAGAGAAAGCCCTAGGTCCCTGCCTCATTTTGACGGAATGCCTCACATCCGGCTGACACCTCGAGAGGCACGCGGACTTCATTACTTCAAAAGGTGACGATGCCTGACTCCTCTTGAATACTGATAGGAATCCCAAAATCCCTGTGGCTACTGGAAAGGGTCCTTGGGTGCCCTGCCTCACCTCGAGAAGCGTCCCTTTTGCCCTGCCAAGCCTCGAAGAGATTCCTGAGGTGTCCCTCGTTACTAGGCAGGAGTCCTGACGTCACTGAAGAAACTCGTGTTTTGAAGGGCCATCCCCGCCGTAAGTCGAGAACATACCCCAGGTCCCCGCCGCAACTCGAGAAAAACCATGAGACTTCCCCCTAGAGGCGAGATGAGGCCCCATTCCCCTGCAGTGCATGCAGAGCTATTCCGTGATCCCATTCAAACAAGTCAGGAGCTTCGACTTGCTTAACGGATCTCGAGACAGTCCCCAAGAACACTGTCACCAGTCTAGACGGACCCTGAGGTCACCCCAGCAACGCAAAGCAGCTCCATGTGCCCCAAATGAACTCGAGATGAGGCCCGATTCCCCTGCATTGACTCCAGAGCCATTCCCCGTTCCCCGTTCAACACGAACGGAGGCTCGCCTTCCTTCAGGCAACTCCAGAGATGCCCCGAGAACACTGTCCCAAGTCTAGAGGAACACCAACTTCAGCACAGCAACTCGAGGAATGCTCTGTGTACCCCAAATCGTCTCGAGATGAGAGCTGATTCCCTGGCTTAGGCTCAAGACGTATGCCAAATTTCCAGAAGCACCTCAGGAGGAGGCTTCTCAGCAATAGGTATGTGGGAGAGACTCCGAGTTTGCTGCCTCAAGGGGAATATACATCGAGAAGCCCTAACTTGAAAGGAGGCCGGATTTCCTTGCAGTAGCTTGAATACAGGCTTGTCTTTCATCTCACAACATGAAGGGATGTCTGAATCCCCTGTGGAGACCTTAGAGAAAGCCCTAGGTCCCTGCCTCATTTTGACGGAATGCCTCACATCCCGCTGACACCTCGAGAGGCACGCGGAGTTCATTGCTTCAAAAGGTGACGATGCCTGACTCCTCTTGAATACTGATAGGAATCCCAAAATCCCTGTGGCTACTGGAAAGGGTCCTTGGGTGCCCTGCCTCACCTCGAGAAGCGTCCCTTTTGCCCTGCCAAGCCTCGAAGAGATTCCTGAGGTGTCCGTCGTTACTAGGCATGAGTCCTGACGTCACTGAAGAAACTCGTGTTTTGAAGGGCCATCCCCGCCGTAAGTCGAGAACATACCCCAGGTCCCCGCCGCAACTCGAGAAAAACCGTGAGACTTCCCCCTGGAGGCGAGATGAAGCCCCATTCCCCTGCAGTGCATGCAGAGCTATTCCGTGATCCCATTCAAACAAGTCAGGAGCTTCGACTTGCTTAATGGATCTCGAGACAGTCCCCAAGAACACTGTCACCAGTCTAGACGGACCCTGAGGTCACCCCAGCAACGCAAAGCTGCTCCATGTGCCCCAAATCAACTCGAGATGAGGCCCGATTCCCCTGCATTGACTCCAGAGCCATTCCCCGTTCCCCATTCAAGATGACCGGTGGCTCTACTTCCTTCAGGCAACTCCAGAGATTCCCCGAGAACACTGTCCGAAGGCTAGAGGAACACCAACTTCAGCACAGCAACTCGAGGAATGATCCGTGTACCCCAAATCATCTCGAGATGAGAGCTGATTCCCTGGCTTAGGCTCAAGACGTATGCCAACTTTCCAGAAACATCTCAGGAGGAGGCTTCTCTCAGCAATAGGTATGTGGGAGGGACCCTGTGTTTGCTGCCTCAAGGGGAATACACAGGGAGAAGCCCTAATGTGAACGGAGGACAGATTTCCTTGCAGAGGGTTGAATACAGGCTCGTCTTTGATCTGACAACATGAAGGGTTGTCTGAATCCCCTGTGGAGACCTTAGAGGAAGCCCTAGGTCCCTGCCTCATTTTGACAGAATGCCTCACATCCCCCTGACACCTCGAGAGGCACGCAGAGTTCATTGCTTCAAAAGGTGACGATGCCTGACTCCTCTTGAATACTGATAGGAATCCCAAAATCCCTGTTGCTACTGGAAAGGGTCCTTGGGTGCCCTGGCTCACCTCGAGAAGCGTCCCTTTTGCCCTGCCAAGCCTCGAAGAGATTGCTGAGGTGTCCCTCGTTACTAGACAGGAGTCCTGACGTCACTGAAGAAACTCGTGTTTTGAAGGGCCATCCCCGCCGTAAGTCGAGAACATACCCCAGGTCCCCGCCGCAACTCGAGAAAAACCATGAGACATCCCCCTATAGGCGAGATGAGGCCCCATTCCCCTGCAGTGCATGCAGAGCTCTTCCGTGATCCCATTCAAACAAGTCAGGAGCTTTGACTTGCTTAATGGATCTCGAGACAGTCCCCAAGAACACTGTCACCAGTCTAGACGGACCCTGAGGTCACCTCAGCAACGCAAAGCAGCTCCATGTGCCCCAAATCAACTCGAGATGAGGCCCGATTCCCCTGCATTGACTCCAGAGCCATTCCCCGTTCCCCGTTCAACACGAACGGAGGCTCGCCTTCCTTCACGCAACTCCAGAGATTCCCCGAGAACACTGTCCCAAGTCTAGAGGAACACCAACTTCAGCACAGCAACTCGAGGTATGATCTGTGTACCCCAAATCGTCTCGAGATGAGAGCTGATTCCCTGGCTTAGGCTCAAGACGTATGCCAAATTTCCAGAAGCACCTCAGGAGGAGGCTTCTCAGCAATAGGTATGTGGGAGGGACTCCAAGTTTGCTGCCTCAAGGGGAATATACATCGAGAAGCCCTAACTTGAAAGGAGGCCGGATTTCCTTGCAGTAGCTTGAATACAGGCTTGTCTTTCATCTCACAACATGAAGGGATTTCTGAATCCCCTGTGGAGACCTTAGAGAAAGCCCTAGGTCCCTGCCTCATTTTGACGGAATGCCTCACATCCGGCTGACACCTCGAGAGGCACGCGGACTTCATTACTTCAAAAGGTGACGATGCCTGACTCCTCTTGAATACTGATAGGAATCCCAAAATCCCTGTGGCTACTGGAAAGGGTCCTTGGGTGCCCTGCCTCACCTCGAGAAGCGTCCCTTTTGCCCTGCCAAGCCTCGAAGAGATTCCTGAGGTGTTCCTCGTTACTAGGCAGGAGTCCTGACGTCACTGAAGAAACTCGTGTTTTGAAGGGCCATCCCCGCCGTAAGTCGAGAACATACCCCAGGTCCCCGCCGCAACTCGAGAAAAACCATGAGACTTCCCCCTAGAGGCGAGATGAGGCCCCATTCCCCTGCAGTGCATGCAGAGCTATTCCGTGATCCCATTCAAACAAGTCAGGAGCTTCGACTTGCTTAATGGATCTCGAGACAGTCCCCAAGAACACTGTCACCAGTCTAGACGGACCCTGAGGTCACCCCAGCAACGCAAAGCAGCTCCATGTGCCCCAAATCAACTCGAGATGAGGCCCGATTCCCCTGCATTGACTCCAGAGCCATTCCCCGTTCCCCGTTCAACACGAACGGAGGCTCGCCTTCCTTCAGGCAACTCCAGAGATGCCCCGAGAACACTGTCCCAAGTCTAGAGGAACACCAACTTCAGCACAGCAACTCGAGGAATGCTCTGTGTACCCCAAATCGTCTCGAGATGAGAGCTGATTCCCTGGCTTAGGCTCAAGACGTATGCCAAATTTCCAGAAGCACCTCAGGAGGAGGCTTCTCAGCAATAGGTATGTGGGAGAGACTCCGAGTTTGCTGCCTCAAGGGGAATATACATCGAGAAGCCCTAACTTGAAAGGAGGCCGGATTTCCTTGCAGTAGCTTGAATACAGGCTTGTCTTTCATCTCACAACATGAAGGGATGTCTGAATCCCCTGTGGAGACCTTAGAGAAAGCCCTAGGTCCCTGCCTCATTTTGACGGAATGCCTCACATCCCGCTGACACCTCGAGAGGCACGCGGAGTTCATTGCTTCAAAAGGTGACGATGCCTGACTCCTCTTGAATACTGATAGGAATCCCAAAATCCCTGTGGCTACTGGAAAGGGTCCTTGGGTGCCCTGCCTCACCTCGAGAAGCGTCCCTTTTGCCCTGCCAAGCCTCGAAGAGATTCCTGAGGTGTCCGTCGTTACTAGGCAGGAGTCCTGACGTCACTGAAGAAACTCGTGTTTTGAAGGGCCATCCCCGCCGTAAGTCGAGAACATACCCCAGGTCCCCGCCGCAACTCGAGAAAAACCGCGAGACTTCGCCCTAGAGGCGAGATGAGGCCCCATTCCCCTGCAGTGCATGCAGAGCTATTCCGTGATCCCATTCAAACAAGTCAGGAGCTTCGACTTGCTTAATGGATCTCGAGACAGTCCCCAAGAACACTGTCACCAGTCTAGACGGACCCTGAGGTCACCCCAGCAACGCAAAGCTGCTCCATGTGCCCCAAATCAACTCGAGATGAGGCCCGATTCCCCTGCATTGACTCCAGAGCCATTCCCCGTTCCCCATTCAACACGACCGGTGGCTCGACTTCCTTCAGGCAACTCCAGAGATTCCCCGAGAACACTGTCCCAAGGCTAGAGGAACACCAACTTCAGCACAGCAACTCGAGGAATGTTCCGTGTACCCCAAATCATCTCGAGATGAGAGCTGATTCCCTGGCTTAGGCTCAAGACGTATGCCAACTTTCCAGAAGCATCTCAGGAGGAGGCTTCTCTCAGCAATAGGTATGTGGGAGGGACCCCGAGTTTGCTGCCTCAAGGGGAATACACAGGGAGAAGCCCTAATGTGAACGGAGGCCAGATTTCCTTGCAGTGGCTGGAATACAGGCTCGTCTTTGATCTGACAACATGAAGGGATGTCTGAATCCCCTGTGGAGACCTTAGAGGAAGCCCTAGGTCCCTGCCTCATTTTGACGGAATACCTCACATCCCCCTGACACCTCGAGAGGCACGCAGAGTTCATTGCTTCAAAAGGTGACGATGCCTGACTCCTCTTGAATACTTATAGGAATCCCAAAATCCCTGTGGCTACTGGAAAGGGTCCTTGGGTGTCCTGCCTCACCTCGAGAAGCGTCCCTTTTGCCCTGCCAAGCCTCGAAGAGATTCCTGAGGTGTCCCTCGTTACTAGGCAGGAGTCCTGACGTCACTGGAGAAACTCGTGTTTTGAAGGGCCATCCCCGCCGTAAGTCGAGAACATACCCCAGGTCCCCGCCGCAACTCGAGAAAAACCGCGAGACTTTGCCCCAGAGGCGAGATGAGGCCCCATTCCCCTGCAGTGCATGCAGAGCTATTCCGTGATCCCATTCAAACAAGTCAGGAGCTTCGACTTGCTTAACGGATCTCGAGACAGTCCCCAAGAACACTGTCACCAGTCTAGACGGACCCTGAGGTCACCCCAGCAACGCAAAGCAGCTCCATGTGCCCCAAATCAACTCGAGATGAGGCCCGATTCCCCTGCATTGACTCCAGAGCCATTCCCCGTTCCCCGTTCAACACGAACGGAGGCTCGCCTTCCTTCAGGCAACTCCAGAGATGCCCCGAGAACACTGTCCCAAGTCTAGAGGAACACCAACTTCAGCACAGCAACTCGAGGAATGCTCTGTGTACCCCAAATCGTCTCGAGATGAGAGCTGATTCCCTGGCTTAGGCTCAAGACGTATGCCAAATTTCCAGAAGCACCTCAGGAGGAGGCTTCTCAGCAATAGGTATGTGGGAGAGACTCCGAGTTTGCTGCCTCAAGGGGAATATACATCGAGAAGCCCTAACTTGAAAGGAGGCCGGATTTCCTTGCAGTAGCTTGAATACAGGCTTGTCTTTCATCTCACAACATGAAGGGATGTCTGAATCCCCTGTGGAGACCTTAGAGAAAGCCCTAGGTCCCTGCCTCATTTTGACGGAATGCCTCACATCCCGCTGACACCTCGAGAGGCACGCGGAGTTCATTGCTTCAAAAGGTGACGATGCCTGACTCCTCTTGAATACTGATAGGAATCCCAAAATCCCTGTGGCTACTGGAAAGGGTCCTTGGGTGCCCTGCCTCACCTCGAGAAGCGTCCCTTTTGCCCTGCCAAGCCTCGAAGAGATTCCTGAGGTGTCCGTCGTTACTAGGCAGGAGTCCTGACGTCACTGAAGAAACTCGTGTTTTGAAGGGCCATCCCCGCCGTAAGTCGAGAACATACCCCAGGTCCCCGCCGCAACTCGAGAAAAACCGTGAGACTTCCCCCTGGAGGCGAGATGAAGCCCCATTCCCCTGCAGTGCATGCAGAGCTATTCCGTGATCCCATTCAAACAAGTCAGGAGCTTCGACTTGCTTAATGGATCTCGAGACAGTCCCCAAGAACACTGTCACCAGTCTAGACGGACCCTGAGGTCACCCCAGCAACGCAAAGCTGCTCCATGTGCCCCAAATCAACTCGAGATGAGGCCCGATTCCCCTGCATTGACTCCAGAGCCATTCCCCGTTCCCCATTCAAGATGACCGGTGGCTCTACTTCCTTCAGGCAACTCCAGAGATTCCCCGAGAACACTGTCCGAAGGCTAGAGGAACACCAACTCCAGCACAGCAACTCGAGGAATGATCCGTGTACCCCAAATCATCTCGAGATGAGAGCTGATTCCCTGGCTTAGGCTCAAGACGTATGCCAACTTTCCAGAAACATCTCAGGAGGAGGCTTCTCTCAGCAATAGGTATGTGGGAGGGACCCTGTGTTTGCTGCCTCAAGGGGAATACACAGGGAGAAGCCCTAATGTGAACGGAGGACAGATTTCCTTGCAGAGGGTTGAATACAGGCTCGTCTTTGATCTGACAACATGAAGGGTTGTCTGAATCCCCTGTGGAGACCTTAGAGGAAGCCCTAGGTCCCTGCCTCATTTTGACAGAATGCCTCACATCCCCCTGACACCTCGAGAGGCACGCAGAGTTCATTGCTTCAAAAGGTGACGATGCCTGACTCCTCTTGAATACTGATAGGAATCCCAAAATCCCTGTTGCTACTGGAAAGGGTCCTTGGGTGCCCTGGCTCACCTCGAGAAGCGTCCCTTTTGCCCTGCCAAGCCTCGAAGAGATTGCTGAGGTGTCCCTCGTTACTAGACAGGAGTCCTGACGTCACTGAAGAAACTCGTGTTTTGAAGGGCCATCCCCGCCGTAAGTCGAGAACATACCCCAGGTCCCCGCCGCAACTCGAGAAAAACCATGAGACATCCCCCTATAGGCGAGATGAGGCCCCATTCCCCTGCAGTGCATGCAGAGCTCTTCCGTGATCCCATTCAAACAAGTCAGGAGCTTTGACTTGCTTAATGGATCTCGAGACAGTCCCCAAGAACACTGTCACCAGTCTAGACGGACCCTGAGGTCACCTCAGCAACGCAAAGCAGCTCCATGTGCCCCAAATCAACTCGAGATGAGGCCCGATTCCCCTGCATTGACTCCAGAGCCATTCCCCGTTCCCCGTTCAACACGAACGGAGGCTCGCCTTCCTTCACGCAACTCCAGAGATTCCCCGAGAACACTGTCCCAAGTCTAGAGGAACACCAACTTCAGCACAGCAACTCGAGGTATGATCTGTGTACCCCAAATCGTCTCGAGATGAGAGCTGATTCCCTGGCTTAGGCTCAAGACGTATGCCAAATTTCCAGAAGCACCTCAGGAGGAGGCTTCTCAGCAATAGGTATGTGGGAGGGACTCCAAGTTTGCTGCCTCAAGGGGAATATACATCGAGAAGCCCTAACTTGAAAGGAGGCCGGATTTCCTTGCAGTAGCTTGAATACAGGCTTGTCTTTCATCTCACAACATGAAGGGATTTCTGAATCCCCTGTGGAGACCTTAGAGAAAGCCCTAGGTCCCTGCCTCATTTTGACGGAATGCCTCACATCCGGCTGACACCTCGAGAGGCACGCGGACTTCATTACTTCAAAAGGTGACGATGCCTGACTCCTCTTGAATACTGATAGGAATCCCAAAATCCCTGTGGCTACTGGAAAGGGTCCTTGGGTGCCCTGCCTCACCTCGAGAAGCGTCCCTTTTGCCCTGCCAAGCCTCGAAGAGATTCCTGAGGTGTCCCTCGTTACTAGGCAGGAGTCCTGACGTCACTGAAGAAACTCGTGTTTTGAAGGGCCATCCCCGCCGTAAGTCGAGAACATACCCCAGGTCCCCGCCGCAACTCGAGAAAAACCATGAGACTTCCCCCTAGAGGCGAGATGAGGCCCCATTCCCCTGCAGTGCATGCAGAGCTATTCCGTGATCCCATTCAAACAAGTCAGGAGCTTCGACTTGCTTAACGGATCTCGAGACAGTCCCCAAGAACACTGTCACCAGTCTAGACGGACCCTGAGGTCACCCCAGCAACGCAAAGCAGCTCCATGTGCCCCAAATCAACTCGAGATGAGGCCCGATTCCCCTGCATTGACTCCAGAGCCATTCCCCGTTCCCCGTTCAACACGAACGGAGGCTCGCCTTCCTTCAGGCAACTCCAGAGATGCCCCGAGAACACTGTCCCAAGTCTAGAGGAACACCAACTTCAGCACAGCAACTCGAGGAATGCTCTGTGTACCCCAAATCGTCTCGAGATGAGAGCTGATTCCCTGGCTTAGGCTCAAGACGTATGCCAAATTTCCAGAAGCACCTCAGGAGGAGGCTTCTCAGCAATAGGTATGTGGGAGAGACTCCGAGTTTGCTGCCTCAAGGGGAATATACATCGAGAAGCCCTAACTTGAAAGGAGGCCGGATTTCCTTGCAGTAGCTTGAATACAGGCTTGTCTTTCATCTCACAACATGAAGGGATGTCTGAATCCCCTGTGGAGACCTTAGAGAAAGCCCTAGGTCCCTGCCTCATTTTGACGGAATGCCTCACATCCCGCTGACACCTCGAGAGGCACGCGGAGTTCATTGCTTCAAAAGGTGACGATGCCTGACTCCTCTTGAATACTGATAGGAATCCCAAAATCCCTGTGGCTACTGGAAAGGGTCCTTGGGTGCCCTGCCTCACCTCGAGAAGCGTCCCTTTTGCCCTGCCAAGCCTCGAAGAGATTCCTGAGGTGTCCGTCGTTACTAGGCAGGAGTCCTGACGTCACTGAAGAAACTCGTGTTTTGAAGGGCCATCCCCGCCGTAAGTCGAGAACATACCCCAGGTCCCCGCCGCAACTCGAGAAAAACCGTGAGACTTCCCCCTGGAGGCGAGATGAAGCCCCATTCCCCTGCAGTGCATGCAGAGCTATTCCGTGATCCCATTCAAACAAGTCAGGAGCTTCGACTTGCTTAATGGATCTCGAGACAGTCCCCAAGAACACTGTCACCAGTCTAGACGGACCCTGAGGTCACCCCAGCAACGCAAAGCTGCTCCATGTGCCCCAAATCAACTCGAGATGAGGCCCGATTCCCCTGCATTGACTCCAGAGCCATTCCCCGTTCCCCATTCAAGATGACCGGTGGCTCTACTTCCTTCAGGCAACTCCAGAGATTCCCCGAGAACACTGTCCGAAGGCTAGAGGAACACCAACTCCAGCACAGCAACTCGAGGAATGATCCGTGTACCCCAAATCATCTCGAGATGAGAGCTGATTCCCTGGCTTAGGCTCAAGACGTATGCCAACTTTCCAGAAACATCTCAGGAGGAGGCTTCTCTCAGCAATAGGTATGTGGGAGGAACCCTGTGTTTGCTGCCTCAAGGGGAATACACAGGGAGAAGCCCTAATGTGAACGGAGGACAGATTTCCTTGCAGAGGGTTGAATACAGGCTCGTCTTTGATCTGACAACATGAAGGGTTGTCTGAATCCCCTGTGGAGACCTTAGAGGAAGCCCTAGGTCCCTGCCTCATTTTGACAGAATGCCTCACATCCCCCTGACACCTCGAGAGGCACGCAGAGTTCATTGCTTCAAAAGGTGACGATGCCTGACTCCTCTTGAATACTGATAGGAATCCCAAAATCCCTGTTGCTACTGGAAAGGGTCCTTGGGTGCCCTGGCTCACCTCGAGAAGCGTCCCTTTTGCCCTGCCAAGCCTCGAAGAGATTGCTGAGGTGTCCCTCGTTACTAGACAGGAGTCCTGACGTCACTGAAGAAACTCGTGTTTTGAAGGGCCATCCCCGCCGTAAGTCGAGAACATACCCCAGGTCCCCGCCGCAACTCGAGAAAAACCATGAGACATCCCCCTATAGGCGAGATGAGGCCCCATTCCCCTGCAGTGCATGCAGAGCTCTTCCGTGATCCCATTCAAACAAGTCAGGAGCTTTGACTTGCTTAATGGATCTCGAGACAGTCCCCAAGAACACTGTCACCAGTCTAGACGGACCCTGAGGTCACCTCAGCAACGCAAAGCAGCTCCATGTGCCCCAAATCAACTCGAGATGAGGCCCGATTCCCCTGCATTGACTCCAGAGCCATTCCCCGTTCCCCGTTCAACACGAACGGAGGCTCGCCTTCCTTCACGCAACTCCAGAGATTCCCCGAGAACACTGTCCCAAGTCTAGAGGAACACCAACTTCAGCACAGCAACTCGAGGTATGATCTGTGTACCCCAAATCGTCTCGAGATGAGAGCTGATTCCCTGGCTTAGGCTCAAGACGTATGCCAAATTTCCAGAAGCACCTCAGGAGGAGGCTTCTCAGCAATAGGTATGTGGGAGGGACTCCAAGTTTGCTGCCTCAAGGGGAATATACATCGAGAAGCCCTAACTTGAAAGGAGGCCGGATTTCCTTGCAGTAGCTTGAATACAGGCTTGTCTTTCATCTCACAACATGAAGGGATTTCTGAATCCCCTGTGGAGACCTTAGAGAAAGCCCTAGGTCCCTGCCTCATTTTGACGGAATGCCTCACATCCGGCTGACACCTCGAGAGGCACGCGGACTTCATTACTTCAAAAGGTGACGATGCCTGACTCCTCTTGAATACTGATAGGAATCCCAAAATCCCTGTGGCTACTGGAAAGGGTCCTTGGGTGCCCTGCCTCACCTCGAGAAGCGTCCCTTTTGCCCTGCCAAGCCTCGAAGAGATTCCTGAGGTGTTCCTCGTTACTAGGCAGGAGTCCTGACGTCACTGAAGAAACTCGTGTTTTGAAGGGCCATCCCCGCCGTAAGTCGAGAACATACCCCAGGTCCCCGCCGCAACTCGAGAAAAACCATGAGACTTCCCCCTAGAGGCGAGATGAGGCCCCATTCCCCTGCAGTGCATGCAGAGCTATTCCGTGATCCCATTCAAACAAGTCAGGAGCTTCGACTTGCTTAATGGATCTCGAGACAGTCCCCAAGAACACTGTCACCAGTCTAGACGGACCCTGAGGTCACCCCAGCAACGCAAAGCAGCTCCATGTGCCCCAAATCAACTCGAGATGAGGCCCGATTCCCCTGCATTGACTCCAGAGCCATTCCCCGTTCCCCGTTCAACACGAACGGAGGCTCGCCTTCCTTCAGGCAACTCCAGAGATGCCCCGAGAACACTGTCCCAAGTCTAGAGGAACACCAACTTCAGCACAGCAACTCGAGGAATGCTCTGTGTACCCCAAATCGTCTCGAGATGAGAGCTGATTCCCTGGCTTAGGCTCAAGACGTATGCCAAATTTCCAGAAGCACCTCAGGAGGAGGCTTCTCAGCAATAGGTATGTGGGAGAGACTCCGAGTTTGCTGCCTCAAGGGGAATATACATCGAGAAGCCCTAACTTGAAAGGAGGCCGGATTTCCTTGCAGTAGCTTGAATACAGGCTTGTCTTTCATCTCACAACATGAAGGGATTTCTGAATCCCCTGTGGAGACCTTAGAGAAAGCCCTAGGTCCCTGCCTCATTTTGACGGAATGCCTCACATCCGGCTGACACCTCGAGAGGCACGCGGACTTCATTACTTCAAAAGGTGACGATGCCTGACTCCTCTTGAATACTGATAGGAATCCCAAAATCCCTGTGGCTACTGGAAAGGGTCCTTGGGTGCCCTGCCTCACCTCGAGAAGCGTCCCTTTTGCCCTGCCAAGCCTCGAAGAGATTCCTGAGGTGTTCCTCGTTACTAGGCAGGAGTCCTGACGTCACTGAAGAAACTCGTGTTTTGAAGGGCCATCCCCGCCGTAAGTCGAGAACATACCCCAGGTCCCCGCCGCAACTCGAGAAAAACCGCGAGACTTCGCCCTAGAGGCGAGATGAGGCCCCATTCCCCTGCAGTGCATGCAGAGCTATTCCGTGATCCCATTCAAACAAGTCAGGAGCTTCGACTTGCTTAATGGATCTCGAGACAGTCCCCAAGAACACTGTCACCAGTCTAGACGGACCCTGAGGTCACCCCAGCAACGCAAAGCTGCTCCATGTGCCCCAAATCAACTCGAGATGAGGCCCGATTCCCCTGCATTGACTCCAGAGCCATTCCCCGTTCCCCATTCAACACGACCGGTGGCTCGACTTCCTTCAGGCAACTCCAGAGATTCCCCGAGAACACTGTCCCAAGGCTAGAGGAACACCAACTTCAGCACAGCAACTCGAGGAATGTTCCGTGTACCCCAAATCATCTCGAGATGAGAGCTGATTCCCTGGCTTAGGCTCAAGACGTATGCCAACTTTCCAGAAGCATCTCAGGAGGAGGCTTCTCTCAGCAATAGGTATGTGGGAGGGACCCCGAGTTTGCTGCCTAAAGGGGAATACACAGGGAGAAGCCCTAATGTGAACGGAGGCCAGATTTCCTTGCAGTGGCTGGAATACAGGCTCGTCTTTGATCTGACAACATGAAGGGATGTCTGAATCCCCTGTGGAGACCTTAGAGGAAGCCCTAGGTCCCTGCCTCATTTTGACGGAATACCTCACATCCCCCTGACACCTCGAGAGGCACGCAGAGTTCATTGCTTCAAAAGGTGACGATGCCTGACTCCTCTTGAATACTTATAGGAATCCCAAAATCCCTGTGGCTACTGGAAAGGGTCCTTGGGTGCCCTGGCTCACCTCGAGAAGCGTCCCTTTTGCCCTGCCAAGCCTCGAAGAGTTTGCTGAGGTGTCCCTCATTACTAGACAGGAGTCCTGACGTCACTGAAGAAACTCGTGTTTTGAAGGGCCATCCCCGCCGTAAGTCGAGAACATACCCCAGGTCCCCGCCGCAACTCGAGAAAAACCGTGAGACTTCCCCCTAGAGGCGAGATGAGGCCCCATTCCCCTGCAGTGCATGCAGAGCTATTCCGTGATCCCATTCAAACAAGTCAGGAGCTTCGACTTGCTTAATGGATCTCGAGACAGTCCCCAAGAACACTGTCACCAGTCTAGACGGAGCCTGAGGTCACCCCAGCAACGCAAAGCTGCTCCATGTGCCCCAAATCAACTCGAGATGAGGCCCGATTCCCCTGCATTGACTCCAGAGCCATTCCCCGTTCCCCGTTCAACACGACCGGTGGCTCGCCTTCCTTCAGGCAACTCCAGAGATGCCCCGAGAACACTGTCCCAAGTCTAGAGGAACACCAACTTCAGCACAGCAACTCGAGGAATGCTCTGTGTACCCCAAATCGTCTCGAGATGAGAGCTGATTCCCTGGCTTAGGCTCAAGACAAATGCCAACTTTCCAGAAGCACCTCAGGAGGAGGCTTCTCAGCAATAGGTATGTGGGAGGGACTCCGAGTTTGCTGCCTCAAGGGGAATATACATCGAGAAGCCCTAACTTGAAAGGAGGCCGGATTTCCTTGCAGTAGCTTGAATACAGGCTTGTCTTTCATCTCACAACATGAAGGGATGTCTGAATCCCCTGTGGAGACCTTAGAGAAAGCCCTAGGACCATGCCTCATTTTGACGGAATGCCTCACATCCCGCTGACACCTCGAGAGGCACGCGGAGTTCATTGCTTCAAAAGGTGACGATGCCTGACTCCTCTTGAATACTGATAGGAATCCCAAAATCCCTGTGGCTACTGGAAAGGGTCCTTGGGTGTCCTGCCTCACCTCGAGAAGCGTCCCTTTTGCCCTGCCAAGCCTCGAAGAGATTCCTGAGGTGTCCCTCGTTACTAGGCAGGAGTCCTGACGTCACTGGAGAAACTCGTGTTTTGAAGGGCCATCCCCGCCGTAAGTCGAGAACATACCCCAGGTCCCCGCCGCAAGTCGAGAAAAACCGCGAGACTTTGCCCTAGAGGCGAGATGAGGCCCCATTCCCCTGCAGTGCATGCAGAGCTATTCCGTGATCCCATTCAAACAAGTCAGGAGCTTCGACTTGCTTAATGGATCTCGAGACAGTCCCCAAGAACACTGTCACCAGTCTAGACGGACCCTGAGGTCACCCCAGCATCGCAAAGCTGCTCCATGTGCCCCAAATCAACTCGAGATGAGGCCCGATTCCCCTGCATTGACTCCAGAGCCATTCCCCGTTCCCATTCAAGACGACCGGTGGCTCGACTTCCTTCAGGCAACTCCAGAGATTCCCCGAGAACACTGTCCCAAGGCTAGAGGAACACCAACTTCAGCACAGCAACTCGAGGAATGCTCCGTGTACCCCAAATCATCTCGAGATGAGAGCTGATTCCCTGGCTTAGGCTCAAGACGTATGCCAACTTTCCAGAAGCACCTCAGGAGGAGGCTTCTCAGCAATAGGTATGTGGGAGGGACTCCAAGTTTGCTGCCTCAAGGGGAATATACATCGAGAAGCCCTAACTTGAAAGGAGGCCGGATTTCCTTGCAGTAGCTTGAATACAGGCTTGTCTTTCATCTCACAACATGAAGGGATTTCTGAATCCCCTGTGGAGACCTTAGAGAAAGCCCTAGGTCCCTGCCTCATTTTGACGGAATGCCTCACATCCGGCTGACACCTCGAGAGGCACGCGGACTTCATTACTTCAAAAGGTGACGATGCCTGACTCCTCTTGAATACTGATAGGAATCCCAAAATCCCTGTGGCTACTGGAAAGGGTCCTTGGGTGCCCTGCCTCACCTCGAGAAGCGTCCCTTTTGCCCTGCCAAGCCTCGAAGAGATTCCTGAGGTGTTCCTCGTTACTAGGCAGGAGTCCTGACGTCACTGAAGAAACTCGTGTTTTGAAGGGCCATCCCCGCCGTAAGTCGAGAACATACCCCAGGTCCCCGCCGCAACTCGAGAAAAACCATGAGACTTCCCCCTAGAGGCGAGATGAGGCCCCATTCCCCTGCAGTGCATGCAGAGCTATTCCGTGATCCCATTCAAACAAGTCAGGAGCTTCGACTTGCTTAATGGATCTCGAGACAGTCCCCAAGAACACTGTCACCAGTCTAGACGGACCCTGAGGTCACCCCAGCAACGCAAAGCAGCTCCATGTGCCCCAAATCAACTCGAGATGAGGCCCGATTCCCCTGCATTGACTCCAGAGCCATTCCCCGTTCCCCGTTCAACACGAACGGAGGCTCGCCTTCCTTCAGGCAACTCCAGAGATGCCCCGAGAACACTGTCCCAAGTCTAGAGGAACACCAACTTCAGCACAGCAACTCGAGGAATGCTCTGTGTACCCCAAATCGTCTCGAGATGAGAGCTGATTCCCTGGCTTATGCTCAAGACGTATGCCAAATTTCCAGAAGCACCTCAGGAGGAGGCTTCTCAGCAATAGGTATGTGGGAGAGACTCCGAGTTTGCTGCCTCAAGGGGAATATACATCGAGAAGCCCTAACTTGAAAGGAGGCCGGATTTCCTTGCAGTAGCTTGAATACAGGCTTGTCTTTCATCTCACAACATGAAGGGATGTCTGAATCCCCTGTGGAGACCTTAGAGAAAGCCCTAGGTCCCTGCCTCATTTTGACGGAATGCCTCACATCCCGCTGACACCTCGAGAGGCACGCGGAGTTCATTGCTTCAAAAGGTGACGATGCCTGACTCCTCTTGAATACTGATAGGAATCCCAAAATCCCTGTGGCTACTGGAAAGGGTCCTTGGGTGCCCTGCCTCACCTCGAGAAGCGTCCCTTTTCCCCTGCCAAGCCTCGAAGAGATTCCTGAGGTGTCCGTCGTTACTAGGCAGGAGTCCTGACGTCACTGAAGAAACTCGTGTTTTGAAGGGCCATCCCCGCCGTAAGTCGAGAACATACCCCAGGTCCCCGCCGCAACTCGAGAAAAACCGTGAGACTTCCCCCTGGAGGCGAGATGAAGCCCCATTCCCCTGCAGTGCATGCAGAGCTATTCCGTGATCCCATTCAAACAAGTCAGGAGCTTCGACTTGCTTAATGGATCTCGAGACAGTCCCCAAGAACACTGTCACCAGTCTAGACGGACCCTGAGGTCACCCCAGCAACGCAAAGCTGCTCCATGTGCCCCAAATCAACTCGAGATGAGGCCCGATTCCCCTGCATTGACTCCAGAGCCATTCCCCGTTCCCCATTCAAGATGACCGGTGGCTCGACTTCCTTCAGGCAACTCCAGAGATTCCCCGAGAACACTGTCCGAAGGCTAGAGGAACACCAACTTCAGCACAGCAACTCGAGGAATGATCCGTGTACCCCAAATCATCTCGAGATGAGAGCTGATTCCCTGGCTTAGGCTCAAGACGTATGCCAACTTTCCAGAAACATCTCAGGAGGAGGCTTCTCTCAGCAATAGGTATGTGGGAGGGACCCTGTGTTTGCTGCCTCAAGGGGAATACACAGGGAGAAGCCCTAATGTGAACGGAGGACAGATTTCCTTGCAGAGGGTTGAATACAGGCTCGTCTTTGATCTGACAACATGAAGGGTTGTCTGAATCCCCTGTGGAGACCTTAGAGGAAGCCCTAGGTCCCTGCCTCATTTTGACGGAATGCCTCACATCCCCCTGACACTTCGAGAGGCACGCAGAGTTCATTGCTTCAAAAGGTGACGATGCCTGACTCCTCTTGAATACTTATAGGAATCCCAATATCCCTGTTGCTACTGGAAAGGGTCCTTGGGTGCCCTGGCTCACCTCGAGAAGCGTCCCTTTTGCCCTGCCAAGCCTCGAGGAGATTGCTGAGGTGTCCCTCGTTACTAGACAGGAGTCCTGACGTCACTGAAGAAACTCGTGTTTTGAAGGGCCATCCCCGCCGTAAGTCGAGAACATACCCCAGGTCCCCGCCGCAACTCGAGAAAAACCATGAGACATCCCCCTATAGGCGAGATGAGGCCCCATTCCCCTGCAGTGCATGCAGAGCTCTTCCGTGATCCCATTCAAACAAGTCAGGAGCTTTGACTTGCTTAATGGATCTCGAGACAGTCCCCAAGAACACTGTCACCAGTCTAGACGGACCCTGAGGTCACCTCAGCAACGCAAAGCAGCTCCATGTGCCCCAAATCAACTCGAGATGAGGCCCGATTCCCCTGCATTGACTCCAGAGCCATTCCCCGTTCCCCGTTCAACACGAACGGAGGCTCGAGTTCCTTCACGCAACTCCAGAGATGCCCCGAGAACACTGTCCCAAGTCTAGAGGAACACCAACTTCAGCACAGCAACTCGAGGTATGATCCGTGTACCCCAAATCGTCTCGAGATGAGAGCTGATTCCCTGGCTTAGGCTCAAGACGTATGCCAAATTTCCAGAAGCACCTCAGGAGGAGGCTTCTCAGCAATAGGTATGTGGGAGAGACTCCGAGTTTGCTGCCTCAAGGGGAATATACATCGAGAAGCCCTAACTTGAAAGGAGGACGGATTTCCTTGCAGTAGCTTGAATACAGGCTTGTCTTTCATCTCACAACATGAAGGGATGTCTGAATCCCCTGTGGAGACCTTAGAGAAAGCCCTAGGTCCCTGCCTCATTTTGACGGAATACCTCACATCCCCCTGACACCTCGAGAGGCACGCAGAGTTCATTGCTTCAAAAGGTGACGATGCCTGACTCCTCTTGAATACTGATAGGAATCCCAAAATCCCTGTGGCTACAGGAAAGGGTCCTTGGGTGCCCTGCCTCACCTCGAGAAGCGTCCCTTTTGCCCTGCCAAGCCTCGAAGAGATTCCTGAGGTGTCCCTCGTTACTAGACAGGAGTCCTGACGTCACTGAAGAAACTCGTGTTTGGAAGGGCCATCCCCGCCGTAAGTCGAGAACATACCCCAGGTCCCCGCCGCAACTCGAGAAAAACCGTGAGACTTCCCCCTGGAGGCGAGATGAAGCCCCATTCCCCTGCAGTGCATGCAGAGCTATTCCGTGATCCCATTCAAACAAGTCAGGAGCTTCGACTTGCTTAATGGATCTCGAGACAGTCCCCAAGAACACTGTCACCAGTCTAGACGGACCCTGAGGTCACCCCAGCAACGCAAAGCTGCTCCATGTGCCCCAAATCAACTCGAGATGAGGCCCGATTCCCCTGCATTGACTCCAGAGCCATTCCCCGTTCCCCATTCAAGATGACCAGTGGCTCGACTTCCTTCAGGCAACTCCAGAGATTCCCCGAGAACACTGTCCGAAGGCTAGAGGAACACCAACTTCAGCCCAGCAACTCGAGGAATGATCCGTGTACCCCAAATCATCTCGAGATGAGAGCTGATTCCCTGGCTTAGGCTCAAGACGTATGCCAACTTTCCAGAAACATCTCAGGAGGAGGCTTCTCTCAGCAATAGGTATGTGGGAGGGACCCTGTGTTTGCTGCCTCAAGGGGAATACACAGGGAGAAGCCCTAATGTGAACGGAGGACAGATTTCCTTGCAGAGGGTTGAATACAGGCTCGTCTTTGATCTGACAACATGAAGGGTTGTCTGAATCCCCTGTGGAGACCTTAGAGGAAGCCCTAGGTCCCTGCCTCATTTTGACAGAATGCCTCACATCCCCCTGACACCTCGAGAGGCACGCAGAGTTCATTGCTTCAAATGGTGACGATGCCTGACTCCTCTTGAATACTTATAGGAATCCCAAAATCCCTGTTGCTACTGGAAAGGGTCCTTGGGTGCCCTGGCTCACCTCGAGAAGCGTCCCTTTTGCCCTGCCAAGCCTCGAAGAGATTGCTGAGGTGTCCCTCGTTACTAGACAGGAGTCCTGACGTCACTGAAGAAACTCGTGTTTTGAAGGGCCATCCCCGCCGTAAGTCGAGAACATACCCCAGGTCCCCGCCGCAACTCGAGAAAAACCATGAGACATCCCCCTATAGGCGAGATGAGGCCCCATTCCCCTGCAGTGCATGCAGAGATCTTCCGTGATCCCATTCAAACAAGTCAGGAGCTTTGACTTGCTTAATGGATCTCGAGACAGTCCCCAAGAACACTGTCACCAGTCTAGACGGACCCTGATGTCACCTCAGCAACGCAAAGCAGCTCCATGTGCCCCAAATCAACTCGAGATGAGGCCCGATAACCCTGCATTGACTCCAGAGCCATTCCCCGTTCCCCGTTCAACACGAACGGAGGCTCGCCTTCCTTCACGCAACTCCAGAGATGCCCCGAGAACACTGTCCCAAGTCTAGAGGAACACCAACTTCAGCACAGCAACTCGAGGTATGATCTGTGTACCCCAAATCGTCTCGAGATGAGAGCTGATTCCCTGGCTTAGGCTCAAGACGTATGCCAAATTTCCAGAAGCACCTCAGGAGGAGGCTTCTCAGCAATAGGTATGTGGGAGGGACTCCAAGTTTGCTGCCTCAAGGGGAATATACATCGAGAAGCCCTAACTTGAAAGGAGGCCGGATTTCCTTGCAGTAGCTTGAATACAGGCTTGTCTTTCATCTCACAACATGAAGGGATTTCTGAATCCCCTGTGGAGACCTTAGAGAAAGCCCTAGGTCCCTGCCTCATTTTGACGGAATGCCTCACATCCGGCTGACACCTCGAGAGGTACGCGGACTTCATTACTTCAGAAGGTGACGATGCCTGACTCCTCTTGAATACTGATAGGAATCCCAAAATCCCTGTGGCTACTGGAAAGGGTCCTTGGGTGCCCTGCCTCACCTCGAGAAGCGTCCCTTTTGCCCTGCCAAGCCTCGAAGAGATTCCTGAGGTGTCCCTCGTTACTAGGCAGGAGTCCTGACGTCACTGAAGAAACTCGTGTTTTGAAGGGCCATCCCCGCCGTAAGTCGAGAACATACCCCAGGGCCCCGCCGCAACTCGAGAAAAACCATGAGACTTCCCCCTAGAGGCGAGATGAGGCCCCATTCCCCTGCAGTGCATGCAGAGCTATTCCGTGATCCCATTCAAACAAGTCAGGAGCTTCGACTTGCTTAATGGATCTCGAGACAGTCCCCAAGAACACTGTCACCAGTCTAGACGGACCCTGAGGTCACCCCAGCAACGCAAAGCAGCTCCATGTGCCCCAAATCAACTCGAGATGAGGCCCGATTCCCCTGCATTGACTCCAGAGCCATTCCCCGTTCCCCGTTCAACACGAACGGAGGCTCGCCTTCCTTCAGGCAACTCCAGAGATGCCCCGAGAACACTGTCCCAAGTCTAGAGGAACACCAACTTCAGCACAGCAACTCGAGGAATGCTCTGTGTACCCCAAATCGTCTCGAGATGAGAGCTGATTCCCTGCCTTAGGCTCAAGACGTATGCCAAATTTCCAGAAGCATCTCAGGAGGAGGCTTCTCTCAGCAATAGGTATGTGGGAGGGACCCCGAGTTTGCTGCCTCAAGGGGAATACACAGGGAGAAGCCCTAATGTGAACGGAGGCCAGATTTCCTTGCAGTGGCTGGAATACAGGCTCGTCTTTGATCTGACAACATGAAGGGATGTCTGAATCCCCTGTGGAGACCTTAGAGGAAGCCCTAGGTCCCTGCCTCATTTTGACGGAATACCTCACATCCCCCTGACACCTCGAGAGGCACGCAGAGTTCATTGCTTCAAAAGGTGACGATGCCTGACTCCTCTTGAATACTGATAGGAATCCCAAAATCACCTGTGGCTACAGGAAAGGGTCCTTGGGTGCCCTGCCTCACCTCGAGAAGCGTCCCTTTTGCCCTGCCAAGCCTCGAAGAGATTCCTGAGGTGTCCCTCGTTACTAGGCAGGAGTCCTGACGTCACTGGAGAAACTCGTGTTTTGAAGGGCCATCCCCGCCGTAAGTCGAGAACATACCCCAGGTCCCCGCCGCAACTCGAGAAAAACCGTGAGACTTCACCCTAGAGGCGGGATGAAGCCCCATTCCCCTGCAGTGCATGCAGAGCTATTCCGTGATCCCATTCAAACAAGTCAGGAGCTTCGACTTGCTTAATGGATCTCGAGACAGTCCCCAAGAACACTGTCACCAGTCTAGACGGACCCTGAGGTCACCCCAGCAACGCAAAGCTGCTCCATGTGCCCCAAATCAACTCGAGATGAGGCCCGATTCCCCTGCATTGACTCCAGAGCCATTCCCCGTTCCCCATTCAAGATGACCGGTGGCTCGACTTCCTTCAGGCAACTCCAGAGATTCCCCGAGAACACTGTCCGAAGGCTAGAGGAACACCAACTTCAGCACAGCAACTCGAGGAATGATCCGTGTACCCCAAATCATTTCGAGATGAGAGCTGATTCCCTGGCTTAGGCTCAAGACGTATGCCAACTTTCCAGAAGTATCTCAGGAGGAGGCTTCTCTCAGCAATAGGTATGTGGGAGGGACCCCGTGTTTGCTGCCTCAAGGGGAATACACAGGGAGAAGCCCTAATGTGAACAGAGGCCAGATTTCCTTGCAGAGGGTTGAATACAGGCTCGTCTTTGATCTGACAACATTAAGGGATGTCTGAATACCCTGTGGAGACCGTAGAGGAAGCCCTAGGTCCCTGCCTCATTTTGACGGAATACCTCACATCCCCCTGACACCTCGAGAGGCACGCAGAGTTTATTGCTTCAAAAGGTGACGATGCCTGACTCCTCTTGAATACTTATAGGAATCCCAAAATCCCTGTGGCTACTGGAAAGGGTCCTTGGGTGCCCTGGCTCACCTCGAGAAGCGTCCCCTTTGCCCTGCCAAGCCTCGAAGAGATTGCTGAGGTGTCCCTCGTTACTAGACAGGAGTCCTGACGTCACTGAAGAAACTCGTGTTTTGAAGGGCCATCCCCGCCGTAAGTCGAGAACATACCCCAGGTCCCCGCCGCAACTCGAGAAAAACCATGAGACTTCCCCCTAGAGGCGAGATGAGGCCCCATTCCCCTGCAGTGCATGCAGAGCTATTCCGTGATCCCATTCAAACAAGTCAGGAGCTTCGACTTGCTTAATGGATCTCGAGACAGTCCCCAAGAACACTGTCACCAGTCTAGACGGACCCTGAGGTCACCCCAGCAACGCAAAGCTGCTCCATGTGCCCCAAATCAACTCGAGATGAGCCCCGATTCCCCTGCATTGATTCCAGAGCCATTCCCCGTTCCCCATTCAACACGACCGGTGGCTCGACTTCCTTCAGGCAACTGCAGAGATGCCCCGAGAACACTTTCCCAAGTCTAGAGGAACACCAACTTCAGCCCAGCAACTCAAGGAATGCTCCGTGTACCCCAAATCATCTCGAGATGAGAGCTGATTCCCTGGCTTAGGCTCAAGACGTATGCCAACTTTCCAGAAGCACCTCAGGAGGAGGCTTCTCTCAGCAATAGGTATGTGGGAGGGACCCCGAGTTTGCTGCCTCAAGGGGAATATACAGCGAGAAGCCCTAACTTGAAAGGAGGCCGGATTTCCTTGCAGTGGCTTGAATACAGGCTCGTCTTTGATCTGACAACATGAAAGGATGTCTGAATCCCCTGTGGAGACCTTAGAGGAAGCCCTATTTCCTTGCCTCATTTTGACGGAATACCTCACATCCCCCTGACACCTCGAGAGGAACGCAGAGTTCATTGCTTCAAAAGGTGACGATGCCTGACTCCTCTTGAATACTGATAGGAATCCCAAAATCCCTGTTGCTACTGGAAAGCGTCCTTGGGTGCCCTGGCTCACCTCGAGAAGCGTCCCTTTTGCCCTGCCAAGCCTCGAAGAGATTGCTGAGGTGTCCCTCGTTACTAGACAGGAGTCCTGACGTCACTGAAGAAACTCGTGTTTTGAAGGGCCATCCGCGCCGTAAGTCGAGAACATACCCCAGGTCCCCGCCGCAACTCGAGAAAAACCATGAGACTTCCCCCTAGAGGCGAGATGAGGCCCCATTCCCCTGCAGTGCATGCAGAGCTATTCCGTGATCCCATTCAAACAAGTCAGGAGCTTCGACTTGCTTAATGGATCTCGAGACAGTCCCCAAGAACACTGTCACCAGTCTAGACGGACCCTGAGGTCACCCCAGCAACGCAAAGCAGCTCCATGTGCCCCAAATCAACTCGAGATGAGGCCCGATTCCCCTGCATTGACTCCAGAGCCATTCCCCGTTCCCCGTTCAACACGAACGGAGGCTCGCCTTCCTTCAGGCAACTCCACAGATGCCCCGAGAACACTGTCCCAAGTCTAGAGGAACACCAACTTCAGCACAGCAACTCAAGGAGTGCTCCGAGTACCCCAAATCATCTCGAGATGAGAGCTGATTCCCTGGCTTAGGCTCAAGACATATGCCAACTTTCCAAAGCACCTCAGGAGGAGGCTTCTCTCAGCAATAGTTATGTGGGAGGGACCCCGGGTTTGCTGCCTCAAGGGGAATATACAGCGAGAAGCCCTAACTTGAAAGGAGGCCGGATTTCCTTGCAGTGGCTTGAATACAGGCTCGTCTTTGATCTGACAACATGAAGGTATGTCTGAATCCCCTGTGGAGACCTTAGAGAAAGCCCTAGGTCCCTGCCTCATTTTGACGGAACGCCTCACATCCCGCTGACACATCGAGAGGCACGCGGAGTTCATTGCTTCAAAAGGTGACGATGCCTGACTCCTCTTGAATACTGATAGGAATCCCAAAATCCCTGTGGCTACTGGAAAGGGTCCTTGGGTGTCCTGCCTCACCTCGAGAAGCGTCCCTTTTGCCCTGCCAAGCCTCGAAGAGATTCCTGAGGTGTCCCTCGTTACTAGGCAGGAGTCCTGACGTCACTGGAGAAACTCGTGTTTTGAAGGGCCATCCCCTCCGTAAGTCGAGAACATACCCCAGGTCCCCGCTGCAACTCGAGAAAAACCGTGAGACTTCCCCCTAGAGGCGAGATGAGGCCCCATTCCCCTGCAGTGCATGCAGAGCTATTCCGTGATCCCATTCAAACAAGTCAGGAGCTTCGACTTGCTTAATGGATCTTGAGACAGTCCCCAAGAACACTGTCACCAGTCTAGACGGAGCCTGAGGTCACCCCAGCAACGCAAAGCTGCTCCATGTGCCCCAAATCAACTCGAGATGAGGCCCGATTCCCCTGCATTGACTCCAGAGCCATTCCCCGTTCCCCGTTCAACACGAACGGAGGCTCGCCTTCCTTCAGGCAACTCCACAGATGCCCCGAGAACACTGTCCCAAGTCTAGAGGAACACGAACTTCAGCACAGCAACTCGAGGAGTGCTCCGAGTACCCCAAATCCTCTCGAGATGAGAGCTGATTCCCTGGCTTAGGCTCAAGACATATGCCAACTTTCCAAAGCACCTCAGGAGGAGGCTTTTCTCAGCAATAGTTATGTGGGAGGGACCCCGGGTTTGCTGCCTCAAGGGGAATATACAGCGAGAAGCCCTAACTTGAAAGGAGGCCGGATTTCCTTGCAGTGGCTTGAATACAGGCTCGTCTTTGATCTGACAACATGAAGGTATGTCTGAATCCCCTGTGGAGACCTTAGAGGAAGCCCTATTTCCCTGCCTCATTTTGACGGAATACCTCACATCCCCCTGAAACCTCGAGAGGCACGCAGAGTTCATTGCTTCAAAAGGTGACGATGCCTGACTCCTCTTGAATACTTATAGGAATCCCCAAATCCCTGTTGCTACTGGAAAGGGTCCTTGGGTGCCCTGGCTCACCTCGAGAAGCGTCCCCTTTGCCCTGCCAAGCCTCGAAGAGATTCCTGAGTGTCCCTCGTTACTAGACAGGAGTACTGACGTCACTGAAGAAACTCGTGTTTTGAAGGGCCATCCCCGCCGTAAGTCGAGAACATACCCCAGGGCCCCGCCGCAACTCGAGAAAAACCATGAGACTTCCCCCTATAGGCGAGATGAGGCCCCATTCCCCTGCAGTGCATGCAGAGCTATTCCGTGATCCCATTCAAACAAGTCAGGAGCTTCGACTTGCTTAATGGATCTCGAGACAGTCCCCAAGAACACTGTCACCAGTCTAGACGGACCCTGAGGTCACCCCAGCAACGCAAAGCAGCTCCATGTGCCCCAAATCAACTCGAGATGAGGCCCGATTCCCCTGCATTGACTCCAGAGCCATTCCCCGTTCCCCGTTCAACACGAACGGAGGCTCGCCTTCCTTCAGGCAACTCCAGAGATGCCCCGAGAACACTGTCCCAAGTCTAGAGGAACACCAACTTCAGCACAGCAACTCGAGAAATGCTCTGTGTACCCCAAATCGTCTCGAGATGAGAGCTGATTCCCTGGCTTAGGCTCAAGACGTATGCCAAGTTTCCAGAAGCACCTCAGGAGGAGGCTTCTCAGCAATAGGTATGTGGGAGGGACTCCGAGTTTGCTGCCTCAAGGGGAATATACATCGAGAAGCCCTAACTTGAAAGGAGGCCGGATTTCCTTGCAGTAGCTTGAATACAGGCTTGTCTTTCATCTCACAACATGAAGGGATGTCTGAATCCCCTGTGGAGACCTTAGAGAAAGCCCTAGGTCCCTGCCTCATTTTGACGGAATGCCTCACATCCCGCTGACACCTCGAGAGGCACGCAGAGTTCATTGCTTCAAAAGGTGACGATGCCTGACTCCTCTTGAATACTGATAGGAATCCCAAAATCACCTGTGGCTACAGGAAAGGGTCCTTGGGTGCCCTGCCTCACCTCGAGAAGCGTCCCTTTTGCCCTGCCAAGCCTCGAAGAGATTCCTGAGGTGTCCCTCGTTACTAGGCAGGAGTCCTGACGTGACTGGAGAAACTCGAGTTTTGAAGGGCCATCCCCGCCGTAAGTCGAGAACATACCCCAGGTCCCCGCCGCAACTCGAGAAAAATCGTGAGACTTCCCCCTGGAGGCGAGATGAAGCCCCATTCCCCTGCAGTGCATGCAGAGCTATTCCGTGATCCCATTCAAACAAGTCAGGAGCTTCGACTTGCTTAATGGATCTCGAGACAGTCCCCAAGAACACTGTCACCAGTCTAGACGGACCCTGAGGTCACCCCAGCAACGCAAAGCTGCTCCATGTGCCCCAAATCAACTCGAGATGAGGCCCGATTCCCCTGCATTGACTCCAGAGCCATTCCCCGTTCCCCATTCAAGATGACCGGTGGCTCGACTTCCTTCAGGCAACTCCAGAGATTCCCCGAGAACACTGTCCGAAGGCTAGAGGAACACCAACTTCAGCACAGCAACTCGAGGAATGATCCGTGTACCCCAAATCATCTCGAGATGAGAGCTGATTCCCTGGCTTAGGCTCAAGACGTATGCCAACTTTCCAGAAACATCTCAGGAGGAGGCTTCTCTCAGCAATAGGTATGTGGGAGGGACCCTGTGTTTGCTGCCTCAAGGGGAATACACAGGGAGAAGCCCTAATGTGAACGGAGGACAGATTTCCTTGCAGAGGGTTGAATACAGGCTCGTCTTTGATCTGACAACATGAAGGGTTGTCTGAATCCCCTGTGGAGACCTTAGAGGAAGCCCTAGGTCCCTGCCTCATTTTGACGGAATACCTCACATCCCCCTGACACCTCGAGAGGCACGCAGAGTTCATTGCTTCAAAAGGTGACGATGCCTGACTCCTCTTGAATACTTATAGGAATCCCAAAATCCCTGTGGCTACTGGAAAGGGTCCTTGGGTGCCCTGGCTCACCTCGAGAAGCGTCCCTTTTGCCCTGCCAAGTGTCGAAGAGATTGCTGAGGTGTCCCTCGTTACTAGACAGGAGTCCTGACGTCACTGAAGAAACTCGTGTTTTGAAGGGCCATCCCCGCCGTAAGTCGAGAACATACCCCAGGGCCCCGCCGCAACTCGAGAAAAACCATGAGAAATCCCCCTATAGGCGAGATGAGGCCCCATTCCCCTGCAGTGCATGCAGAGCTCTTCCGTGATCCCATTCAAACAAGTCAGGAGCTTTGACTTGCTTAATGGATCTCGAGACAGTCCCCAAGAACACTGTCACCAGTCTAGACGGACCCTGAGGTCACCTCAGCAACGCAAAGCAGCTCCATGTGCCCCAAATCAACTCGAGATGAGGCCCGATTCCCCTGCATTGACTCCAGAGCCATTCCCCGTTCCCCGTTCAACACGAACGGAGGCTCGCCTTCCTTCACGCAACTCCAGAGATGCCCCGAGAACACTGTCCCAAGTCTAGAGGAACACCAACTTCAGCACAGCAACTCGAGGTATGATCCGTGTACCCCAAATCGTCTCGAGATGAGAGCTGATTCCCTGGCTTAGGCTCAAGACGTATGCCAAATTTCCAGAAGCACCTCAGGAGGAGGCTTCTCAGCAATAGGTATGTGGGAGGGACTCCAAGTTTGCTGCCTCAAGGGGAATATACATCGAGAAGCCCTAACTTGAAAGGAGGCCGGATTTCCTTGCAGTAGCTTGAATACAGGCTTGTCTTTCATCTCACAACATGAAGGGATTTCTGAATCCCCTGTGGAGACCTTAGAGAAAGCCCTAGGTCCCTGCCTCATTTTGACGGAATGCCTCACATCCGGCTGACACCTCGAGAGGCACGCGGACTTCATTACTTCAAAAGGTGACGATGCCTGACTCCTCTTGAATACTGATAGGAATCCCAAAATCCCTGTGGCTACTGGAAAGGGTCCTTGGGTGCCCTGCCTCACCTCGAGAAGCGTCCCTTTTGCCCTGCCAAGCCTCGAAGAGATTCCTGAGGTGTCCCTCGTTACTAGGCAGGAGTCCTGACGTCACTGAAGAAACTCGTGTTTTGAAGGGCCATCCCCGCCGTAAGTCGAGAACATACCCCAGGTCCCCGCCGCAACTCGAGAAAAACCGTGAGCCTTCCCCCTAGAGGCGAGATGAGGCCCCATTCCCCTGCAGTGCATGCAGAGCTATTCCGTGATCCCATTCAAACAAGTCAGGAGCTTCGACTTGCTTAATGGATCTCGAGACAGTCCCCAAGAACACTGTCACCAGTCTAGACGGACCCTGAGGTCACCCCAGCAACGCAAAGCAGCTCCATGTGCCCCAAATCAACTCGAGATGAGGCCCGATTCCCCTGCATTGACTCCAGAGCCATTCCCCGTTCCCCGTTCAACACGAACGGAGGCTCGCCTTCCTTCAGGCAACTCCAGAGATGCCCCGAGAACACTGTCCCAAGTCTAGAGGAACACCAACTTCAGCACAGCAACTCGAGGAATGCTCTGTGTACCCCAAATCGTCTCGAGATGAGAGCTGATTCCCTGGCTTAGGCTCAAGACGTATGCCAACTTTCCAGAAGCATCTCAGGAGGAGGCTTCTCTCAGCAATAGGTATGTGGGAGGGACCCCGAGTTTGCTGCCTCAAGGGGAATACACAGGGAGAAGCCCTAATGTGAACGGAGGCCAGATTTCCTTGCAGTGGCTGGAATACAGGCTTGTCTTTCATCTCACAACATGAAGGGATTTCTGAATCCCCTGTGGAGACCTTAGAGAAAGCCCTAGGTCCCTGCCTCATTTTGACGGAATGCCTCACATCCGGCTGACACCTCGAGAGGCACGCGGACTTCATTACTTCAAAAGGTGACGATGCCTGACTCCTCTTGAATACTGATAGGAATCCCAAAATCCCTGTGGCTACTGGAAAGGGTCCTTGGGTGCCCTGCCTCACCTCGAGAAGCGTCCCTTTTGCCCTGCCAAGCCTCGAAGAGATTCCTGAGGTGTCCCTCGTTACTAGGCAGGAGTCCTGACGTCACTGAAGAAACTCGTGTTTTGAAGGGCCATCCCCGCCGTAAGTCGAGAACATACCCCAGGTCCCCGCCGCAACTCGAGAAAAACCATGAGACTTCCCCCTAGAGGCGAGATGAGGCCCCATTCCCCTGCAGTGCATGCAGAGCTATTCCGTGATCCCATTCAAACAAGTCAGGAGCTTCGACTTGCTTAATGGATCTCGAGACAGTCCCCAAGAACACTGTCACCAGTCTAGACGGACCCTGAGGTCACCCCAGCAACGCAAAGCAGCTCCATGTGCCCCAAATCAACTCGAGATGAGGCCCGATTCCCCTGCATTGACTCCAGAGCCATTCCCCGTTCCCCGTTCAACACGAACGGAGGCTCGCCTTCCTTCAGGCAACTCCAGAGATGCCCCGAGAACACTGTCCCAAGTCTAGAGGAACACCAACTTCAGCACAGCAACTCGAGGAATGCTCTGTGTACCCCAAATCGTCTCGAGATGAGAGCTGATTCCCTGGCTTAGGCTCAAGACGTATGCCAAATTTCCAGAAGCACCTCAGGAGGAGGCTTCTCAGCAATAGGTATGTGGGAGAGACTCCGAGTTTGCTGCCTCAAGGGGAATATACATCGAGAAGCCCTAACTTGAAAGGAGGCCGGATTTCCTTGCAGTAGCTTGAATACAGGCTTGTCTTTCATCTCACAACATGAAGGGATGTCTGAATCCCCTGTGGAGACCTTAGAGAAAGCCCTAGGTCCCTGCCTCATTTTGACGGAATGCCTCACATCCCGCTGACACCTCGAGAGGCACGCGGAGTTCATTGCTTCAAAAGGTGACGATGCCTGACTCCTCTTGAATACTGATAGGAATCCCAAAATCCCTGTGGCTACTGGAAAGGGTCCTTGGGTGCCCTGCCTCACCTCGAGAAGCGTCCCTTTTGCCCTGCCAAGCCTCGAAGAGATTCCTGAGGTGTCCGTCGTTACTAGGCAGGAGTCCTGACGTCACTGAAGAAACTCGTGTTTTGAAGGGCCATCCCCGCCGTAAGTCGAGAACATACCCCAGGTCCCCGCCGCAACTCGAGAAAAACCGTGAGCCTTCCCCCTAGAGGCGAGATGAGGCCCCATTCCCCTGCAGTGCATGCAGAGCTATTCCGTGATCCCATTCAAACAAGTCAGGAGCTTCGACTTGCTTAATGGATCTCGAGACAGTCCCCAAGAACACTGTCACCAGTCTAGACGGACCCTGAGGTCACCCCAGCAACGCAAAGCTGCTCCATGTGCCCCAAATCAACTCGAGATGAGGCCCGATTCCCCTGCATTGACTCCAGAGCCATTCCCCGTTCCCCATTCAACACGACCGGTGGCTCGACTTCCTTCAGGCAACTCCAGAGATTCCCCGAGAACACTGTCCCAAGGCTAGAGGAACACCAACTTCAGCACAGCAACTCGAGGAATGTTCTGTGTACCCCAAATCGTCTCGAGATGAGAGCTGATTCCCTGGCTTAGGCTCAAGACGTATGCCAACTTTCCAGAAGCATCTCAGGAGGAGGCTTCTCTCAGCAATAGGTATGTGGGAGGGACCCCGAGTTTGCTGCCTCAAGGGGAATACACAGGGAGAAGCCCTAATGTGAACGGAGGCCAGATTTCCTTGCAGTGGCTGGAATACAGGCTCGTCTTTGATCTGACAACATGAAGGGATGTCTGAATCCCCTGTGGAGACCTTATAGGAAGCCCTAGGTCCCTGCCTCATTTTGACGGAATACCTCACATCCCCCTGACACCTCGAGAGGCACGCAGAGTTCATTGCTTCAAAAGGTGACGATGCCTGACTCCTCTTGAATACTTATAGGAATCCCAAAATCCCTGTGGCTACTGGAAAGGGTCCTTGGGTGTCCTGCCTCACCTCGAGAAGCGTCCCTTTTGCCCTGCCAAGCCTCGAAGAGATTCCTGAGGTGTCCCTCGTTACTAGGCAGGAGTACTGACGTCACTGAAGAAACTCGTGTTTTGAAGGGCCATCCCCGCCGTAAGTCGAGAACATACCCCAGGTCCCCGCCGCAACTCGAGAAAAACCATGAGACATCCCCCTATAGGCGAGATGAGGCCCCATTCCCCTGCAGTGCATGCAGAGCTCTTCCGTGATCCCATTCAAACAAGTCAGGAGCTTTGACTTGCTTAATGGATCTCGAGACAGTCCCCAAGAACACTGTCACCAGTCTAGACGGACCCTGAGGTCACCTCAGCAACGCAAAGCAGCTCCATGTGCCCCAAATCAACTCGAGATGAGGCCCGATTCCCCTGCATTGACTCCAGAGCCATTCCCCGTTCCCCGTTCAACACGAACGGAGGCTCGCCTTCCTTCACGCAACTCCAGAGATTCCCCGAGAACACTGTCCCAAGTCTAGAGGACCACCAACTTCAGCACAGCAACTCGAGGTATGATCTGTGTACCCCAAATCGTCTCGAGATGAGAGCTGATTCCCTGGCTTAGGCTCAAGACGTATGCCAAATTTCCAGAAGCACCTCAGGAGGAGGCTTCTCAGCAATAGGTATGTGGGAGGGACTCCAAGTTTGCTGCCTCAAGGGGAATATACATCGAGAAGCCCTAACTTGAAAGGAGGCCGGATTTCCTTGCAGTAGCTTGAATACAGGCTTGTCTTTCATCTCACAACATGAAGGGATTTCTGAATCCCCTGTGGAGACCTTAGAGAAAGCCCTAGGTCCCTGCCTCATTTTGACGGAATGCCTCACATCCGGCTGACACCTCGAGAGGCACGCGGACTTCATTACTTCAAAAGGTGACGATGCCTGACTCCTCTTGAATACTGATAGGAATCCCAAAATCCCTGTGGCTACTGGAAAGGGTCCTTGGGTGCCCTGCCTCACCTCGAGAAGCGTCCCTTTTGCCCTGCCAAGCCTCGAAGAGATTCCTGAGGTGTTCCTCGTTACTAGGCAGGAGTCCTGACGTCACTGAAGAAACTCGTGTTTTGAAGGGCCATCCCCGCCGTAAGTCGAGAACATACCCCAGGTCCCCGCCGCAACTCGAGAAAAACCATGAGACTTCCCCCTAGAGGCGAGATGAGGCCCCATTCCCCTGCAGTGCATGCAGAGCTATTCCGTGATCCCATTCAAACAAGTCAGGAGCTTCGACTTGCTTAATGGATCTCGAGACAGTCCCCAAGAACACTGTCACCAGTCTAGACGGACCCTGAGGTCACCCCAGCAACGCAAAGCAGCTCCATGTGCCCCAAATCAACTCGAGATGAGGCCCGATTCCCCTGCATTGACTCCAGAGCCATTCCCCGTTCCCCGTTCAACACGAACGGAGGCTCGCCTTCCTTCAGGCAACTCCAGAGATGCCCCGAGAACACTGTCCCAAGTCTAGAGGAACACCAACTTCAGCACAGCAACTCGAGGAATGCTCTGTGTACCCCAAATCGTCTCGAGATGAGAGCTGATTCCCTGGCTTAGGCTCAAGACGTATGCCAAATTTCCAGAAGCACCTCAGGAGGAGGCTTCTCAGCAATAGGTATGTGGGAGAGACTCCGAGTTTGCTGCCTCAAGGGGAATATACATCGAGAAGCCCTAACTTGAAAGGAGGCCGGATTTCCTTGCAGTAGCTTGAATACAGGCTTGTCTTTCATCTCACAACATGAAGGGATGTCTGAATCCCCTGTGGAGACCTTAGAGAAAGCCCTAGGTCCCTGCCTCATTTTGACGGAATGCCTCACATCCGGCTGACACCTCGAGAGGCACGCGGACTTCATTACTTCAAAAGGTGACGATGCCTGACTCCTCTTGAATACTGATAGGAATCCCAAAATCCCTGTGGCTACTGGAAAGGGTCCTTGGGTGCCCTGCCTCACCTCGATAAGCGTCCCTTTTGCCCTGCCAAGCCTCGAAGAGATTCCTGAGGTGTCCCTCGTTACTAGGCAGGAGTCCTGACGTCACTGAAGAAACTCGTGTTTTGAAGGGCCATCCCCGCCGTAAGTCGAGAACATACCCCAGGTCCCCGCCGCAACTCGAGAAAAACCGTGAGCCTTCCCCCTAGAGGCGAGATGAGGCCCCATTCCCCTGCAGTGCATGCAGAGCTATTCCGTGATCCCATTCAAACAAGTCAGGAGCTTCGACTTGCTTAATGGATCTCGAGACAGTCCCCAAGAACACTGTCACCAGTCTAGACGGACCCTGAGGTCACCCCAGCAACGCAAAGCAGCTCCATGTGCCCCAAATCAACTCGAGATGAGGCCCGATTCCCCTGCATTGACTCCAGAGCCATTCCCCGTTCCCCGTTCAACACGAACGGAGGCTCGCCTTCCTTCAGGCAACTCCAGAGATGCCCCGAGAACACTGTCCCAAGTCTAGAGGAACACCAACTTCAGCACAGCAACTCGAGGAATGCTCTGTGTACCCCAAATCGTCTCGAGATGAGAGCTGATTCCCTGGCTTAGGCTCAAGACGTATGCCAACTTTCCAGAAGCATCTCAGGAGGAGGCTTCTCTCAGCAATAGGTATGTGGGAGGGACCCCGAGTTTGCTGCCTCAAGGGGAATACACAGGGAGAAGCCCTAATGTGAACGGAGGCCAGATTTCCTTGCAGTGGCTGGAATACAGGCTTGTCTTTCATCTCACAACATGAAGGGATTTCTGAATCCCCTGTGGAGACCTTAGAGAAAGCCCTAGGTCCCTGCCTCATTTTGACGGAATGCCTCACATCCGGCTGACACCTCGAGAGGCACGCGGACTTCATTACTTCAAAAGGTGACGATGCCTGACTCCTCTTGAATACTGATAGGAATCCCAAAATCCCTGTGGCTACTGGAAAGGGTCCTTGGGTGCCCTGCCTCACCTCGAGAAGCGTCCCTTTTGCCCTGCCAAGCCTCGAAGAGATTCCTGAGGTGTCCCTCGTTACTAGGCAGGAGTCCTGACGTCACTGAAGAAACTCGTGTTTTGAAGGGCCATCCCCGCCGTAAGTCGAGAACATACCCCAGGTCCCCGCCGCAACTCGAGAAAAACCATGAGACTTCCCCCTAGAGGCGAGATGAGGCCCCATTCCCCTGCAGTGCATGCAGAGCTATTCCGTGATCCCATTCAAACAAGTCAGGAGCTTCGACTTGCTTAATGGATCTCGAGACAGTCCCCAAGAACACTGTCACCAGTCTAGACGGACCCTGAGGTCACCCCAGCAACGCAAAGCAGCTCCATGTGCCCCAAATCAACTCGAGATGAGGCCCGATTCCCCTGCATTGACTCCAGAGCCATTCCCCGTTCCCCGTTCAACACGAACGGAGGCTCGCCTTCCTTCAGGCAACTCCAGAGATGCCCCGAGAACACTGTCCCAAGTCTAGAGGAACACCAACTTCAGCACAGCAACTCGAGGAATGCTCTGTGTACCCCAAATCGTCTCGAGATGAGAGCTGATTCCCTGGCTTAGGCTCAAGACGTATGCCAAATTTCCAGAAGCACCTCAGGAGGAGGCTTCTCAGCAATAGGTATGTGGGAGAGACTCCGAGTTTGCTGCCTCAAGGGGAATATACATCGAGAAGCCCTAACTTGAAAGGAGGCCGGATTTCCTTGCAGTAGCTTGAATACAGGCTTGTCTTTCATCTCACAACATGAAGGGATGTCTGAATCCCCTGTGGAGACCTTAGAGAAAGCCCTAGGTCCCTGCCTCATTTTGACGGAATGCCTCACATCCCGCTGACACCTCGAGAGGCACGCGGAGTTCATTGCTTCAAAAGGTGACGATGCCTGACTCCTCTTGAATACTGATAGGAATCCCAAAATCCCTGTGGCTACTGGAAAGGGTCCTTGGGTGCCCTGCTTCACCTCGAGAAGCGTCCCTTTTGCCCTGCCAAGCCTCGAAGAGATTCCTGAGGTGTCCGTCGATACTAGGCAGGAGTCCTGACGTCACTGAAGAAACTCGTGTTTTGAAGGGCCATCCCCGCCGTAAGTCGAGAACATACCCCAGGTCCCCGCCGCAACTCGAGAAAAACCGCGAGACTTCGCCCTAGAGGCGAGATGAGGCCCCATTCCCCTGCAGTGCATGCAGAGCTATTCCGTGATCCCATTCAAACAAGTCAGGAGCTTCGACTTGCTTAATGGATCTCGAGACAGTCCCCAAGAACACTGTCACCAGTCTAGACGGACCCTGAGGTCACCCCAGCAACGCAAAGCTGCTCCATGTGCCCCAAATCAACTCGAGATGAGGCCCGATTCCCCTGCATTGACTCCAGAGCCATTCCCCGTTCCCCATTCAACACGACCGGTGGCTCGACTTCCTTCAGGCAACTCCAGAGATTCCCCGAGAACACTGTCCCAAGGCTAGAGGAACACCAACTTCAGCACAGCAACTCGAGGAATGTTCCGTGTACCCCAAATCATCTCGAGATGAGAGCTGATTCCCTGGCTTAGGCTCAAGACGTATGCCAACTTTCCAGAAGCATCTCAGGAGGAGGCTTCTCTCAGCAATAGGTATGTGGGAGGGACCCCGAGTTTGCTGCCTAAAGGGGAATACACAGGGAGAAGCCCTAATGTGAACGGAGGCCAGATTTCCTTGCAGTGGCTGGAATACAGGCTCGTCTTTGATCTGACAACATGAAGGGATGTCTGAATCCCCTGTGGAGACCTTAGAGGAAGCCCTAGGTCCCTGCCTCATTTTGACGGAATACCTCACATCCCCCTGACACCTCGAGAGGCACGCAGAGTTCATTGCTTCAAAAGGTGACGATGCCTGACTCCTCTTGAATACTTATAGGAATCCCAAAATCCCTGTGGCTACTGGAAAGGGTCCTTGGGTGCCCTGGCTCACCTCGAGAAGCGTCCCTTTTGCCCTGCCAAGCCTCGAAGAAATTGCTGAGGTGTCCCTCGTTGCTAGACAGGAGTCCTGACGTCACCGAAGAAACTCGTGTTTTGAAGGGCCATCCCCGCCGTAAGTCGAGAACATACCCCAGGTCCCCGCCGCAACTCGAGAAAAACCGTGAGACTTCCCCCTAGAGGCGAGATGAGGCCCCATTCCCCTGCAGTGCATGCAGAGCTATTCCGTGATCCCATTCAAACAAGTCAGGAGCTTCGACTTGCTTAATGGATCTCGAGACAGTCCCCAAGAACACTGTCACCAGTCTAGACGGAGCCTGAGGTCACCCCAGCAACGCAAAGCTGCTCCATGTGCCCCAAATCAACTCGAGATGAGGCCCGATTCCCCTGCATTGACTCCAGAGCCATTCCCCGTTCCCCGTTCAACACGACCGGTGGCTCGCCTTCCTTCAGGCAACTCCAGAGATGCCCCGAGAACACTGTCCCAAGTCTAGAGGAACACCAACTTCAGCACAGCAACTCGAGGAATGCTCTGTGCACCCCAAATCGTCTCGAGATGAGAGCTGATTCCCTGGCTTAGGCTCAAGACAAATGCCAACTTTCCAGAAGCACCTCAGGAGGAGGCTTCTCAGCAATAGGTATGTGGGAGGGACTCCGAGTTTGCTGCCTCAAGGGGAATATACATCGAGAAGCCCTAACTTGAAAGGAGGCCGGATTTCCTTGCAGTAGCTTGAATACAGGCTTGTCTTTCATCTCACAACATGAAGGGATGTCTGAATCCCCTGTGGAGACCTTAGAGAAAGCCCTAGGACCATGCCTCATTTTGACGGAATGCCTCACATCCCGCTGACACCTCGAGAGGCACGCGGAGTTCATTGCTTCAAAAGGTGACGATGCCTGACTCCTCTTGAATACTGATAGGAATCCCAAAATCCCTGTGGCTACTGGAAAGGGTCCTTGGGTGTCCTGCCTCACCTCGAGAAGCGTCCCTTTTGCCCTGCCAAGCCTCGAAGAGATTCCTGAGGTGTCCCTCGTTACTAGGCAGGAGTCCTGACGTCACTGGAGAAACTCGTGTTTTGAAGGGCCATCCCCGCCGTAAGTCGAGAACATACCCCAGGTCCCCGCCGCAAGTCGAGAAAAACCGCGAGACTTTGCCCTAGAGGCGAGATGAGGCCCCATTCCCCTGCAGTGCATGCAGAGCTATTCCGTGATCCCATTCAAACAAGTCAGGAGCTTCGACTTGCTTAATGGATCTCGAGACAGTCCCCAAGAACACTGTCACCAGTCTAGACGGACCCTGAGGTCACCCCAGCATCGCAAAGCTGCTCCATGTGCCCCAAATCAACTCGAGATGAGGCCCGATTCCCCTGCATTGACTCCAGAGCCATTCCCCGTTCCCATTCAAGACGACCGGTGGCTCGACTTCCTTCAGGCAACTCCAGAGATTCCCCGAGAACACTGTCCCAAGGCTAGAGGAACACCAACTTCAGCACAGCAACTCGAGGAATGCTCCGTGTACCCCAAATCATCTCGAGATGAGAGCTGATTCCCTGGCTTAGGCTCAAGACGTATGCCAACTTTCCAGAAGCACCTCAGGAGGAGGCTTCTCAGCAATAGGTATGTGGGAGGGACTCCAAGTTTGCTGCCTCAAGGGGAATATACATCGAGAAGCCCTAACTTGAAAGGAGGCCGGATTTCCTTGCAGTAGCTTGAATACAGGCTTGTCTTTCATCTCACAACATGAAGGGATTTCTGAATCCCCTGTGGAGACCTTAGAGAAAGCCCTAGGTCCCTGCCTCATTTTGACGGAATGCCTCACATCCGGCTGACACCTCGAGAGGCACGCGGACTTCATTACTTCAAAAGGTGACGATGCCTGACTCCTCTTGAATACTGATAGGAATCCCAAAATCCCTGTGGCTACTGGAAAGGGTCCTTGGGTGCCCTGCCTCACCTCGAGAAGCGTCCCTTTTGCCCTGCCAAGCCTCGAAGAGATTCCTGAGGTGTTCCTCGTTACTAGGCAGGAGTCCTGACGTCACTGAAGAAACTCGTGTTTTGAAGGGCCATCCCCGCCGTAAGTCGAGAACATACCCCAGGTCCCCGCCGCAACTCGAGAAAAACCATGAGACTTCCCCCTAGAGGCGAGATGAGGCCCCATTCCCCTGCAGTGCATGCAGAGCTATTCCGTGATCCCATTCAAACAAGTCAGGAGCTTCGACTTGCTTAATGGATCTCGAGACAGTCCCCAAGAACACTGTCACCAGTCTAGACGGACCCTGAGGTCACCCCAGCAACGCAAAGCAGCTCCATGTGCCCCAAATCAACTCGAGATGAGGCCCGATTCCCCTGCATTGACTCCAGAGCCATTCCCCGTTCCCCGTTCAACACGAACGGAGGCTCGCCTTCCTTCAGGCAACTCCAGAGATGCCCCGAGAACACTGTCCCAAGTCTAGAGGAACACCAACTTCAGCACAGCAACTCGAGGAATGCTCTGTGTACCCCAAATCGTCTCGAGATGAGAGCTGATTCCCTGGCTTATGCTCAAGACGTATGCCAAATTTCCAGAAGCACCTCAGGAGGAGGCTTCTCAGCAATAGGTATGTGGGAGAGACTCCGAGTTTGCTGCCTCAAGGGGAATATACATCGAGAAGCCCTAACTTGAAAGGAGGCCGGATTTCCTTGCAGTAGCTTGAATACAGGCTTGTCTTTCATCTCACAACATGAAGGGATGTCTGAATCCCCTGTGGAGACCTTAGAGAAAGCCCTAGGTCCCTGCCTCATTTTGACGGAATGCCTCACATCCCGCTGACACCTCGAGAGGCACGCGGAGTTCATTGCTTCAAAAGGTGACGATGCCTGACTCCTCTTGAATACTGATAGGAATCCCAAAATCCCTGTGGCTACTGGAAAGGGTCCTTGGGTGCCCTGCCTCACCTCGAGAAGCGTCCCTTTTGCCCTGCCAAGCCTCGAAGAGATTCCTGAGGTGTCCGTCGTTACTAGGCAGGAGTCCTGACGTCACTGAAGAAACTCGTGTTTTGAAGGGCCATCCCCGCCGTAAGTCGAGAACATACCCCAGGTCCCCGCCGCAACTCGAGAAAAACCGTGAGACTTCCCCCTGGAGGCGAGATGAAGCCCCATTCCCCTGCAGTGCATGCAGAGCTATTCCGTGATCCCATTCAAACAAGTCAGGAGCTTCGACTTGCTTAATGGATCTCGAGACAGTCCCCAAGAACACTGTCACCAGTCTAGACGGACCCTGAGGTCACCCCAGCAACGCAAAGCTGCTCCATGTGCCCCAAATCAACTCGAGATGAGGCCCGATTCCCCTGCATTGACTCCAGAGCCATTCCCCGTTCCCCATTCAAGATGACCGGTGGCTCGACTTCCTTCAGGCAACTCCAGAGATTCCCCGAGAACACTGTCCGAAGGCTAGAGGAACACCAACTTCAGCACAGCAACTCGAGGAATGATCCGTGTACCCCAAATCATCTCGAGATGAGAGCTGATTCCCTGGCTTAGGCTCAAGACGTATGCCAACTTTCCAGAAACATCTCAGGAGGAGGCTTCTCTCAGCAATAGGTATGTGGGAGGGACCCTGTGTTTGCTGCCTCAAGGGGAATACACAGGGAGAAGCCCTAATGTGAACGGAGGACAGATTTCCTTGCAGAGGGTTGAATACAGGCTCGTCTTTGATCTGACAACATGAAGGGTTGTCTGAATCCCCTGTGGAGACCTTAGAGGAAGCCCTAGGTCCCTGCCTCATTTTGACGGAATGCCTCACATCCCCCTGACACTTCGAGAGGCACGCAGAGTTCATTGCTTCAAAAGGTGACGATGCCTGACTCCTCTTGAATACTTATAGGAATCCCAAAATCCCTGTTGCTACTGGAAAGGGTCCTTGGGTGCCCTGGCTCACCTCGAGAAGCGTCCCTTTTGCCCTGCCAAGCCTCGAGGAGATTGCTGAGGTGTCCCTCGTTACTAGACAGGAGTCCTGACGTCACTGAAGAAACTCGTGTTTTGAAGGGCCATCCCCGCCGTAAGTCGAGAACATACCCCAGGTCCCCGCCGCAACTCGAGAAAAACCATGAGACATCCCCCTATAGGCGAGATGAGGCCCCATTCCCCTGCAGTGCATGCAGAGCTCTTCCGTGATCCCATTCAAACAAGTCAGGAGCTTTGACTTGCTTAATGGATCTCGAGACAGTCCCCAAGAACACTGTCACCAGTCTAGACGGACCCTGAGGTCACCTCAGCAACGCAAAGCAGCTCCATGTGCCCCAAATCAACTCGAGATGAGGCCCGATTCCCCTGCATTGACTCCAGAGCCATTCCCCGTTCCCCGTTCAACACGAACGGAGGCTCGAGTTCCTTCACGCAACTCCAGAGATGCCCCGAGAACACTGTCCCAAGTCTAGAGGAACACCAACTTCAGCACAGCAACTCGAGGTATGATCCGTGTACCCCAAATCGTCTCGAGATGAGAGCTGATTCCCTGGCTTAGGCTCAAGACGTATGCCAAATTTCCAGAAGCACCTCAGGAGGAGGCTTCTCAGCAATAGGTATGTGGGAGAGACTCCGAGTTTGCTGCCTCAAGGGGAATATACATCGAGAAGCCCTAACTTGAAAGGAGGCCGGATTTCCTTGCAGTAGCTTGAATACAGGCTTGTCTTTCATCTCACAACATGAAGGGATGTCTGAATCCCCTGTGGAGACCTTAGAGAAAGCCCTAGGTCCCTGCCTCATTTTGACGGAATACCTCACATCCCCCTGACACCTCGAGAGGCACGCAGAGTTCATTGCTTCAAAAGGTGACGATGCCTGACTCCTCTTGAATACTGATAGGAATCCCAAAATCCCTGTGGCTACAGGAAAGGGTCCTTGGGTGCCCTGCCTCACCTCGAGAAGCGTCCCTTTTGCCCTGCCAAGCCTCGAAGAGATTCCTGAGGTGTCCCTCGTTACTAGACAGGAGTCCTGACGTCACTGAAGAAACTCGTGTTTGGAAGGGCCATCCCCGCCGTAAGTCGAGAACATACCCCAGGTCCCCGCCGCAACTCGAGAAAAACCATGAGACTTCCCCCTGGAGGCGAGATGAAGCCCCATTCCCCTGCAGTGCATGCAGAGCTATTCCGTGATCCCATTCAAACAAGTCAGGAGCTTCGACTTGCTTAATGGATCTCGAGACAGTCCCCAAGAACACTGTCACCAGTCTAGACGGACCCTGAGGTCACCCCAGCAACGCAAAGCTGCTCCATGTGCCCCAAATCAACTCGAGATGAGGCCCGATTCCCCTGCATTGACTCCAGAGCCATTCCCCGTTCCCCATTCAAGATGACCAGTGGCTCGACTTCCTTCAGGCAACTCCAGAGATTCCCCGAGAACACTGTCCGAAGGCTAGAGGAACACCAACTTCAGCCCAGCAACTCGAGGAATGATCCGTGTACCCCAAATCATCTCGAGATGAGAGCTGATTCCCTGGCTTAGGCTCAAGACGTATGCCAACTTTCCAGAAACATCTCAGGAGGAGGCTTCTCTCAGCAATAGGTATGTGGGAGGGACCCTGTGTTTGCTGCCTCAAGGGGAATACACAGGGAGAAGCCCTAATGTGAACGGAGGACAGATTTCCTTGCAGAGGGTTGAATACAGGCTCGTCTTTGATGTGACAACATGAAGGGTTGTCTGAATCCCCTGTGGAGACCTTAGAGGAAGCCCTAGGTCCCTGCCTCATTTTGACAGAATGCCTCACATCCCCCTGACACCTCGAGAGGCACGCAGAGTTCATTGCTTCAAATGGTGACGATGCCTGACTCCTCTTGAATACTTATAGGAATCCCAAAATCCCTGTTGCTACTGGAAAGGGTCCTTGGGTGCCCTGGCTCACCTCGAGAAGCGTCCCTTTTGCCCTGCCAAGCCTCGAAGAGATTGCTGAGGTGTCCCTCGTTACTAGACAGGAGTCCTGACGTCACTGAAGAAACTCGTGTTTTGAAGGGCCATCCCCGCCGTAAGTCGAGAACATACCCCAGGTCCCCGCCGCAACTCGAGAAAAACCATGAGACATCCCCCTATAGGCGAGATGAGGCCCCATTCCCCTGCAGTGCATGCAGAGATCTTCCGTGATCCCATTCAAACAAGTCAGGAGCTTTGACTTGCTTAATGGATCTCGAGACAGTCCCCAAGAACACTGTCACCAGTCTAGACGGACCCTGAGGTCACCTCAGCAACGCAAAGCAGCTCCATGTGCCCCAAATCAACTCGAGATGAGGCCCGATAACCCTGCATTGACTCCAGAGCCATTCCCCGTTCCCCGTTCAACACGAACGGAGGCTCGCCTTCCTTCACGCAACTCCAGAGATGCCCCGAGAACACTGTCCCAAGTCTAGAGGAACACCAACTTCAGCACAGCAACTCGAGGTATGATCTGTGTACCCCAAATCGTCTCGAGATGAGAGCTGATTCCCTGGCTTAGGCTCAAGACATATGCCAAATTTCCAGAAGCACCTCAGGAGGAGGCTTCTCAGCAATAGGTATGTGGGAGGGACTCCAAGTTTGCTGCCTCAAGGGGAATATACATCGAGAAGCCCTAACTTGAAAGGAGGCCGGATTTCCTTGCAGTAGCTTGAATACAGGCTTGTCTTTCATCTCACAACATGAAGGGATTTCTGAATCCCCTGTGGAGACCTTAGAGAAAGCCCTAGGTCCCTGCCTCATTTTGACGGAATGCCTCACATCCGGCTGACACCTCGAGAGGTACGCGGACTTCATTACTTCAGAAGGTGACGATGCCTGACTCCTCTTGAATACTGATAGGAATCCCAAAATCCCTGTGGCTACTGGAAAGGGTCCTTGGGTGCCCTGCCTCACCTCGAGAAGCGTCCCTTTTGCCCTGCCAAGCCACGAAGAGATTCCTGAGGTGTCCCTCGTTACTAGGCAGGAGTCCTGACGTCACTGAAGAAACTCGTGTTTTGAAGGGCCATCCCCGCCGTAAGTCGAGAACATACCCCAGGGCCCCGCCGCAACTCGAGAAAAACCATGAGACTTCCCCCTAGAGGCGAGATGAGGCCCCATTCCCCTGCAGTGCATGCAGAGCTATTCCGTGATCCCATTCAAACAAGTCAGGAGCTTCGACTTGCTTAATGGATCTCGAGACAGTCCCCAAGAACACTGTCACCAGTCTAGACGGACCCTGAGGTCACCCCAGCAACGCAAAGCAGCTCCATGTGCCCCAAATCAACTCGAGATGAGGCCCGATTCCCCTGCATTGACTCCAGAGCCATTCCCCGTTCCCCGTTCAACACGAACGGAGGCTCGCCTTCCTTCAGGCAACTCCAGAGATGCCCCGAGAACACTGTCCCAAGTCTAGAGGAACACCAACTTCAGCACAGCAACTCGAGGAATGCTCTGTGTACCCCAAATCGTCTCGAGATGAGAGCTGATTCCCTGGCTTAGGCTCAAGACGTATGCCAAATTTCCAGAAGCATCTCAGGAGGAGGCTTCTCTCAGCAATAGGTATGTGGGAGGGACCCCGAGTTTGCTGCCTCAAGGGGAATACACAGGGAGAAGCCCTAATGTGAACGGAGGCCAGATTTCCTTGCAGTGGCTGGAATACAGGCTCGTCTTTGATCTGACAACATGAAGGGATGTCTGAATCCCCTGTGGAGACCTTAGAGGAAGCCCTAGGTCCCTGCCTCATTTTGACGGAATACCTCACATCCCCCTGACACCTCGAGAGGCACGCAGAGTTCATTGCTTCAAAAGGTGACGATGCCTGACTCCTCTTGAATACTGATAGGAATCCCAAAATCACCTGTGGCTACAGGAAAGGGTCCTTGGGTGCCCTGCCTCACCTCGAGAAGCGTCCCTTTTGCCCTGCCAAGCCTCGAAGAGATTCCTGAGGTGTCCCTCGTTACTAGGCAGGAGTCCTGACGTCACTGGAGAAACTCGTGTTTTGAAGGGCCATCCCCGCCGTAAGTCGAGAACATACCCCAGGTCCCCGCCGCAACTCGAGAAAAACCGTGAGACTTCACCCTAGAGGCGGGATGAAGCCCCATTCCCCTGCAGTGCATGCAGAGCTATTCCGTGATCCCATTCAAACAAGTCAGGAGCTTCGACTTGCTTAATGGATCTCGAGACAGTCCCCAAGAACACTGTCACCAGTCTAGACGGTCCCTGAGGTCACCCCAGCAACGCAAAGCTGCTCCATGTGCCCCAAATCAACTCGAGATGAGGCCCGATTCCCCTGCATTGACTCCAGAGCCATTCCCCGTTCCCCATTCAAGATGACCGGTGGCTCGACTTCCTTCAGGCAACTCCAGAGATTCCCCGAGAACACTGTCCGAAGGCTAGAGGAACACCAACTTCAGCACAGCAACTCGAGGAATGATCCGTGTACCCCAAATCATCTCGAGATGAGAGCTGATTCCCTGGCTTAGGCTCAAGACGTATGCCAACTTTCCAGAAACATCTCAGGAGGAGGCTTCTCTCAGCAATAGGTATGTGGGAGGGACCCTGTGTTTGCTGCCTCAAGGGGAATACACAGGGAGAAGCCCTAATGTGAACGGAGGACAGATTTCCTTGCAGAGGGTTGAATACAGGCTCGTCTTTGATCTGACAACATGAAGGGTTGTCTGAATCCCCTGTGGAGACCTTAGAGGAAGCCCTAGGTCCCTGCCTCATTTTGACGGAATACCTCACATCCCCCTGACACCTCGAGAGGCACGCAGAGTTCATTGCTTCAAAAGGTGACGATGCCTGACTCCTCTTGAATACTTATAGGAATCCCAAAATCCCTGTTGCTACTGGAAAGGGTCCTTGGGTGCCCTGGCTCACCTCGAGAAGCGTCCCTTTTGCCCTGCCAAGCCTCGAAGAGATTGCTGAGGTGTCCCTCGTTACTAGACAGGAGTCCTGACGTCACTGAAGAAACTCGTGTTTTGAAGGGCCATCCCCGCCGTAAGTCGAGAACATACCCCAGGTCCCCGCCGCAACTCGAGAAAAACCATGAGACATCCCCCTATAGGCGAGATGAGGCCCCATTCCCCTGCAGTGCATGCAGAGCTCTTCCGTGATCCCATTCAAACAAGTCAGGAGCTTTGACTTGCTTAATGGATCTCGAGACAGTCCCCAAGAACACTGTCACCAGTCTAGACGGACCCTGAGGTCACCTCAGCAACGCAAAGCAGCTCCATGTGCCCCAAATCAACTCGAGATGAGGCCCGATTCCCCTGCATTGACTCCAGAGCCATTCCCCGTTCCCCGTTCAACACGAACGGAGGCTCGCCTTCCTTCACGCAACTCCAGAGATGCCCCGAGAACACTGTCCCAAGTCTAGAGGAACACCAACTTCAGCACAGCAACTCGAGGTATGATCTGTGTACCCCAAATCGTCTCGAGATGAGAGCTGATTCCCTGGCTTAGGCTCAAGACGTATGCCAAATTTCCAGAAGCACCTCAGGAGGAGGCTTCTCAGCAATAGGTATGTGGGAGGGACTCCAAGTTTGCTGCCTCAAGGGGAATATACATCGAGAAGCCCTAACTTGAAAGGAGGCCGGATTTCCTTGCAGTAGCTTGAATACAGGCTTGTCTTTCATCTCACAACATGAAGGGATTTCTGAATCCCCTGTGGAGACCTTAGAGAAAGCCCTAGGTCCCTGCCTCATTTTGACGGAATGCCTCACATCCGGCTGACACCTCGAGAGGCACGCGGACTTCATTACTTCAAAAGGTGACGATGCCTGACTCCTCTTGAATACTGATAGGAATCCCAAAATCCCTGTGGCTACTGGAAAGGGTCCTTGGGTGCCCTGCCTCCCCTCGAGAAGCGTCCCTTTTGCCCTGCCAAGCCTCGAAGAGATTCCTGAGGTGTCCCTCGTTACTAGGCAGGAGTCCTGACGTCACTGAAGAAACTCGTGTTTTGAAGGGCCATCCCCGCCGTAAGTCGAGAACATACCCCAGGTCCCCGCCGCAACTCGAGAAAAACCATGAGACTTCCCCCTAGAGGCGAGATGAGGCCCCATTCCCCTGCAGTGCATGCAGAGCTATTCCGTGATCCCATTCAAACAAGTCAGGAGCTTCGACTTGCTTAACGGATCTCGAGACAGTCCCCAAGAATACTGTCACCAGTCTAGACGGACCCTGAGGTCACCCCAGCAACGCAAAGCAGCCCAATGTGCCCCAAATCAACTCGAGATGAGGCCCGATTCCCCTGCATTGACTCCAGAGCCATTCCCCGTTCCCCGTTCAACACGAACGGAGGCTCGCCTTCCTTCAGGCAACTCCAGAGATGCCCCGAGAACACTGTCCCAAGTCTAGAGGAACACCAACTTCTGCACAGCAACTCGAGGAATGCTCTGTGTACCCCAAATCGTCTCGAGATGAGAGCTGATTCCCTGGCTTAGGCTCAAGACGTATGCCAAATTTCCAGAAGCACCTCAGGAGGAGGCTTCTCAGCAATAGGTATGTGGGAGAGACTCCGAGTTTGCTGCCTCAAGGGGAATATACATCGAGAAGCCCTAACTTGAAAGGAGGCCGGATTTCCTTGCAGTAGCTTGAATACAGGCTTGTCTTTCATCTCACAACATGAAGGGATGTCTGAATCCCCTGTGGAGACCTTAGAGAAAGCCCTAGGTCCCTGCCTCATTTTGACGGAATGCCTCACATCCCGCTGACACCTCGAGAGGCACGCGAAGTTCATTGCTTCAAAAGGTGACGATGCCTGACTCCTCTTGAATACTGATAGGAATCCCAAAATCCCTGTGGCTACTGGAAAGGGTCCTTGGGTGCCCTGCCTCACCTCGAGAAGCGTCCCTTTTGCCCTGCCAAGCCTCGAAGAGATTCCTGAGGTGTCCGTCGTTACTAGGCAGGAGTCCTGACGTCACTGAAGAAACTCGTGTTTTGAAGGGCCATCCCCGCCGTAAGTCGAGAACATACCCCAGGTCCCCGCCGCAACTCGAGAAAAACCATGAGACTTCCCCCTAGAGGCGAGATGAGGCCCCATTCCCCTGCAGTGCATGCAGAGCTATTCCGTGATCCCATTCAAACAAGTCAGGAGCTTCGACTTGCTTAACGGATCTCGAGACAGTCCCCAAGAATACTGTCACCAGTCTAGACGGACCCTGAGGTCACCCCAGCAACGCAAAGCAGCCCAATGTGCCCCAAAACAACTCGAGATGAGGCCCGATTCCCCTGCATTGACTCCAGAGCCATTCCCCGTTCCCCGTTCAACACGAACGGAGGCTCGCCTTCCTTCAGGCAACTCCAGAGATGCCCCGAGAACACTGTCCCAAGTCTAGAGGAACACCAACTTCTGCACAGCAACTCGAGGAATGCTCTGTGTACCCCAAATCGTCTCGAGATGAGAGCTGATTCCCTGGCTTAGGCTCAAGACGTATGCCAAATTTCCAGAAGCACCTCAGGAGGAGGCTTCTCAGCAATAGGTATGTGGGAGAGACTCCGAGTTTGCTGCCTCAAGGGGAATATACATCGAGAAGCCCTAACTTGAAAGGAGGCCGGATTTCCTTGCAGTAGCTTGAATACAGGCTTGTCTTTCATCTCACAACATGAAGGGATGTCTGAATCCCCTGTGGAGACCTTAGAGAAAGCCCTAGGTCCCTGCCTCATTTTGACGGAATGCCTCACATCCCGCTGACACCTCGAGAGGCACGCGAAGTTCATTGCTTCAAAAGGTGACGATGCCTGACTCCTCTTGAATACTGATAGGAATCCCAAAATCCCTGTGGCTACTGGAAAGGGTCCTTGGGTGCCCTGCCTCACCTCGAGAAGCGTCCCTTTTGCCCTGCCAAGCCTCGAAGAGATTCCTGAGGTGTCCGTCGTTACTAGGCAGGAGTCCTGACGTCACTGAAGAAACTCGTGTTTTGAAGGGCCATCCCCGCCGTAAGTCGAGAACATACCCCAGGTCCCCACCGCAACTCGAGAAAAACCGTGAGCCTTCCCCCTAGAGGCGAGATGAGGCCCCATTCCCCTGCAGTGCATGCAGAGCTATTCCGTGATCCCATTCAAACAAGTCAGGAGCTTTGACTTGCTTAATGGATCTCGAGACAGTCCCCAAGAACACTGTCACCAGTCTAGACGGACCCTGAGGTCACCCCAGCAACGCAAAGCTGCTCCATGTGCCCCAAATCAACTCGAGATGAGGCCCGATTCCCCTGCATTGACTCCAGAGCCATTCCCCGTTCCCCATTCAACACGACCGGTGGCTCGACTTCCTTCAGGCAACTCCAGAGATTCCCCGAGAACACTGTCCCAGGGCTAGAGGAACACCAACTTCAGCACAGCAACTCGAGGAATGTTCCGTGTACCCCAAATCATCTCGAGATGAGAGCTGATTCCCTGGCTTAGGCTCAAGACGTATGCCAACTTTCCAGAAGCATCTCAGGAGGAGGCTTCTCTCAGCAATAGGTATGTGGGAGGGACCCCGAGTTTGCTGCCTAAAGGGGAATACACAGGGAGAAGCCCTAATGTGAACGGAGGCCAGATTTCCTTGCAGTGGCTGGAATACAGGCTCGTCTTTGATCTGACAACATGAAGGGATGTCTGAATCCCCTGTGGAGACCTTAGAGGAAGCCCTAGGTCCCTGCCTCATTTTGACGGAATACCTCACATCCCCCTGACACCTCGAGAGGCACGCAGAGTTCATTGCTTCAAAAGGTGACGATGCCTGACTCCTCTTGAATACTTATAGGAATCCCAAAATCCCTGTGGCTACTGGAAAGGGTCCTTGGGTGCCCTGGCTCACCTCGAGAAGCGTCCCTTTTGCCCTGCCAAGCCTCGAAGAGATTGCTGAGGTGTCCCTCGTTACTAGACAGGAGTCCTGACGTCACTGAAGAAACTCGTGTTTTGAAGGGCCATCCCCGCCGTAAGTCGAGAACATACCCCAGGTCCCCGCCGCAACTCGAGAAAAACCATGAGACATCCCCCTATAGGCGAGATGAGGCCCCATTCCCCTGCAGTGCATGCAGAGCTCTTCCGTGATCCCATTCAAACAAGTCAGGAGCTTTGACTTGCTTAATGGATCTCGAGACAGTCCCCAAGAACACTGTCACCAGTCTAGACGGACCCTGAGGTCACCTCAGCAACGCAAAGCAGCTCCATGTGCCCCAAATCAACTCGAGATGAGGCCCGATTCCCCTGCATTGACTCCAGAGCCATTCCCCGTTCCCCGTTCAACACGAACGGAGGCTCGCCTTCCTTCACGCAACTCCAGAGATGCCCCGAGAACACTGTCCCAAGTCTAGAGGAACACCAACTTCAGCACAGCAACTCGAGGTATGATCTGTGTACCCCAAATCGTCTCGAGATGAGAGCTGATTCCCTGGCTTAGGCTCAAGACGTATGCCAAATTTCCAGAAGCACCTCAGGAGGAGGCTTCTCAGCAATAGGTATGTGGGAGGGACTCCAAGTTTGCTGCCTCAAGGGGAATATACATCGAGAAGCCCTAACTTGAAAGGAGGCCGGATTTCCTTGCAGTAGCTTGAATACAGGCTTGTCTTTCATCTCACAACATGAAGGGATTTCTGAATCCCCTGTGGAGACCTTAGAGAAAGCCCTAGGTCCCTGCCTCATTTTGACGGAATGCCTCACATCCGGCTGACACCTCGAGAGGCACGCGGACTTCATTACTTCAAAAGGTGACGATGCCTGACTCCTCTTGAATACTGATAGGAATCCCAAAATCCCTGTGGCTACTGGAAAGGGTCCTTGGGTGCCCTGCCTCCCCTCGAGAAGCGTCCCTTTTGCCCTGCCAAGCCTCGAAGAGATTCCTGAGGTGTCCCTCGTTACTAGGCAGGAGTCCTGACGTCACTGAAGAAACTCGTGTTTTGAAGGGCCATCCCCGCCGTAAGTCGAGAACATACCCCAGGTCCCCGCCGCAACTCGAGAAAAACCATGAGACTTCCCCCTAGAGGCGAGATGAGGCCCCATTCCCCTGCAGTGCATGCAGAGCTATTCCGTGATCCCATTCAAACAAGTCAGGAGCTTCGACTTGCTTAACGGATCTCGAGACAGTCCCCAAGAACACTGTCACCAGTCTAGACGGACCCTGAGGTCACCCCAGCAACGCAAAGCAGCCCAATGTGCCCCAAATCAACTCGAGATGAGGCCCGATTCCCCTGCATTGACTCCAGAGCCATTCCCCGTTCCCCGTTCAACACGAACGGAGGCTCGCCTTCCTTCAGGCAACTCCAGAGATGCCCCGAGAACACTGTCCCAAGTCTAGAGGAACACCAACTTCTGCACAGCAACTCGAGGAATGCTCTGTGTACCCCAAATCGTCTCGAGATGAGAGCTGATTCCCTGGCTTAGGCTCAAGACGTATGCCAAATTTCCAGAAGCACCTCAGGAGGAGGCTTCTCAGCAATAGGTATGTGGGAGAGACTCCGAGTTTGCTGCCTCAAGGGGAATATACATCGAGAAGCCCTAACTTGAAAGGAGGCCGGATTTCCTTGCAGTAGCTTGAATACAGGCTTGTCTTTCATCTCACAACATGAAGGGATGTCTGAATCCCCTGTGGAGACCTTAGAGAAAGCCCTAGGTCCCTGCCTCATTTTGACGGAATGCCTCACATCCCGCTGACACCTCGAGAGGCACGCGGAGTTCATTGCTTCAAAAGGTGACGATGCCTGACTCCTCTTGAATACTGATAGGAATCCCAAAATCCCTGTGGCTACTGGAAAGGGTCCTTGGGTGCCCTGCCTCACCTCGAGAAGCGTCCCTTTTGCCCTGCCAAGCCTCGAAGAGATTCCTGAGGTGTCCGTCGTTACTAGGCAGGAGTCCTGACGTCACTGAAGAAACTCGTGTTTTGAAGGGCCATCCCCGCCGTAAGTCGAGAACATACCCCAGGTCCCCGCCGCAACTCGAGAAAAAACATGAGACTTCCCCCTAGAGGCGAGATGAGGCCCCATTCCCCTGCAGTGCATGCAGAGCTATTCCGTGATCCCATTCAAAAAAGTCAGGAGCTTTGACTTGCTTAATGGATCTCGAGACAGTCCCCAAGAACACTGTCACCAGTCTAGACGGACCCTGAGGTCACCCCAGCAACGCAAAGCTGCTCCATGTGCCCCAAATCAACTCGAGATGAGGCCCGATTCCCCTGCATTGACTCCAGAGCCATTCCCCGTTCCCCATTCAACACGACCGGTGGCTCGACTTCCTTCAGGCAACTCCAGAGATTCCCTGAGAACACTGTCCCAGGGCTAGAGGAACACCAACTTCAGCACAGCAACTCGAGGAATGTTCCGTGTACCCCAAATCATCTCGAGATGAGAGCTGATTCCCTGGCTTAGGCTCAAGACGTATGCCAACTTTCCAGAAGCATCTCAGGAGGAGGCTTCTCTCAGCAATAGGTATGTGGGAGGGACCCCGAGTTTGCTGCCTAAAGGGGAATACACAGGGAGAAGCCCTAATGTGAACGGAGGCCAGATTTCCTTGCAGTGGCTGGAATACAGGCTCGTCTTTGATCTGACAACATGAAGGGATGTCTGAATCCCCTGTGGAGACCTTAGAGGAAGCCCTAGGTCCCTGCCTCATTTTGACGGAATACCTCACATCCCCCTGACACCTGGAGAGGCACGCAGAGTTCATTGCTTCAAAAGGTGACGATGCCTGACTCCTCTTGAATACTTATAGGAATCCCAAAATCCCTGTGGCTACTGGAAAGGGTCCTTGGGTGCCCTGGCTCACCTCGAGAAGCGTCCCTTTTGCCCTGCCAAGCCTCGAAGAGTTTGCTGAGGTGTCCCTCATTACTAGACAGGAGTCCTGACGTCACTGAAGAAACTCGTGTTTTGAAGGGCCATCCCCGCCGTAAGTCGAGAACATACCCCAGGTCCCCGCCGCAACTCGAGAAAAACCGTGAGACTTCCCCCTAGAGGCGAGATGAGGCCCCATTCCCCTGCAGTGCATGCAGAGCTATTCCGTGATCCCATTCAAACAAGTCAGGAGCTTCGACTTGCTTAATGGATCTCGAGACAGTCCCCAAGAACACTGTCACCAGTCTAGACGGAGCCTGAGGTCACCCCAGCAACGCAAAGCTGCTCCATGTGCCCCAAATCAACTCGAGATGAGGCCCGATTCCCCTGCATTGACTCCAGAGCCATTCCCCGTTCCCCGTTCAACACGACCGGTGGCTCGCCTTCCTTCAGGCAACTCCAGAGATGCCCCGAGAACACTGTCCCAAGTCTAGAGGAACACCAACTTCAGCACAGCAACTCGAGGAATGCTCTGTGTACCCCAAATCGTCTCGAGATGAGAGCTGATTCCCTGGCTTAGGCTCAAGACAAATGCCAACTTTCCAGAAGCACCTCAGGAGGAGGCTTCTCAGCAATAGGTATGTGGGAGGGACTCCGAGTTTGCTGCCTCAAGGGGAATATACATCGAGAAGCCCTAACTTGAAAGGAGGCCGGATTTCCTTGCAGTAGCTTGAATACAGGCTTGTCTTTCATCTCACAACATGAAGGGATGTCTGAATCCCCTGTGGAGACCTTAGAGAAAGCCCTAGGTCCCTGCCTCATTTTGACGGAATGCCTCACATCCCGCTGACACCTCGAGAGGCACGCGGAGTTCATTGCTTCAAAAGGTGACGATGCCTGACTCCTCTTGAATACTGATAGGAATCCCAAAATCCCTGTGGCTACTGGAAAGGGTCCTTGGGTGTCCTGCCTCACCTCGAGAAGCGTCCCTTTTGCCCTGCCAAGCCTCGAAGAGATTCCTGAGGTGTCCCTCGTTACTAGGCAGGAGTCCTGACGTCACTGGAGAAACTCGTGTTTTGAAGGGCCATCCCCGCCGTAAGTTGAGAACATAACCCAGGTCCCCGCCGCAAATCGAGAAAAACCGCGAGACTTTGCCCTAGAGGCGAGATGAGGCCCCATTCCCCTGCAGTGCATGCAGAGCTATTCCGTGATCCCATTCAAACAAGTCAGGAGCTTCGACTTGCTTAATGGATCTCGAGAGAGTCCCCAAGAACACTGTCACCAGTCTAGACGGACCCTGAGGTCACCCCAGCATCGCAAAGCTGCTCCATGTGCCCCAAATCAACTCGAGATGAGGCCCGATTCCCCTGCATTGACTCCAGAGCCATTCCCCGTTCCCCATTCAAGACGACCGGTGGCTCGACTTCCTTCAGGCAACTCCGGAGATGCACCAAGAACACTGTCCCAAGTCTAGAGGACCACCAACTTCAGCACAGCAACTCGAGGAATGCTCTGTGTACCACAAATCGTCTCGAGATGAGAGCTGATTCCCTGGCTTAGGCTCAAGACGTATGCCACCTTTCCAGAAGCACCTCAGGAGGAGGCTTCTCTCAGCAATAGGTATGTGGGAGGGACCCCGAGTTTGCTGCCTCAAGGGGAATATACAGCGAGAAGCCCTAACTTGAAAGGAGGCCGGATTTCCTTGCAGTGGCTTGAATACAGGCTCGTCTTTGATCTGACAACATGAAGGGATGTCTGAAATCCCTGTGGAGACCTTAGAGAAAGCCCTAGGTCCCTGCCTCATTTTGACGGAATGCCTCACATCACGCTGACACCTCGAGAGGCACGCGGAGTTCATTGCTTCAAAAGGTGACGATGCCTGACTCCTCTTGAATACTGATAGGAATCCCAAAATCCCTGTGGCTACTGGAAAGGGTCCTTGGGTGCCCTGGCTCACCTCGAGAAGCGTCCCTTTTGCCCTGCCAAGCCTCGAAGAGATTGCTGAGGTGTCCCTCGTTACTAGACAGGAGTCCTGACGTCACGGAAGAAACTCGTGTTTTGAAGGGCCATCCCCGCCGTAAGTCGAGAACATACCCCAGGTCCCCGCCTCAACTCGAGAAAAACCATGAGACTTCCCCCTAGAGGCGAGATGAGGCCCCATTCCCCTGCAGTGCATGCAGAGCTATTCCGTGATCCCATTCAAACAAGTCAGGAGCTTCGACTTGCTTAATGGATCTCGAGACAGTCCCCAAGAACACTGTCACCAGTCTAGACGGACCCTGAGGTCACCCAGCAATGCAAAGCAGCTCCATGTGCCCCAAATCAACTCGAGATGAGGCCCGATTCCCCTGCATTGACTCCAGAGCCATTCCTTGTTCCCCATTCAACACGACCGGTGGCTCGACTTCCTTCAGGCAACTCCGGAGATGCACCAAGAACACTGTCCCAAGTCTAGAGGACCACCAACTTCAGCACAGCAACTCGAGGAATGCTCTGTGTACCACAAATCGTCTCGAGATGAGAGCTGATTCCCTGGCTTAGGCTCAAGACGTATGCCACCTTTCCAGAAGCACCTCAGGAGGAGGCTTCTCTCAGCAATACGTATGTGGGAGGGACCCCGAGTTTGCTGCCTCAAGGGGAATATACAGCGAGAAGCCCTAACTTGAAAGGAGGCCGGATTTCCTTGCAGTGGCTTGAATACAGGCTCGTCTTTGATCTGACAACATGAAGGGATGTCTGAATCCCCTGTGGAGACCTTAGAGAAAGCCCTAGGTCCCTGCCTCATTTTGACGGAATGCCTCACATCCCGCTGACACCTCGAGAGGCACGCGGAGTTCATTGCTTCAAAAGGTGACGATGCCTGACTCCTCTTGAATACTGATAGGAATCCCAAAATCCCTGTGGCTACTGGAAAGGGTCCTTGGGTGCCCTGCCTCACCTCGAGAAGCGTCCCTTTTGCCCTGCCAAGCCTCGAAGAGATTCCTGAGGTGTCCCTCGTTACTAGGCAGGAGTCCTGACGTCACTGGAGAAACTCGTGTTTTGAAGGGCCATCCCCGCCGTAAGTCGAGAACATACCCCAGGGCCCCGCCGCAACTCGAGAAAAACCGTGAGACTTCCCCCTAGAGGCGAGATGAGGCCCCATTCCCCTGCAGTGCATGCAGAGCTATTCCGTGATCCCATTCAAACAAGTCAGGAGCTTCGACTTGCTTAATGGATCTCGAGACAGTCCCCAAGAACACTGTCACCAGTCTAGACGGACCCTGAGGTCACCCCAGCAACGCAAAGCTGCTCCATGTGCCCCAAATCAACTCGAGATGAAGCCCACTTCCACTGCATTGACTCCAGAGCCATTCCCCGTTCCCCATTCAACACGACCGGTGGCTCGACTTCCTTCAGGCAACTCCAGAGATGCCTCGAGAACACTGTCCCAAGTCTAGAGGAACACCAACTTCAGCACAGCAACTCGAGGAATGCTCCGTGTACCCCAAATCATCTCGAGATGAGAGCTGATTCCCTGGCTTAGGCTCAAGACGTATGCCAACTTTCCAGAAGCACCTCAGGAGGAGGCTTCTCTCAGCAATAGGTATGTGGGAGGGACCCCGAGTTTGCTGCCTCAAGGGGAATACACAGGGAGAAGCCCTAATGTGAACGGAGGCCAGATTTCCTTGCAGTGGCTTGAATACAGGCTCGTCTTTGATCTCACAACATGAAGGGATGTCTGAATCCCCTGTGGAGACCTTAGAGAAAGCCCTAGGTCCCTGCCTCATTTTGACGGAATACCTCACATCCCCCTGACACCTCGAGAGGCACGCAGAGTTTATTGCTTCAAAAGGTGACGATGCCTGACTCCTCTTGAATACTTATAGGAATCCCAAAATCCCTGTTGCTACTGGAAAGGGTCCTTGGGTGCCCTGGCTCACCTCGAGAAGCGTCCCCTTTGCCCTGCCAAGCCTCGAAGAGATTGCTGAGGTGTCCCTCGTTACTAGACAGGAGTCCTGACGTCACTGAAGAAACTCGTGTTTTGAAGGGCCATCCCCGCCGTAAGTCGAGAACATACCCCAGGTCCCCGCCGCAACTCGAGAAAAACCATGAGACTTCCCCCTAGAGGCGAGATGAGGCCCCATTCCCCTGCAGTGCATGCAGAGCTATTCCGTGATCCCATTCAAACAAGTCAGGAGCTTCGACTTGCTTAATGGATCTCGAGAGAGTCCCCAAGAACACTGTCACCAGTCTAGACGGACCCTGAGGTCACCCCAGCAACGCAAAGCAGCTCCATGTGCCCCAAATCAACTCGAGATGAGGCCCGATTCCCCTGCATTGACTCCAGAGCCATTCCCCGTTCCCCGTTCAACACGAACGGAGGATCGCCTTCCTTCAGGCAACTCCAGAGATGCCCCGAGAACACTGTCCCAAGTCTAGAGGAACACCAACTTCAGCACAGCAACTCGAGGAATGCTCTGTGTACCCCAAATCGTCTCGAGATGAGAGCTGATTCCCTGGCTTAGGCTCAAGACGTATGCCAACTTTCCAGAAGCACTTCAGGAGGAGGCTTCTCAGCAATAGGTATGTGGGAGGGACTCCGAGTTTGCTGCCTCAAGGGGAATATACATCGAGAAGCCCTAACTTGAAAGGAGGCCGGATTTCCTTGCAGTAGCTTGAATACAGGCTTGTCTTTCATCTCACAACATGAAGGGATGTCTGAATCCCCTGTGGAGACCTTAGAGAAAGCCCTAGGTCCCTGCCTCATTTTGACGGAATGCCTCACATCCCGCTGACACCTCGAGAGGCACGCGGAGTTCATTGCTTCAAAAGGTGACGATGCCTGACTCCTCTTGAATACTGATAGGAATCCCAAAATCCCTGTGGCTACTGGAAAGGGTCCTTGGGTGTCCTGCCTCACCTCGAGAAGCGTCCCTTTTGCCCTGCCAAGCCTCGAAGAGATTCCTGAGGTGTCCCTCGTTACTAGGCAGGAGTCCTGACGTCACTGGAGAAACTCGTGTTTTGAAGGGCCATCCCCGCCGTAAGTCGAGAACATACCCCAGGTCCCCGCTGCAACTCGAGAAAAACCGTGAGACTTCCCCCTAGAGGCGAGATGAGGCCCCATTCCCCTGCAGTGCATGCAGAGCTATTCCGTGATCCCATTCAAACAAGTCAGGAGCTTCGACTTGCTTAATGGATCTCGAGACAGTCCCCAAGAACACTGTCACCAGTCTAGACGGACCCTGAGGTCACCCCAGCAACGCAAAGCTGCTCCATGTGCCCCAAATCAACTCGAGATGAGGCCCGATTCCCCTGCATTGACTCCAGAGCCATTCCCCGTTCCCCATTCAAGACGACCGGTGGCTCGACTTCCTTCAGGCAACTCCAGAGATTCCCCGAGAACACTGTCCCAAGGCTAGAGGAACACCAACTTCAGCACAGCAACTCGAGGTATGCTCCGTGTACCCCAAATCATCTCGAGATGAGAGCTGATTCCCTGGCTTAGGCTCAAGACGTATGCCAACTTTCCAGAAGCATCTCAGGAGGAGGCTTCTCTCAGCAATAGGTATGTGGGAGGGACCCCGTGTTTGCTGCCTCAAGGGCAATACACAGGGAGAAGCCCTAATGTGAACGGAGGCCAGATTTCCTTGCAGAGGGTTGAATACAGGCTCGTCTTTGATCTGACAACATTAAGGGATGTCTGAATACCCTGTGGAGAACTTAGAGGAAGCCCTAGGTCCCTGCCTCATTTTGACGGAATACCTCACATCCCCCTGACACCTCGAGAGGCACGCAGAGTTTATTGCTTCAAAAGGTGACGATGCCTGACTCCTCTTGAATACTTATAGGAATCCCAAAATCCCTGTGGCTACTGGAAAGGGTCCTTGGGTGCCCTGGCTCACCTCGAGAAGCGTCCCCTTTGCCCTGCCAAGCCTCGAAGAGATTGGTGATGTGTCCCTCGTTACTAGACAGGAGTCCTGACGTCACTGAAGAAACTCGTGTTTTGAAGGGCCATCCCCGCCGTAAGTCGAGAACATACCCCAGGTCCCCGCCGCAACTCGAGAAAAACCATGAGACTTCCCCCTATAGGCGAGATGAGGCCCCATTCCCCTGCAGTGCATGCAGAGCTATTCCGTGATCCCATTCAAACAAGTCAGGAGCTTCGACTTGCTTAATGGATCTCGAGACAGTCCCCAAGAACACTGTCACCAGTCTAGACGGACCCTGAGGTCACCCCAGCAACGCAAAGCAGCTCCATGTGGCCCAAATCAACTCGAGATGAGGCCCGATTCCCCTGCATTGACTCCAGAGCCATTCCCCGTTCCCCGTTCAACACGAACGGAGGCTCGCCTTCCTTCAGGCAACTCCACAGATGCCCCGAGAACACTGTCCCAAGTCTAGAGGAACACCAACTTCAGCACAGCAACTCGAGGAGTGCTCAGAGTACCCCAAATCATCTCGAGATGAGAGCTGATTCCCTGGCTTAGGCTCAAGACATATGCCAACTTTCCAAAGCACCTCAGGAGGAGGCTTCTCTCAGCAATAGTTATGTGGGAGGGACCCCGGGTTTGCTGCCTCAAGGGGATTATACAGCGAGAAGCCCTAACTTGAAAGGAGGCCGGATTTCCTTGCAGTGGCTTGAATACAGGCTGGTCTTTGATCTGACAACATGAAGGTATGTCTGAATCCCCTGTGGAGACCTTAGAGAAAGCCCTAGGTCCCTGCCTCATTTTGACGGAATGCCTCACATCCCGCTGACCCCTCGAGAGGCACGCGGAGTTCATTGCTTCAAAAGGTGACGATGCCTGACTCCTCTTGAATACTGATAGGAATCCCAAAATCCCTGTGGCTACTGGAAAGGGTCCTTGGGTGTCCTGCCTCACCTCGAGAAGCGTCCCTTTTGCCCTGCCAAGCCTCGAAGAGATTCCTGAGGTGTCCCTCGTTACTAGGCAGGAGTTCTGACGTCACTGAAGAAACTCGTGTTTTGAAGGGCCATCCCCGCCGAAAGTCGAGAACATACACCAGGTCCCCGCTGCAACTCGAGAAAAACCGTGAGACTTCCCCCTAGAGGCGAGATGAGGCCCCATTCCCCTGCAGTGCATGCAGAGCTATTCCGTGATCCCATTCAAACAAGTCAGGAGCTTCGACTTGCTTAATGGATCTCGAGACAGTCCCCAAGAACACTGTCACCAGTCTAGACGGAGCCTGAGGTCACCCCAGCAACGCAAAGCTGCTCCATGTGCCCCAAATCAACTCGAGATGAGGCCCGATTCCCCTGCATTGACTCCAGAGCCATTCCCCGTTCCCCATTCAACACGACCGGTGGCTCCACTTCATTCAGGCAACTCCAGAGATTCCCCGAGAACACTGTCCCAAGGCTAGAGGAACACCAACTTCAGCACAGCAACTCGAGGAATGCTCCGTGTACCCCAAATCATCTCGAGATGAGAGCTGATTCCCTGGCTTAGGCTCAAGACGTATGCCAACTTTCCAGAAGCACCTCAGGAGGAGGCTTCTCTCAGCAATAGGTATGTGGGAGGGACCCCGTGTTTGCTGCCTCAAGGGGAATACACAGGGAGAAGCCCTGATGTGAACGGAGGCCAGATTTCCTTGCAGAGGGTTGAATACAGGCTCGTCTTTGATCTGACAACATGAAGGGATGTCTGAATCCCCTGTGGAGACCTTAGAGGAAGCCCTATTTCCCTGCCTCATTTTGACGGAATACCTCACATCCCCCTGAAACCTCGAGAGGCACGCAGAGTTCATTGCTTCAAAAGGTGACGATGCCTGACTCCTCTTGAATACTTATAGGAATCCCAATATCCCTGTTGCTACTGGAAAGGGTCCTTGGGTGCCCTGGCTCACCTCGAGAAGCGTCCCCTTTGCCCTGCCAAGCCTCGAAGAGATTCCTGAGGTGTCCCTCGTTACTAGACAGGAGTACTGACGTCACTGAAGAAACTCGTGTTTTGAAGGGCCATCCCCGCCGTAAGTCGAGAACATACCCCAGGGCCCCGCCGCAACTCGAGAAAAACCATGAGACTTCCCCCTATAGGCGAGATGAGGCCCCATTCCCCTGCAGTGCATGCAGAGCTATTCCGTGATCCCATTCAAACAAGTCAGGAGCTTCGACTTGCTTAATGGATCTCGAGACAGTCCCCAAGAACACTGTCACCAGTCTAGACGGACCCTGAGGTCACCCCAGCAACGCAAAGCAGCTCCATGTGCCCCAAATCAACTCGAGATGAGGCCCGATTCCCCTGCATTGACTCCAGAGCCATTCCCCGTTCCCCATTCAACACGAACGGAGGCTCGCCTTCCTTCAGGCAACTCCAGAGATGCCCCGAGAACACTGTCCCAAGTCTAGAGGAACACCAACTTCAGCACAGCAACTCGAGAAATGCTCTGTGTACCCCAAATCGTCTCGAGATGAGAGCTGATTCCCTGGCTTAGGCTCAAGACGTATGCCAAGTTTCCAGAAGCACCTCAGGAGGAGGCTTCTCAGCAATAGGTATGTGGGAGGGACTCCGAGTTGCTGCCTCAAGGGGAATATACATCGAGAAGCCCTAACTTGAAAGGAGGCCGGATTTCCTTGCAGTAGCTTGAATACAGGCTTGTCTTTCATCTCACAACATGAAGGGATGTCTGAATCCCCTGTGGAGACCTTAGAGAAAGCCCTAGGTCCCTGCCTCATTTTGACGGAATGCCTCACATCCCGCTGACACCTCGAGAGGCACGCGGAGTTCATTGCTTCAAAAGGTGACGATGCCTGACTCCTCTTGAATACTGATAGGAATCCCAAAATCACCTGTGGCTACAGGAATGGGTCCTTGGGTGCCCTGCCTCACCTCGAGAAGCGTCCCTTTTGCCCTGCCAAGCCTCGAAGAGATTCCTGAGGTGTCCCTCGTTACTAGGCAGGAGTCCTGACGTCACTGGAGAAACTCGTGTTTTGAAGGGCCATCCCCGCCGTAAGTCGAGAACATACCCCAGGTCCCCGCCGCAACTCGAGAAAAACCGTGAGACTTCCCCCTGGAGGCGAGATGAAGCCCCATTCCCCTGCAGTGCATGCAGAGCTATTCCGTGATCCCATTCAAACAAGTCAGGAGCTTCGACTTGCTTAATGGATCTCGAGACAGTCCCCAAGAACACTGTCACCAGTCTAGACGGACCCTGAGGTCACCCCAGCAACGCAAAGCTGCTCCATGTGCCCCAAATCAACTCGAGATGAGGCCCGATTCCCCTGCATTGACTCCAGAGCCATTCCCCGTTCTCCATTCAAGATGACCGGTGGCTCGACTTCCTTCAGGCAACTCCAGAGATTCCCCGAGAACACTGTCCGAAGGCTAGAGGAACACCAACTTCAGCACAGCAACTCGAGGAATGATCCGTGTACCCCAAATCATCTCGAGATGAGAGCTGATTCCCTGGCTTAGGCTCAAGACGTATGCCAACTTTCCAGAAACATCTCAGGAGGAGGCTTCTCTCAGCAATAGGTATGTGGGAGGGACCCTGTGTTTGCTGCCTCAAGGGGAATACACAGGGAGAAGCCCTAATGTGAACGGAGGACAGATTTCCTTGCAGAGGGTTGAATACAGGCTCGTCTTTGATCTGACAACATGAAGGGTTGTCTGAATCCCCTGTGGAGACCTTAGAGCAAGCCCTAGGTCCCTGCCTCATTTTGTCGGAATACCTCACATCCCCCTGACACCTCGAGAGGCACGCAGAGTTCATTGCTTCAAAAGGTGACGATGCCTGACTCCTCTTGAATACTTATAGGAATCCCAAAATCCCTGTTGCTACTGGAAAGGGTCCTTGGGTGCCCTGGCTCACCTCGAGAAGCGTCCCTTTTGCCCTGCCAAGCCTTGAAGAGATTGCTGAGGTGTCCCTCGTTACTAGACAGGAGTCCTGACGTCACTGAAGAAACTCGTGTTTTGAAGGGCCATCCCCGCCGTAAGTCGAGAACATACCCCAGGTCCCCGCCGCAACTCGAGAAAAACCATGAGACATCCCCCTATAGGCGAGATGAGGCCCCATTCCCCTGCAGTGCATGCAGAGCTCTTCCGTGATCCCATTCAAACAAGTCAGGAGCTTTGACTTGCTTAATGGATCTCGAGACAGTCCCCAAGAACACTGTCACCAGTCTAGACGGACCCTGAGGTCACCTCAGCAACGCAAAGCAGCTCCATGTGCCCCAAATCAACTCGAGATGAGGCCCGATTCCCCTGCATTGACTCCAGAGCCATTCCCCGTTCCCCGTTCAACACGAACGGAGGCTCGCCTTCCTTCACGCAACTCCAGAGATGCCCCGAGAACACTGTCCCAAGTCTAGAGGAACACCAACTTCAGCACAGCAACTCGAGGTATGATCTGTGTACCCCAAATCGTCTCGAGATGAGAGCTGATTCCCTGGCTTAGGTTCAAGACGTATGCCAAATTTCCAGAAGCACCTCAGGAGGAGGCTTCTCAGCAATAGGTATGTGGGAGGGACTCCAAGTTTGCTGCCTCAAGGGGAATATACATCGAGAAGCCCTAACTTGAAAGGAGGCCGGATTTCCTTGCAGTAGCTTGAATACAGGCTTGTCTTTCATCTCACAACATGAAGGGATTTCTGAATCCCCTGTGGAGACCTTAGAGAAAGCCCTAGGTCCCTGCCTCATTTTGACGGAATGCCTCACATCCGGCTGACACCTCGAGAGGCACGCGGACTTCATTACTTCAAAAGGTGACGATGCCTGACTCCTCTTGAATACTGATAGGAATCCCAAAATCCCTGTGGCTACTGGAAAGGGTCCTTGGGTGCCCTGCCTCACCTCGAGAAGCGTCCCTTTTGCCCTGCCAAGCCTCGAAGAGATTCCTGAGGTGTCCCTCGTTACTAGGCAGGAGTCCTGACGTCACTGAATAAACTCGTGTTTTGAAGGGCCATCCCCGCCGTAAGTCGAGAACATACCCCAGGTACCCGCCGCAACTCGAGAAAAACCATGAGACTTCCCCCTAGAGGCGAGATGAGGCCCCATTCCCCTGCAGTGCATGCAGAGCTATTCCGTGATCCCATTCAAACAAGTCAGGAGCTTCGACTTGCTTAATGGATCTCGAGACAGTCCCCAAGAACACTGTCACCAGTCTAGACGGACCCTGAGGTCACCCCAGCAACGCAAAGCAGCTCCATGTGCCCCAAATCAACTCGAGATGAGGCCCGATTCCCCTGCATTGACTCCAGAGCCATTCCCCGTTCCCCGTTCAACACGAACGGAGGCTCGCCTTCCTTCAGGCAACTCCAGAGATGCCCCGAGAACACTGTCCCAAGTCTAGAGGAACACCAACTTCAGCACAGCAACTCGAGGAATGCTCTGTGCACCCCAAATCGTCTCGAGATGAGAGCTGATTCCCTGGCTTAGGCTCAAGACGTATGCCAAATTTCCAGAAGCACCTCAGGAGTAGGCTTCTCAGCAATAGGTATGTGGGAGAGACTCCGAGTTTGCTGCCTCAAGGGGAATATACATCGAGAAGCCCTAACTTGAAAGGAGGCCGGATTTCCTTGCAGTAGCTTGAATACAGGCTTGTCTTTCATCTCACAACATGAAGGGATGTCTGAATCCCCTGTGGAGACCTTAGAGAAAGCCCTAGGTCCCTGCCTCATTTTGACGGAATGCCTCACATCCCGCTGACACCTTGAGAGGCACGCGGAGTTCATTGCTTCAAAAGGTGACGATGCCTGACTCCTCTTGAATACTGATAGGAATCCCAAAATCCCTGTGGCTACTGGAAAGGGTCCTTGGGTGCCCTGCCTCACCTCGAGAAGCGTCCCTTTTGCCCTGCCAAGCCTCGAAGAGATTCCTGAGGTGTCCGTCGTTACTAGGCAGGAGTCCTGACGTCACTGAAGAAACTCGTGTTTTGAAGGGCCATCCCCGCCGTAAGTCGAGAACATACCCCAGGTCCCCGCCGCAACTCGAGAAAAACCGTGAGACTTCCCCCTAGAGGCGAGATGAGGCCCCATTCCCCTGCAGTGCATGCAGAGCTATTCCGTGATCCCATTCAAACAAGTCAGGAGCTTCGACTTGCTTAATGGATCTCGAGACAGTCCCCAAGAACACTGTCACCAGTCTAGACGGACCCTGAGGTCACCCCAGCAACGCAAAGCAGCTCCATGTGCCCCAAATCAACTCGAGATGAGGCCCGATTCCCCTGCATTGACTCCAGAGCCATTCCCCGTTCCCCGTTCAACACGAACGGAGGATCGCCTTCCTTCAGGCAACTCCAGAGATGCCCCGAGAACACTGTCCCAAGTCTAGAGGAACACCAACTTCAGCACAGCAACTCGAGGAATGCTCTGTGTACCCCAAATCGTCTCGAGATGAGAGCTGATTCCCTGGCTTAGGCTCAAGACGTATGCCAACTTTCCAGAAGCACCTCAGGAGGAGGCTTCTCAGCAATAGGTATGTGGGAGGGACTCCGAGTTTGCTGCCTCAAGGGGAATATACATCGAGAAGCCCTAACTTGAAAGGAGGCCGGATTTCCTTGCAGTAGCTTGAATACAGGCTTGTCTTTCATCTCACAACATGAAGGGATGTCTGAATCCCCTGTGGAGACCTTAGAGAAAGCCCTAGGTCCCTGCCTCATTTTGACGGAATGCCTCACATCCCGCTGACACCTCGAGAGGCACGCGGAGTTCATTGCTTCAAAAGGTGACGATGCCTGACTCCTCTTGAATACTGATAGGAATCCCAAAATCCCTGTGGCTACTGGAAAGGGTCCTTGGGTGTCCTGCCTCACCTCGAGAAGCGTCCCTTTTGCCCTGCCAAGCCTCGAAGAGATTCCTGAGGTGTCCCTCGTTACTAGGCAGGAGTCCTGACGTCACTGGAGAAACTCGTGTTTTGAAGGGCCATCCCCGCCGTAAGTCGAGAACATACCCCCGGTCCCCGCCGCAAATCGAGAAAAACCGCGAGAGTTTGCCCTAGAGGCGAGATGAGGCCCCATTCCCCTGCAGTGCATGCAGAGCTATTCCGTGATCCCATTCAAACAAGTCAGGAGCTTCGACTTGCTTAATGGATCTCGAGACAGTCCCCAAGAACACTGTCACCAGTCTAGACGGACGCTGAGGTCACCCCAGCATCGCAAAGCTGCTCCATGTGCCCCAAATCAACTCGAGATGAGGCCCGATTCCCCTGCATTGACTCCAGAGCCATTCCCCGTTCCCCATTCAAGACGACCAGTGGCTCGACTTCCTTCAGGCAACTCCAGAGATTCCCCGAGAACACTGTCCCAAGGCTAGAGGAACACCAACTTCAGCACAGCAACTCGAGGAATGCTCCGTGTACCCCAAATCATCTCGAGATGAGAGCTAATTCCCTGGCTTAGGCTCAAGACGTATGCCAACTTTCCAGAAGCATCTCAGGAGGAGGCTTCTCTCAGCAATAGGTATGTGGGAGGGACCCCGTGTTTGCTGCATCAAGGGGAATACACAGGGAGAAGCCCTAATGTGAACGGAGGCCAGATTTCCTTGCAGAGGGTTGAATACAGGCTCGTCTTTGATCTGACAACATTAAGGGATGTCTGAATACCCTGTGGAGACCTTAGAGGAAGCCCTAGGTCCCTGCCTCATTTTGACGGAATGCCTCACATCCCGCTGACACCTCGAGAGGCACGCGGAGTTCATTGCTTCAAAAGGTGACGATACCTGACTCCTCTTGAATACTGATAGGAATCCCAAAATCCCTGTGGCTACTGGAAAGGGTCCTTGGGTGTCCTGCCTCACATCGAGAAGCGTCCCTTTTGCCCTGCCAAGCCTCGAAGAGATTCCTGAGGTGTCCCTCGTTACTAGGCAGGAGTCCTGACGTCACTGGAGAAACTCGTGTTTTGAAGGGCCATCCCCGCCATAAGTCGAGAACATACCCCAGGTCCCCGCTGCAACTCGAGAAAAACCGTGAGACTTCCCCCTAGAGGCGAGATGAGGCCCCATTCCCCTGCAGTGCATGCAGAGCTATTCCGTGATCCCATTCAAACAAGTCAGGAGCTTCGACTTGCTTAATGGATCTCGAGACAGTCCCCAAGAACACTGTCACCAGTCTAGACGGACCCTGAGGTCACCCCAGCAACGCAAAGCTGCTCCATGTGCCCCAAATCAACTCGAGATGAGGCCCGATTCCCCTGCATTGACTCCAGAGCCATTCCCCGTTCCCCATTCAAGACGACCGGTGGCTCGACTTCCTTCAGGCAACTCCAGAGATTCCCCGAGAACACTGTCCCAAGGCTAGAGGAACACCAACTTCAGCACAGCAACTCGAGGAATGCTCCGTGTACCCCAAATCATCTCGAGATGAGAGCTGATTCCCTGGCTTAGGCTCAAGACGTATGCCAACTTTCCAGAAGCATCTCAGGAGGAGGCTTCTCTCAGCAATAGGTATGTGGGAGGGACCCCGTGTTTGCTGCCTCAAGGGGAATACACAGGGAGAAGCCCTAATGTGAACGGAGGCCAGATTTCCTTGCAGAGGGTTGAATACAGGCTCGTCTTTGATCTGACAACATGAAGGGATGTCTGAATCCCCTGTGGAGACCTTAGAGGAAGCCCTATTTCCTTGCCTCATTTTGACGGAATACCTCACATCCCCCTGACACCTCGAGAGGAACGCAGAGTTCATTGCTTCAAAAGGTGACGATGCCTGACTCCTCTTGAATACTGATAGGAATCCCAAAATCCCTGTGGCTACTGGAAAGCGTCCTTGGGTGCCCTGGCTCACCTCGAGAAGCGTCCCTTTTGGCCTGCCAAGCCTCGAAGAGATTGCTGAGGTGTCCCTCGTTACTAGACAGGAGTCCTGACGTCACTGAAGAAACTCGTGTTTTGAAGGGCCATCCCCGCCGTAAGTCGAGAACATACCCCAGGTCCCCGCCGCAACTCGAGAAAAACCATGAGACTTCCCCCTAGAGGCGAGATGAGGCCCCATTCCCCTGCAGTGCATGCAGAGCTATTCCGTGATCCCATTCAAACAAGTCAGGAGCTTCGACTTGCTTAATGGATCTCGAGACAGTCCCCAAGAACACTGTCACCAGTCTAGACGGAGCCTGAGGTCACCCCAGCAACGCAAAGCAGCTCCATGTGCCCCAAATCAACTCGAGATTAGGCCCGATTCCCCTGCATTGACTCCAGAGCCATTCCCCGTTCCCCGTTCAACACGAACGGAGGCTCGCCTTCCTTCAGGCAACTCCACAGATGCCCCGAGAACACTGTCCCAAGTCTAGAGGAACACCAACTTCAGCACAGCAACTCGAGGAGTGCTCAGAGTACCCCAAATCATCTCGAGATGAGAGCTGATTCCCTGGCTTAGGCTCAAGACATATGCCAACTTTCCAAAGCACTTCAGGAGGAGGCTTCTCTCAGCAATAGTTATGTGGGAGGGACCCCGGGTTTGCTGCCTCAAGGGGATTATACAGCGAGAAGCCCTAACTTGAAAGGAGGCCGGATTTCCTTGCAGTGGCTTGAATACAGGCTCGTCTTTGATCTGACAACATGAAGGTATGTCTGAATCCCCTGTGGAGACCTTAGAGAAAGCCCTAGGTCCCTGCCTCATTTTGACGGAATGCCTCACATCCCGCTGACCCCTCGAGAGGCACGCGGAGTTCATTGCTTCAAAACGTGACGATGCCTGACTCCTCTTGAATACTGATAGGAATCCCAAAATCCCTGTGGCTACTGGAAAGGGTCCTTGGGTGTCCTGCCTCACCTCGAGAAGCGTCCCTTTTGCCCTGCCAAGCCTCGAAGAGATTCCTGAGGTGTCCCTCGTTACTAGGCAGGAGTTCTGACGTCACTGGAGAAACTCGTGTTTTGAAGGGCCATCCCCACCGTAAGTCGAGAACATACACCAGGTCCCCGCTGCAACTCGAGAAAAACCGTGAGACTTCCACCTAGAGGCGAGATGAGGCCCCATTCCCCTGCAGTGCATGCAGAGCTATTCCGTGATCCCATTCAAACAAGTCAGGAGCTTCGACTTGCTTAATGGATCTCGAGACAGTCCCCAAGAACACTGTCACCAGTCTAGACGGAGCCTGAGGTCACCCCAGCAACGCAAAGCTGCTCCATGTGCCCCAAATCAACTCGAGATGAGGCCCGATTCCCCTGCATTGACTCCAGAGCCATTCCCCGTTCCCCATTCAACACGACCGGTGGCTCCACTTCATTCAGGCAACTCCAGAGATTCCCCGAGAACACTGTCCCAAGGCTAGAGGAACACCAACTTCAGCACTGCAACTCGAGGAATGCTCCGTGTACCCCAAATCATCTCGAGATGAGAGCTGATTCCCTGGCTTAGGCTCAAGACGTATGCCAACTTTCCAGAAGCACCTCAGGAGGAGGCTTCTCTCAGCAATAGGTATGTGGGAGGGACCCCGTGTTTGCTGCCTCAAGGGGAATACACAGGGAGAAGCCCTGATGTGAACGGAGGCCAGATTTCCTTGCAGAGGGTTGAATACAGGCTCGTCTTTGATCTGACAACATGAAGGGATGTCTGAATCCCCTGTGGAGACCTTAGAGGAAGCCCTATTTCCCTGCCTCATTTTGACGGAATACCTCACATCCCCCTGAAACCTCGAGAGGCACGCAGAGTTCATTGCTTCAAAAGGTGACGATGCCTGACTCCTCTTGAATACTTATAGGAATCCCAAAATCCCTGTTGCTACTGGAAAGGGTCCTTGGGTGCCCTGGCTCACCTCGAGAAGCGTCCCCTTTGCCCTGCCAAGCCTCGAAGAGATTCCTGAGGTGTCCCTCGTTACTAGACAGGAGTACTGACGTCACTGAAGAAACTCGTGTTTTGAAGGGCCATCCCCGCCGTAAGTCGAGAACATACCCCAGGGCCCCGCCGCAACTCGAGAAAAACCATGAGACTTCCCCCTATAGGCGAGATGAGGCCCCATTCCCCTGCAGTGCATGCAGAGCTATTCCGTGATCCCATTCAAACAAGTCAGGAGCTTCGACTTGCTTAATGGATCTCGAGACAGTCCCCAAGAACACTGTCACCAGTCTAGACGGACCCTGAGGTCACCCCAGCAACGCAAAGCAGCTCCATGTGCCCCAAATCAACTCGAGATGAGGCCCGATTCCCCTGCATTGACTCCAGAGCCATTCCCCGTTCCCCGTTCAACACGAACGGAGGCTCGCCTTCCTTCAGGCAACTCCAGAGATGCCCCGAGAACACTGTCCCAAGTCTAGAGGAACACCAACTTCAGCACAGCAACTCGAGAAATGCTCTGTGTACCCCAAATCGTCTCGAGATGAGAGCTGATTCCCTGGCTTAGGCTCAAGACGTATGCCAAGTTTCCAGAAGCACCTCAGGAGGAGGCTTCTCAGCAATAGGTATGTGGGAGGGACTCCGAGTTTGCTGCCTCAAGGGGAATATACATCGAGAAGCCCTAACTTGAAAGGAGGCCGGATTTCCTTGCAGTAGCTTGAATACAGGCTTGTCTTTCATCTCACAACATGAAGGGATGTCTGAATCCCCTGTGGAGACCTTAGAGAAAGCCCTAGGTCCCTGCCTCATTTTGACGGAATGCCTCACATCCCGCTGACACCTCGAGAGGCACGCGGAGTTCATTGCTTCAAAAGGTGACGATGCCTGACTCTTCTTGAATACTGATAGGAATCCCAAAATCACCTGTGGCTACAGGAATGGGTCCTTGGGTGCCCTGCCTCACCTCGAGAAGCGTCCCTTTTGCCCTGCCAAGCCTCGAAGAGATTCCTGAGGTGTCCCTCGTTACTAGGCAGGAGTCCTGACGTCACTGGAGAAACTAGTGTTTTGAAGGGCCATCCCCGCCGTAAGTCGAGAACATACCCCAGGGCCCCGCCGGAACTCGAGAAAAACCATGAGACTTCCCCCTATAGGCGAGATGAGGCCCCATTCCCCTGCAGTGCATGCAGAGCTATTCCGTGATCCCATTCAAACAAGTCAGGAGCTTCGACTTGCTTAATGGAACTCGAGACAGTCCCCAAGAACACTGTCACCAGTCTAGACGGACCCTGAGGTCACCCCAGCAACGCAAAGCTGCTCCATGTGCCCCAAATCAACTCGAGATGAGGCCCGATTCCCCTGCATTGACTCCAGAGCCATTCCCCGTTCCCCATTCAAGATGACCGGTGGCTCGACTTCCTTCAGGCAACTCCAGAGATTCCCCGAGAACACTGTCCCAAGGCTAGAGGAACACCAACTTCAGCACAGCAACTCGAGGAATGATCCGTGTACCCCAAATCATCTCGAGATGAGAGATGATTCCCTGGCTTAGGCTCAAGACGTATGCCAACTTTCCAGAAGCATCTCAGGAGGAGGCTTCTCTCAGCAATAGGTATGTGGGAGGGACCCCGAGTTTGCTGCCTCAAGGGGAATACACAGGGAGAAGCCCTAATGTGAACGGAGGCCAGATTTCCTTGCAGTGGCTGGAATACAGGCTCGTCTTTGATCTGACAACATGAAGGGATGTCTGAATACCCTGTGGAGACCTTAGAGGAAGACCTAGGTCCCTGCCTCATTTTGACGGAATACCTCACATCCCCCTGACACCTCGAGAGGCACGCAGAGTTCATTGCTTCAAAAGGTGACGATGCCTGACTCCTCTTGAATACTTATAGGAATCCCAAAATCCCTGTGGCTACTGGAATGGGTTCTTGGGTGCCCTGGCTCAACTCGAGAAGCGTCCCTTTTGCCCTGCCAAGCCTCGAAGAGATTGCTGAGGTGTCCCTCATTACTAGACAGGAGTCCTGACGTCACTGAAGAAACTCCTGTTTTGAAGGGCCATCCCCGCCGTAAGTCGAGAACATAACCCAGGTCCCCGCCGCAACTCGAGAAAAACCGTGAGACTTCCCCCTAGAGGCGAGATGAGGCCCCATTCCCCTGCAGTGCATGCAGAGCTATTCCGTGATCCCATTCAAACAAGTCAGGAGCTTCGACTTGCTTAATGGATCTCGAGACAGTCCCCAAGAACACTGTCACCAGTCTAGACGGACCCTGAGGTCACCCCAGCAACGCAAAGCAGCTCCATGTGCCCCAAATCAACTCGAGATGAGGCCCGATTCCCCTGCATTGACTCCAGAGCCATTCCCCGTTCCCCGTTCAACACGAACGGAGGATCGCCTTCCTTCAGGCAACTCCAGAGATGCCCCGAGAACACTGTCCCAAGTCTAGAGGAACACCAACTTCAGCACAGCAACTCGAGGAATGCTCTGTGTACCCCAAATCGTCTCGAGATGAGAGCTGATTCCCTGGCTTAGGCTCAAGACGTATGCCAACTTTCCAGAAGCACCTCAGGAGGAGGCTTCTCAGCAATAGGTATGTGGGAGGGACTCCGAGTTTGCTGCCTCAAGGGGAATATACATCGAGAAGCCCTAACTTGAAAGGAGGCCGGATTTCCTTGCAGTAGCTTGAATACAGGCTTGTCTTTCATCTCACAACATGAAGGGATGTCTGAATCCCCTGTGGAGACCTTAGAGAAAGCCCTAGGTCCCTGCCTCATTTTGACGGAATGCCTCACATCCCGCTGACACCTCGAGAGGCACGCGGAGTTCATTGCTTCAAAAGGTGACGATGCCTGACTCCTCTTGAATACTGATAGGAATCCCAAAATCCCTGTGGCTACTGGAAAGGGTCCTTGGGTGTCCTGCCTCACCTCGAGAAGCGTCCCTTTTGCCCTGCCAAGCCTCGAAGAGATTCCTGAGGTGTCCCTCGTTACTAGGCAGGAGTCCTGACGTCACTGGAGAAACTCGTGTTTTGAAGGGCCATCCCCGCCGTAAGTCGAGAACATACCCCAGGTCCCCGCTGCAACTCGAGAAAAACCGTGAGACTTCCCCCTATAGGCGAGATGAGGCCCCATTCCCCTGCAGTGCATGCAGAGCTATTCCGTGATCCCATTCAAACAAGTCAGGAGCTTCGACTTGCTTAATGGATCTCGAGACAGTCCCCAAGAATATTGTCACCAGTCTAGACTGAGCCTGAGGTCACCCCAGCAACGCAAAGCTGCTCCATGTGCCCCAAATCAACTCGAGATGAGGCCCGATTCCCCTGCATTGACTCCAGAGCCATTCCCCGTTCCCCATTCAAGACGACCGGTGGCTCGACTTCATTCAGGCAACTCCAGAGATTCCCCGAGAACACTGTCCCAAGGCTAGAGGAACACCAACTTCAGCACAGCAACTCGAGGAATGCTCCGTGTACCCCAAATCATCTCGAGATGAGAGCTGATTCCCTGGCTTAGGCTCAAGACGTATGCCAACTTTCCAGAAGCATCTCAGGAGGAGGCTTCTCTCAGCAATAGGTATGTGGGAGGGACCCCGTGTTTGCTGCCTCAAGGGGAATACACAGGGAGAAGCCCTAATGTGAACGGAGGACAGATTTCCTTGCAGAGGGTTGAATACAGGCTCGTCTTTGATCTGACAACATTAAGGGATGTCTGAATCCCCTGTGGAGACCTTAGAGGAAGCCCTATTTCCCTGCCTCATTTTGACGGAATACCTCACATCCCCCTGACACCTCGAGAGGCACGCAGAGTTCATTGCTTCAAAAGGTGACGATGCCTGACTCCTCTTGAATACTTATAGGAATCCCAAAATCCCTGTTGCTACTGGAAAGGGTCCTTGGGTGCCCTGGCTCACCTCGAGAAGCGTCCCCTTTGCCCTGCCAAGCCTCGAAGAGATTGCTGAGGTGTCCCTCGTTACTAGATAGGAGTCCTGACGTCACTGAAGAAACTCGTGTTTTGAAGGGCCATCCCCGCCGTAACTCGAGAACATACCCAAGGTCCCCGCCGCAACTCGAGAAAAACCATGAGACATCCCCCTATAGGCGAGATGAGGCCCCATTCCCCTGCAGTGCATGCAGAGCTATTCCGTGATCCCATTCAAACAAGTCAGGAGCTTCGACTTGCTTAATGGATCTCGAGACAGTCCCCAAGAACACTGTCACCAGTCTAGAAGGAGCCTGAGGTCACCCCAGCAACGCAAAGCTGCTCCATGTGCCCCAAATCAACTCGAGATGAGGCCCGATTCCCCTGCATTGACTCCAGAGCCATTCCCCGTTCCCCATTCAACACGACCGGTGGCTCGACTTCATTCAGGCAACTCCAGAGATTCCCCGAGAACACTGTCCCAAGGCCAGAGGAACACCAACTTCAGCACAGCAACTCGAGGAATGCTCCGTGTACCCCAAATCATCTCGAGATGAGAGCTGATTCCCTGGCTTAGGCTCAAGACGTATGCCAACTTTCCAGAAGCACCTCAGGAGGAGGCTTCTCTCAGCAATAGGTATGTGGGAGGGACCCCGTGTTTGCGGCCTCAAGGGGAATACACAGGGAGAAGCCCTGATGTGAACGGAGGCCAGATTTCCTTGCAGAGGGTTGAATACAGGCTCGTCTTTGATCTGACAACATGAAGGGATGTCTGAATCTCCTGTGGAGACCTTAGAGGAAGCCCTATTTCCCTGCCTCATTTTGACGGAATACCTCACATCCCCCTGAAACCTCGAGAGGCACGCAGAGTTCATTGCTTCAAAAGGTGACGATGCCTGACTCCTCTTGAATACTTATAGGAATCCCAAAATCCCTGTTGCTACTGGAAAGGGTCCTTGGGTGCCCTGGCTCACCTCGAGAAGCGTCCCTTTTGCCCTGCCAAGCCTCGAAGAGATTCCTGAGGTGTCCCTCGTTACTAGACAGGAGTACTGACGTCACTGAAGAAACTCGTGTTTTGAAGGGCCATCCCCGCCGTAAGTCGAGAACATACCCCAGGGCCCCGCCGCAACTCGAGAAAAACCATGAGACTTCCCCCTATAGGCGAGATGAGGCCCCATTCCCCTGCAGTGCATGCAGAGCTATTCCGTGATCCCATTCAAACAAGTCAGGAGCTTCGACTTGCTTAATGGATCTCGAGACAGTCCCCAAGAACACTGTCACCAGTCTAGACGGACCCTGAGGTTACCCCAGCAACGCAAAGCAGGTCCATGTGCCCCAAATCAACTCGAGATGAGGCCCGATTCCCCTGCATTGACTCCAGAGCCATTCCCTGTTCCCCGTTCAACACGAACGGAGGCTCGCCTTCCTTCAGGCAACTCCAGAGATGCCCCGAGAACACTGTCCCAAATCTAGAGGAACACCAACTTCAGCACAGCAACTCGAGAAATGCTCTGTGTACCCCAAATCGTCTCGAGATGAGAGCTGATTCCCTGGCTTAGGCTCAAGACGTATGCCAAGTTTCCAGAAGCACCTCAGGAGGAGGCTTCTCAGCAATAGGTATGTGGGAGGGACTCCGAGTTTGCTGCCTCAAGGGGAATATACATCGAGAAGCCCTATCTTGAACGGAGGCCGGATTTCCTTGCAGTAGCTTGAATACAGGCTTGTCTTTCATCTCACAACATGAAGGGATGTCTGAATCCCCTGTGGAGACCTTAGAGAAAGCCCTCGGTCCCTGCCTCATTTTGACGGAATGCCTCACATCCCGCTGACACCTCGAGAGGCACGCGGAGTTCATTGCTTCAAAAGGTGACGATGCCTGACTCCTCTTGAATACTGATAGGAATCCCAAAATCAACTGTGGCTACAGGAAAGGGTCCTTGGGTGCCCTGCCTCACCTCGAGAAGCGTCCCTTTTGCCCTGCCAAGCCTCGAAGAGATTCCTGAGGTGTCCCTCGTTACTAGGCAGGAGTCCTGACGTCACTGGAGAAACTCGTGTTTTGAAGGGCCATCCCCGCCGTAAGTCGAGAACATACCCCAGGTCCCCGCCGCAACTCGAGAAAAACCGTGAGACTTCCCCCTGGAGGCGAGATGAAGCCCCATTCCCCTGCAGTGCATGCAGAGCTATTCCGTGATCCCATTCAAACAAGTCAGGAGCTTCGACTTGCTTAATGGATCTCGAGACAGTCCCCAAGAACACTGTCACCAGTCTAGACGGACCCTGAGGTCACCCCAGCAACGCAAAGCTGCTCCATGTGCCCCAAATCAACTCGAGATGAGGCCCGATTCCCCTGCATTGACTCCAGAGCCATTCCCCATTCCCCATTCAAGATGACCGGTGGCTCGACTTCCCTCAGGCAACTCCAGAGATTCCCCGAGAACACTGTCCGAAGGCTAGAGGAACACCAACTTCAGCACAGCAACTCGAGGAATGATCCGTGTACCCCAAATCATCTCGAGATGAGAGCTGATTCCCTGGCTTAGGCTCAAGACGTATGCCAACTTTCCAGAAACATCTCAGGAGGAGGCTTCTCTCAGCAATAGGTATGTGGGAGGGACCGTGTGTTTGCTGCCTCAAGGGGAATACACAGGGAGAAGCCCTAATGTGAACGGAGGACAGATTTCCTTGCAGAGGGTTGAATACAGGCTCGTCTTTGATCTGACAACATGAAGGGTTGTCTGAATCCCCTGTGGAGACCTTAGAGGAAGCCCTAGGTCCCTTCCACATTTTGACGGAATACCTCACATCCCCCTGACACCTCGAGAGGCACGCAGAGTTCATTGCTTCAAAAGTTGACGATGCCTGACTCCTCTTGAATACTTATAGGAATCCCAAAATCCCTGTTGCTACTGGAAAGGGTCCTTGGGTGCCCTGGCTCACCTCGAGAAGCGTCCCTTTGCCCTGCCAAGCCTTGAAGAGATTGCTGAGGTTTCCCTCGTTACTAGACAGGAGTCCTGACGTCACTGAAGAAACTCGTGTTTTCAAGGGCCATCCCCGCCGTAAGTCGAGAACATACCCCAGGTCCCCGCCGCAACTCGAGAAAAACCATGAGACATCCCCCTATAGGCGAGATGAGGCCCCATTCCCCTGCAGTGCATGCAGAGCTCTTCCGTGATCCCATTCAAACAAGTCAGGAGCTTTGACTTGCTTAATGGATCTCGAGACAGTCCCCAAGAACACTGTCACCAGTCTAGACGGACCCTGAGGTCACCTCAGCAACGCAAAGCAGCTCCATGTGCCACAAATCAACTCGAGATGAGGCCCGATTCCCCTGCATTGACTCCAGAGCCATTCCCTGTTCCCCGTTCAACACGAACGGAGGTTCGCCTTCCTTCACGCAACTCCAGAGATGCCCCGAGAACACTGTCCCAAGTCTAGAGGAACACCAACTTCAGCACAGCAACTCGAGGTATGATCTGTGTACCCCAAATCGTCTCGAGATGAGAGCTGATTCCCTGGCTTAGGCTCAAGACGTATGCCAAATTTCCAGAAGCACCTCAGGAGGAGGCTTCTCAGCAATAGGTATGTGCGAGGGACTCCAAGTTTGCTGCCTCAAGGGGAATATACATCGAGAAGCCCTAACTTGAAAGGAGGCCGGATTTCCTTGCAGTAGCTTGAATACAGGCTTGTCTTTCATCTCACAACATGAAGGGATTTCTGAATCCCCTGTGGAGACCTTAGAGAAAGCCCTAGGTCCCTGCCTCATTTTGACGGAATGCCTCACATCCGGCTGACACCTCGAGAGGCACGCGGACTTCATTACTTCAAAAGGTGACGATGCCTGACTCCTCTTGAATACTGATAGGAATTCCAAAATCCCTGTGGCTACTGGAAAGGGTCCTTGGGTGCCCTGCCTCACCTCGAGAAGCGTCCCTTTTGCCCTGCCAAGCCTCGAAGAGATTCCTGAGGTGTCCCTCGTTACTAGGCAGGAGTCCTGACGTCACTGAAGAAACTCGTGTTTTGAAGGGCCATCCCCACCGTAAGTCGAGAACATACCCCAGGTCCCCGCCGCAACTCGAGAAAAACCATGAGACTTCCCCCTAGAGGCGAGATGAGGCCCCATTCCCCTGCAGTGCATGCAGAGCTATTCCGTGATCCCATTCAAACAAGTCAGGAGCTTCGACTTGCTTAACGGATCTCGAGACAGTCCCCAAGAACACTGTCACCAGTCTAGACGGACCCTGAGGTCACCCCAGCAACGCAAAGCAGCTCCATGTGCCCCAAATCAACTCGAGATGAGGCCCGATTCCCCTGCATTGACTCCAGAGCCATTCCCCGTTCCCCGTTCAACACGAACGGAGGCTCGCCTTCCTTCAGGCAACTCCAGAGATGCCCCGAGAACACTGTCCCAAGTCTAGAGGAACACCAACTTCAGCACAGCAACTCGAGGAATGCTCTGTGTACCCCAAATCGTCTAGAGATGAGAGCTGATTCCCTGGCTTAGGCTCAAGACGTATGCCAAATTTCCAGAAGCACCTCAGGAGGAGGCTTCTCAGCAATAGGTATGTGGGAGGGACTCCGAGTTTGCTGCCTCAAGGGGAATATACAGCGAGAAGCCCTAACTTGAAAGGAGGCCGGATTTCCTTGCAGTAGCTTGAAACAGGCTTGTTTTTCATCTCACAACATGAAGGGATGTCTGAATCCCCTGTGGAGACCTTAGAGAAAGCCCTAGGTCCCTGCCTCATTTTGACGGAATCCTCACATCCCGCTGACACCTCGAGAGGCACGCGGAGTTCATTGCTTCAAAAGGTGACGATGCCTGACTCCTCTTGAATACTGATAGGAATCCCAAAATCCCTGTGGCTACTGGAAAGGGTCCTTGGGTGCCCTGCCTCACCTCGAGAAGCGTCCCTTTTGCCCTGCCAAGCCTCGAAGAGATTCCTGAGGTGTCCGACGTTACTAGGCAGGAGTCCTGACGTCACTGAAGAAACTCGTGTTTTGAAGGGCCATCCCCGCCGTAAGTCGAGAACATACCCCAGGTACCCGCCGCAACTCGAGAAAAACCGTGAGCCTTCCCCCTAGAGGCGAGATGAGGCCCCATTCCCCTGCAGTGCATGCAGAGCTATTCCGTGATCCCATTCATACAAGTCAGGAGCTTTGACTTGCTTAATGGATCTCGAGACAGTCCCCAAGAACACTGTCACCAGTCTAGACGGACCCTGAGGTCACCCCAGCAACGCAAAGCTGCTCCATGTGCCCCAAATCAACTCGAGATGAGGCCCGATTCCCCTGCATTGACTCCAGAGCCATTCCCCGTTCCCCATTCAACACGACCGGTGGCTCGACTTCCTTCAGGCAACTCCAGAGATTCCCCGAGAACACTGTCCCAGGGCTAGAGGAACACCAACTTCAGCACAGCAACTCGAGGAATGCTCCGTGTACCCCAAATCATCTCGAGATGAGAGCTGATTCCCTGGCTTAGGCTCAAGACGTATGCCAACTTTCCAGAAGCATCTCAGGAGGAGGCTTCTCTCAGCAATAGGTATGTGGGAGGGACCCCGAGTTTGCTGCCTCAAGGGGAATACACAGGGAGAAGCCCTCATGTGAACGGAGGCCAGATTTCCTTGCAGTGGCTGGAATACAGGCTCGTCTTTGATCTGACAACATGAAGGGATGTCTGAATACCCTGTGGAGACCTTAGAGGAAGCCCTAGGTCCCTGCCTCATTTTGACGGAATACCTCACATCCCCCTGACACCTCGAGAGGCACGCAGAGTTCATTGCTTCAAAAGGTGACGATGCCTGACTCCTCTTGAATACTTATAGGAATCCCAAAATCCCTGTGGCTACTGGAAAGGGTCCTTGGGTGCCCTGGCTCACCTCGAGAAGCGTCCCTTATGCCCTGCCAAGCCTCGAAGAGATTGCTGAGGTGTCCCTCATTACTAGACAGGAGTCCTGACGTCACTGAAGAAACTCGTGTTTTGAAGGGCCATCCCCGCCGTAAGTCGAGAACATACCCCAGGTCCCCGCCGCAACTCGAGAAAAACCGTGAGACTTCCCCCTAGAGGCGAGATGAGGCCCCATTCCACTGCAGTGCATGCAGAGCTATTCCGTGATCCCATTCAAACAAGTCAGGAGCTTCGACTTGCTTAATGGATCTCGAGACAGTCCCCAAGAACACTGTCACCAGTCTAGACGGACCCTGAGGTCACCCCAGCAACGCAAAGCAGCTCCATGTTCCCCAAATCAACTCGAGATGAGGCCCGATTCCTCTGCATTGACTCCAGAGCCATTCCCCGTTCCCCGTTCAACACGAACGGAGGATCGTCTTCCTTCAGGCAACTCCAGAGATGCCCCGAGAACACTGTCCCAAGTCTAGAGGAACACCAATTTCAGCACAGCAACTCGAGGAATGCTCTGTGTACCCCAAATCGTCTCGAGATGAGAGCTGATTCCTTGGCTTAGGCTCAACACGTATGCCAACTTTCCAGAAGCACCTCAGGAGGAGGCTTCTCAGCAATAGGTATGTGGGAGGGACTCCGAGTTTGCTGCCTCAAGGGGAATATACATCGAGAAGCCCTAACTGGAAAGGAGGCCGGATTTCCTTGCAGTAGCTTGAATACAGGCTTGTCTTTCATCTCACAACATGAAGGGATGTCTGAATCCCCTGTGGAGACCTTAGAGAAAGCCCTAGGTCCCTGCCTCATTTTGACGGAATGCCTCACATCCCGCTGACACCTCGAGAGGCACGCGGAGTTCATTGCTTCAAAAGGTGACGATGCCTGACTCCTCTTGAATACTGATAGGAATCCCAAAATCCCTGTGGCTACTGGAAAGGGTCCTTGGGTGTCCTGCCTCACCTCGAGAAGCGTCCCTTTTGCCCTGCCAAGCCTCGAAGAGATTCCTGAGGTGTCCCTCGTTACTAGGCAGGAGTCCTGACGTCACTGGAGAAACTCGTGTTTTGAAGGGCCATCCCCGCCGTAAGTCGAGAACATACCCCAGGTCCCCGCTGCAACTCGAGAAAAACCGTGAGACTTCCCCCTAGAGGCGAGATGAGGCCCCATTCCCCTGCAGTGCATGCAGAGCTATTCCGTGATCCCATTCAAACAAGTCAGGAGCTTCGACTTGCTTAATGGATCTCGAGACAGTCCCCAAGAACACTGTCACCAGTCTAGACGGACCCTGAGGTCACCCGAGCAACGCAAAGCTGCTCCATGTGCCCCAAATCAACTCGAGATGAGGCCCGATTCCCCTGCATTGACTCCAGAGCCATTCCCCGTTCCCCATTCAAGACGACCGGTGGCTCGACTTCATTCAGGCAACTCCAGAGATTCCCCGAGAACACTGTCCCAAGGCTAGAGGAACACCAACTTCAGCACAGCAACTCGAGGAATGCTCCGTGTACCCCAAATCATCTCGAGATGAGAGCTGATTCCCTGGCTTAGGCTCAAGACGTATGCCAACTTTCCAGAAGCATCTCAGGAGGAGGCTTCTCTCAGCAATAGGTATGTGGGAGGGACCCCGTGTTTGCTGCCTCAAGGGGAATACACAGGGAGAAGCCCTAATGTGAACGGAGGCCAGATTTCCTTGCAGAGGGTTGAATACAGGCTCGTCTTTGATCTGACAACATTAAGGGATGTCTGAATCCCCTGTGGAGACCTTAGAGGAAGCCCTATTTCCCTGCCTCATTTTGACGGAATACCTCACATCCCCCTGACACCTCGAGAGGCACGCAGAGTTCATTGCTTCAAAAGGTGACGATGCCTGACTCCTCTTGAATACTTATAGGAATCCCAAAATCCCTGTGGCTACTGGAAAGGGTCCTTGGGTGCCCTGGCTCACCTCGAGAAGCGTCCCCTTTGCCCTGCCAAGCCTCGAAGAGATTGCTGAGGTGTCCCTCGTTACTAGACAGGAGTCCTGACGTCACTGAAGAAACTCGTGTTTTGAAGGGCCATCCCCGCCGTAAGTCGAGAACATAACCAAGGTCCCCGCCGCAACTCGAGAAAAACCATGAGACATTCCCCTATAGGCGAGATGAGGCCCCATTCCCCTGCAGTGCATGCAGAGCTATTCCGTGATCCCATTCAAACAAGTCAGGAGCTTCGACTTGCTTAATGGATCTCGAGACAGTCCCCAAGAACACTGTCACCAGTCTAGACGGAGCCTGAGGTCACCTCAGCAACGCAAAGCAGCTCCATGTGCCCCAAATCAACTCGAGATGAGGCCCGATTCCCCTGCATTGACTCCAGAGCCATTCCCCGTTCCCCGTTCAACACGAACGGAGGCTCGCCTTCCTTCACGCAACTCCAGAGATGCCCCGAGAACACTGTCCCAAGTCTAGAGGAACACCAACTTCAGCACAGCAACTCGAGGTATGATCTGTGTACCCCAAATCGTCTCGAGATGAGAGCTGATTCCCTGGCTTAGGCTCAAGACGTATGCCAAATTTCCAGAAGCACCTCAGGAGGAGGCTTCTCAGCAATAGGTATGTGGGAGGGACTCCAAGTTTGCTGCCTCAAGGGGAATATACATCGAGAAGCCCTAACTTGAAAGGAGGCCGGATTTCCTTGCAGTAGCTTGAATACAGGCTTGTCTTTCATCTCACAACATGAAGGGATTTCTGAATCCCCTTTGGAGACCTTAGAGAAAGTCCTAGGTCCCTGCCTCATTTTGACGGAATGCCTCACATCCGGCTGACACCTCGAGAGGCACACGGACTTCATTACTTCAAAAGGTGACGATGCCTGACTCCTCTTGAATACTGATAGGAATCCCAAAATCCCTGTGGCTACTGGAAAGGGTCCTTGGGTGCCCTGGCTCACCTCGAGAAGCGTCCCTTTTGCCCTGCCAAGCCTCGAAGAGATTCCTGAGGTGTCCCTCGTTACTAGGCAGGAGTCCTGACGTCACTGAAGAAACTCGTGTTTTGGAGGGCCATCCCCGCCGTAAGTCGAGAACATACCCCAGGTCCCCGCCGCAACTCGAGAAAAACCATGAGAATTCCCCCTAGAGGCGAGATGAGGCCCCATTCCCCTGCAGTGCATGCAGAGCTATTCCGTGATCCCATTCAAACAAGTCAGGAGCTTCGACTTGCTTAATGGATCTCGAGACAGTCCCCAAGAACACTGTCACCAGTCTAGACGGAGCCTGAGGTCACCCCAGCAACGCAAAGCAGCTCCATGTGCCCCAAATCAACTCGAGATGAGGCCCGATTCCCCTGCATTGACTCCAGAGCCATTCCCCGTTCCCCGTTCAACACGAACGGAGGCTCGCCTTCCTTCAGGCAACTCCAGAGATGCCCCGAGAACACTGTCCCAAGTCTAGAGGAACACCAACTTCAGCACAGCAACTCGAGGAATGCTCTGTGTACCCCAAATCGTCTCGAGATGAGAGCTGATTCCCTGGCTTAGGCTCAAGACGTATGCCAAATTTCCAGAAGCACCTCAGGAGGAGGCTTCTCAGCAATAGGTATGTGGGAGAGACTCCGAGTTTGCTGCCTCAAGGGGAATATACATCGAGAAGCCCTAACTTGAAAGGAGGCCGGATTTCCTTGCAGTAGCTTGAATACAGGCTTGTCTTTCATCTCACAACATGAAGGGATGTCTGAATCCCCTGTGGAGACCTTAGAGAAAGCCCTAGGTCCCTGCCTCATTTTGACGGAATGCCTCACATCCCTTTGACACCTCGAGAGGCACGCGGAGTTCATTGCTTCAAAAGGTGACGATGCCTGACTCCTCTTGAATACTGATAGGAATCCCAAAATCCCTGTGGCTACTGGAAAGGGTCCTTGGGTGTCCTGCCTCACCTCGAGAAGCGTCCCTTTTGCCCTGCCAAGCCTCGAAGAGATTCCTGAGGTGTCCCTCGTTACTAGGCAGGAGTCGTGACGTCACTGGAGAAACTCGTGTTTTGAAGGGCCATCCCCGCCGTAAGTCGAGAACATACCCCAGGTCCCCGCCGCAACTCGAGAAAAACCGCGAGACTTCGCCCTAGAGGCGAGATGAAGCCCCATTCCCCTGCAGTGCATGCAGAGCTATTCCGTGATCCCATTCAAACAAGTCAGGAGCTTCGACTTGCTTAATGGATCTCGAGACAGTCCCCAAGAACACTGTCACCAGTCTAGACGGACCCTGAGGTCACCCCAGCATCGCAAAGCTGCTCCATGTGCCCCAAATCAACTCGAGATGAGGCCCGATTCCCCTGCATTGACTCCAGAGCCATTCCCCGTTCCCCATTCAAGACGACCGGTGGCTCGACTTCCTTCAGGCAACTCCAGAGATTCCCCGAGAACACTGTCCCAAGGCTAGAGGAACACCAACTTCAGCACAGCAACTCGAGGAATGCTCCGTGTACCCCAAATCATCTCGAGATGAGAGCTGATTCCCTGGCTTAGGCTCAAGACGTATGCCAACTTTCCAGAAGCATCTCAGGAGGAGGCTTCTCTCAGCAATAGGTATGTGGGAGGGACCCCGTGTTTGCTGCCTCAAGGGGAATACACAGGGAGAAGCCCTAATGTGAACGGAGGCCAGATTTCCTTGCAGAGGGTTGAATACAGGCTCGTCTTTGATCTGACAACATTAAGGGATGTCTGAATACCCTGTGGAGACCTTAGAGGAAGCCCTAGGTCCCTGCCTCATTTTGACGGAATACCTCACATCCCCCTGACACCTCGAGAGGCACGCAGAGTTTATTGCTTCAAAAGGTGACGATGCCTGACTCCTCTTGAATACTTATAGGAATCCCAAAATCCCTGTGGCTACTGGAAAGGGTCCTTGGGTGCCCTGGCTCACCTCGAGAAGCGTCCCCTTTGCCCTGCCAAGCCTCGAAGAGATTGCTGAGGTGTCCCTCGTTACTAGACAGGAGTCCTGACGTCACTGAAGAAACTCGTGTTTTGAAGGGCCATCCCCGCCGTAAGTCGAGAACATACCCCAGGTCCCCGCCGCAACTCGAGAAAAACCATGAGACTTCCCCCTAGAGGCGAGATGAGGCCCCATTCCCCTGCAGTGCATGCAGAGCTATTCCGTGATCCCATTCAAACAAGTCAGGAGCTTCGACTTGCTTAATGGATCTCGAGACAGTCCCCAAGAACACTGTCACCAGTCTAGACGGACCCTGAGGTCACCCCAGCAACGCAAAGCAGCTCCATGTGCCCCAAATCAACTCGAGATGAGGCCCGATTCCCCTGCATTGACTCCAGAGCCATTCCCCGTTCCCCGTTCAACACGAACGGAGGATTGCCTTCATTCAGGCAACTCCAGAGATGCCCCGAGAACACTGTCCCAAGTCTAGAGGAACACCAACTTCAGCACAGCAACTCGAGGAATGCTCTGTGTACCCCAAATCGTCTCAAGATGAGAGCTGATTCCCTGGCTTAGGCTCAAGACGTATGCCACCTTTCCAGAAGCACCTCAGGAGGAGGCTTCTCAGCAATAGGTATGTGGGAGGGACTCCGAGTTTGCTGCCTCAAGGGGAATATACATCGAGAAGCCCTAACTTGAAAGGAGGCCGGATTTCCTTGCAGTAGCTTGAATACAGGCTTGTCTTTCATCTCACAACATGAAGGGATTTCTGAATCCCCTGTGGAGACCTTAGAGAAAGCCCTAGGTCACTGCCTCATTTTGACGGAATGCCTCACATCCCGCTGACACCTCGAGAGGCACGCGGAGTTCATTACTTCAAAAGGTGACGATGCCTGACTTCTCTTGAATAGTGATAGGAATCCCAAAATCCCTGTGGCTACTGGAAAGGGTCCTTGGGTGCCCTGCCTCACCTCGAGAAGCGTCCCTTTTGCCCTGCCAAGCCTCGAAGAGATTCCTGAGGTGTCCCTCGTTACTAGGCAGGAGTCCTGAAGTCACTGAAGAAACTCGTGTTTTGGAGGGCTATCCCCGCCGTAAGTCGAGAACATACCCCAGGTCCCCGCCGCAACTCGAGAAAAACCATGAGACTTCCCCCTAGAGGCGAGATGAGGCCCCATTCCCCTGCAGTGCATGCAGAGCTATTCCGTGATCCCATTCAAACAAGTCAGGAGCTTCGACTTGCTTAATGGATCTCGAGACAGTCCCCAAGAACACTGTCACCAGTCTAGACGGACCCTGAGGTCACCCCAGCAACGCAAAGCAGCTCCATGTGCCCCAAATCAACTCGAGATGAGGCCCGATTCCCCTGCATTGACTCCAGAGCCATTCCCCGTTCCCCGTTCAACACGAACGGAGGCTCGCCTTCCTTCACGCAACTCCAGAGATGCCCCGAGAACACTGTCCCAAGTCTAGAGGAACACCAACTTCAGCACAGCAACTCGAGGAATGATCTGTGTACCCCAAATCGTCTCGAGATGAGAGCTGATTCCCTGGCTTAGGCTCAAGACGTATGCCAAATTTCCAGAAGCACCTCAGGAGGAGGCTTCTCAGCAATAGGTATGTGGGAGGGACTCCAAGTTTGCTGCCTCAAGGGGAATAAACATCGAGAAGCCCTAACTTGAAAGGAGGCCGGATTTCCTTGCAGTAGCTTGAATACAGGCTTGTCTTTCATCTCACAACATGAAGGGATTTCTGAATCCCCTGTGGAGACCTTAGAGAAAGCCCTAGGTCCCTGCCTCATTTTGACGGAATGCCTCACATCCCGCTGACACCTCGAGAGGCACGCGGAGTTCATTACTTCAAAAGTTGACGATGCCTGACTCCTCTTGAATACTGATAGGAATCCCAAAATCCCTGTGGCTACTGGAAAGGGTCCTTGGGTGCCCTGCCTCACCTCGAGAAGCGTCCCTTTTGCCCTGCCAAGCCTCGAAGAGATTCCTGAGGTGTCCCTCGTTACTAGGCAGGAGTCCTGACGTCACTGAAGAAACTCGTGTTTTGGAGGGCCATCCCCGCCGTAAGTCGAGAACATACCCCAGGTCCCCGCCGCAACTCGAGAAAAACCATGAGAATTCCCCCTAGAGGCGAGATGAGGCCCCATTCCCCTGCAGTGCATGCAGAGCTATTCCGTGATCCCATTCAAACAAGTCAGGAGCTTCGACTTGCTTAATGGATCTCGAGACAGTCCCCAAGAACACTGTCACCAGTCTAGACGGAGCCTGAGGTCACCCCAGCAACGCAAAGCAGCTCCATGTGCCCCAAATCAACTCGAGATGAGGCCCGATTCCCCTGCATTGACTCCAGAGCCATTCCCCTTCCCCGTTCAACACGAACGTAGGCTCGCCTTCCTTCAGGCAACTGTAGAGATGCCCCGAGAACACTGTCCCAAGTCTAGAGGAACACCAACTTCAGCACAGCAACTCGAGGAATGCTCTGTGTACCCCAAATCGTCTCGAGATGAGAGCTGATTCCCTGGCTTACGCTCAAGACGTATGCCAAATTTCCAGAAGCACCTCAGGAGGAGGCTTCTCAGCAATAGGTATGTGGGAGAGACTCCGAGTTTGCTGCCTCAAGGGGAATATACATCGAGAAGCCCTAACTTGAAAGGAGGCCGGATTTCCTTGCAGTAGCTTGAATACAGGCTTGTCTTTCATCTCACAACATGAAGGGATGTCTGAATCCCCTGTGGAGACCTTAGAGAAAGCCCTAGGTCCCTGCCTCATTTTGACGGAATGCCTCACATCCCGCTGACACCTCGAGAGGCACGCGGAGTTCATTGCTTCAAAAGGTGACGATGCCAGACTCCTCTTGAATACTGATAGGAATCCCAAAATTCCTGTGGCTACTGGAAAGGGTCCTTGGGTGCCCTGCCTCACCTCGAGAAGCGTCCCTTTTGCCCTGCCAAGCCTCGAAGAGATTCCTGAGGTGTCCCTCGTTACTAGGCAGGAGTCCTGACGTCACTGGAGAAACTCGTGTTTTGAAGGGCCATCCCCGCCGTAAGTCGAGAACATACCCCAGGTCCCCGCCGCAACTCGAGAAAAACCGCGAGACTTCGCCCTAGAGGCGAGATGAGGCCCCATTCCCCTGCAGTGCATGCAGAGCTATTCCGTGATCCCATTCAAACAAGTCAGGAGCTTCGACTTGCTTAATGGATCTCGAGACAGTCCCCAAGAACACTGTCACCAGTCTAGACGGACCCTGAGGTCACCCCAGCATCGCAAAGCTGCTCCATGTGCCCCAAATCAACTCGAGATGAGGCCCGATTCCCCTGCATTGACTCCAGAGCCATTCCCCGTTCCCCATTCAAGACGACCGGTGGCTCGACTTCCTTCAGGCAACTCCAGAGATTCCCCGAGAACACTGTCCCAAGGCTAGAGGAACACCAACTTCAGCACAGCAACTCGAGGAATGCTCCGTGTACCCCAAATCATCTCGAGATGAGAGCTGATTCCCTGGCTGAGGCTCAAGACGTATGCCAACTTTCCAGAAGCATCTCAGGAGGAGGCTTCTCTCAGCAATAGGTATGTGGGAGGGACCCCGTGTTTGCTGCCTCAAGGGGAATACACAGGGAGAAGCCCTAATGTGAACGGAGGCCAGATTTCCTTGCAGAGGGTTGAATACAGGCTCGTCTTTGATCTGACAACATTAAGGGATGTCTGAATACCCTGTGGAGACCTTAGAGGAAGCCCTAGGTCCCTGCCTCATTTTGACGGAATACCTCACATCCCCCTGACACCTCGAGAGGCACGCAGAGTTTATTGCTTCAAAAGGTGACGATGCCTGACTCCTCTTGAATACTTATAGGAATCCCAAAATCCCTGTGGCTACTGGAAAGGGTCCTTGGGTGCCCTGGCTCACCTCGAGAAGCGTCCCCTTTGCCCTGCCAAGCCTCGAAGAGATTGCTGAGGTGTCCCTCGTTACTAGACAGGAGTCCTGACGTCACTGAAGAAACTCGTGTTTTGAAGGGCCATCCCCGCCGTAAGTCGAGAACATACCCCAGGTCCCCGCCGCGACTCGAGAAAAACCATGAGACTTCCCCCTAGAGGCGAGATGAGGCCCCATTCCCCTGCAGTGCATGCAGAGCTATTCCGTGATCCCATTCAAACAAGTCAGGAGCTTCGACTTGCTTAATGGATCTCGAGACAGTCCCCAAGAACACTGTCACCAGTCTAGACGGACCCTGAGGTCACCCCAGCAACGCAAAGCAGCTCCATGTGCCCCAAATCAACTCGAGATGAGGCCCGATTCCCCTGCATTGACTCCAGAGCCATTCCCCGTTCCCCGTTCAACACGAACGGAGGATTGCCTTCATTCAGGCAACTCCAGAGATGCCCCGAGAACACTGTCCCAAGTCTAGAGGAACACCAACTTCAGCACAGCAACTCGAGGAATGCTCTGTGTACCCCAAATCGTCTCAAGATGAGAGCTGATTCCCTGGCTTAGGCTCAAGACGTATGCCAACTTTCCAGAAGCACCTCAGGAGGAGGCTTCTCAGCAATAGGTATGTGGGAGGGACTCCGAGTTTGCTGCCTCAAGGGGAATATACATCGAGAAGCCCTAACTTGAAAGGAGGCCGGATTTCCTTGCAGTAGCTTGAATACAGGCTTGTCTTTCATCTCACAACATGAAGGGATTTCTGAATCCCCTGTGGAGACCTTAGAGAAAGCCCTAGGTCACTGCCTCATTTTGACGGAATGCCTCACATCCCGCTGACACCTCGAGAGGCACGCGGAGTTCATTACTTCAAAAGGTGACGATGACTGACTCCTCTTGAATAGTGATAGGAATCCCAAAATCCCTGTGGCTACTGGAAAGGGTCCTTGGGTGCCCTGCCTCACTTCGAGAAGCGTCCCTTTTGCCCTGCCAAGCCTCGAAGAGATTCCTGAGGTGTCCCTCGTTACTAGGCAGGAGTCCTGACGTCACTGGAGAAACTCGTGTTTTGGAGGGCTATCCCCGCCGTAAGTCGAGAACATACCCCAGGTCCCCGCCGCAACTCGAGAAAAACCGTGAGACTTCCCCCTAGAGGCGAGATGAGGCCCCATTCCCCTGCAGTGCATGCAGAGCTATTCCGTGATCCCATTCAAACAAGTCAGGAGCTTCGACTTGCTTAATGGATCTCGAGACAGTCCCCAAGAACACTGTCACCAGTCTAGACGGACCCTGAGGTCACCCCAGCAACGCAAAGCAGCTCCATGTGCCCCAAATCAACTCGAGATGAGGCCCGATTCCCCTGCATTGACTCCAGAGCCATTCCCCGTTCCCCGTTCAACACGAACGGAGGCTCGCCTTCCTTCACGCAACTCCAGAGATGCCCCGAGAACACTGTCCCAAGTCTAGAGGAACACCAACTTCAGCACAGCAACTCGAGGAATGATCTGTGTACCCCAAATCATCTCGAGATGAGAGCTGATTCCCTGGCTTAGGCTCAAGACGTATGCCAACTTTCCAGAAGCATCTCAGGAGGAGGCTTCTCTCAGCAATAGGTATGTGGGAGGGACCCTGTGTTTGCTGCCTCAAGGGGAATACACAGGGAGAAGCCCTAATGTGAACGGAGGACAGATTTCCTTGCAGAGGGTTGAATACAGGCTCGTCTTTGATCTGACAACATGAAGGGATGTCTGAATACCCTGTGGAGACCTTAGAGGAAGCCCTAGGTCCCTGCCTCATTTTGACGGAATACCTCACATCCCCCTGACACCTCGAGAGGCACGCAGAGTTCATTGCTTCAAAAGGTGACGATGCCTGACTCCTCTTGAATACTTATAGGAATCCCAAAATCCCTGTTGCTACTGGAAAGGGTCCTTGGGTGCCCTGGCTCACCTCGAGAAGCGTCCCTTTTGCCCTGCCAAGCCTCGAAGAGATTGCTGAGGTGTCCCTCGTTACTAGACAGGAGTCCTGACGTCACTGAAGAAACTCGTGTTTTGAAGGGCCATCCCCGCCATAAGTCGAGAACATACCCAAGGTCCCCGCCGCAACTCGAGAAAAACCATGAGACATCCCCCTATAGGCGAGATGAGGCCCCATTCCCGTGCAGTGCATGCAGAGCTATTCCGTGATCCCATTCAAACAAGTCAGGAGCTTCGACTTGCTTAATGGATCTCGAGACAGTCCCCAAGAACACTGTCACCAGTCTAGACGGACCCTGAGGTCACCTCAGCAACGCAAAGCAGCTCTATGTGCCCCAAATCAACTCGAGATGAGGCCCGATTCCCCTGCATTGACTCCAGAGCCATTCCCCGTTCCCCGTTCAACACGAACGGAGGCTCGCCTTCCTTCAGGCAACTCCAGAGATGCCCCGAGAACACTGTCCCAAGTCTAGAGGAACACCAACTTCAGCACAGCAACTCGAGGAATGATCTGTGTACCCCAAATCGTCTCGAGATGAGAGCTGATTCCCTGGCTTAGGCTCAAGACGTATGCCAAATTTCCAGAAGCACCTCAGGAGGAGGCTTCTCAGCAATAGGTATGTGGGAGAGACTCCGAGTTTGCTGCCTCAAGGGGAATATACATCGAGAAGCCCTAACTTGAAAGGAGGCTGGATTTCCTTGCAGTAGCTTGAATACAGGCTTGTCTTTCATCTCACAACATGAAGGGATGTCTGAATCCCCTGTGGAGACCTTAGAGAAAGCCCTAGGTCCCTGCCTCATTTTGACGGAATGCCTCACATCCCGCTGACACCACGAGAGGCACGCGGAGTTCATTGCTTCAAAAGGTGACGATGCCTGACTCCTCTTGAATACTGATAGGAATCCCAAAATCCCTGTGGCTACTGGAAAGGGTCCTTGGGTGCCCTGCCTCACCTCGAGAAGTGTCCCTTTTGCCCTGCCAAGCCTCGAAGAGATTCCTGAGGTGTCCGTCGTTACTAGGCAGGAGTCCTGACGTCACTGAAGAAACTCGTGTTTTGAAGGGCCATCCCCGCCGTAAGTCGAGAACATACCCCAGGTCCCCGCCGCAACTCGAGAAAAACCGTGAGCCTTCCCCCTAGAGGCTAGATGAGGCCCCATTCCCCTGCAGTGCATGCAGAGCTATTCCGTGATCCCATTCAAACAAGTCAGGAGCTTCGACTTGCTTAATGGATCTCGAGACAGTCCCCAAGAACACTGTCACCAGTCTAGACGGACCCTGAGGTCACCCCAGCAACGCAAAGCTGCTCCATGTGCCCCAAATCAACTCGAGATGAGGCCCGATTCCCCTGCATTGACTCCAGAGCCATTCCCCGTTCCCCATTCAACACGACCGGTGGCTCGACTTCCTTCAGGCAACTCCAGAGATTCCCCGAGAACACTGTCCCAAGGCTAGAGGAACACCAACTTCAGCACAGCAACTCGAGGAATGCTCCGTGTACCCCAAATCATCTCGAGATGAGAGCTGATTCCCTGGCTTAGGCTCAAGACGTATGCCAACTTTCCAGAAGCATCTCAGGAGGAGGCTTCTCTCAGCAATAGGTATGTGGGAGGGACCCCGAGTTTGCTGCCTCAAGGGGAATATACAGGGAGAAGCCCTAATGTGAACGGAGGCCAGATTTCCTTGCAGTGGCTGGAATACAGGCTCGTCTTTGATCTGACAACATGAAGGGATGTCTGAATCCCCTGTGGAGACCTTAGAGGAAGCCTTAGGTCCATGCCTCATTGTGACGGAATACCTCACATCCCCCTGACACCTCGAGAGGCACGCAGAGTTCATTGCTTCAAAAGGTGACGATGCCTGACTCCTCTTGAATACTGATAGGAATCCCAAAATCCCTGTGGCTACTGGAAAGGGTCCTTGGGTGTCCTGCCTCACCTCGAGAAGCGTCCCTTTTGCCCTGCCAAGCCTCGAAGAGATTCCTGAAGTGTCCCTCGTTACTAGGCAGGAGTCCTGACGTCACTGAAGAAACTCGTGTTTTGAAGGGCCATCCCCGCCGTAAGTCGAGAACATACCCCAGGTCCCCGCCGCAACTCGAGAAAAACCATGAGACTTCCCCCTAGAGGCGAGATGAGGCCCCATTCCCCTGCAGTGCATGCAGAGCTATTCCGTGATCCCATTCAAACAAGTCAGGAGCTTCGACTTGCTTAATGGATCTCGAGACAGTCCCCAAGAACACTGTCACCAGTCTAGACGGACCCTGAGGTCACCCCAGCAACGCAAAGCAGCTCCATGTGCCCCAAATCAACTCGAGATGAGGCCCGATTCCCCTGCATTGACTCCAGAGCCATTCCCCGTTCCCCGTTCAACACGAACGGAGGATCGGCTTCCTTCAGGCAACTCCAGAGATGCCCCGAGAACACTGTCCCAAGTCTAGAGGAACACCAACTTCAGCACAGCAACTCGAGGAATGCTCTGTGTACCCCAAATCGTCTCGAGATGAGAGCTGATTCCCTGGCTTAGGCTCAAGACGTATGCCAAATTTCCAGAAGCACCTCAGGAGGAGGCTTCTCAGCAATAGGTATGTGGGAGGGACTCCAAGTTTGCTGCCTCAAGGGGAATATACATCGAGAAGCCCTAACTTGAAAGGAGGCCGGATTTCCTTGCAGTAGCTTGAATACAGGCTTGTCTTTCATCTCACAACATGAAGGGATTTCTGAATCCCCTGTGGAGACCTTAGAGAAAGCCCTAGGTCCCTGCCTCATTTTGACGGAATGCCTCACATCCCGCTGACACCTCGAGAGGCACGCGGAGTTCATTACTTCAAAAGGTGACGATGCCTGACTCCTCTTGAATACTGATAGGAATCCCAAAATCCCTGTGGCTACTGGAAAGGGTCCTTGGGTGCCCTGCCTCACCTCGAGAAGCGTCCCTTTTGCCCTGCCAAGCCTCGAAGAGATTCCTGAGGTGTCCCTCGTTACTAAGCAGGAGTCCTGACGTCACTGAAGAAACTCGTGTTTTGGAGGGCCATCCCCGCCGTAAGTCGAGAACATACCCCAGGTCCCCGCCGCAACTCGAGAAAAACCATGAGACTTCCCCCTATAGGCGAGATGAGGCCCCATTCCCCTGCAGTGCATGCAGAGCTATTCCGTGATCCCATTCAAACAAGTCAGGAGCTTCGACTTGCTTAACGGATCTCGAGACAGTCCCCAAGAACACTGTCACCAGTCTAGACGGACCCTGAGGTCACCCCAGCAACGCAAAGCAGCTCCATGTGCCCCAAATCAACTCGATATGAGGCCCGATTCCCCTGCATTGACTCCAGAGCCATTCCCCGTTCCCCGTTCAACACGAACGGAGGCTCGCCTTCCTTCAGGCAACTCCAGAGATGCCCCGAGAACACTTTCCCAAGTCTAGAGGAACACCAACTTCAGCACAGCAACTCGAGAAATGCTCTGTGTACCCCAAATCGTCTCGAGATGAGAGCTGATTCCCTGGCTTAGGCTCAAGACGTATGCCAAGTTTCCAGAAGCACCTCAGGAGGAGGCTTCTCAGCAATAGGTATGTGGGAGGGACTCCGAGTTTGCTGCCTCAAGGGGAATATACATCGAGAAGCCCTAACTTGAAAGGAGGCCGGATTTCCTTGCAGTAGCTTGAATACAGGCTTGTCTTTCATCTCACAACATGAAGGGATGTCTGAATCCCCTGTGGAGACCTTAGAGAAAGCCCTAGGTCCCTGCCTCATTTTGACAGAATGCCTCACATCCCGCTGACACCTCGAGAGGCACGCGGAGTTCATTGCTTCAAAAGGTGACGATGCCTGACTCCTCTTGAATACTGATAGGAATCCCAAAATCACCTGTGGCTACTGGAAAGGGTCCTTGGGTGCCCTGCCTCACCTCGAGAAGCGTCCCTTTTGCCCTGCCAAGCCTCGAAGAGATTCCTGAGGTGTCCCTCGTTACTAGGCAGGAGTCCTGACGTCACTGGAGAAACTCGTGTTTTGAAGGGCCATCCCCGCCGTAAGTCGAGAACATACCCCAGGTCCCCGCCGCAACTCGAGAAAAACCGTGAGACTTCCCCCTAGAGGCGAGATGAAGCCCCATTCCCCTGCAGTGCATGCAGAGCTATTCCGTGATCCCATTCAAACAAGTCAGGAGCTTCGACTTGCTTAATGGATCTCGAGACAGTCCCCAAGAACACTGTCACCAGTCTAGACGGACCCTGAGGTCACCCCAGCACGCAAAGCTGCTCCATTTGCCCCAAATCAACTCGAGATGAGGCCCGATTCCCCTGCATTGACTCCAGAGCCATTCCCCGTTCCCCATTCAAGATGACCGGTGGCTCGACTTCCTTCAGGCAACTCCAGAGTTTCCCCGAGAACACTGTCCCAAGGCTAGAGGAACACAAACATCAGCACAGCAACTCGAGGAATGATCCGTGTACCCCAAATCATCTCGAGATGAGAGCTGATTCCCTGGCTTAGGCTCAAGACGTATGCCAACTTTCCAGAACCATCTCAGGAGGAGGCTTCTCTCAGCAATAGGTATGTGGGAGGGACCCTGTGTTTGCTGCCTCAAGGGGAATACACAGGGAGAAGCCCTAATGTGAACGGAGGACAGATTTCCTTGCAGAGGGTTGAATACAGGCTCGTCTTTGATCTGACAACATGAAGGGATGTCTGAATCCCCTGTGGAGACCTTAGAGGAAGCCCTAGGTCCCTGCCTCATTTTGACGGAATACCTCACATCCCCCTGACACCTCGAGAGGCACGCAGAGTTCATTGCTTCAAAAGGTGACGATGCCTGACTCCTCTTGAATACTTATAGGAATCCCAAAATCCCTGTTGCTACTGGAAAGGGTCCTTGGGTGCCCTGGCTCACCTCGAGAAGCGTCCCTTTTGCCCTGCCAAGCCTCGAAGAGATTGCTGAGGTGTCCCTCGTTACTAGACAGGAGTCCTGACGTCACTGAAGAAACTCGTGTTTTGAAGGGCCATCCCCGCCGTAAGTCGAGAACATACCCAAGGTCCCCGCCGCAACTCGAGAAAAACCATGAGACATCCCCCTATAGGCGAGATGAGGCCCCATTCCCCTGCAGTGCATGCAGAGCTATTCCGTGATCCCATTCAAACAAGTCAGGAGCTTCGACTTGCTTAATGGATCTCGAGACAGTCCCCAAGAACACTGTCAGCAGTCTAGACGGACCCTGAGGTCACCTCAGCAACGCAAAGCAGCTCCATGTGCCCCAAATCAACTCGAGATGAGGCCCGATTCCCCTGCATTGACTCCAGAGCCATTCCGCGTTCCCCGTTCAACACGAACGGAGGTTGCCTTCCTTCAGGCAACTCCAGAGATGCCCCGAGAACACTGTCCCAAGTCTAGAGGAACACCAACTACAGCACAGCAACTCGAGGAATGCTCTGTGTACCCCAAATCGTCTCGAGATGAGAGCTGATTCCCTGGCTTAGGCTCAAGACGTATGCCAAATTTCCAGAAGCACCTCAGGAGGAGGCTTCTCAGCAATAGGTATGTGGGAGAGACTCCGAGTTTGCTGCCTCAAGGGGAATATACATCGAGAAGCCCTAACTTGAAAGGAGGCCGGATTTCCTTGCAGTAGCTTGAATACAGGCTTGTCTTTCATCTCACAACATGAAGGGATGTCTGAATCCCCTGTGGAGACCTTAGAGAAAGCCCTAGGTCCCTGCCTCATTTTGACGGAATGCCTCACATCCCGCTGACACCTCGAGAGGCACGCGGAGTTCATTGCTTCAAAAGGTGACGATGCCAGACTCCTCTTGAATACTGATAGGAATCCCAAAATTCCTGTGGCTACTGGAAAGGGTCCTTGGGTGCCCTGCCTCACCTCGAGAAGCGTCCCTTTTGCCCTGCCAAGCCTCGAAGAGATTCCTGAGGTGTCCCTCGTTACTAGGCAGGAGTCCTGACGTCACTGAAGAAACTCGTGTTTTGAAGGGCCATCCCCGCCGTAAGTCGAGAACATACCCCAGGTCCCCGCCTCAACTCGAGAAAAACCATGAGACTTCCCCCTAGAGGCGAGATGAGGCCCCATTCCCCTGCAGTGCATGCAGAGCTATTCCGTGATCCCATTCAAACAAGTCAGGAGCTTCGACTTGCTTAACGGATCTCGAGACAGTCCCCAAGAACACTGTCACCAGTCTAGACGGACCCTGAGGTCACCCCAGCAACGCAAAGCAGGTCCATGTGCCCCAAATCAACTCGATATGAGGCCCGATTCCCCTGCATTGACTCCAGAGCCATTCCCCGTTCCCCGTTCAACACGAACGGAGGCTCGCCTTCCTTCAGGCAACTCCAGAGATGCCCCGAGAACACTTTCCCAAGTCTAGAGGAACACCAACTTCAGCACAGCAACTCGAGAAATGCTCTGTGCACCCCAAATCGTCTCGATATGAGAGCTGATTCCCTGGCTTAGGATCAAGACGTATGCCAAGTTTCCAGAAGCACCTCAGGAGGAGGCTTCTCAGCAATAGGTATGTGGGAGGGACTCCGAGTTTGCTGCCTCAAGGGGAATATACATCGAGAAGCCCTAACTTGAAAGGAGGCCGGATTTCCTTGCAGTAGCTTGAATACAGGCTTGTCTTTCATCTCACAACATGAAGGGATGTCTGAATCCCCTGTGGAGACCTTAGAGAAAGCCCTATGTCCCTGCCTCATTTTGACAGAATGCCTCACATCCCGCTGACACCTCGAGAGGCACGCGGAGTTCATTGCTTCAAAAGGTGACGATGCCTGACTCCTCTTGAATACTGATAGGAATCCCAAAATCACCTGTGGCTACTGGAAAGGGTCCTTGGGTGCCCTGCCTCACATCGAGAAGCGTCCCTTTTGCCCTGCCAAGCCTCGAAGAGATTCCTGAGGTGTCCCTCGTTACTAGGCAGGAGTCCTGACGTCACTGGAGAAACTCGTGTTTTGAAGGGCCATCCCCGCCGTAAGTCGAGAACATACCCCAGGGCCCCGCCGCAACTCGAGAAAAACCGTGAGACTTCCCCCTAGAGGCGAGATGAAGCCCCATTCCCCTGCAGTGCATGCAGAGCTATTCCGTGATCCCATTCAAACAAGTCAGGAGCTTCGACTTGCTTAATGGATCTCGAGACAGTCCCCAAGAACACTGTCACCAGTCTAGACGGACCCTGAGGTCACCCCAGCACGCAAAGCTGCTCCATTTGCCCCAAATCAACTCGAGATGAGGCCCGATTCCCCTGCATTGACTCCAGAGCCATTCCCCGTTCCCCATTCAAGATGACCGGTGGCTCGACTTCCTTCAGGCAACTCCAGAGTTTCCCCGAGAACACTGTCCCAAGGCTAGAGGAACACAAACATCAGCACAGCAACTCGAGGAATGATCCGTGTACCCCAAATCATCTCGAGATGAGAGCTGATTCCCTGGCTTAGGCTCAAGACGTATGCCAACTTTCCAGAAGCATCTCAGGAGGAGGCTTCTCTCAGCAATAGGTATGTGGGAGGGACCCTGTGTTTGCTGCCTCAAGGGGAATACACAGGGAGAAGCCCTAATGTGAACGGAGGACAGATTTCCTTGCAGAGGGTTGAATACAGGCTCGTCTTTGATCTGACAACATGAAGGGATGTCTGAATCCCCTGTGGAGACCTTAGAGGAAGCCCTAGGTCCCTGCCTCATTTTGACGGAATACCTCACATCCCCCTGACACCTCGAGAGGCACGCAGAGTTCATTGCTTCAAAAGGTGACGATGCCTGACTCCTCTTGAATACTTATAAGAATCCCAAAATCCCTGTTGCTACTGGAAAGGGTCCTTGGGTGCCCTGGCTCACCTCGAGAAGCGTCCCTTTTGCCCTGCCAAGCCTCGAAGAGATTGCTGAGGTGTCCCTCGTTACTAGACAGGAGTCCTGACGTCACTGAAGAAACTCGTGTTTTGAAGGGCCATCCCCGCCGTAAGTCGAGAACATACCCAAGGTCCCCGCCGCAACTCGAGAAAAACCATGAGACATCCCCCTATAGGCGAGATGAGGCCCCATTCCCCCGCAGTGCATGCAGAGCTATTCTGTGATCCCATTCAAACAAGTCAGGAGCTTCGACTTGCTTAATGGATCTCGAGACAGTCCCCAAGAACACTGTCACCAGTCTAGACGGACCCTGAGGTCACCCCAGCAACGCAAAGCAGCTCCATGTGCCCCAAATCAACTCGAGATGAGGCCCGATTCCCCTGCATTGACTCCAGAGCCATTCCGCGTTCCCCGTTCAACACGAACGGAGGTTGCCTTCCTTCAGGCAACTCCAGAGATGCCCCGAGAACACTGTCCCAAGTCTAGAGGAACACCAACTACAGCACAGCAACTCGAGGAATGATCTGTGTACCCCAAATCGTCTCGAGATGAGAGCTGATTCCCTGGCTTAGGCTCAAGACGTATGCCAAATTTCCAGAAGCACCTCAGGAGGAGGCTTCTCAGCAATAGGTATGTGGGAGAGACTCCGAGTTTGCTGCCTCAAGGGGAATATACATCGAGAAGCCCTAACTTGAAAGGAGGCCGGATTTCCTTGCAGTAGCTTGAATACAGGCTTGTCTTTCATCTCACAACATGAAGGGATGTCTGAATCCCCTGTGGAGACCTTAGAGAAAGCCCTAGGTCCCTGCCTCATTTTGACGGAATGCCTCACATCCCGCTGACACCTCGAGAGGCACGCGGAGTTCATTGCTTCAAAAGGTGACGATGCCAGACTCCTCTTGAATACTGATAGGAATCCCAAAATTCCTGTGGCTACTGGAAAGGGTCCTTGGGTGCCCTGCCTCACCTCGAGAAGCGTCCCTTTTGCCCTGCCAAGCCTCGAAGAGATTCCTGAGGTGTCCCTCGTTACTAGGCAGGAGTCCTGACGTCACTGAAGAAACTCGTGTTTTGAAGGGCCATCCCCGCCGTAAGTCGAGAACCTACCCCAGGTCCCCGCCTCAACTCGAGAAAAACCATGAGACTTCCCCCTAGAGGCGAGATGAGGCCCCATTCCCCTGCAGTGCATGCAGAGCTATTCCGTGATCCCATTCAAACAAGTCAGGAGCTTCGACTTGCTTAATGGATCTCGAGACAGTCCCCAAGAACACTTTCACCAGTCTAGACGGACCCTGAGGTCACCCCAGCAACGCAAAGCTGCTCCATGTGCCCCAAATCAACTCGAGATGAGGCCCGATTCCCCTGCATTGACTCCAGAGCCATTCCCCGTTCCCCATTCAACACGACCGGTGGCTGGACTTCATTCAGGCAACTCCAGAGATTCCCCGAGAACACTGTCCCAAGGCTAGAGAAACACCAACTTCAGCACAGCAACTCGAGGAATGCTCCGTGTACCCCAAATCATCTCGAGATGAGAGCTGATTCCCTGGCTTAGGCTCAAGACGTATGCCAACTTTCCAGAAGCATCTCAGGAGGAGGCTTCTCTCAGCAATAGGTATGTGGGAGGGACCCCGTGTTTGCTGCCTCAAGGGGAATACACAGGGAGAAGGCCTAATGTGAACGGAGGCCAGATTTCCTTGCAGAGGGTTGAATACAGGCTCGTCTTTGATCTGACAACATGAAGGGATGTCTGAATCCCCTGTGGAGACCTTAGAGGAAGCCCTATTTCCCTGCCTCATTTTGACGGAATACCTCACATCCCCCTGACACCTCGAGAGGCACGCAGAGTTCATTGCTTCAAAAGGTGACGATGCCTGACTCCTCTTGAATACTTATAGGAATCCCAAAATCCCTGTGGCTACTGGAAAGGGTCCTTGGGTGCCCTGGCTCACCTCGAGAAGCGTCCCTTTGCCCTGCCAAGCCTCGAAGAGATTGCTGAGGTGTCCCTCGTTACTAGACAGGAGTAATGACGTCACTGAAGAAACTCGTGTTTTGAAGGGCCATCCCCGCCGTAAGTCGAGAACATAACCCAGGTCCCCGCCGCAACTCGAGAAAAACCATGAGACTTCCCCCTATAGGCGAGATGAGGCCCCATTCCCCTGCAGTGCATGCAGAGCTATTCCGTGATCCCATTCAAACAAGTCAGGAGCTTCGACTTGCTTAATGGATCTCGAGACAGTCCCCAAGAACACTGTCACCAGTCTAGACGGACCCTGAGGTCACCCCCGCAACGCAAAACAGCTCCATGTGCCCCAAATCAACTCGAGATGAGGCCCGATTCCCCTGCATTGACTCCAGAGCCATTCCCCGTTCCCCGTTCAACACGAACGGAGGCTCGCCTTCCTTCAGGCAACTCCAGAGATGCCCCGAGAACACTGTCCCAAGTCTAGAGGAACACCAACTTCAGCACAGCAACTCGAGAAATGCTCTGTGTACCCCAAATCGTCTCGAGATGAGAGCTGATTCCCTGGCTTAGGCTCAAGACGTATACCAAGTTTCCAGAAGCACCTCAGGAGGAGGCTTCTCAGCAATAGGTATGTGGGAGGGACTCCGAGTTTGCTGCCTCAAGGGGAATATACATCGAGAAGCCCTAACTTGAAAGGAGGCCGGATTTCCTTGCAGTAGCTTGAATACAGGCTTGTCTTTCATCTCACAACATGAAGGGATGTCTGAATCCCCTGTGGAGACCTTAGAGAAAGCCCTAGGTCCCTGCCTCATTTTGACGGAATGCCTAACATCCCGCTGACACCTCGAGAGGCACGCGGAGTTCATTGCTTCAAAAGGTGACGATGCCTGACTCCTCTTGAATACTGATAGGAATCCCAAAATCACCTGTGGCTACTGGAAAGGGTCCTTGGGTGCCCTGCCTCACCTCGAGAAGCGTCCCTTTTGCCCTGCGAAGCCTCGAAGAGATTCCTGAGGTGTCCCTCGTTACTAGGCAGGAGTCCTGACGTCACTGGAGAAACTCGTGCTTTGAAGGGCCATCCCCGCTGTAAGTCGAGAACATAACCCAGGTCCCCGCCGCAACTCGAGAAAAATCATGAGACTTCCCCCTAGAGGCGAGATGAAGCCCCATTCCCCTGCAGTGCATGCAGAGCTATTCCGTGATCCCATTCAAACAAGTCAGGAGCTTCGACTTGCTTAATGGATCTCGAGACAGTCCCCAAGAACACTGTCACCAGTCTAGACGGACCCTGAGGTCACCTCAGCAACGCAAAGCAGCTCCATGTTCCCCAAATCAACTCGAGATGAGGCCCGATTCCCCTGCATTGACTCCAGAGCCATTCCCCGTTCCCCGTTCAACACAAACGGAGGCTCGCCTTCCTTCAGGCAACTTCAGAGATGCCCCGAGAACACTGTCCCAAGTCTAGAGGAACACCAACTTCAGCACAGCAACTCGAGGAATGATCTGTGTACCCCAAATCGTCTCGAGATGAGAGCTGATTCCCTGGCTTAGGCTCAAGACGTATGCCAAATTTCCAGAAGCACCTCAGGAAGAGGCTTCTCAGCAATAGGTATGTGGGAGGGACTCCAAGTTTGCTGCCTCAAGGGGAATATACATCGAGAAGCCCTAACTTGAAAGGAGGCCGGATTTCCTTGCAGTAGCTTGAATACAGGCTTGTCTTTCATCTCACAACATGAAGGGATTTCTGAATCCCCTGTGGAGACCTTAGAGAAAGCCCTAGGTCCCTGCCTCATTTTGACGGAATGCCTCACATCCCGCTGACACCTCGAGAGGCACGCGGAGTTCATTACTTCAAAAGGTGACGATGCCTGACTCCTCTTGAATACTGATAGGAATCCCAAAATCCCTGTGGCTACTGGAAAGGGTCCTTGGGTGCCCTGCCTCACCTCGAGAAGCGTCCCTTTTGCCCTGCCAAGCCTCGAAGAGATTCCTGAGGTGTCCCTCGTTACTAGGCAGGAGTCCTGACGTCACGGAAGAAACTCTTGTTTTGGAGGGCCATCCCCGCCGTAAGTCGAGAACATACCCCAGGTCCCCGCCGCAACTCGAGAAAAACCATGAGACTTCCCCCTAGAGGCGAGATGAGGCCCCATTCCCCTGCAGTGCATGCAGAGCTATTCCGTGATCCCATTCAAACAAGTCAGGAGCTTCGACTTGCTTAACGGATCTCGAGACAGTCCCCAAGAACACTGTCACCAGTCTAGACGGACCCTGAGGTCACCCCAGCAACGCAAAGCAGCTCCATGTGCCCCAAATCAACTCGAGATGAGGCCCGATTCCCCTGCATTGACTCCAGAGCCATTCCCCGTTCCACGTTCAAAACGAACGGAGGCTCGCCTTCCTTCAGGCAACTCCAGAGATGCCCCGAGAACACTGTCCCAAGTCTAGAGGAACACCAACTTCAGCACAGCAACTCGAGGAATGCTCTGTGTACCCCAAATCGTCTCGAGATGAGAGCTGATTCCCTGGCTTAGGCTCAAGACGTATGCCAAATTTCCAGAAGCACCTCAGGAGGAGGCTTCTCAGCAATAGGTATGTGGGAGAGACTCCGAGTTTGCTGCCTCAAGGGGAATATACATCGAGAAGCCCTAACTTGAAAGGAGGCCGGATTTCCTTGCAGTAGCTTGAATACAGGCTTGTCTTTCATCTCACAACATGAAGGGATGTCTGAATCCCCTGTGGAGACCTTAGAGAAAGCCCTAGGTCCCTGCCTCATTTTGACGGAATGCCTCACATCCCGCTGACACCTCGAGAGGCACGCGGAGTTCATTGCTTCAAAAGGTGACGATGCCTGACTCCTCTTGAATACTGATAGGAATCCCAAAATCCCTGTGGCTTCTGGAAAGGGTCCTTGGGTGCCCTGCCTCACCTCGAGAAGCGTCCCTTTTTCCCTGCCAAGCCTCGAAGAGATTGCTGAGGTGTCCCTCGTTACTAGGCAGGAGTCCTGACGTCATTGGAGAAACTCGTGTTTTGAAGGGCCATCCCCGCCGTAAGTCGAGAACATACCCCAGGTCCCCGCCGCAACTCGAGAAAAACCGTGAGACTTCCCCCTATAGGCGAGATGAGGCCCCATTCCCCTGCAGTGCATGCAGAGCTATTCCGTGATCCCATTCAAACAAGTCAGGAGCTTCGACTTGCTTAATGGATCTCGAGACAGTCCCCAAGAACACTGTCACCAGTCTAGACGGACCCTGAGGTCACCCCAGCAACGCAAAGCTGCTCCATGTGCCCCAAATCAACTCGAGATGAGGCCCGATTCCCCTGCATTGACTCCAGAGCCATTCCCCGTTCCCCATTCAACACGACCGGTGGCTCGACTTCCTTCAGGCAACTCCAGAGATTCCCCGAGAACACTGTCCCAAGGCTAGAGGAACACCAACTTCAGCACAGCAACTCGAGGAATGCTCCGTGTACCCCAAATCATCTCGAGATGAGAGCTGATTCCCTGGCTTAGGCTCAAGACGTAGGCCAACTTTCCAGAAGCATCTCAGGAGGAGGCTTCTCTCAGCAATAGGTATGTGGGAGGAACCCCGAGTTTGCTGCCTCAAGGGGAATACACAGGGAGAAGCCCTAATGTGAAGGGAGGCCAGATTTCCTTGCAGTGGCTGGAATACAGGCTCGTCTTTGATCTGACAACATGAAGGGATGTCTGAATCCCCTGTGGAGACCTTATAGGAAGCCCTAGGTCCCTGCCTCATTTTGACGGAATACCTCACATCCCCCTGACACCTCGAGAGGCACGCAGAGTTCATTGCTTCAAAAGGTGACGATGCCTGACTCCTCTTGAATACTTATAGGAATCCCAAAATCCCTGTGGCTACTGGAAAGGGTCCTTGGGTGCCCTGGCTCACCTCGAGAAGCGTCCCTTTTACCCTGCCAAGCCTCGAAGAGATTGCTGAGGTGTCCCTCATTACTAGACAGGAGTCCTGACGTCACTGAGGAAACTCGTGTTTTGAAGGGCCATCCCCGCCGTAAGTCGAGAACATACCCCAGGTCCCCGCCGCAACTCGAGAAAAACCATGAGACTTCCCCCTAGAGGCGAGATGAGGCCCCATTCCCCTGCAGTGCATGCAGAGCTATTCCGTGATCCCATTCAAACAAGTCAGGAGCTTCGACATGCTTAATGGATCTCGAGACAGTCCCCAAGAACACTGTCACCAGTCTAGATGGACCCTGAGTTCACCCAGCAATGCAAAGCATCTCCATGTGCCCCAAATCAACTCGAGATGAGGCCGGATTACCCTGCATTGACTCCAGAGCCATTCCCTGTTCCCCATTCAACACGACCGGTGGATCGACTTCCTTCAGGCAACTCCAGAGATGCCCCGAGAACACTGTCCCAAGGCTAGAGGACCACCAACTTCAGCACAGCAACTCGAGGAATGCTCTGTGTATGCCAAATCGTCTCGAGATGAGAGCTGATTCCCTGGCTTAGGCTCAAGACGTATGCCAACTTTCCAGAAGCACCTCAGGAGGAGGCTTCTCTCAGCAATAGGTATGTGGGAGGGACCCCGAGTTTGCTGCCTCAAGGGGAATATACAGCGAGAAGCCCTAACTTGAAAGGAGGCCGGATTTCCTTGCAGTGGCTTGAATACAGGTTCGTCTTTCATCTCACAACATGAAGGGATGTCTGAATCCGCTGTGGAGACCTTAGAGAAATCCCTAGGTCCCTGCCTCATTTTGACGGAATCCTCACATCCCACTGACACCTCGAGAGGCACGCGGAGTTCATTGCTTCAAAAGGTGACGATGCCTGACTCCTCTTGAATACTGATAGGAATCCCAAAATCCCTGTGGCTTCTGGAAAGGGTCCTTGGGTGCCCTGCCTCACCTCGAGAAGCGTCCCTTTTTCCCTGCCAAGCCTCGAAGAGATTGCTGAGGTGTCCCTCGTTACTAGGCAGGAGTCCTGACGTCATTGGAGAAACTCGTGTTTTGAAGGGCCATCCCCGCCGTAAGTCGAGAACATACCCCAGGTCCCCGCCGCAACTCGAGAAAAACCGTGAGACTTCCCCCTATAGGCGAGATGAGGCCCCATTCCCCTGCAGTGCATGCAGAGCTATTCCGTGATCCCTTTCAAACAAGTCAGGAGCTTCGACTTGGTTAATGGATCTCGAGACAGTCCCCAAGAACACTGTCACCAGTCTAGACGGACCCTGAGGTCACCCAGGAATGCAAAGCATCTCCATGTGCCCCAAATAAACTCGAGATGAGGCCGGATTCCCCTGCATTGACTCCAGAGCCATTCCCCGTTCCCCATTCAACACGACCGGTGGCTCGCCTTCCTTCAGGCAACTCCAGAGATGCCCCGAGAACACTGTCCCAAGTCTAGAGGAACACCAACTTCAGCACAGCAACTCGAGGAATGCTCCGTGTACCCCAAATCATCTCGAGATGAGAGCTGATTCCCTGGCTTAGGCTCAAGACGTATTCCAACTTTCCAGAAGCACCTCAGGAGGAGGCTTCTCTCAGCAATAGGTATGTGGGAGGGACTCCGAATTTGCTGCCTCAAGGGGAATATACAGCGAGAAGCCCTAACTTGAAAGGAGGCCGGATTTCCTTGCAGTGGCTTGAATACAGGCTTGTCTTCCATCTCACAACATGAAGGGATGTCTGAATCCCCTGTGGAGACCTTAGAGGAAGCCCTAGGTCCCTGCCTCATTTTGACGGAATCCTCACATCACGCTGACACCTCGAGAGGCACGCGGAGTTCATTGCTTCAAAAGGTGACGATGCCTGACTCCTCTTGAATACTGATAGGAATCCCAAAATCCCTGTGGCTACTGGAAAGGGTCTTGGGTGCCCTGCCTCACCCCGAGAAGCGTCCCTTTTGCCCTGCCAAGCCTCGAAGAGATTGCTGAGGTGTCCCTCGTTACTAGGCAGGAGTCCTGACGTCACTGGAGAAACCCGTGTTTTGAGAGGCCATCCCCGCTGTAAGACGAGAACATACCCCAGGTCCCCGCCGCAACTCGAGAAAAACCGTGAGACTTCCCCCTAGAGGCGAGATGAGGCCCCATTCTCCTGCAGTGCATGCAGAGCTATTCCGTGATCCCATTCAAACAAGTCAGGAGCTTCGACTTGCTTAATGGATCTCGAGAGAGTCCCCAAGAACACTGTCACCAGTCTAGACGGACCCTGAGGTCACACAGCAATGCAAAGCAGCTCCATGTACCACAAATCAACTCGAGATGAGGCCGGATTACCTTGCATTGACTCCAGAGCCATTCCCCGTTCCCCATTCAACACGACCGGTGGCTCGACTTCCTTCAGGCAACTCCAGAGATGCCCCGAGAACACTGTCCCAAGTCTAGAGGAACACCAACTTCAGCACAGCAACTCGAGGAATGCTCCGTGTACCCCAAATCGTCTCTAGATGAGAGCTGATTCCCTGGCTTAGGCTCAAGACGTATGCCATCTTTCCAGAAGCACCTCAGGAGGAGGCTTCTCTCAGCAATAGGTATGTGGGAGGGACCCCGAGTTTGCTGCCTCAAGGAGAATAAACATCGAGAAGCCCTAATGTGAACGGAGGCCAGATTTCCTTGCAGTGGCTTGAATACAGGCTCATCTTTGGTCTGACAACATGAAGGGATGTCTGAATCCCCTGTGGAGACCTTAGAGGAAGCCCTAGGTCCCTGCCTCATTTTGACGGAATACCTCACATCCCCCTGACACTTCGAGAGACACGCAGAGTTCATTGCTTCAAAAGGTGACGATGCCTGACTCCTCTTGAATACTTATAGGAATCCCAAAATCCCTGTGGCTACTGGAAAGGGTCCTTGGGTGCCCTGCCTCACCTCGAGAAGCGTCCCTTTTGCCCTGCCAAGCCTCGAAGAGATTGCTGAGGTGTCCCTCATTACTAGACAGGAGTCCTGACGTCACTGAAGAAACTCGTGTTTTGAAGGGCCATCCCCGCCGTAAGTCGAGAACATACCCCAGGTCCCCGCCGCAACTCGAGAAAAACCATGAGACTTCCCCCTAGAGGCGAGATGAGGCCCCATTCCCCTGCAGTGCATGCAGAGATATTCCGTGATCCCATTCAAACAAGTCAGGAGCTTCGACTTGCTTAATGGATCTCGAGACAGTCCCCAAGAACACTGTCACCAGTCTAGACGGACCCTGAGGTCACCCAGCAATGAAAAGCAGCTCCATGTGCCCCATATCAACTCGAGATGAGGCCGTATTCACCTGCATTGACTCCAGAGCCATTCCCTGTTCCCCATTCAACACGACCGGTGGCTCGACTTTCTTCAGGCAACTCCAGAGATGCCCCAAGAACACTGTCCCAAGTCTAGAGGACCACCAACTTCAGCACAGCAACTCGAGGAATGCTTTGTGTACCCCAAATCGTCTCAAGATGAGAGCTGATTCCCTGGCTTAGGCTCAAGACGTATGCCAACTTTCCAGAAGCACCTCAGGAGGAGGCTTCTCTCAGCAATAGGTATGTGGGAGGGACCCTGAGTTTGCTGCCTCAAGGGGAATATACAGCGAGAAGCCCTAACTTGAAAGGAGGCCGGATTTCCTTGCAGTGGCTTGAATACAGGCTCGTCTTTCATCTCACAACCTGAAGGGATGTCTGAATCCCCTGTGGAGACCTTAGAGGAAGCCCTAGGTCCCTGCCTCATTTGACGGAATCCTCACATCCCACTGACACCTCGAGAGGCACGCAGAGTTCATTGCTTCAAAATGTGACGATGCCTGACTCCTCTTGAATACTTATAGGAATCCCAAAATCCCCGTGGCTACTGGAAAGGGTCCTTGGGTGCCCTGGCTCACCTCGAGAAGCGTCCCTTTTGCCCTGCCAAGCCTCGAAGAGATTGCTGAGGTGTCCCTCGTTACTAGACAGGAGTCCTGACGTCACTGAAGAAACTCGTGTTTTGAAGGGCCATCCCCGCCGTAAGTCGAGAATATACCCCAGGTCCCCACCGCAACTCGAGAAAAACCGTGAGACTTCCCCCTAGAGGCGAGATGAGGCCCCATTCCCCTGCAGTGCATGCAGAGCTATTCCGTGATCCCATTCAAACAAGTCAGGAACTTCGACTTGCTTAATGGATCTCGAGACAGTCCCCAAGAACACTGTCACCAGTCTAGATGGACCCTGAGGTCACCCAGCAATGCAAAGCATCTCCATGTGCCCCAAATCAACTCGAGATGAGGCCGGATTCCCCTGCATTGACTCCAGAGCCATTCCCTGTTCCCCATTCAACACGACCGGTGGATCGACTTCCTTCAGGCAACTCCAGAGATGCCCCGAGAACACTGTCCCAAGTCTAGAGGAACACCAACTTCAGCACAGCAACTCGAGGAATGCTCCGTGTACCCCAAATCATCTCGAGATGAGAGCTGATTCCCTGGCTTAGGCTCTAGACGTATGCCAACTTTCCAGAAGCACCTCAGGAGGAGGCTTCTCTCAGCAATAGGTATGTGGGAGGGACTCCGAGTTTGCTGCCTCAAGGGGAATATACAGCGAGAAGCCCTAACTTGAAAGGAGGCCGGATTTCCTTGCAGTAGCTTGAATACAGGCTCGTCTTTCATCTCACAACATGAAGGGATGTCTGAATCCCCTGTGGAGACCTTAGAGAAAGGCCTAGGTCCCTGCCTCATTTTGACGGAATGCCTCACATCCCGCTGATACCTCGAGAGGCACGCGGAGTTCATTGCTTCAAAAGGTGACGATGCCTGACTCCTCTTGAATACTGATAGGAATCCCAAAATCCCTGTGGCTCCTGGAAAGGGTCCTTGGGTGCCCTGCCTCACCTCGAGAAGCGTCCCTTTTGCCCTGCCAAGCCTCGAAGAGATTCCTGAGGTGTCCCTCGTTACTAGACAGGAGTCCTGACGACACTGAAGAAACTCGTGTTTTGAAGGGCCATCCCCGCCGTAAGTCGAGAACATACCCCAGGTCCCCGCCGCAACTCGAGAAAAAACATGAGACTTCCCCCTAGAGGCGAGATGAGGCCCCATTCCCCTGCAGTGCATGCAGAGCTATTCCGTGATCCCATTCAAACAAGTCAGGAGCTTCAACTTGCTTAATGGATCTCGAGACAGTCCCCAAGAACACTGTCACCAGTCTAGATGGACCCTGAGGTCACCCCAGCAACGCAAAGCTGCTCCATGTGCCCCAAATCAACTCGAGATGAGGCCCGATTCCCCTGCATTGACTTCAGAGCCATTCCCCGTTCCCCATTCAACACGACCGGTGGCTCGATTTCCTTCAGGCAACTCCAGAGATGCCCCGAGCACACTGTCCCAAGTCTAGAGGAACACCAACTTCAGCACAGCAACTCGAGGAATGCTCCGTGTACCCCAAATCATCTCGAGATGAGAGCTGATTCCCTGGCTTAGGCTCTAGACGTATGCCAACTTTCCAGAAGCACCTCAGGAGGAGGCTTCTCTCAGCAATAGGTATGTGGGAGGGACCCCGAGTTTGCTGCCTCAAGGGGAATACACAGGGAGAAGCCCTAATGTGAACGGAGGCCAGATTTCCTTGCAGTGGCTTGAATACAGGCTCGTCTTTGATCTGACAACATGAAGGGATGTCTGAATCCCCTGTGGAGTCCTTAGAGGAAGCCCTAGGTCCCTGCCTCATTTTGACGGAATACCTCACATCCCCCTGACACCTCGAGAGGCACGCAGAGATCACTGCTTGAAAAGGTGACGATGCCTGACTCCTCTTGAATACTTATAGGAATCCCAAAATCCCTGTTGCTACTGGAAAGGGTCCTTGGGTGCCCTGGCTCACCTCGAGAGGCATCCCTTTTGCTCTGCCAAGCCTCGAAGAGATTCCTGAGGTGTCCCTCATTACTAGACAGGAGTCCTGACGTCACTGAAGAAACTCGTGTTTTGAAGGGCCATCCCCGCCGTAAGTCGAGAACATACCCCAGGTCCCCACTGCAACTCGAGAAAAACCGTGAGACTTCCCCCTAGAGGCGAGATGAGGCCCCATTCCCCTGCAGTGCATGCAGAGCTATTCTGTGATCCCATTCAAAAAAGTCAGGAGCTTCGACTTGCTTAATGGATCTCGAGACAGTCCCCAAGAACACTGTCACCAGTCTAGACGGACCCTGAGGTCACCCAGCAATGCAAAGCAGCTCCATGTGCCCCAAATCAACTCGAGATGAGGCCGGATTCCCCTGCATTGACTCCAGAGCCATTCCCCGTTCCCCATTCAACACGACCGGTGGCTCGACTTCCTTCTGGCAACTCCAGAGATGCCCCGAGAACACTGTCCCAAGTCTAGAGGACCACCAACTGAAGCACAGCTACTCGAGGAATGCGCTGTGTACCCCAAATCGTCTCGAGATGAGAGCTGATTCCCCGGCTTAGGCTCAACACGTATGCCAACTTTCCAGAAGCACCTCAGGAGGAGGCTTCTCTCAGCAATAGGTATGTGGGAGGGACCCCGAGTTTGCTGCCTCAAGGGGAATATACAGCGAGAAGCCCTAACTTGAAAGGAGGGCGGATTTCCTTGCAGTGGCTTGAATACAGGCTCGTCTTTCATCTCACAACATGAAGGGATGTCTGAATCCCCTGTGGAGACCTTAGAGGAAGCCCTAGGTCCCTGCCTCATTTTGACGGAATCCTCACATCCCGCTGACACCTCGAGAGGCACTTGGAGTTCATTGCTTCAAAAGGTGACGATGCCTGACTCCTCTTGAATACTTATAGGAATCCCAAAATCCCCGTGGCTACTGGAAAGGGTCCTTGGGTGCCCTGGCTCACCTCGAGAAGCGTCCCTTTTGCCCTGCCAAGCCTCGAAGAGATTGCTGAGGTGTCCCTCGTTACTAGACAGGAGTCCTGACGTCACTGAAGAAACTCGTGTTTTGAAGGGCCATCCCCGCCGTAAGTCGAGAATATACCCCAGGTCCCCACCGCAACTCGAGAAAAACCGTGAGACTTCCCCCTAGAGGCGAGATGAGGCCCCATTCCCCTGCAGTGCATGCAGAGCTATTCCGTGATCCCATTCAAACAAGTCAGGAACTTCGACTTGCTTAATGGATCTCGAGACAGTCCCCAAGAACACTGTCACCAGTCTAGATGGACCCTGAGGTCACCCAGCAATGCAAAGCATCTCCATGTGCCCCAAATCAACTCGAGATGAGGCCGGATTCCCCTGCATTGACTCCAGAGCCATTCCCTGTTCCCCATTCAACACGACCGGTGGATCGACTTCCTTCAGGCAACTCCAGAGATGCCCCGAGAACACTGTCCCAAGTCTAGAGGAACACCAACTTCAGCACAGCAACTCGAGGAATGCTCCGTGTACACCAAATCATCTCGAGATGAGAGCTGATTCCCTGGCTTAGGCTCTAGACGTATGCCAACTTTCCAGAAGCACCTCAGGAGGAGGCTTCTCTCAGCAATAGGTATGTGGGAGGGACTCCGAGTTTGCTGCCTCAAGGGGAATATACAGCGAGAAGCCCTAACTTGAAAGGAGGCCGGATTTCCTTGCAGTAGCTTGAATACAGGCTCGTCTTTCATCTCACAACATGAAGGGATGTCTGAATCCCCTGTGGAGACCTTAGAGAAAGGCCTAGGTCCCTGCCTCATTTTGACGGAATGCCTCACATCCCGCTGATACCTCGAGAGGCACGCGGAGTTCATTGCTTCAAAAGGTGACGATGCCTGACTCCTCTTGAATACTGATAGGAATCCCAAAATCCCTGTGGCTCCTGGAAAGGGTCCTTGGGTGCCCTGCCTCACCTCGATAAGCGTCCCTTTTGCCCTGCCAAGCCTCGAAGAGATTCCTGAGGTGTCCCTCGTTACTAGACAGGAGTCCTGACGACACTGAAGAAACTCGTGTTTTGAAGGGCCATCCCCGCCGTAAGTCGAGAACATACCCCAGGTCCCCGCCGCAACTCGAGAAAAAACATGAGACTTCCCCCTAGAGGCGAGATGAGGCCCCATTCCCCTGCAGTGCATGCAGAGCTATTCCGTGATCCCATTCAAACAAGTCAGGAGCTTCAACTTGCTTAATGGATCTCGAGACAGTCCCCAAGAACACTGTCACCAGTCTAGATGGACCCTGAGGTCACCCCAGCAACGCAAAGCTGCTCCATGTGCCCCAAATCAACTCGAGATGAGGCCCGATTCCCCTGCATTGACTTCAGAGCCATTCCCCGTTCCCCATTCAACACGACCGGTGGCTCGATTTCCTTCAGGCAACTCCAGAGATGCCCCGAGCACACTGTCCCAAGTCTAGAGGAACACCAACTTCAGCACAGCAACTCGAGGAATGCTCCGTGTACCCCAAATCATCTCGAGATGAGAGCTGATTCCCTGGCTTAGGCTCTAGACGTATGCCAACTTTCCAGAAGCACCTCAGGAGGAGGCTTCTCTCAGCAATAGGTATGTGGGAGGGACCCCGAGTTTGCTGCCTCAAGGGGAATACACAGGGAGAAGCCCTAATGTGAACGGAGGCCAGATTTCCTTGCAGTGGCTTGAATACAGGCTCGTCTTTGATCTGACAACATGAAGGGATGTCTGAATCCCCTGTGGAGTCCTTAGAGGAAGCCCTAGGTCCCTGCCTCATTTTGACGGAATACCTCACATCCCCCTGACACCTCGAGAGGCACGCAGAGATCACTGCTTGAAAAGGTGACGATGCCTGACTCCTCTTGAATACTTATAGGAATCCCAAAATCCCTGTTGCTACTGGAAAGGGTCCTTGGGTGCCCTGGCTCACCTCGAGAGGCATCCCTTTTGCTCTGCCAAGCCTCGAAGAGATTCCTGAGGTGTCCCTCATTACTAGACAGGAGTCCTGACGTCACTGAAGAAACTCGTGTTTTGAAGGGCCATCCCCGCCGTAAGTCGAGAACATACCCCAGGTCCCCACTGCAACTCGAGAAAAACCGTGAGACTTCCCCCTAGAGGCGAGATGAGGCCCCATTCCCCTGCAGTGCATGCAGAGCTATTCTGTGATCCCATTCAAAAAAGTCAGGAGCTTCGACTTGCTTAATGGATCTCGAGACAGTCCCCAAGAACACTGTCACCAGTCTAGACGGACCCTGAGGTCACCCAGCAATGCAAAGCAGCTCCATGTGCCCCAAATCAACTCGAGATGAGGCCGGATTCCCCTGCATTGACTCCAGAGCCATTCCCCGTTCCCCATTCAACACGACCGGTGGCTCGACTTCCTTCTGGCAACTCCAGAGATGCCCCGAGAACACTGTCCCAAGTCTAGAGGACCACCAACTGAAGCACAGCTACTCGAGGAATGCGCTGTGTACCCCAAATCGTCTCGAGATGAGAGCTGATTCCCCGGCTTAGGCTCAACACGTATGCCAACTTTCCAGAAGCACCTCAGGAGGAGGCTTCTCTCAGCAATAGGTATGTGGGAGGGACCCCGAGTTTGCTGCCTCAAGGGGAATATACAGCGAGAAGCCCTAACTTGAAAGGAGGCCGGATTTCCTTGCAGTGGCTTGAATACAGGCTCGTCTTTCATCTCACAACATGAAGGGATGTCTGAATCCCCTGTGGAGACCTTAGAGGAAGCCCTAGGTCCCTGCCTCATTTTGACGGAATCCTCACATCCCGCTGACACCTCGAGAGGCACTTGGAGTTCATTGCTTCAAAAGGTGACGATGCCTGACTCCTCTTGAATACTTATAGGAATCCCAAAATCCCTGTGGCTACTGGAAAGGGTCCTTGGGTGCCCTAGCTCACCTCGAGAAGCGTCCCTTTTGCCCTGCCAAGCCTCGAAGAGATTGCTGAGGTGTCCCTCGTTACTAGACAGGAGTCCTGACGTCACTGAAGAAACTCATGTTTTGAAGGGCCATCCCCGCCGTAAGTCGAGAACATACCCCAGGTCCCCACCGCAACTCGAGAAAAACCGTGAGACTTCCCCCTAGAGGCGAGATGAGGCCCCATTCCCCTGCAGTGCATGCAGAGCTATTCCGTGATCCCATTCAAACAAGTCAGGAGCTTCGACTTGCTTAATGGATCTCGAGACAGTCTCCAAGAACACTGTCACCAGTCTAGACGGACTCTGAGGTCACCCCAGCAACGCAAAGCAGCTCCATGTGCCACAAATCAACTCGAGATGAGGCCCGATTCCCCTGCATTGATTCCAGAGCCATTCCCCGTTCCCCGTTCAACACGACCGGTGGCTCGCCTTCCTTTAGGCAACTCCAGGGATGCCCCGAGAACACTGTCCCAAGTCTAGAGGAACACCAACCTCAGCGCAGCAACTCGAGGAATGCTCCGTGTACCCCAAATCATCTCGAGATGAGAGCTGATTCCTTCGCTTAGGCTCAAGACGTATGCCAACTTTCCAGAAGCACCTCAGGAGGAGGCTTCTCTCAGCAATAGGTATGTGGGAGGGACCCCGAGTTTGCTGCCTCAAGGGGAATATACAGCGAGAAGCCCTAACTTGAAAGGAGGCCGGATTTCCTTGCAGTGGCTTGAATACAGGCTCGTCTTTCATCTCACAACATGAAGGGATGTCTGAATCCCCTGTGGAGACCTTAGAGGAAGCCCTAGGTCCCTGCCTCATTTTGACGGAATCCTCACATCCCGCTGACACCTCGAGAGGCACGCGGAGTTCATTGCTTCAAAAGGTGACGATGCCTGACTCCTCTTGAATACTTATAGGAATCCCAAAATCCCTGTGGCTACTGGAAAGGGTCCTTGGGTGCCCTAGCTCACCTCGAGAAGCGTCCCTTTTGCCCTGCCAAGCCTCGAAGAGATTGCTGAGGTGTCCCTCGTTACTAGACAGGAGTCCTGACGTCACTGAAGAAACTCATGTTTTGAAGGGCCATCCCCGCCGTAAGTCGAGAACATACCCCAGGTCCCCACCGCAACTCGAGAAAAACCGTGAGACTTCCCCCTAGAGGCGAGATGAGGCCCCATTCCCCTGCAGTGCATGCAGAGCTATTCCGTGATCCCATTCAAACAAGTCAGGAGCTTCGACTTGCTTAATGGATCTCGAGACAGTCTCCAAGAACACTGTCACCAGTCTAGACGGACTCTGAGGTCACCCCAGCAACGCAAAGCAGCTCCATGTGCCACAAATCAACTCGAGATGAGGCCCGATTCCCCTGCATTGATTCCAGAGCCATTCCCCGTTCCCCGTTCAACACGACCGGTGGCTCGCCTTCCTTTAGGCAACTCCAGGGATGCCCCGAGAACACTGTCCCAAGTCTAGAGGAACACCAACCTCAGCGCAGCAACTCGAGGAATGCTCCGTGTACCCCAAATCATCTCGAGATGAGAGCTGATTCCTTCGCTTAGGCTCAAGACGTATGCCAACTTTCCAGAAGCACCTCAGGAGGAGGCTTCTCTCAGCAATAGGTATGTGGGAGGGACCCCGAGTTTGCTGCCTCAAGGGGAATATACAGCGAGAAGCCCTCACTTGAAAGGAGGCCGGATTTCCTTGCAGTGGCTTGAATACAGGCTCGTCTTTCATCTCACAACATGAAGGGATGTCTGAATCCCCTGTGGAGACCTTAGAGAAAGCCCTAGGTCCCTGCCTCATTTTGACTGAATGCCTCACATCCCGCTGACACCTCGAGAGGCACGCGGAGTTCATTGCTTCAAAAGGTGACGATGCCTGACTCCTCTTGAATACTGATAGGAATCCCAAAATCCCTGTGGCTACTGGAAAGGGTCCTTGGGTGCCCTGCCTCACCTCGAGAAGCGTCCCTTTTGCCCTGCCAAGCCTCGAAGAGATTCCTGAGGTGTCCCTCGTTACTAGGCAGGAGTCCTGACGTCACTGGAGAAACTCGTGTTTTGAAGTGCCATCCCCGCTAAGTCGAGAACATACCCCAGGGCCCCGCCGCAACTCGAGAAAAACCGTGAGACTTCCCCCTAGAGGCGAGATGAGGCCCCATTCCCCTGCAGTGCATGCAGAGCTATTCCGTGATCCCATTCAAACAAGTCAGGAGCTTCGACTTGCTTAATGGATCTCGAGACAGTCCCCAAGAACACTGTCACCAGTCTAGACGGACCATAAGGTCACTCAGCAATGCAAAGCAGCTCCATGTGGCCCAAATCAACTCGAGATGAGGCCGTATTCCGCCGCATTGACTCCAGAGCCATTCCCCGTTCCCCATTCAACACGACCGGTGGCTCGACTTCCTTCAGGCAACTCCAGAGATGCCCCGAGAACACTGTCCCAAGTCTAGAGGACCACCAACTTCAGCACAGCAACTCGAGGAATGCTCTGTGTACCACAAATCGTCTCGAGATGAGAGCTGAATCCCTGGCTTAGGCTCAAGACCTATGCCAACTTTCCAGAAGAACCTCAGGAGGAGGCTTCTCTCAGCAATAGGTATGTGGGAGGGACTCCGAGTTTGCTGCCTCAAGGGGAATATACAGCGAGAAGCCCTAACTTGAAAGGAGGCCGGATTTCCTTGCAGTGGCTTGAATACAGGCTCGTCTTTCATCTCACAACATGAAGGGATGTCTGAATCACCTGTGGAGACCTTAGAGAAAGCCCTAGGTCCCTGCCTCATTTTGACGGAATCCTCACATCCCGCTGACACCTCGAGAGGCACGCGGAGTTCATTGCTTCAAAAGGTGACGATGCCTGACTCCTCTTGAATACTGATAGGAATCCCAAAATCCCTGTGGCTACTGGAAAGGGTCCTTGGGTGCCCTGCCTCACCTCGAGAAGCGTCCCTTTTGCCCTGCCAAGCCTCGAAGAGATTGCTGAGGTGTCCCTCGTTACTAGGCAGGAGTCCTGACGTCACTGGAGAAACTCGTGTTTTGAAGGGCCATCCCCGCCGTAAGTCGAGAACATACCCCAGGTCCCCGCCGCAACTCGAGAAAAACCGTGAGACTTCCCCCTAGAGGCGAGATGGGGCCCCATTCCCCTGCAGTGCATGCAGAGCTATTCCGTGATCCCATTCAAACAAGTCAGGAGCTTCGACTTGCTTAATGGATCTCGAGACAGTCCCCAAGAACACTGTCACCAGTCTAGACGGACCATGAGGTCACCGCAGCAATGCAAAGCAGCTCCATGTGCCCCACATCAACTCGAGATGAGGCCCGATTCCCCTGCATTGACTCCAGAGCCATTCCCCGTTCCCCGTTCAACAGGAACGGAGGCTCGCCTTCCTTCAGGCAACTCCAGAGATGCCCCGAGAACACTGTCCCAAGTCGAGAGGAACACCAACTTCAGCACAGCAACTCGAGGAATGCTCTGTGTACCCCAAATCGTCTCGAGATGAGAGCTGATTCCCTGGCTTAGGCTCAAGACGTATGCCAAGTTTCCAGAAGCACCTCAGGAGGAGGCTTCTCAGCAATAGGTATGTGGGAGGGACTCCGAGTTTGCTGCCTCAAGGGGAATATACATCGAGAAGCCCTAACTTGAAAGGAGGCCGGATTTCCTTGCAGTAGCTTGAACACAGGCTTGTCTTTCATCTCACAACATGAAGGGATGTCTGAAACCCCTGTGGAGACCTTAGAGAAAGCCCTAGGTCCCTGCCTCATTTTGACGGAATGCCTCACATCCCGCTGACACCTCGAGAGGCACGCGGAGTTCATTGCTTCAAAAGGTGACGATGCCTGACTCCTCTTGAATACTGATAGGAATCCCAAAATGCCTGTGGCTACTGGAAAGGGGCCTTGGGTGCCCTGGCTCACCTCGAGAAGCGTCCCTTTTGCCCTGCCAAGCCTCGAAGAGATTGCTGAGGTGTCCTCGTTACTAGACAGGAGTCCTGACGTCACTGAAGAAACTCGTGTTTTGAAGGGCCATCCCCGCCGTAAGTCGAGAACATACCCCAGGTCCCCGCCGCAACTCGAGAAAAACCATGAGACTTCCCCCTAGAGGCGAGATGAGGCCCCATTCCCCTGCAGTGCATGCAGAGCTATTCCGTGATCCCATTCAAACAAGTCAGGAGCTTCAACTTGCTTAATGGATCTCGAGACAGTCCCCAAGAACACTGTCACCAGTCTAGATGGACCCTGAGGTCACCCCAGCAACGCAAAGCTGCTCCATGTGCCCCAAATCAACTCGAGATGAGGCCTGATTCCCCTGCATTGACTCCAGAGCCATTCCCCGTTCCCCATTCAACACGACCGGTGGCTCGATTTCCTTCAGGCAACTCCAGAGATGCCCCGAGAACACTGTCCCAAGTCTAGAGGAACACCAACTTCAGCACAGCAACTCGAGGAATGCTCCGTGTACCCCAAATCATTTCGAGATGAGAGCTGATTCCCTGGCTTAGGCTCAAGACGTATGCCAACTTTCCAGAAGCACCTCAGGAGGAGGCTTCTCTCAGCAATAGGTATGTGGGAGGGACCCCGAGTTTGCTGCCTCAAGGGGAATACACAGGGAGAAGCCCTAATGTGAACGGAGGCCAGATTTCCTTGCAGTGGCTTGAATACAGGCTTGTGTTTGATCTGACAACATTAAGGGATGTCTGAATCCCCTGTGGAGTCCTTAGAGGAAGCCCTAGGTCCCTGCCTCATTTTGACGGAATACCTCACATCCCCCTGACACCTCGAGAGGCACGCAGAGATCACTGCTTGAAAAGGTGACGATGCCTGATTCCACTTGAATACTTATAGGAATCCCAAAATCCCTGTGGCTACTGGTAAGGGTCCTTGGGTGCCCTGGCTCACCTCGAGAGGCGTCCCTTTTGCCCTGCCAAGCCTCGAAGAGATTCCTGAGGTGTCCCTCATTACTAGACAGGAGTCCTGACGTCACTGAAGAAACTCGTGTTTTGAAGGGCCATCCCCGCCGTAAGTCGAGAACATACCCCAGGTTCCCGCCGCAACTCGAGAAAAACCATGAGACTTCCCCCTAGAGGCGAGATGAGGCCCCATTCCCCTGCAGTGCATGCAGAGGTATTCCGTGATCCCATTCAAACAAGTCAGGAGCTTCGATTTGCTTAATGGATCTCGAGACAGTCCCCAAGAACACTGTCACCAGTCTAGACGGACCCTGAGGTCACCCAGCAATGCAAAGCAGCTCCATGTGCCCCAAATCAACTCGAGATGAGGCCGGATTCCCCTGCATTGACTCCAGAGCCATTCCCTGTTCCCCATTCAACACGACCGGTGGCTCGACTTCCTTCAGGCAACTCCAGAGATGCCCCGAGAACACTGTCCCAAGTCTAGAGGAACACCAACTTCAGCACAGCAACTCGAGGAATGCTCTGTGTTCCCCAAATCGTCTCGAGATGAGAGCTGAATTCCTGGCTTAGGCTCAAGGCGTATGCCAACTTTCCAGAAGCACCTCAGGAGGAGGATTCTCTCAGCAATAGGTATGTGGGAGGGACTCCGAGTTTGGTGCCTCAAGGGGAATATACAGCGAGAAGCCCTAACTTGAAAGGAGGCCGGATTTCCTTGCAGTGGCTTGAATACAGGCTCGTCTTTCATCTCACAACCTGAAGGGATGTCTGAATCCCCTGTGGAGACCTTAGAGAAAGCCCTAGGTCCCTGCCTCATTTTGACGGAATCCTCACATCCCGCTGACACCTCGAGAGGCACGCGGAGTTCATTGCTTCAAAAGGTGACGATGCCTGACTCCTCTTGAATACTGATAGGAATCTCAAAATATCTGTGGCTACTGGAAAGTGTCCTTGGTGCCCTGGTTCACCTCGAGAAGCGTCCCTTTTGCCCTGCCAAGCCTCGAAGTGATTGCTGAGGTGTCCCTCGTTACTAGACAGGAGTCCTGACGTCAGGGAAGAAACTCGTGTTTTGAAGGGCCATCCCCGCCGTAAGTCGAGAACATACCCCAGGTCCCCGCCGCAACTCGAGAAAAACCATGAGACTTCCCCCTAGAGGCGAGATGAGGCCCCATTCCCCTGCAGTGCATGCAGAGCTATTCCGTGATCCCATTCAAACAAGTCAGGAGCTTCGACTTGCTTAATGGATCTCGAGACAGTAACCAAGAACACTGTCACCAGTCTAGACGGACCCTGAGGTCACCCCAGCAACGCAAAGCAGCTCCAGGTGCCACAAATCAACTCGAGATGAGGCCCGATTCCCCTGCATTGACTCCAGAGCCATTCCCCGTTCCCCATTCAACACGACCGGTGGCTCGGTTTCCTTCAGGCAACTCCAGAGATGCCCCGAGAACACTGTCCCAAGTCTAGAGGAACACCAACTTCAGCACAGCAACTCGAGGAATGCTCTGTGTACCCCAAATCGTCTCGAGATGAGAGCTGATTCCCTGGCTTAGGCTCAAGACGTATGCCAACTTTCCAGAAGCACCTCAGGAGGAGGCTTCTCAGCAATAGGTATGTGGGAGGGACTCCGAGTTTGCTGCCTCAAGGGGAATATACAGCGAGAAGCCCTAACTTGAAAGGAGGTCGGATTTCCTTGCAGTAGCTTGAATACAGTCATGTCTTTCATCTCACAACATGAAGGGATGTCTGAATCCCCTGTGGAGACCTTAGAGAAAGCCCTAGGTCCCTGCCTCATTTTGACGGAATGCCTCACATCCCGCTGACACCTCGAGAGGCACGCGGAGTTCATTGCTTCAAAAGGTGACGATGCTTGACTCCACTTGAATACTGATAGGAATCCCAAAATCCCTGTGGCTACTGGAATGGTTCCTTGGGTGCCCTGCCTCACTTCGAGAAGCGTCCCTTTTGCCCTGCCAAGCCTCGAAGAGATTCCTGAGGTGTCCCTCGTTACTAGACAGGAGTCCTGACGTCACTGAAGAAACTCGTGTTTTGAAGGGCCATACCCGCCGTAAGTCGAGAACATACCCCAGGTCCCCGCCGCAACTCGAGAAAAACCATGAGACTTCCCCCTAGAGGCGAGATGAGGCCCCATTCCCCTGCAGTGCATGCAGAGCTATTCCGTGATCCCATTCAAACAAGTCAGGAGCTTCGACGTGCTTAATGGATCTCGAGACAGTCCCCAAGAACACTGTCACTAGTCTAGACGGAACCTGAGGTCACCCCAGCAACGCAAAGCTGCTCCATGTGCCCCAAATCAACTCGAGATGAGGCCTGATTCCCCTGCATTGCCTCCAGAGCCATTCCCAGTTCCCCATTCAACACGACCGGTGGCTCGACTTCCTTCAGGCAACTCCAGAGATGCCCCGAGAACACTGTCCCAAGTCTAGAGGAGCACCAATTACAGCACAGCAACCAGAGGAATGCTCCGTGTACCCCAAATCATGTCGAGATGAGAGCAGATTCCCTGGCTTAGGCTCAAGACCTATGCCAACTTTCCAGAAGCACCGCAGGAGGAGGCTTCTCTCAGCAATAGGTATGTGGGAGCGACCCCGATTTTGCTGCCTCAAGGGGAATACACAGGGAGAAGCCCAAATGTGAACGGAGGCCAGATTTCCTTGCAGTGGCTTGAATACAGGCTCGTCTTTGATCTGACAACATGAAGGGATTTCTGAATCCCCTGTGGAGACCTTAGAGGAAGCCCTAGGTCCCTGCCTCATTTTGACGGAATACCTCACATCCCCCTGACACCTCGAGAGGCACGCAGAGTTCATTGCTTCAAAAGGTGACGATGCCTGACTCCTCTTGAATACTTATAGGAATCCCAAAATCCCTGTGGCTACTGGAAAGGGTCCTTGGGTGCCCTGGCTCACCTCGAGAAGCGTCCCTTTTGCCCTGCCAAGCCTCGAAGAGATTGCTGAGGTGTCCCTCATTACTAGACAGGAGTCCTGACGTCACTGAAGAAACTCGTGTTTTGAAGGGCCATCCCCGCCGTAAGTCGAGAACATACACCAGGTCCCCGCCGCAACTCGAGAAAAACCATGAGATTTCCCCCTAGAGGCGAGATGAGGCCCCATTCCCCTGCAGTGCATGCAGAGATATTCCGTGATCCCATTCAAACAAGTCAGGAGCTTCGACTTGCTTAATGGATCTCGAGACAGTCCCCAAGAACACTGTCACCAGTCTAGACGGACCCTGAGGTCACCCCAGCAACGCAAAGCAGCTCCATGTGCCCCAAATCAACTCGAGATGAGGCCCGATTCCCCTGCATTGACTCCAGAGCCATACCCCGTTCCCCATTCAACAGGACCGGTGGCTCGGTTTCCTTCAGGCAACTCCAGAGATGCCCCGAGAACACTGTCCCAAGTCTAGAGGAACACAAACTTCAGCACAGCAACTCGAGGAATGCTCTGTGTACCCCAAATCGTCTCGAGATGAGAGCTGATTCCCTGGCTTAGGCTCAAGACGTATGCCAACTTTCCAGAAGCACCTCAGGAGGAGGCTTCTCTCAGCAATAGGTATGTGGGAGGGACTCCGAGATTGCTGCCTCAAGGGGAATATACAGCGAGAAGCCCTAACTTGAAAGGAGGCCGGATTTCCTTGCAGTGGCTTGAATACAGGCTCGTCTTTCATCTCACAACATGAAGGGATGTCTGAATCCCCTGTGGAGACCTTAGAGGAAGCCCTAGGTCCCTGCCTCATTTTGACGGAATACCTCACATCCCCCTGACACCTCGAGAGGCACGCAGAGTTCATTGCTTCAAAAGGTGACGATGCCTGACTCCTCTTGAATACTTATAGGAATCCCAAAATCCCTGTTGCTACTGGAAAGGGTCCTTGGGTGCCCTGGCTCACCTCGAGAAGCGTCCCTTTTGCCCTGCCAAGCCTCGAAGAAATTGCTGAGGTGTCCCTCGTTGCTAGACAGGAGTCCTGACGTCACCGAAGAAACTCGTGTTTTGAAGGGCCATCCCCGCCGTAAGTCGAGAACATACCCCAGGTCCCCGCCGCAACTCGAGAAAAACCATGAGACTTCCCCCTAGAGGCGAGATGAGTCCCCATTCCCCTGCAGTGCATGCAGAGCTATTCCGTGATCCCATTCAAACAAGTCAGGAGCTTCGACTTGCTTAATGGATCTCGAGACAGTCCCCAAGAACACTGTCACCAGTCTAGACGGACCCTGAGGTCACCCCAGCAACGCAAAGCTGCTCCATGTGCCCCAAATCAACTCGAGATGAGGCCCGATTCCCCTGCATTGACTCCAGAGCCATTCCCCGTTCCCCATTCAACACGACCGGTGGCTCGACTTCCTTCAGGCAACTCCAGGGATGCCCCGAGAACACTGTCCCAAGTCTAGAGGAACACCAACTTCAGCACAGCAACTCGAGGAATGCTCTGTGTACCCCAAATCGTCTCGAGATGAGAGCTGATTCCCTGGCTTAGGCTCAAGACGTATGCCACCTTTCCAGAATCACCTCAGGAGGAGGCTTCTCTCAGCAATAGGTATGTGGGAGGGACCCCGAGTTTGCTGCCTCAAGGGGAATATACAGCGAGAAGCCCTAACTTGAAAGGAGGTCGGATTTCCTTGCAGTGGCTTGAATACAGGCTCGTCTTTGATCTGACAACATGAAGGGATGTCTGAATCCCATGTGGAGACCTTAGAGAAAGCCCTAGGGCCCTGCCTCATTTTGACGGAATGCCTCACATCCCGCTGACACCTCGAGAGGCACGCAGAGTTCATTGCTTCAAAAGGTGACGATGCCTGAGTCCTCTTGAATACTGATAGGAATCCCAAAATCCCTGTGGCTACTGGAAAGGGTACTTGGGTGCCCTGCCTCACCTCGAGAAGCGTCCCTTTTGCCCTGCCAAGCCTCGAAGAGATTCCTGAGGTGTCCCTCGTTACTAGGCAGGAGTCCTGACCTCACTGAAGAAAGTCGTGTTTTGAAGGGCCATCCCCGCCATAAGTCGAGAACATACCCCAGGCCCCCGCCGCAACTCGAGAAAAACCATGAGACTTCCCCCTAGAGGCGAGATGAGGCCCCATTCCCCTGCAGTGCATGCAGAGCTATTCCGTGATCCCATTCAAACAAGTCAGGAGCTTCGACTTGCTTAATGGATCTCGAGGCAGTCCCCAAGAACACTGTCACCAGTCTAGACGGACCCTGAGGTCACCCCAGCAACGCAAAGCAGCTCCAGGTGCCACAAATCAACTCGAGATGAGGCCCGATTCCCCTGCATTGACTCCAGAGCCATTCCCCGTTCCCCATTCAACACGACCGGTGGCTCGACTTCCTTCAGGCAACTCCAGAGATGCCCAGAGAACACTGTCCCAAGTCTAGAGGAACACCAGTTTCAGCACAGCAACTCGAGGAATGCTCTGTGTACCACAAATCGTCTCGAGATGAGAGCTGATTCCCTGGCTTAGGCTCAAGACGTATGCCAACTTTCCAGAAGCACCTCAGGAGGAGGCTTCTCTCAGCAATAGGTATGTGGGAGGGACTCCGAGTTTGCTGCCTCAAGGGGAATATACAGGGAGAAGCCCTAACTTGAAAGGAGGCCGGATTTCCTTGCAGTGGCTAGAATACAGGCTCGTCTTTCATCTCACAACATGAAGGGATGTCTGAATCCCCTGTGGAGACCTTAGAGAAAGCTCTAGGTCCCTGCCTCATTTTGACGGAATCCTCACATCCCGCTGACACCTCGAGAGGCACGCGGAGTTCATTTCTTCGAAAGGTGACGATGCCTGACTCCTCTTGAATACTGATAGGAATCCCAAAATCCCTGTGGCTACTGGAAAGGGTCCTTGGGTGCCCTGGCTCACCTCGAGAAGCGTCCCTTTTGCCCTGCCAAGCCTCGAAGAGATTGCTGAGGTGTCCCTCGTTACTAGACAGGAGTCCTGACGTCACTGAAGAAACTCGTGTTTTGAAGGGCCATCCCCGCCGTAAGTCGAGAACATACCCCAGGTCCCCGCCGCAACTCGAGAAAAAACATGACACTTCCCCCTAGAGGCGAGATGAGGCCCCATTCCCCTGCAGTGCATGCAGAGCTATTCCGTGATCCCATTCAAACAAGTCAGGAGCTTCGACTTGCTAAATGGATCTCGAGACAGTCCCCAAGAACACTGTCACCAGTCTAGACGGACCCTGAGGTCACCCCAGCAACGCAAAGCAGCTCCATGTGCCCCAAATCAACTCGAGATGAGGCCCGATTCCCCTGCATTGACTCCAGAGCCATTCCCCGTTCCCCGTTCAACACGAACGGAGGCTCGCCTTCCTTCAGGCATCTCCAGAGATTCCCCGAGAACACTGTCCCAAGTCTAGAGGAACACCAACTTCAGCACAGCAACTCGAGGAATGCTCTGTGTACCCCAAATCGTCTCGAGATGAGAGCTGATTCCCTGGCTTAGGCTCAAGACGTATGCCAACTTTCCAGAAGCACCTCAGGAGGAGGCTTCTCAGCAATAGGTATGTGGGAGGGACTCCGAGTTTGGTGCCTCAAGGGGAATATACAGCGAGAAGCCCTAACTTGAAAGGAGGCCGGATTTCCTTGCAGTGGCTTGAATATAGGCTCGTCTTTGATCTCACAACATGAAGGGATGTCTGAATCCCCTGTGGAGACCTTAGAGGAAGCCCTAGGTCCCTGCCTCATTTTGACGGAATCCTCACATCCCGCTGACACCTCGAGAGGCACGCGGAGTTCATTGCTTCAAAAGGTGACGATGCCTGACTCCTCTTGAATACTGATAGGAATCCCAAAATCCCTGTGGCTACTGGAAAGGGTCCTTGGGTGCCCTGGCTCACCTCGAGAAGCGTCCCTTTTGCCCTGCCAAGCCTCGAAGAGATTGCTGATGTGTCCCTCGTTACTAGACAGGAGTCCTGACGTCACGGAAGAAACTCGTGTTTTGAAGGGCCATCCCCGCCGTAAGTCGAGGTCATACCCCAGGTCCCCGCCGCAACTCGAGAAAAACCATGAGACTTCCCCCTAGAGGCGAGATGAGGCCCCATTCCCCTGCAGTGCACGCAGAGCTATTCCGTGATCCCATTCAAACAAGTCAGGAGCTTCGACTTGCTTAATGGATCTTGAGACAGTCCCCAAGAACACTGTCACATGTCTAGACGGACCCTGAGGTCACCCAGCAATGCAAAGCAGCTCCATGTGCCCCAAATCAACTCGAGATGAGGCCCGATTCCCCTGCATTGACTCCAGAGCCATTCCCCGTTCCCCATTCAACAGGACCGGTGGCTCGCTTTCCTTCAGGCAACTCCAGAGATTCCCCGAGAACACTGTCCCAAGTCTAGAGGAACACCAACTTCAGCACAGCAACTCGAGGAATGCTCTGTGTACCCCAAATCGTCTCGAGATGAGAGCTGAATCCCTGGCTTAGGCTCAAGACGTATGCCAACTTTCCAGAAGCACCTCAGGAGGAGGCTTCTCTCAGCAATAGGTATGTGGGAGGGACTCCGAGTTTGCTGCCTCAAGGGGAATATACAGCGAGAAGCCCTAACTTGAAAGGAGGCCGGATTTCCTTGCAGTGGCTTGAATACAGGCTCGTCTTTCATCTCACAACATGAAGGGATGTCTGAATCCCCTGTGGAGACCTTAGAGAAAGCTCTAGGTCCCTGCCTCATTTTGACGGAATCCTCACATCCCGCTGACACCTCGAGAGGCACGCGGAGTTCATTGCTTCGAAAGGTGACGATGCCTGACTCCTCTTGAATACTTATAGGAATCCCAAAATCCCTGTGGCTACTGGAAAGGGTCCTTGGGTGCCCTGGCTCACCTCGAGAAGCGTCCCTTTTGCCCTGCCAAGCCTCGAAGAGATTGCTGAGGTGTCCCTCGTTACTAGACAGGAGTCCTGACGTCACTGAAGAAACTCGTGTTTTGAAGGGCCATCCCCGCCGTAAGTCGAGAACATACCCCAGGTCCCCGCCGCAACTCGAGAAAAAACATGAGACTTCCCCCTAGAGGCGAGATGAGGCCCCATTCCCCTGCAGTGCATGCAGAGCTATTCCGTGATCCCATTCAAACAAGTCAGGAGCTTCGACTTGCTAAATGGATCTCGAGACAGTCCCCAAGAACACTGTCACCAGTCTAGACGGACCCTGAGGTCACCCCAGCAACGCAAAGCAGCTCCATGTGCCCCAAATCAACTCGAGATGAGGCCCGATTCCCCTGCATTGACTCCAGAGCCATTCCCCGTTCCCCGTTCAACACGAACGGAGGCTCGCCTTCCTTCAGGCATCTCCAGAGATTCCCCGAGAACACTGTCCCAAGTCTAGAGGAACACCAACTTCAGCACAGCAACTCGAGGAATGCTCTGTGTACCCCAAATCGTCTCGAGATGAGAGCTGATTCCCTGGCTTAGGCTCAAGACGTATGCCAACTTTCCAGAAGCACCTCAGGAGGAGGCTTCTCAGCAATAGGTATGTGGGAGGGACTCCAAGTTTGCTGCCTCAAGGGGAATATACAGCGAGAAGCCCTAACTTGAAAGGAGGCCGGATTTCCTTGCAGTAGCTTGAATACAGGCTCGTCTTTCATCTCACACATGAAGGGATGTCTGAATCCCCTGTGGAGACCTTAGAGAAAGCCCTCGGTCCCTGCCTCATTTTGACGGAATGCCTCACATCCCGCTGACACCTCGAGAGGCACGCGGAGTTCATTGCTTCAAAAGGTGACGATGCCTGACTCCTCTTGAATACTGATAGGAATCCCAAAATCCCTGTGGCTACTTTAAAGGGTGCTTGGGTGCCCTGCCTCACCTCGAGAAGCGTCCCTTTTGCCCTGCCAAGCCTCGAAGAGATTCCTGAGGTGTCCCTCGTTACTAGGCAGGAGTCCTGACCTCACTGAAGAAAGTCGTGTTTTGAAGGGCCATCCCTGCCGTAAGTCGAGAACATACCCCAGGTCCCCGCCGCAACTCGAGAAAAACCATGAGACTTCCCCCTAGAGGCGAGATGAGGCCCCATTACCCTGCAGTGCATGCAGAGCTATTCCGTGATCCCATTCCAACAAGTCAGGAGCTTCGACTTGCTAAATGGATCTCGAGACAGTCCCCAAGAACACTGTCACCAGTCTAGACGGACCCTGAGGTCACCCCAGCAACGCAAAGCTGCTCCATGTGCCCCAAATCAACTCGAGATGAGGCCCGATTCCCCTGCATTGACTCCAGAGCCATTCCCCGTTCCCCATTCAACACGACCGGTGGCTCGACTTCCTTCAGGGAACTCCAGGGATGCCCCGAGAACACTGTCCCAAGAATAGAGGAACACCAACTTCAGCACAGCAACTCGAGGAATGCTCTGTGTACCCCAAATCGTCTCGAGATGAGAGCTGATTCCCTGGCTTAGGCTCAAGACGTATGCCAAATTTCCAGAAGCACCTCAGGAGGAGGCTTCTCTCAGCAATAGGTATGTGGGAGGGACCCCGAGTTTGCTGCCTCAAGGGGAATATACAGCGAGAAGCCCTAACTTGAAAGGAGGCCGGATTTCCTTGCAGTGGCTTGAATACAGGCTCGTCTTTGATCTGACAACATGAAGGGATGTCTGAATCCCCTGTGGAGACCTTAGAGAAAGCCCTAGGGCCCTGCCTCATTTTGACGGAATGCCTCACATCCCGCTGACACCTCGAGAGGCACGCGGAGTTCATTGCTTCAAAAGGTGACGATGCCTGAGTCCTCTTGAATACTGATAGGAATCCCAAAATCCCTGTGGCTACTGGAAAGGGTCCTTGGGTGCCCTGCCTCACCTCGAGAAGCGTCCCTTTTGCCCTGCCAAGCCTCGAAGAGATTCCTGAGGTGTCCCTCGTTACTAGGCAGGAGTCCTGAAGTCACTGGAGAAACTCGTGTTTTGAAGGGCCATCCCCGCCGTAAGTCGAGAACATACCCCAGGGCCCCGCCGCAACTCGAGAAAAACCATGAGACTTCCCCCTAGAGGCGAGATGAGGCCCCATTCCCCTGCAGTGCATGCAGAGCTATTCCGTGATCCCATTCAAACAAGTCAGGAGCTTCGACTTGCTTAATGGATCTCGAGACAGTCTCCAAGAACACTGTCACCAGTCTAGACGGACTCTGAGGTCACCCCAGCAACGCAAAGCAGCTCCATGTGCCACAAATCAACTCGAGATGAGGCCCGATTCACCTGCATTGATTCCAGAGCCATTCCCCGTTCCCCATTCAACACGACCGGTGGCTCGCCTTCCTTTAGGCAACTCCAGGGATGCCCCGAGAACACTGTCCAAAGTTTAGAGGAACACCAACCTCAGCGCAGCAACTCGAGGAATGCTCCGTGTACCCCAAATCACCTCGAGATGAGAGCTGATTCCTTCGCTTAGGCTCAAGACGTATGCCAACTTTCCAGAAGCACCTCAGGAGGAGGCTTCTCTCAGCAATAGGTATGTGGGAGGGACCCCGAGTTTGCTGCCTCAAGGGGAATATACAGCGAGAAGCCCTAACTTGAAAGGAGGCCGGATTTCCTTGCAGTGGCTTGAATACAGGCTCGTCTTTGATCTGACAACATGAAGGGATGTCTGAATCCCCTGTGGAGACCTTAGAGAAAGCCCTAGGTCCCTGCCTCATTTTGACTGAATGCCTCACATCCCGCTGACACCTGGAGAGGCACGCGGAGTTCATTGCTTCAAAAGGTGACGATGCCTGACTCCTCTTGAATACTGATAGGAATCCCAAAATCCCTGTGGCTACTGGAAAGGGTCCTTGGGTGCCCTGCCTCACCTCGAGAAGCGTCCCTTTTGCCCTGCCAAGCCTCGAAGAGATTCCTGAGGTGTCCCTCGTTACTAGGCAGGAGTCCTGACGTCACTGGAGAAACTCGTGTTTTGAAGTGCCATCCCCGCTAAGTCGAGAACATACCCCAGGGCCCCGCCGCAACTCGAGAAAAACCGTGAGACTTCC